AATTTGTAAATCTCAACAATTTTCCAATCAGAAAACATTTTTTCTCGAATGAAATTAGCAGAAAACAAGAAAAATTGCAAAGGGTTTTCTCATTCTTCCGTTTTCTCACAAATTCTCTTTCTTCACAAGTGAAGAATCAGAAATCCTTCCCATTTTCATTTGAAAAATAAAAATAACAACTTTTTGTCTGGTGTGAATGAACAATAAGTGTGGCCAAAAAAGGGCAAAATCATTGGAAAAATATTTTGTGAAAACATCCAGATTATCTATATCTAGAAAATAGACGAATTAATTTGACACCTTTTTCTAGAAGATGTTGTTTTTTGATTTTTGCCGTATGTTTGTCTCAAGTTAGTTTTTTTTCGCTTCCTGTTTTTTCTCTAGTTTTCTAGATGAAGGTTTCAGTGTTTTTTTGTCAGGTCACGCCTCTTTTATCAAATTTCAAACAACAAAGTTTGTCAACTAATTTTTTTCGTATTTATTTTTATTTTTCTCTTTCTCGCTGAAAATAGTTTTTGTGCTCCCATAAAAACAAGAAGATTTTTATGATCAGTTTTAAAACGAGTGTGAGTCTTTAGTCTAGTCTTTGAAATGATCAAATTACGTGAAGATAAGATAAGAGTGAGGGTTTTTAGCTCATAAATCAGAAATCCTTTGTGTGCATTTTTTCAAGACAAGATTTTATTATTCCTTGTGCTCTTGATTTTTATGGTTTTTATATATTTTTGAGAGAAAAAGTGGAGGGAACAAAATAAAATCATAAAGTTTTTTGTTTGATGAAATGAAAATTCATGAGTTGAGGCTTTTAGAGAAAGTTTTATGGGTTACTGTAGATGGGGTGAGGTTTATTAGATTTTTTTGAGATGGAAAAGGCGGGGGCATTTTTTTAATGGAAGAATTTTGGGATGCTGAAGTCATTGGAAAGATTTGAAAAAAAAGGTTCAGAATTCCTAGAACCCAGATTTTCTGAAAAAAATCCGAGAATTCCCAAAAAATCAAAATTTACAAAAAACTTGTTGCCTTGCCTTTCCAAAAAAAACCAAATTCAAAGAAAATTGAGACAGACACACGAAAAAAAAACGAAAATTGTTTTCTGCTCAAATAAGATTAGAAAATGCCCATCGGAAATTATGCATTTTCCTCCCCTCCCTACCCCCTCACTTTTTTCTTCTGGTCACTTTTTTCTGGAATTCTCTGTAAAACTCTGTAAAATCTATGTATATCATATCGTTTTTTTTGTCTTCTCTTTACATTTTTATTCTATTTTATTTCATTGTGAGCATCTTTTCTCTCTTGTTAGACTAATTAAATCAAATTTCTTATTATTTTCTTTTCCAATATACATATATATATATATATATATTTCTGCCTATTTTTTTCAAGAAGAATTTGTCATAAGTTCATATTTTTTTTCAATAATAGAAATTCAGACTCATCATAATTAAAACTTTTTTGCCCACTCACTCACTCAATTCTTACTGTAACTCTAGAAGCAAGGATTTTTTTGAACAAACCAACTCACCAAAAAAAATAAAAATAGTCTTTGATGTTGAAAAAAATGCGTCGATTTCTATTTTTTCATATAATTACGTTGTTGTGAGAAAACAGAAAAACAAACCCTGAGTAATTCAATTGAGAGGCAAAAAACTGCGCGAGAAAAAAAATGAAAAAAAAATTTTGAAAGAACTCTTTCAGAATTGGATTTTTTTCAGTTTTTTTCTAGCGGATTTCGTCGGGGCACATTAAAAATGAGCAGAATTTGCAGCATTCATCTCAAAAATTGAAATAGAAAAGATTTTGGGTTTTTTTGATTTTGGTTTCAGAAAAAAAATTTTTTTGAAAATTTTTCGAAAAAAACTTCAAGCTCTCAATTATTTTCAGCAGATTTTTTTCTATTTCCGAAAAGTCTTTCTTTCAAAAAGTACTCCCTCATTTTTTCCCCCGAAAAACACCAATGTTCCGCCTACTTTTCTCTAGAGTACTGTAGTTTTAATTCCAATTCCAATTCCAATTCCCAAAATCAATTCCACAAATTCATTTTTTTTCCAACCAAACAAAAAAATGAGCCAGGTTTTTCTCTCATGAATGAAAACAACTACGGTATTTTGTTGACCTTTTCTTTCTCGCGCAATTAATATTTTTTATTATTTTTTCTCTATTTTTTATGTTGTTGTTATTGAACTTGTTCGATTTCTTTTTTTCACATAGCGGAAAAATTCCATGAATTTTTTTCCAAACAACAACAATGCTGTTGTTACATAAATAATAAATCGACTTTTTCGCATCCTTTCGATTTCGACTTTGAAAAAAATCTGGAAATTTTTTCAGTCTTGTTGGGTGACATTTTTTTTGATTCTACTAACTAACCAGACAATGCTCCACTCATCCGGAGCTATATTTTCTGTCGTCACTCTTTCTTCCCACCAGGCCAAAGCTAAAGCCAAAAAAAATTTCAATTCAATTTCGGATAGATTTTCAACATGTTTGTACTAATTCTTTTTTTTCTTTTTCTTTTTTTAAAAAAAAAAACTAGAGCTTCATCTTTTTCGTTCCCATCCCAAGTCCATTTGTTCTTTTATGGGTTCACTTTTTTTGGAGCATAATTGGGTTAATGTATTATGATGATGATGCGTTTTTTTGTGCGGCGTCGCCCAAAAATTATATTTTTGGGGCCGCTCTTTATTATTTTTTGTCTTCTTTTTTTTTGGCGCCGCTTGAGATGAGCTGTTTTCTCATCAGGGGGTCTTTTTAAGAGAATTTTGAAGATTTATGAAGAGCTTTTAGTTCCTGAAGAACTTGGGCTTGAATTTAGACAATAGAAAATTAGGATTATATTTTCTGAATGTAAATAAAAATTTTATTTTCAAAATTTCAGAAGTTTACGGCACTTTGACTAGGATTCGTGTCTAGAGAGCTTTAAGAAGCCAAACCTAGAAAATCACTCTGACAAGGTTCTGCTCCTAGAAAATTTTCCCATCAGAAAATTCAGGTGAAAATAATCACAATTCATTTTCTGCACACAAATAATTCCCTCTGAAAAAACTTCTGATTTTAACGGAAATTCCGGGTTTTGTTGTTTTGTTTTAAGAAAAATCAAGTTCAAGAACCAAAACAAATCGTGATAGAAGACGATTAATTAATTCGAACCCTTAATGTTAGAAAAGACAAACAACTCGTTTTTCTCTCCCCAAAAAAAATGAAAGTCTAACAAAAATTCAAGCCAATCGATTAAAAATTCAAGGCGCATCACATCTCATCTCGAATTTCGTTTGATGTGTGATCTCCTAGTTAAATTTAGTTAGTTTCTTGTTCTTGTCAGAAGTCTTACGTTGATCAGTGAGTGTTTTCCCTTTCAGACACAAAATAAGCCTAACTATTTTTATTTTAGTTAGATTATTAGAAAAAAAGTGTTTTTCTCTCCTTTTTTTTTCGGTGTTATTGAAAATGTGTGAAAAATTCTTTCGGCTATGACTTTTCTATTTTGTTTTCATTCTATTATATTTCACCTAGAGAGAACGAATTCTGAACTTTTGAATTTTTTTCTCAAAATTACTAAAGAAAAGTTCGGATTTCAGAAAGAATAGTTTCTTTTTACAATGTATGTTCAACCACTTTATTCATGAATTATTTAACATTTTCGATGTTTGGACCTTTTTTGTCCTTGGACCTTTTGGGAAAGTTGAAATTTTCTCAAATATTTGTTTGATGGATGAATTGGAAACTGTTGACATGACAATTTATTCTTGAGAAAAATTTGACTTCGACATCATTATTTTTCTTTTTTTTCCATTGAAAAAAATCTATTTTAAGCTGATGTGAAAGAAAACTCGGACCAATTTAAATTAAATTAAAAATCTGTCAAAAACAGTTGAATGATGTAACTAAACACAATTTTTCAGAGATTTCAAAGACACTTTTTTTTCCAATTCTTTTCTCCGATAATGCACCATACACCAAGCGGAAATCAAATTTTCTTCAACAAAAAATAGAATAGAATTGCTTTTACTCTCGCAGAAATATCGATTTTTTGTTGTTGTTGTTTTTCTGCGTGTACCTAGGGGTGGGTGAGTACAAATATTGTTTTGACTCTCTTTTTGGTAGGTCTCCAAAAATAGACGAAAATGAAATGTTAAAAATAAAAATTGAACACTTGAGTTACCTTTTTCAAGAATGCTTGGTTGAAAAACAAGACTATTGAATTCCAGAATAATGTTTTTGGAATTTTGTTTGATTTTTTTTGAGCTTATAAGTCTGAATTTTTTTATCATTTTCAAAAACTAGAATTCAAGACCCAATTTGAGATTTTAAATTCTGGAGAAATTTCTGAATTTTTCTCAATTAAAACTTTTGATTCTCAATTAAAACTCTTGATTCTATTATTCTACACTTGATTATAAAAATGAAAGTGAAGTTCAAAAAAATGATTATTCATACCTTTTCAAAACTGAAAAACAAAAAAATCCAAAGATCAAACGTTCTTTCTTCCACCTCCAACTTCAATATCCGTCCGCCATTTTTCTCCGAAACTTCCTTCCTGACATTCACAGAATTCACCGGAATTCTCAATTCTCAATTCTCAATTTCAAAACAAGAAATTTCCGAAAAAAAAAACGTTTACATTGCTCGATGTTATCATTGAAGCGTGTAATCCAAAGGTTTCCGGACAAAACTCACTCGTTTTTTTTCTGCGTTGCGTTGCTTCTCTTACTTATTTTTCTTATATTTTTTCGCCTCATTCTTCTAGTTGAAAAAAAAACTCCTTGGTGTTTTACCACACACTTCATGGTCCACTCTTATTAGTTTCTTCTTCTTCACCCCTCCCTTTTTGCTCTGTTTTTTGTTCTTCCCATTTTACTCCACCCCTTTTTTCTCACTTCTTTTTTGTTGTTGTGGTGTTTTTTTTTCTTTCCTTAAGTGAGAAACATCTTTTTCAATTTCATTCAAATTTTTATCTAAAGTGAAATTTCAAAATCCCAATTTTTGCAGGCAACAACTTCAAGATGAATGATTCGAAAAACGTTCGAATTCTAATAAATGCCGACCAAGCGTGTTCGGCGATGAATACGAATGTTTCATTTGTGGAGAAATATCAAGAGTGAGTTTTGATCAAGGAGGAAGTGTGTATGGAAAAAGAAAAGAAAAAAGCAGAGGGTTAATCTACATAGATGTACATTTTTGAGTGAGTACATTATTTTTAGACGCATTGTTTATATGAAACTAGACAATTTTTGGGGCGTGAGAAATTTTTTGAACCTCAAAAGTAAACGGATACAGTATCCCAAAATGTTTTGGTTGTTTTCCAAACTTCCAAATTTCAAATCCAATAAAAATAGTCGATCTTTCAACTCTTGAAGTGCATCAAATTCGAATTCAACACCAAAAAAAATATTTTTTTTCTCGATGGAAGAAAAATTTGTTGGAATTTGTTTACTATGCCAAATAATTGTTTTGGATTGTGAAAAATCACGGGAAAATTGGAAGAAGCTTGTTTTTATGCTTGCTAGAAAATGTTAGATTACAGTACTTTGAAGGGACTTGAGAGAATCTAAATTTTGAAAACTGAACTCATAGACTACTGTAGTTCTAGATTTGAGATCAAATTAAATACAAATGTTTCACTATAATATTAGATCAATATATTCAATGAAATATTTATTGATATTTTTATGTTTCAAAATTTTTAAAAAAAAATCTTAATTTTCAGCACACACTGTATGGCAAACTTCGATCGTTCGTTATGTTGGTTACCAGTTATCAAAGGAGAGACTGTTCAAACGGATTGTCCCTTCAGCTACTGCTCTTCAAGACCAGGATGTGAAAATGTTCAGCGTAAGTTCTTTCACTTTAAAAATCAAAAATCCTTGCTTGTCTATTTGTCAACACGTGTATTTTCGAAAAAATGAGAAAAAAAACATGAGGATTACTGTGACAATTAATTAGAATCACACGAGTGCAAAAGGAAGAGAATAGTTCACCAAACAAAATATCGAGAAAATTAATTGGGTCTCTTGGTCGGTGGAAGATGAAATCATCTTATTGGAATTCTAGGAATTATGAAAAAAACGAAGAAAAATGAGAAAAGATTGGTTGTTTTTTGATCTTGGAGAAATGAACTAATGAAGTACTGTAGAGTTGTGTTTTTTTTTTTCGATCTTGAAACAGCTTTCACAGAAACTGAATATCAAAATTCATAGCATCCAACAATTTTTTGACAAAAAAAAATTGACCTGGTCGAGTAGAAGGTAGCAGGTGGTGTCAATCTCATATCCAGAATCTGAAATGAAGGTCGGGTAGAAGGTAGTAGGTGGTGTCAATCTCACATCCAGAATCTGAATTTTCGATATACCAGAAGTAGAAAACACAATCTTGAAGCAGATATGGCATAGAAGATTTATGATCTGAAATATTTGATTTTGAAGATTGAATTGCCTTTTTCACTTTTCAATACGTTTTTCTTTACACAAAAGTACATCCTAAAATTCCCCAGAAAACTTTCATTTTTAAAATTGTTGCAACTTACAATCGTAATCCCAGCCATTTTCTTTCACAAAAAGTTCAAATTCCAAGAGCAATTACTCATTTTTTGTTTTTTCTTTGTTTCTGTGTGAAACCAACAAAAAAAATAGAAAAGAAAAACCACTAATCATTTCTAATCCACGCCTTCAGTGTTCGGTTTAAAAATGCATTCCATTCATTTATCAGTTTCTCTTTTCCTGTGCTTTCGAAAGAAAGGATTTTTCTTTGAAGGAAAACCAAACTACATACACTCATTTCGTGTTGGGAGTAGGGTAAAGTCACTCATCCTGAGAAAAAGGCCAGGAAAAAAAGGAGAATTTTTGAAAGTATGCATCATAATCCCATGAGACAAACATTTCAATCTTATTTTCTTTCGCCAACCAACGACAATAAGAAATCAGAAAACACAGGTGGATCAAAAAATCGTGACAGACTACACATACTCATTGATGTCTGGGATAAATAATTGACCGTAAGAAGTTCAAAAAGCTTCCGGTTCTCTTGTTTGGTTGAAAAGCGTGAAATGAGGCATGAAGAAAGAAATCAGGTTGGAGCAACAAGCAGCTATTTTTGGAGGGTGGAGAGAAGAATGTATTTTTGATTCCTGGAATTTTTTTTGGGATGATGTGAATGGGGAAGAGAAGCTTTAGAGCAATAGGACCGTGAAATATTGATTTTTAAAATGTTCTAACCAGGCCTGTGCCGGAAAATTTTCGGATTTAAAAAACCAGAAAATCTGGGAAAATGTTTGAAGTCTTCAAGTTTTAAATTTCAGCACAGAATCACACTTGGCTAGAGAGTGTCCTAAAATTTTTGTGCAGCGTGAAATTTTTTTCAGAATAAAAATTGTGAATTTTTTTGAATATTTTCATCAAAATTCGCTGAAAATCAATAAACACTTCACTTTTTCGTGAAAAAATGTGCAGTGAAATGAAAAAAATTTTGAAAATTTTTATTAGCTTCCCGCCAGAATCGAAATTTTGGTTTGGGCGGGAATTTTTATTTGAAAATTTTTGTACAGTATCCTTTTTGGACACGTCTCGTCAGGCATGAATTTGCCCATTTAGAGATGATTAAGTAAGATTTTTTCAGTTCAAAAAATCAAAATTTAAAAAAAAAATTCAGATTTTTTGTCAGTCTCTGAAAAAAGTCTCTAAAAATGGGCAATCTTGAAGAAATTACTAATAAAAATCCCTTTCTCCTGTGAAATAACCCGGAAAATTCGGGAAAATTCCGGCACGGGCCTGGTTTTTAATTAAGAGTACCCAAAACGTTTTCATTCTAAAGTTCAGTCTGATGTAATTTTTGACTATGGAATTGGAAAAAAGTTATTTTGTTAATTAAAAATTAAAAAATTAAAGTCAAAATCACTCCCTGATTCCCACAAAATCCAATTTTTCCAGAAGAATATCACATTTTCAAAACATGCAACGACAACGGTACCTGGGGAAGCACCGACTATGAGCAATGTCGAGTGTTGGCTAGTAAACACTCTGAATGCATTGTCGCATTTTGTAATACGGTAAGTTGATCTAAATTTCCCTCAGACGTTTCCTGTTAATTTCCGAAACAAACACGGAACCTTTTTTTTGGGTTCTAAAAATAGCTTGAAATGTTTTTTCAGTGTCCAAACCTTGAACGAGAAGTGATTATATCGGTCACTCTAACATTATCGATTGTTTCGGTGATATTATTGATTGCGGCGATTGTGTTATTTTCAATATTTGATTCAATTCAATGTCGAAGGTTATCAATACACAAACATTTGGCATTGGCTTTCGTTTTTCGATTTTCTGCTCTAGCTATCTGGACAATTGTGCAAATGACCAACTTTTTCAATGATTGTACTATGATGAAGCCTGCAAAAATTGAGAGTCTGGTGAGTTGCGAAGAAATTCAGATTTTTCAAAAAATAATTTTCCAGGAATGGGTATGCAAAGTAATAATTTGGTGTGTGATGTACTTCCAAGTGGCTTCATTCATCTGGATGTTAATCGAAGGTGCATTTCTCTACAGTCGATTCACGGTTATGGCGATGCGACATAGCGATGCACCGTGGTGGTTTTATTTGGCGTGCGGCTGGGGTATCCCATTGGTGTCGGTCACACTTTGGACGATTATTCATTCGAATAATCCGGAGACTGGTTATTGTTGGATTCCGTATTCGCAAGGATCGGACATGTGGATTTTGGCTGGTACTATGGGAATTGCTATGATTGTGAGTGTTGGGGAGGAAGGATGGGACATTAGGAAAATTCGGATTTTTTTGAATGTGGAATGAGAATTTTACTGGTTTTGTTAACCTAAAAAGTTCTGAAATGATTTCTGTGGTTTTCATTTTTCTTTATTTTTAAAATCAAGGTTTTTGTGAATTTCTTCTAGAACATAATCTCAAGTCTTGAAAAATATTTCCCAACTTCCAACCAATATCTAATAAAAATGAACTCCGAACTTTCAAAATTTCGACCACCTTTTTGTTTTGCTAGAACATCAGTCACTTTTTGACAAATCTCTATCCACCTGGGAGCCGCAATGTTCTTTTTCAGATGAACTTGATCTTTCTGCTTGCAATCGTCGTCATTCTTGTTCAAAAACTTCGAACGGAAAACTCTGCGGAATCCAAGAAAATTTGGTAAATACACATATATCACTTGAGAGAGATATTGAAAACATATGTTTGAACTTGTTGTTGAATAAAAAAAAATTCCAGGCGAACAATCAAGGCAACACTTTTGCTTGTTCCATTGTTGGGTATTTCGAATATGCCACTTTTCTACGAACCACAGTTTCCAACATTCCAATATTTGATGACGTCAACGGTTTTACAGCATAGTCAGGGAATTTTCATTTCGGTTTTGTATTGTTTTTTGAACAGTGAGATTCAAGGTGCTGTGAAAAGACAATTGAGCAAGGTTCCGATTGAATTTTTCAAGTAAGATTAACTATACCATCTTGAGAATCATCTATCAAAAATTTAGGCCTAGAACTCGTTTCGAAACTGAGAGGACTTATGTGCCGGAAGCTCGAAACGGACCATCAAAAAATGGAGTTCCCATGGAAGAACTAAATGGCACAAAACTGAAGCCAGAGGAAAACGGGCAGGTATGTTATGTTAAATCCCTCCACCCCTAGGGGGGATTTTTTTCTCAATTCAATAGAGAGGGCTCAGGAGGATTTGGACGACACAAAAAGCCAAACTTGGATTACTGTAGGTTATTGGAATTCGCACGATTCATCTACCTTTTTCCATGAAAACACTCATTATTATTTTTTTCTTGTGTTATGTAATCCGCTTAATCTCGGTCAACTAGAATGTAGATTAGAAAAGAAGGGTTGAGAAAAGATAAAAGGTTATATATTCCTAGAAGTACGTGAAAAAGGCGGATCTAGTGTGAATTGTTTTGGACACTAGATAATGAAGATTAATTGAGTGCTGTCTTGTGGGTTCTTTGGAGCCTAGAAACATGACATTTAAAGTTCATAGTGAGTCAGGATTTTTCTCCAATATTTGTTTTCCTTCGAGCAATTCTGATCTACAAAAAAAGCACAGCCCGTTTCAATATCACTTGCAAGCTTCAGTCTTCCCTTACCCCACTTTTCACCCTTTCAATCAAAACCTCCAAATTTTTCCAGATCACCACCAATGGCACCAATCAAATATACTCGGTAACAACGAAATCTGAAGACAGTCTCTAAAAAAAATTCGCAAAGTCATAAATTCTCCTATTTAAAAAAACAATTTTAAATATATCTCCTTTCCCAAAAATTTCCGTTTTCCCGCCAAAAAAACTATTTGCACACGGGTTTCTCTTGTTTTTTTCTCTTAAAAATTTGCAACTTTTTTTTTCAACATTTTTTTCATGATAATAATAATGTGTTTTTTGTATTTATTTGATCTCTTCTGTACGTTTTTGCTGCGCATTTATTTTTTACCGGATTTTTTTTTGAAAAATAAAAATAAAATATTTTATTATAACATGAGTAATCATAGACTAATCAACTAACAAATATGGAAAAATAGATTTTTTTTAGATTAGAAATCGTAGACTCTGTACGTACGTTCATCACTTGAACTTTGATAAAGCATAGAAATTGAATAAGATTTAAAGCAAAATTAGATATATATGTAAGAAAATCATAAAGTAATTAGAGAAATTACTAAAATATTATATAGGGAATAAATAGATATATGTATTTTTAAATTAAAATATTCAAAAAAAAAATAATAATAATTCACTGGTTTGAGATCGAGTATGGCCCGGGGATATTTTCTGGTTTGAGATCTTGATATTGCTCATTATTATCATAATTATTTTCCAAAACTGGAAAATTGTCGGGTGGCAAAAAAGCGGAATCGGAAGATGATGATGCATAGCACGAATAATCAAAGGAACACGAAGGACCCGCACAATTGTCGCTACGAGATCTCTCCTTGTCGCGCAATTCCTTTCTGCGCCATTTGGCGCGACGGTTTTGGAACCAGACCTGAAAATGTAATATGTAAACTATATTTATACTTTTATCCGAACTCATTAGTAAAAGAGTTAATCTCATTAGATTAATAATATTGTAAAAAAATGAGACTACATTTCTGATTCTTGAGAAAAAAGTTGTTGAACTTTGACGCTAGTTTTTTATGGCTTCTGGATTGACATCATTCTAGGAAATCGGAGGAAAATTGATTTTTAGTCAATGCTTTTTCCTCGGAGAATATATATATTTAATCGTTTGATGAGCTTGACCACAGTATATTAAGAAAGAATTTTATAATTTAAGAGTTCTTGGAGTAAACGATGTTAAGGAGATTTGAAAAAATTGAATATCAACAGATTTATTTTGAAAATTCAAAATCGTTTGAGATATTTTTTCCTAATCTGCTTTGAGTTGCTTAAAATCACACATTGCTCAGGTTAGGAAAGAGGTCAAATTTTTCCGAAACTTTCTAAAATTTTGAAAAAAAAACTTCCAACTATTTTTGTTTCTGATCCCTAAACCTACAGTATTTACTTCCCCTCCCCTCCTTCCACTTTCAGGTGATTTATGTCAATTGGGCCGATCAATCAAAAACAAATTGTGGTAAAAAGTGTGCGGGGAGCTCAATCGAGAGCAATCGTAAATTGCAACACGATACATGGGTCCCACATGTGCCAGACGTTGTTTTTCTTCAATTTCTCGTCAAGCGAGAAGTTTCAAAAAAAAAGAGGAGGAGGGGTGACAAAGCACATTTTTTTTCATTAGACTTAAGCTTACCGTAATCCGATCTTCTGGAATATTCAACAATGTAGCCATATCCTTTTTTGACTTATGATCTGGATAGTGTGAATCACGGAACGAGTCCTCCAAAAACAATGATTGTTGCTCGGTGAAATTGGTGCGAAAACGACGTCTCGCACCAAAGTCTAAGCCACGTTGAGCATTCGCAACGTAACCTAAAAGTCTTTTCAGATGTTTCTTGAAAGTTGTTCGGGAAACTCACCATTATTGCCAATACTTGGGGCTGAAACCGAACGAACGTTGTGTGTTACAAAATAGTCGTTATCGAAGAGGTCTGGAAATTTTGGAGTTCAAAAATAAGAAGAACGTAGTGACGTGATTTTTGATCTGGCTAATCTTTTTGGAAAATTAGGAGGATTTTATGATTATGATGGCTAGGAGGATTTATGTGTAGTGGAAAATTTTTTTGGACTTTAGGTGGTTTTCAGTCTAAAAATCGATATTGGAATGGTTTTCAAATTTGAAGAATTCTTTGGAAATACACAATTCTTGTGGCTAGTATCTGTTAACTTTCATAAATTATTTTTCTATATTTCAAGTTATTGATATGAAAATCTTCACTTTAGCTCTGAAGATTTTGAAAAATCTCTAGAATCTGGCCTGATTTTGAGGTCGAGAAAAATCTAAACAATTCCTGAATTCTTAAAGGGCAATCGAAAATTTTAATTCTTCAAAAATCTGAAGATTAAAACAAAATTGATATCATCTTTCAGAATTTTTTTGAAACAATTCGGATTATTTTTAAAAAAATTTTTCGAGGGGAAACTCACCATTATCACGATATGGATGTGGATGTGGATGTTGATGTGGAAGCTGAGGAACTTGTTGGTCAACAATTTGCTGATGTTGAACTAGATTTTGCTGATGTTGAATAAGATGTTGATTATTTTGCTGAATATGTTGAAGATGTTGCTCTTGATGATGAAAATCTTGACCAACAATTAAATGATTCTCAATTTGCTGTTGTGGTTGCTGTTGTTGCTGTTGGCCAATATTCGACATGTGCAAATGATTGGCCGATGCTCCAAGATTATGGTAGTCGGAGAGTGTTCCCTCGTCCTCTTTTTTGATTGTTATCCCTCCTCCCGATGCAGCCGACGCTCCACCCTTTTCTCCTCCTTCTTCTTCTCCCGCTTGAGCTGGTGCTCCACTTTCATAACTCCAACGACGATTTGGTGCAATTCCATCTTCAAGTTGCGGGATGAATGGTGGCACAAATACTAGATTTTGATACGAGATTGGTGGATTTGGATTTGGATTTGGCATCGGAAGTGGCATCGGTATTGGAAGTTGAAGTGGAAGGGGGAACAAATTTGGGTTAGGATTCGGATGCGGATTCGGGTTAGGATTTTGAAAATACTGTGGAACTGGTAGATCATAAAGAGGATCTGATTGTTGAGAGCTTGAACCCATGTTGTTCATTGTGCTGAATCAATATTTGATTTTTTGAGAATGAGGGAGAAGATAAGAGAATTTGAATAAAAAATACATAGTTTTCTAATCCCTAATCAACTTTTTTTCTTTTGGAATAAGAGAGAGGACAATGACGAAGAAGATTTTTTTGTGGACTTTTGGATGTTGAGAGTGAGTTGTGGAATTATTGATTGGATTTGGATGTTTTATTGTGAGGAGAAGATATAGTTAAAAAAAATAAAAATTGAGAAATTTGTCAACTGTAATTCTGAAGGCTTGTAAGATCGTTACCGTATCCCGTGAAAGGTTTTTGGTAAGGTAAACTCTAAAAGGTTTTATAGTAATGTAAGTTACAGTATTCAAAAGAAGGTTACGAAAAAACATGACTTTAAATGTTTAAGAACCTCATGAAAAATAAATCTAACAAAAAAATTCTGAAAGTATGTATTTACAATCCAGATTTTTATCCTCGAGAAAAAAAATCCAGAGAAAAAAAAAGTTTCAGTCAACTAATTCTCTTCTCTGAATATGCGGGTGTATTTATATGGGATTAGATCTTCTGAAAATGGGCGGGGCGTCCGACTTTTATCACAATGTCACAAAAAAAAATTCCTTGAGAGGAAGGAGAGAAAGAAGAATAAGCTCAATGCCAATCCACGGTTGATCCTTTTCCGAAAAAAAAAACGAGAAAGCTGATTAATCGGGGGCGGAATTTATGTGTGATAAATGGTTTCTTGTTGAAACATTTTCAGATTACACGTGATTAAAACACAGAGGTGCGAAAAATGTTGGAATTTTTTTGAAAAAAAAAACTTGGCTACAGTAATCCCCAACGGATAAGACATCCAATTAATTAGTCTAATGAAATGTATTTCAAACTACATTTTGGTCTGAAAAATATGAAAAACTAGGTACAAAACTCTGAACTTTTGAAAAAAACTTGTTTTTTTTCTTGGAATTTTTTTCGAAGGAGTATTGGGGTTTGATCAAATTGGAATGTTCTTGATTTCTGGACATGAAATTTTAAGGTTTCATTTTGAAAAATCAAACCTTAATTGGACCTGGCCAGAGTTTCAAATAAAGAATAAAAGGAAAAACGTTTCTCAGAAAGATTTTTGAAAAAAATGAAACTGATCGAAAATTGTTTTTCGGAATAACACGAAGACAATATTTTTTGTGCGTGTCTCACGGAATTTTATTTTTTTTTTACTCATTTTTTACTTTCATTCGAAGAAAATAGGAAGTAAGGTAAATTTATTGATTTTTCTTTGGTCTTGGCATTAAGATGGCAAGTTTCAGAGTCTATTTTTCAGAAAAATTCAAAAAATGAACTATATTTCTTACTGCAACACACAGTGTTTTCGAAAACCCAACAAAAAAACCAAACTGCTCCCAAAATATCACACTAACATTAAAATTTTGTATGTATTAGTAATATAACTTTGAAATCTTCTTTGATGACGATTCGAAATCCGATTTTCCGAAATCAAAATTAAGATGTCATGGTTCTGACTCCCGTAATTTTCTAAATACGGTAGCGGACTTTCAAAATGCCCCTGATGCTTCTGACTTTCACAGACATGTTCCAAGTTCAGCATCTTTCCACCAACCCAAGTTGCACTTTTCCAAAAAATTATCTCTTTTTTTCTCGGTCAAATATCTAATTGATAATGAATCACGGCTAAACTCTTTTCAAAACCGCTTCCTAATCCTTTCTCATTTTTTTTTCTTCGACTGTCCACTAATCTATCCCCCTATCAACCTCCCACCTCCACATAATTCCCTTTTTTTTCGATGATTCCATTTTGCTGCTCAATCTTCGTGTGAATCCGTCCTATTCATTATCATTGGGAGATAGGAGTGGAGATTAATTGAGGATTAAAAAAACATATTAAAACTTTTTGCAATTTCTTTTTCTCAGATTTCGACTGATCCTTTTGTCATTAAACACCAAAGTTTTCAGATGATTAATTTGTATTTGAAAAAAAATGAGCAAGGGGTTTTAGGATAAAATACTTTGAAATTTTTCGAAACTTGCCGGAAGGGAAACTAGAAAAATTGTTGATTTTGAAAAAAAAAATCTCGGAAGGCTTGAAATTCTGAAGTTTTGAGAAGTGTTTTTTGTTTTTCCAAAATACAAATTCGGGTTGTTTTTATATTTTCAAAAACCCGAAACCAAACAAATGTAAAATTTCAGTTTTGAACAAAACGCAACGTCAATTTTTTCATTTTTTAATTGTTTTTAAATTCCAGAAATTTCGGATCATGAAAATTTGAGATTTTGAGCATCCGGATCCAACTTCAGGAAGCAAAACGGAAATTTTTCCAAAAATCAAAAAAAATGTTTTGAACATACCAAATCGATTCTGCTGAACAACGCAGTCGACTCTGAATTTAAAAATCTTGTCTCTGAAATAAATTACAGTCCGATTTTTGAAAGTTATGGCAACTTTGCCACGTCATAACTATGTTTAGGATTGTTGGAGTGTTGTTTTTTTTTCTTGAGGTGATATCAAAGTTACAGAGAGTTTGCGATCTTGCCTTGTTAGAAGAAAGCAAGAAAATGTGTAAGAGAAAACTTGATAATCTCAAAAAAAAAATTGAAATTCTTCAAGAAATTCTCAGATCCCAATTTCTAACTCCATTGGTTCTCGGAATTCAAATTTTTTCAAAACTTTTTGAAATAAAAACTTTATTGACGACACTTTGAAAAAGATCACAATTGGAATTGTATAATGCGAAACGATGTGTGTGGGGGGAAAAGAAGGGGGGGGGTAGTTCAGAATAAAACAACAATAAAAATATAAAGTGAATATTCGAACAAAATTCCAGAGATAGTACAAGAAAAACAAAACAATCAAATATTTTGCTCATTCCATTCTTTGGACAAAAAAACATATATTCCTATAATACAGTATATTCACAGTCGGTTTTGGTCAGTTGTTCACTTTGAGCGATTAGATTAAAATTGAAAAGATTAGTATGACAGAGGAAATATTCTTTAAAAAAGTTGCCAGTTTGGCAAGACCTGTAAGTGAAAAACTATGTGTCTTTTCACAAAAAAAATGTTTAGTTAGGGAAATGAGTTGGACCCGTAAGACAGAGATAGAGGCAAATTAGGGTTTTTTGTTAGGGTTGTATCTACATTCGAATAGTAACTTCATCATCAGTCGATTCATTATAAACTTGATGAACTTGTGGATCTTGACGGTGTCCCGAACTTTCGGCTGTATCCGTATTTGTCATCACTGTATCCAAAGTTGTGTCCGTATCATTTGAAGACGTTTCCAAACCACTTGAACTTTCAGACGATGTATACGATCGATTCATGTTGAAAGACACCATATCAGGACTATCGAGATGGAATGAGGTGTGTCTGAAAAAAACACGATTTCTATTATTTTTGTAGCACTTGGGCGAGATAAAAAATGGATTTCTTTTTGTTTTTTTGAAAACTTTTTTTTCGAGTACATAGTGAAGGATAAGCTGCGATTTGTACATAGATTAGAAAAGGAACAAAAAACTACGGGGTAAGGGATTTTTAGTTTTATGTCGAGTGATTTTTGAAAAATTTTGGAAAGGGAGAGGGGCTTTTCCATTATGGATTCAGCATAATTTCAGAATTTCCTCAGAAGTTTCAACTTCCAAACTCACTCTTCATTTTCCAATAACTCATCCTCATCGTTCGAATTCACGCTATTATTCTGTGTTTCCTGATGTTCAACTTCTTGCGTATTTTGCGATCTTCTGAACAAATTTCGGAACCATCCACCAGTTCGAGCAACTCTCGGTTGAGCACCATGCGCCTGTTCAACGAATACTAAATCTTGATCAACAAGAGCTTCTCGAGAACTCCAGGTTTCTGCAGCTCGCGATGAAGATGGAGCTGGAAAGAAAAACAATATTTATAAAATCCTGCCAAAATTTTCTCCTACCGTTGGATGACGTGGCAGCATTTTGTCGTAAATCTTCGTTTGATCCAGCTTCACTATCAGAATCCGATCCAATTTTTCGTTTACAGAGTGGGCAAACTTTTCGGGTTTGTGTTAACCAAACATCAATACATTTACAATGAAAAACTGGAAAAAATGGAAATTGTTGCAACTCATTTTCAGATCAATCAATAATCTTACCATGTCTACATGGAAGATGACGCAGCTTTTCGCCAGCCGCAAAATCGTCAAGACAAATTGCACAAGTGTCCGGCTCATCACCAGCCCGATATTTTTTGACAGGAATTTTTTTGAGGTTCCGCTTCGAAAGTCGTCGCTTGTTCAGTTTCCGACGTTCGACACATCCTCGAATACACTGCAAAATTTCAGATTTTCCAGACTACATTCAAAGTTTTTGCAGATTTTGTTGAACTTTGCGGGGCTAATCTCATTAGTGTTCAAGAAAAAAAAAAAGATTTTTTCAGAAAAAAATAATTCAAAGAATACATAGACTAATTGCTAGTTTCAGTTTCGGAGACCAATATTTTAATCTTTTGAAAATCTTTGACCTATAACTTGGAAGTCTGGAAGTTTTGGGGATTTGTAATAAAATCTGTAAAAATTTCAGATTCTTAAAAATTATTCCAGATCAGTTCTAAAAAATTCTGAAATTCAGAAAATGTTCCCTCTTTGTTTAAAATAATTGTTTGTGTTTCTCTGAACATAAAACGTCACTAGAAAAAAAGTGTTCAAAATGTATGTTGCTGGGAAACCAGAAACAAATCTTTAGTTTCAAAATTTGATCTACAGAGAAAAATATCACAGATCTTTTTGAATCATCAGACTTCAGACAAATCCCAAGTCTTCTCATTTTTTCAAACTCAAACTCACCAAAGTGATCAAGAAAAGTGCAAAGCAAAAGAAGATGACAACAACAAACGGAATCAAATATCGAAAAAGTTCATAATATCCAGGATCGATTCGAATACGCAAGTAATACCTGGAACAAATCGGGTAAAACATTTTTGTTGATACTGTTTTCAATTTTTGGTATCCTAATCAAGTCACATACATGGGGGGCAAGAAACAAGAAAACTAGTTTCTCCTTCTTTTTTTTGTCGCGTCACGTCACATCCACTCACGAGTTTTGATAGCGGTGGATGTCAGGAGAAAAAATCGCGGAGAATACAATAAAAGAAAATACACCGACACAACTGTTTATGTTGTTGTTGTGTTTTTTTCTCGTTCTTCCCGTATGTTCGTCAGAAAAGGGCAATCATAAATAATTTTGGCAATTAAATTTGTTTTGGCCAGATTTAATTAGATGACATGATTTTTTTATCGGCTACTTTTGGGTTTTGTGTTTTTGGTGAAAGATTTTTGATAGTTTGAAAGAGAAAGTTCAAAATGTTAATACTATAAATCAAATTTTGAAAAAAAAATTCAGAGGATCTTTTTTCAAACACAAAAATTTCCGAATTTATCAGAACTTTGATAGAAAGTTCCAAAAAAATTATATATTTTTCGGAATAAATTTCTCGCAATGATCACTACTCACCCTTGACTATACGAGTACATTCGGCTAATATCTTCCATACAAGAATGAGTGATCATAATTAATGGCAACTTGATTCCTTTTGGTTCAGTTCCACGCATTTTCAACGGTTCTTCACCGCGATAATTATAGAAAATGACCATTGCAAATGGATACGTCGAATTTTGAATATTCCATGCTTGCATCGAAAAATTGCACGGATGTTTGATGTCACTTCGGGAAACGAGCGCAAATGGATTGTGGCACGGGATTCCAGCAAACTGCAACATTTTTGATATTTTTATGATCTTCCTCTGATATTTTTTTTTAGAAAAATCAAAGACCTCCCGACTTTTTTTTTGAAAAGAAAACATAATTTTGGCTAATTAGATTAGTTCTGGAACCAAAATTAGGGTGTGGTTCTGGAATTATTTCGGGAAATACTGTGCCTTGTGATTTCAATGGGACCAAAAGTCATTGGGAACCTTTAATTATTTGTTTTCACAAATTCAAAATTAGAATCTCCGATCGAAACCTCCAATTTTCTCTATAATTTTTAATCGCTCGGTCTACAGATTTTTTTTTTCTGTCGAACATTTCGTCATAATTTTTTTTTCAAAACCTGTTTTGTTTCAGAGAGGTCATCTGTCACGTCAGATATTTTATGAATCTCTATTTCTGGAAAATGTTGAGACTACCCTTGAAAAACTGAGCTTATCATATTATTTTCCTGAATAGGGTGTGGTTCAGGAAAACTGGAACTAGAAGTTACGATAAACTCTAATTTATGGTTTCTGTGATTTTCGTAAGGTCAAAGACGATCTGGAGCTATCCTATCTTCAAAGATCAAGCATCGAACTTCTAATCTTCCAAACACAGACATTTTTCTGATCTTCTGATTTTCCAAAACCTCCCAGAAAATGTCTTCCTGATCAGAATGACAAAAACGTTGGTAATTTTGAAAATTAGCCCCCAGCAGTGTTCTTCTGAAACTCATTTCTCATTTTTTTTCTCCTGTTGGTGGTCTGGTTCACAGGGGTTGATGACGTGGCAGTTTATGACTAGTCATAACCAAATTTTTTGTGATATGCATTTGTCATAGAGGTCAAAGACCATTTTTAAATCAAAAATTTACCGTGATTGGTTTACACGCGTCGTCTGGTGTTACCAAAACACCACATCCATGGTTCTGATCAGACATGATGAAATCGGTAACATCTCCTCCAAAATCAGCATCAGATGCCGCACATTTTTGTACAACTTCGTCGTCTCCAGGCTGATTTCGGTACTGCAAAATTCACAATTTTTTTATTGATTAGAACATTTCCGGTTTGTCAAATGATAACACCATGTTTTGTGACTTCCAGAAACTTTTGAAATAAGATAACTTACAACATCAACAATGTATTGTGAGTCGGTTTCTAGTATAGCAAATGATAGAAAATAATAAAATATTGATACCCGCGCCCATTTTGAACCTCGTTCCGTCATATATTTCCTGCAAAATGTGCTATTTTTGTTCTATCTTTACAAATAGCAAAATAAAAGTGGTTTGATAAGGTGATAACCATTAAAAAATAACAAAAAAATATATAATAAAAACAATATGAATAGTATTATTGATCAGAAGATAAGAAGAGAAAGGTCAACAAAGAGCAACAAAAAAAACGAATAAGACGAGAAAAAAAAACTTGCGTCGTATGAATGAACGAACAACATAAAAAACAACAGCGAAAGGGGTCAGCTGATGCGAGTAATTGCGCTCTATTGAACACTGCGTCGATACATGTTTTTTCTCGCCCACCCATCTTTTTCTCCCTTTTTCCTTGTCTCTCTCTTTTTTTTTCTTCGCGCGCCCATCTCTCTTTAGGCCTTGTTTCTTGGACCACACAGGAAGAGATAATCATAGGAAATTTTGAAATTGAAGGATAGAAAACTAAAAGGTAGTTTGTATTTGTAGTTTTAGAAAAATTAAAATAGAATCTGGGATAGAGAAATTTTATATTAACATAAAGAGAATGTACTCTAAGAATTCATAAATAGAGACTTTTCTTTAACAGAAAAATAATTGCATGAAAATATCGGTTTGAAAATTATAAAAGTTCAGACAGGCCTAATTTTCAAGATTGAAAATTTCAAAAAAAAAAACCTGTTATTTCAGCGAAGGACATCTATACTTTTAGAGTAAATGAAAATTATAGGAGGAGAATTTTTTCGGAAATTGAGAGGATATAATAATTACATGTGGTGAAAATTATAGGTGGTCTTTTTTGAAATTTGAAAAAAAAATGTTACAGTATTACATATTCACGAGACAATTTTTCGAAAAAAAAATCAGTGAAAATTATAGGGGATATTTTTTCAAACATTAAGAAAATGTTAAAATGAAATATTTTCTTATTCTTATTTTTCCTTAAAAAAACATCCACACTTTTTCGATGGAATTTCTCTTGAACCACCCTAAAAAAAGAATGAAAAACAAATATTTATTTGAACTGAAAACAACATGTTTTTTTTGTTGTTTTCAGTCTTGTTTGAAAAGAGGACATGCACACTTTTTGTGAATTGAATTTTTTTGAAAATCTCTGTTTTTTTTTGTGTATGGGTAGAAAAAAATCTGATTTGAACCAGGAAAAATTGAGAATTGAGAATGAGGAGAGCAAAAATGAGAGAAAAATGATTACACAAATTTTTTTGGACTCTTCGAGACCACCCAAGAATTGAATGAAGTGTTTTTGGAAAAAGGAGAGAGCACTCACACTTTTCGAATAAATATTTTAGAGAAAACATAATAGGGACCACCCAAGAAGTTTTATTCTGAAAAATCCACATTTTCAGAATGAAAATTCTCTCGTGTAGGAAATTTGAGATGTAAAAAAACGAAGAGATATTACACATGAACTTTTGAACCACCCAAAAAGAAAATTTTATTTTTTTTCAAACTGAAAATTTTGACTAGAAAAACACGTACATAATCTGTCGTGAGTCATGGGAACAAAAAAAGATTTACATTTATAAATAGGTTTTTTTTGGTTGGAACCAGGAAAAATCTTTTTTCATTTTTGGGAAAAGGGGGAGAACAAAAATTGATTACACGAAAAAATTGGCTGATAAGAAAAAACCAACTTTTGATTTTATAAGTAGCAATTTCATCATAAACCTAGACACATATAGAGCTAGAAGGTTTTGGTTTTGGAACAGAGTCAGAATGAAATGGCAAAAGGGCAACAAAGCAAAAGGGAGGAGTTCAAAAAGAATCTGACAAGAGATTGAAATCTCGCATCAGTTAGGTTCCACTTTTTTTTCGTTTTTTTCAGGTCTATCCAACCGCAAAAAATAAAATACTGGTTTTGTCGGAAAATGAAATATGAGAAAACGAGAGAAAACTGAAAAGTACATGAGCCAATTTGGGAATTTACATTACATAGAAATCAAAAAAGTGCAAGATTAGGGCATATGAGAAATCTGCTGGCGAACAAAATATCAAGTATCAATAAAAACGGCGAAAGGAGAATCAAAAAAAAAAAAAAATAAATAAAATAAAATCAACTTTCGATAAAGAACGTATTTTGAATGTTTGCTCGGTTGGAAGAAGAGCAAACGTTTCTGTCGGTTTTATTTTTTTGTGTTGTGTTGGTTGAAAAACGACAAGACAAAACGAGAAAAACAACGATGTATAAACGTGAGAATTCAAAAAATGCGCAATAATCCACTCTTTTTCCAAAAGGTTTTTTTATTGTGTTAATTGAAAAATCTTGCTCATCAGATTAGAAAATGAGCAATGGAGCATTGATTGTTTTTGGTGTTGGAATTGGAGGAAAATTTGAATATATATAATATATATGCTGTTTTTGCACTTATTAAAGATTAAAAATTGATATCTTGACATTTTCTCATATCCGACTAATTCTCATAATTTCCGGATTACTGTGGCTACAATTGAAAAAGCGTTTTAAAAGCTTTGAGATCACTATGAGTCAGTTAAAATCAGCAGAACCCTGATAAATCATCAAAAATCCAAAGCAAAAATATAAGTTCTGCATGAGACTTCAAAAAATATAATCAGCATCCTATTCAATACTGAGACCTCAAGATAAATCAACTGATAATGAGCAAATTTTTCTAGAAAAGTGCAATTTATAGTGGCTATTTTTGCGTATCACACAGCAGGAGATTTTCCTAGAATCAGAAATTGCACTTTTTTGAACTCGACATTATTCGAAATGCACTTTCAGAAATTCTATACTAGATAAGAAACTGAAAAAAATGGAAACTGATCAGAAAAATGAATCAAACTTCTAGAAAAGTGCGTTGTACTTTGATCAGAAATTCTGAGTTAGCAGGTGTTCCTTTGAAATTTATTACTAGGCTTGTAAAATTTTTTTTTTCAATGATGAAAATCGAAAAAAACGTTTTCCTCTGAGTCATGGAAGAATTTCAAAATCAAATATTTTATTTTTATCTTGAAAATTTTTTTTTACAAAACATCTAAAAATAAAATATCAAAGTCAAGAATTTTGAAAAAAAACTAACATGCTTCTGAAAACAAGGAACTTCTAGAAAAGTGGATTCTTGAGTTCTAAAATTGTAGTTATGTCTAGGTTATAAAGCAGCGGGAGATTTTTAGGAAATCGTGATAAATGACTAATTTGAGAAATGCACTTTTATTGCACTTTGAAAACAAGCTAATGAGGGTAGGATCTGAAAATTGTGTATGAAAAACAGCAGATTTCTATAACACTAGTACATCAAAAAAGCATCGAAAGCTGCAAACCCCAGACAAAAATAAAAAATACATGCAAACTCGTGAAAATCAGGTATCTGATACTTGATCATTTAACAACAATAATCTTAATGATTGAAAATTCCCAGAAACATCAAAGATTTTTCAGAAAAAAAAATAAAAAAATTCGAGTGCTTCTGTGAAACTACAAATTATACATACTTCAAAAGAGAACTCTGAGCAGCAAAAAATTCACACTTTTACCAAAAAAAAACCTTTTTAGCTAGTTCAAACTCACAAACTTTGTGTTATGCTCAACAAAATGTTGGCCTTTTTTATTTGCTTGCACCTTTACTAGAAAAAAAACGAAACATTTTCTGTTGTTGGAGAAAAAACAACAGAACGAAAACGTTTATTGAATTGTTGTTTGGAAAAAGAATAAAATAAAATAAAATTTCAATGTTTTGAGCCAAAACAAAATTATATGAACCAGCAAAAAATAAACAAATTTTCTTTCGCTTTTTTTCCAAAAAATGTATATGTTGGAAAGAAAGTTTCACTTCGAAAAATGGAAAAAAAAACAAACTAACAATCACGTGGAACACACTTGACAATGAAATAAAACTAGTTATCTCCTATTTTTGAATACATAGTAATAAAATAAGGAATCAACATGTTTGGTTGCTATTGGATATGTATATATTATAAATCATACATAATATTAACAAATTATATTTTTTTTCAGATTTGAAAAAAAAACGAGAGAAAAGTGATATGACAAAAAGACAAGACAAGAAAATCGATATGGCACTTGGCTAGGGGAAAATATAAAAAGAAAAAAAGAAAAAGATGTGTTCAAGATTATCTACCCGAGAGTTTTATTATATTTCACATGCACTTGCACCTGTCAATGGGTCGATTAGATCAATCTGATCAATTGCGAAATAGGAAAATTTGTTGCGAAGGTTTTGCACTTGAAACTCGATCTGAAAATATTTCGTTTTTTTTTCTCAAAATTTTTTGTTTCCCGGAAGACATAAAACTAGTTTTCTCTATTTTCAATAATTATTTTCAGTCACGGTGTTCTGAAAGTGAAGGATTGATATGTCCGAAGAGACAAGATACTTTGGAAAAAAAATAAACTGGTTTCAAATTTTCTGAAGTCAACAATGTTTATCAGATGAAGGTCATCAGGAAAAATAATATTATCTGAAAATTTTCAAGAGGGAAAGTGGGATTTTTTTGAAAATAAAACAAGATCTGTGAGAAAGGTTGTGCTCAATGTAGCTAATTTTGAAACCAATAAAAAATGATTGCTCATTTCATTTTTTAATGAGGATCTCATTGCTCACAGAAAAAAGGATTGCTCATATTAGAGAAAATTCTGCGGAAATGTTTTCTTCAAAAATCAAAATGTTATTTTTAATTTTTCTCCGAATTTTTCATGACTCACAGTTCCGTTGACAGACAGAAAAACACGCTTGCATAGCCAGCCACGAGAAAATTGATTGATTTTTGGCATTTCGTACAATCTGCAAAATGTTTTTCACAAATTTTTTGTCAAATCAAACCAAAACGTACATTATACGTTCTTTGGAACTTTCTTCAACTTCAACAACTTTGAACCTTGTTCCAAGACTAGCGGAAAAATAGCAAAATTGAAGTCCATAAGTTCTTGGAATTTGAAGTTTTCCTAAACTCAATGTTGCATCTCCTGGGCCCTTCACATAACCAAAGCTTCCTTCTGCAACAGAAAAATCATGAGAAAAGGCTTTTTCAAAAGTGCAGATTTGTCAGATGTCAATCTTTGTGTTCGCACTTTTAAGCCGGATCAAAAATATTTGACTAACATACCCAAAAGTTCAGAAATTCCAGAAGATTTGGGGCCAATAATTTCATCCGAAATCTCCCATTTTTTCGACAATTTTCCCGTGCAATCTCCAATATCAAAATCACAATACATTGCTCGACACACTTTTTCTGTGACGTTGATTGGTTTCTCAAAATGCGGAACTGGAAAAGGGGAGAAAATTATAGCATATTAATTTCAGCAAAAAAAATGATCTCTGTGAGCGCTTGGATGAGATATGTTATTGTGTAAATAAAAACTTCCTGGGTGGTCTTTGAAGTCATTTGAATTAGGTTATTATTCATCCAGGAAAATTCCTATCTAGTTTTTTTGTACAAAAACTTCTTGGGTGGTCTAAAATCTTCGGTGCAAATATTCAACGAACATTTTGCCTTCGTGGGTGGTCTACATTTTTTTGTAGCTAATCAAAATTAATTCATTTTCCCATTTGAAAAATCGTCTTAACAGATGTTTCTATTAGAAACGTATACTTCTTGGGTGGTCTTTTCATAAAATATCTCCCTTGGTGGTCTACTCACTCATCTGACAATTATAAATCGACGTCGAATTGTATGAGATGTCATCAATGGCAGCTGCTCCGCCTTGAACTCCAAAAAGCATCCAAACTGAATGAATACGCCTCAATAACAATCTGAAATAACCCTTGATTGTTAATTTATTTTTCATTTCTTTTCTTTTTTTTTTGGTTTTTTATCCCTCCATGATTTTTTTTCTGTTATTCTCTTTCTTTGTCTTGAAAATGTTAAATTCATGAATTTTTAAACTCCGAAAGTCTGCATTTCATGCTTTTCTGAAACTACGTGTGAAATGCGCAGAAAAAATTCGTCATTAGAGAATAATTTAGTAGTTTGAACTTGTTTTTTCCTAGATGTTATTATATATTATTCCCATTTCTGCAGAAATAATTTTTTAATGAATTTTGAAGAACCCAAATAGTTGCTTTTTTGGTCTCGCTCTTTGAATGAATTAATAAAAAGATCATTCGCTTCAAAAAATATGAGAAAAATTGCATTTCCTACCTCAAACATGTTTAGAAGACTTCCCGGAATCTGAACATTTGCCAATTTTGTGCTGTTCCTTTTTACTGGCTCTGAACACCAGTTATATCTCTTTCCCATTGATGGAAATCTGGAATTTTTTTTTGACCAAAAAACCATTCTCAAGTTACATTTCCACTTGATTTTCTAGCTTGAGTCTCAAGAGGTACTCTAGAGTTTCTGTAACTTGATTACCTGGTACATACGCGTATTTTAACGCCCGGAGAAGTCCAGAATTTGAACTTGAGGACTCCATCTCCTTCCTGACATTGAATTGGATCGCTGACTAACATTGCCGAATACATTTCTGGTAATTTTGTTTGAATTCCAACGAAGAGGTAGAAGCCATCTGTAAGTTCAAAAAATCAGTTTTTTTGAAAACAGCTGAAAATTTTGGAAATGTCATGTCATGTCTAGCAGGTTCAGAGCACATAGTTGGAATTTTTGTGATATCAGATCAGATTTGAAAATCAAAACCAGGAAGTTTTATTTTTCTTGAAACTTATGAAGAACTTCCTATGAGTTTTTTTTCGTTTCAGTTCTTTAAATTTGGTTCAGAGATCTTGAATTTTGTTAAATGTATTTTTAATTGAGAAATATGACAGCTCACTTCAAAATTGCAATGATTTTGGTCAAAACAAAACGCTTGACTGATTTCTTTTCGAGTTTCAGAAACAATTTTTTGAATTTTGAGTTGAATAAATCTAACAATTTATATGTATTATTTCCATAGTTTTGACCAGAAATCATTTTTTTTCTGATTTCTGAAAACCAATGTGTTATTTACTACAAATTTCCAAGATTTGTGTTATTCAGTTTTGTACCTGATCCTGTGTAACTCAAATTGTCAGAAATCTTTTTCTAAAAATATAATATTATCTGGAACTAATTCAATAAAATAGTTATTTTTCTCACATTTTTAGATTCCTTGTTCGGATGAATAATTTTCTCATGTACGTAGTATGTAAAACTTTTTTTTCGTGAATTTTTAAATTGAAAATCATACGTTAGAATTGATTTAATTTCTCTATAGATTCACAAAATATATGTTTTCTAGTAGTTTTCAACACGCTCATCACGATTTCGTCGTCTTAAATTGCAGAACTCAACTCTTAACATGAGTTATGAGGTGTCAAATTTTGAAAATTTCGGGATTTTTGGAGCTGAAAACTATCTTCAAAGATGATTTTCTTGAAAATTATTTTAAAGATAGTTTCCAAAATCTCGAAATTTTCAAATTTTGACAGTCATGTTAGGAGTTGAGTTCTGCAATTTTAGATGACTAAAATCATATATTTTTTAAATCTAGAAAACAGTTTCCTTGTAAGAATTAATTCAAAAATCCCACCTGGTCGATCAGTTTTCATGAAAACATCATCTCCCGGTTTTCCCCAAGCGCCTCTCATACGAATCCAATCCAATTCATCGTGCACTCCATCACACCCATTTTTCTCATTATGCCATCTGCAAAAACCACCTTGCTGATTTATTTTTGAATGGAAATTTTCACCTGCATGGTTTCGTGAAAAATGAATCGAAATCATAGCATTCTAGATCGCATTGATACTGAACTACAACGTTTCCAATAGCTGAGCCCTCTTTGTAAAATGGGAATAAAATATCGATGTCCGCATGTCCACCCAGGAATTCTACAAATCACAAAATTGTGTTTTCTATCTTGGTGGTCTTGAAAGGTTTTTGTGTTTTTTTTTCTGGAAATTTTTCCACTTTATTGCACAAGGTTGTTTTTGTTGTTAGTTTTTCATCCAAATCTATGCTCTTAAGAAAATATTTGACTTTATTTTTACAAAAATTTTCGGCGTTCGTGCGTTCTCTAAACGTTTAGCTTGCTGCAATATTCGTCAGGTGAAAATTTCTTTTCAGAAATGAAAATGCAAAATGTTCTCCTGAAATCAAGAAAATCAAATTTTCAGAGTGATCTTACAAAATTCCAGAAAAACCTCATGGTTCTTGATATCTATTTTCGAGGTTTCACAGATTTCTGAATTTGTAAGTCTTCATTTTCATCAGTTGATTTCGAAAAAAAAAACAGAAAATACCTTTAATTTTTGTCATGAACTTTACGAAATTATAGTTTTTGAAATCACCTGATTCCTGACAATTCCAAAGTAATTCCATACCCCCTTTATTTTTATCATCAATGTTTTTTTTTTCTTCTAAAAACGTCAGATTATTCTGTTGATGTCTACATAGCCTATGAAACCCCATATTTTCGAACAAAAACAAAAACATGAATAATCGAAGAACACTTCACATTTCTAGTCTTTTCCATAATTTCAAATCAAAATCTGATGTTTGAAAAAAATGAGAACTTGAAATTTTGCGTACATAATTGAGTTTAGTAGATTAGTCATTTTGTTCTATGATCGGAGAAAAATGGGAATCTGTTATTATCTAGAGTAGTATTTTGTATTGTTTCCTGAAAATGATTCATACATAGTTTTGAAATATTTCTATGGGATTTTTTCCCTTCTCGACATCTGAGTCAAAACTGTTTTTTCACTCTAGATTTTTTTTAAAAATTCTGAAATTTAAGACTACGAAATATATTTTTTCTAGTAGTTTTCACCCCTCTGATCACGATTTCGTAGTCTTAAATTTCAAAAATTCAACTCCTAACAAAAAATTCATCAATTATTTTTTTTGAAATTCTGGTAATTGGACACGTCATAACTCATGTCAGGAGATGTGTTTCAGCGGCTCAAAAACTACTAGAAGTTGAAACACTTCCATTTTTTGAACTCAAGCCCCAATCCCTAATTTTTATCATGTTGAAAAATTCACAAAAAAAAACAAAATTTCGAAATCATCATGATCATGAACTTTCCAAAAATCTTATTTATTTTTCATTGTTCTTTTCCAGCGTAGGAAGAAAGAACAATACGAAATTTGAGAAGCTCGAAAATTTGAGAACGTGCTGAAATATTATTGTTGTTGTTACTTTTTTTTGTAAGATTCTTTTCTTATTTCTTCCTTACATCATCTTTTTTGTTCATTTTTTTTCTAAATCTGTTTTTACCAAAACATCTATGATTAGGAACAATGAGTCAGAAAACAATCTGACATAAACCTACTTCTCATTTTCACTAAATCCTGACTGAACATGGCTGCATCTATAAATTGGCTTACTGGACATTTTTGAGCTGAAGAAAAATATGATTTCATTTGTTATTTTTTCATGTTAACACTACTAACCTGTGATTATTTGAGCTAGAAAATTTAGAAAAATAATAACAAAAAAGTACATCTTAAGAAATAACTGTGTGAAAAAATACTTATTTATTTAGTTTTCATCCAGTGTGTGAATATTTTCATTTTCAAAAACAGTTTTTCAAGGTTATTATTCTTCCAGAAGACAAACTAGTTGTATTACTAATCTATATCTATTTGTACATATGTGAAGAAATCCAGGAACAAAGAAAAATTTATTTATTTTTTCCTTTTTTCAAGTAAATAGGATTTGATACTCATCTACAGAACTGACCAAATGTTAATCCAAAATGCCGCCCACAAAAAAATTCATTTCTGAAAAATTATATATAATTTTTGCTACAGTAGGACAATTTTTCATAATTCAAAAAAGTCAGAAATCAGTTTGAATCATTTAATGACAGGGGGTTGATAAGACCTTATATTTAAATGAGTATACCTGAACTATTCTTGTTCATTTGCTCAATCTCAGCCGAGTTTCGCAAACTCATTGTTTTTGAAAATTATCGCTGATATTTTGGAAAGATTAAATTACGTATTTAGTTCTGGATATTGTTTGAATATTTACGGATTATATGACAAACTAGAAAAATTTTTCGACGCATTTTGAAAAATAATTTTGGATTTTGGTGACAAGAAAATTATTTTGAACTAGAACTTATCCAAGTTTTCAAGTTGAACATAAATTTTTTTTGTGACTCAAAACCTTCCTGTGAAAAAACGTTCAATTTTTTCTGGAATTCATTTTATGTGAGGGAATTAGCTTGAATATTGTTTTGGAGCACAAAAAATTTCCAAAAACAAAACCCCGCCCCATAGTCCATAACCTAAACAATGTGTATTTCATTTTTTCTGTTCACACTTTCACTTTCATTCTCGCTCCTTTTTGCTCCTCCTCGTCGCCATTATTTCATTCAAAAATACATTCTTGTGTTGTTATTCCGCCACCCCACCAATATTCATTTTTGCTCCCTTGTTTTCTTGTTGTTGTTTATACGTACGTTCATGTTCATGTCCACATTACTCATTTTTCCATAGGTACATACAACAAACAACGATGAGATATTCGATTACTATTGTTGTTTTGGTGTTGGTTATTTCGATTGGTGCGGCGCCGTTTGAAGATGACAAAAACATGAATCCAATCATGCGTCATTTCGCGAAACAGAGTCGTTTGACCAATCCGGTTACACATGCGTATACTTCTGGGTTAGTGGAAACTTTTGGAAAAAATTCTAAAATTAAAATTTTGCAGCTCTCGAACTGGTGAAGCCGGTTATCGTAACTGTTATTTGTCGCCGATCCAATGCAATCTTCCAGTTTTACGTGAACAAAATGCCGGTTCGATGCGATTGGAGAATAATGATATGAGACGTTTTCGAAGAATGTTTGTTTTTTGATTATGCATCAAATAGTGTCATTTTTATTGTTTAATAAAACTTAAACAAGGTTTACATACATGAATGAAAATGAAAATTGTAGAAATTAGATAGGCCTTCTGTATCGCTCATCCATATCGACGTTTTGCGACATTGCTAGTAGGCTGAGAACAGAATGCTCGAGTTTTCGAGCATCGTAAACGCAACCGGCGAGTTGCTCGATGCGTGATTCGAGATCTTGCATGCGACGTTTCCAGCGATGGTTCTGAAAAAATGTTTGGAGCAGGATTTTCAGAGAAATGCCAAAACTACAATGTGTTTTATGAATCGGATTTCTATAGATGTTTTTTTACTCACATTCAATATGTATTCACATTGGAGAATTAATCCTAATAGGATCAAAAGTAAATTTTGCTCATTTTTCGATAAACTATAGAATAGTTTGACATTTGTGGAAGTATAGATGTGATTACGAACATTTTCAATAACAAAATGTTTTCAGTTTACGTGTGCGATAATGAAAGTTCTCTGACAATAAACAATATTTCAGAATTCAATCTTTGAATTTTCCAAGATATTTTTGAAAATTAATCTTTTTCAAAAAGATTAAAAACTATTTTTGCTCATTCTCGGATTTTTATTAATAATTTTCAAAGTTTCAAATTTCTGTAGGAAAAACTTGTGCCTAACTTATTCATTCCAAAAATGTTTCTGATTTGTTTTTTCACCTGATTTTCTACGAACCTAAAAATTTTGTGAAATTTTCGGAACTTCTGACAAAAACAAAGATGATCACAAGCTGAAAATGTTCCAACTCTAGTTTTGTTTTGTTTTGATTTCTCAGAATTCGCAGATTATGTACGTTTTTCGTAAATTTTTGTTGTTTATGAACACATGCCTAATTATGAATAATATTACTTTTCTAGAAACTTTTTTTTTGCAAACAAAAACATATTGCAGAAAAATTTACCTGGGATGTAACTTCATGATTCTGTTTTTCAATAACATTCAATTTCTCCTGGACTTTTGCGTGATTTTTCTTGATTTGCACTTCTTTGGAACGAAGTTCGGTGATGCAATCTTGCAGCTAGAAAAAATTAGAAGTTTGGAATTTCATATCAAGAAAAAATCAATACAAACTTTTTTGATAGCCTCTTCTTGTTTCACATTCGAATCTCTCAAATGCTCAATTTGTTGTTTGGAAATTTTCAACGCTGAAGAATATTTCGAACTCTCATCGCTGATTCGATCTCGTTGCTCATTCAATTGAACGCACTGGAAAATTTGAAAATTTGTGGACTCAACGAAAAAAGTATACCGTAGCTTTGAGATTCCATATTTCTTCCTCTAGTAGACCGGTATCTTCACGGTGATTGGATTTCAATTTTTGGATTCGATCTTCGTGCGAATCTTGGAGCTTTTTGAAGTCTTCTTTGGATTGAAGGTTCAGGATTTCAAGTTCGGAGATGGTTTTTTTGGCCTGGAAAAAATATTCAAGATTATGACGCTTGAAAAAAGCTAAAAAAAAAATGCCTTTTCACTTACATTTCCCAGCTCCAAAATCAATTTAGAAATCTGTTTTTTCAAAGTTCCTTCTGTCACATGAAAATTTTCAATAGTATCTTCACTTTTCTGTTTGAATTCTCTATGAAGACCTTTGATCTCCTCATTTTTTTCATCCATTTGTCTCAATGATTTTCGAATCTGATCTTCAATCATTTTTTCGTATTTTGTCTTCTGTGCCAAATTCTCCTCATTGTATACTGCTTCCAGATTATGAATAGTCAATTTTTTAATCTCTTCAGATTGATGGAATTCGCTTTCGATCTTCTGAACAATAAGCTTGTTAGAGGAACAGAATAAATATGTGTATACATAAATAGATTAGTGAAAAATTGAGTGAAAGCAAAAAAAATAAAATAAAATTCAGGGTTCAAAAAAAATTAACATACTCTAACTTTTTCTGCATAATTTTTGATAATTTCATCAAACTTATTCTTGATTTGGGCTAACTCTTCTTCTTTGTTTTTAGTGTAAAGTTTCACAAATTTTTCTGATGATTCTCGAATCATATTTCTCTCCGAATCAATATCTCGAAGCAATGATTTCTAGAAAAAGGAAACTGCGATTTTCTATAAAACTAGAAGCTTACCAAATTCACAATTCCATCAAAACTACACAAAATAAGGTCCAAAGGATTGTCTATCTCTTTCTCAATTTTTTCTACGAGTTTGAGTCGACCAACTGATCCATTATCATAGCCAATCATCAATTCATCATCAAATGTTCGAAGCTGAAACAGTCTATCAAAAAAAACAGGAGGGCAAGAAAATTAGTACCGAAGTTATGCGAAGTCCACGAATGACAGATTTCACAACTATAGGTTCATCTAAAGCCGAAGATGCAGAGCATAATAATTCTCCACCATTTGATGAGATGAAAACAAAATTGTCGTTTCCTGAAAAAATTGAATATTTTTGGAATTTCTCCAACTCTACCTTCGATGATTTCTGAAGTGATAGAAAATCCAATATCCGACGCATGCATATTCACATTCGATAAATCTTTTCCATGTTTGATTCTGGTCACAATAAATTTCTGATTCAATAACAAAAGCGTTGAACCCGAGAATATCATTGATTGGAAAAAATGAAGTTTATAATCAACATTCCACAAAGTTTTTCCAGTTGATAAATCAGTACAATAAACATGATCATTATTTGTTAGAAATAACAAATATCCATTATCTTTTGAAAATGTCATTTGCTTGATGTCCTTTTTCACTGTGATTGTTTCAGAAATGACGATTCTATGAGTGTCAGTTCGAAAAACTATGAGACCAACTTGATCAAGAACTGCCATCATAGACATGTCATAGGAATCTACAGCCTGAAAATCTAAAGATATTTTTTTCTAAACGTAGCCTACATACCATAACAATATTTTTCTCCAAAATAGTTTCAGTTGATATCAATCCATCTAGAGTTATCGTAACTTTTTCAACCCAATTCTTCGTCACAATAACAATTTTATTGAGATGTTTAGGAATGGTAAAAGCAAACGCTCCATCGATTTTTGAGGTGCATAACACACGATTCGTCAATTTCGAAATGACAATAAAAAATCCTGATTCATCCAAAGTTACAGTTATCGCATCGGTAGATCTGATCCCAATTATTTTATGACAATGTCGAACAGTTACGATATCTCCATTTATGGAATTTATTTTGGTTAAAAATCTGATTGGAATTGACATTAGTGTTCTTCCATCATCATAGAGTAAATATTCATCAGCAAAATCAAATGATAAACAATGATATTTTTTTATGTTGAAGTCAGACATCTGTGAATTAAAAAAAAAATCAAAACTTTCATCTTTTCAAAAAAAAAATCTCACAATAATAACTCTACAGGAATCCCAAACCGGTCCACTTTCTGAAGCCGAATCAAAAACACATACAATCCCCGATGATAATAAACACGCAAATTTTCTTGGTGTATTTCGCAGACAGGATATTTGAAAATCACCGAGATTTGTCAAGACTCTGCAATAAAATTTTAAATTTTATTAGAAATAATTTTTTTGAAATTTTACTCTTCAGAAAATTTTTTGATATCGATAGTTTCGAGAAGAATAGTTTCGCGATACACATTGAGATATCCTGATTTTGTTCCGAACATAATATTGACATCGTTAGACCAGTCATGACAGGTTGCATCCGGAAGCTGGAAAATATTTTGATTTAGGGAGAGGAGAGGTTTTTGATTGAATGTGATTTGTTTAGGCTTCAAAATTGGTATTCTTACCTTTATCAAGTTTCTCCAAATTTTGAATTTTTTTAAATATACAGTTTTTTGGCTTAAAAATACTCCTATTAGGTTGATTCAATACTTTTTTCTAGATAATAAAAATTTTGAAAAAAAAGAAAAAAAATTAGGTGGCGAGGGGGATCGAACTTTGGCTTTTCGTACGATCTGCATCCATGCATACCACTCGGCCAAGTAGTTTTTATTTCCGCTGGTCAAAATGTTGAATATAAAATGCGTTTTGAAAAAACTGGATAGTTATTAAGCCCCGCCCACTCGCATGCAAAAAGTAGAGACGCGCGCTGCCTGTTAGTTGTCGGCGCGCGCAAATGAATAAGAGGAGACGGTTGGTCTCAATTGTTGATTACTCACCAACATGTAAATAAAAAAAAATAAAGAGACATGAAGTGAATACAAGAGGGGTTTTGTATTACACTAATCTATTTTGTTACTGTTTAACGGTGGCAAATAGATTATTGTAGTACGAAAATCTTCTTGTATTCATGAAAATAGGGGGAAACCTAACAAAATTTTTTTTTGAAATTTGAAAAAAAAATGTCTTTGAAAACTACAACTACAAGATCTGAAAATTTCCTGATTTTCGAAATATTTAACTAGAAGGAAATGGAACTTTCAAACGTTTGTAAACCCAAATTTTTTTGAACTAACCTGAATAGTCGAAAAATTTTCAATATATCCACCACTGGCTCTCAATAAATATGCAACTCCTCCGCCATACGCACATAAAACCCCTTCATCAGCCGGACAAAACGATATTTCCCAATTCTTCGATGTTTTTTCGGTCATTATATTTCCAGTACAGTTATTTATACCATCTTTGACATCGAAGGTTTGAAGATGAATACGTTCTTCAAGTATGGCGAGGCATGCAATTATCTCGGCTCCTTGAGAAATGCACAATTCCACTGGCAAATACTGCGTTCCAAAAGCATAACTCTCTTCTTCCAATCCACATGCTGGAGTATAAACAACAATTTTTGAATTATTTTCTTCTTCAACAGCTACCGCAAAAATTGAAAAATCATTTGAAACAGTTATAGCAGTTGCTCTACCAAGAATTGGTAATATTAACACTTTCGGACTCTCTAAACCCATTTCAATCACCCGAATCTGACCATTTTCAAGAATGAGCACATTTTTGCCAGATGTGAAAAGAGCTCTTTCGAAACCGCTCACACTTATCACCTCATTTTGTGCGAGCAAACTGGTCATATTGTTTAGAGTTTATGAAAAGTTCGGGAGTTTTTCGCGCAACGTTTTTAAACCAATTTGGATCGTAGTGTTTGAGTTTGGCTGCGAGATCGGTTTTGAAAAAGTTTTTTGATTCTTCTTTGTCACTTTCGTCGCTGTTTTGTTCTTTGGTGGAAGAATTTGTGGCTGGCTGGAATGAAACATTTTTTTTTGAATAACACTGGGCCGGAAAATTTCGGATTTAAAACACCAGAAAGTCTAGAAAATTTTTTGAAGTCTTCAAATTTTAAATTTCAGCACAGAATCACACTTGGCGAGAGAGTGTCCAAAAATTTTTGTGCAGTGTGAAAATTTTTTCAGAATAAAAATTGTGCAGTGAAATGAAAAAAATTTTGAAAATTTTTATTAGCTTCCCGCCCGAATCGAAATTTTGGTTTGGGCGGGAATTTTTACTTGAAAAGTTTTGTACAATATCCTTTTTGGACACGTCTCGTCAGGCGTTTGGAAAATCCCTAGTTTTTCTATTTTTCAATTAAAATTCCAAGGATTCATTACAATTTTAATTTAAAGTTCAACAAAACAAAAGCTTCGCAGATTTAATTTTGAAAACAATTCTAATGCTCAAAATATTTACCTTTCTTTGCTGACTGCTGTCTCTCTTCTGTTGCGTCACAACTTTTCCAAATCTTTTCTTGAGTGATAAATTTGGTTCAGATCTCGATGGCGCCAAACTACTCATAATCCTCCACCAAATTGTTCATCAATGAATTTTGCGCAAATATCGGAAATGTGTGTGTATGTATGTATAAAAATTTTGAAAATGTGTGACACCCTTCATTTTTTTCCCCCATTTCCAGTTGACTAATCATTGTTTCCTGTTCTTGTGTGGTTTGTGAGTTGGTTTATTAGCAAATGTGGAAAAATATGCGGGCGTTGGGAAGACGGAAGGTCATTTTACTATTGCAAAAATATTCAGTGGGCTGAAATTGTGTATAAACATCGTAACTTGGAAAAAAAACTATTTCAAAAGTGAAAGATTATTATCAATTTTCAGGAGCATGTTTTTCAAAATGCAAGAAATGTTTGAAATAAAATCCCTCTACAAATTTCGTCTCAAAATATTTTTGCCATTGAAAATGTTATCTGATTTAGGGAAAATTGAGCTTTCCCAAAAAAAATGACGTTGAATTCATTCACTTTTTCGGGTTCAAACTATAAACATTTGATTTTCAATTGTTCAAGGAAAATTAAAAAGGAATTTGATAAAAAATTATGAATTTTTTAAAAATTAAAGTGTTTTGCGGTACAAAGTTCCAAAGAGCTTGTTGAACTTTTTCAGAAAATGAAAAAAATTTGCAAATTTTTGTAAATTCTGATTTTCAATAAGAAAAATAATCAAATTGAATTCATTTTTCTAATATTTTTCATCAGGTAATTCAATTTAAAAAATTCATTTCCATTTCTAAAAAAAACAAATTCAAAATTTTTAAAAGCATTCAAACCCAATTCCAACTCCTCGAATTTCTTTCATTTTCCGAGCTCTTTAGCTTGCTCCACCCATTTTCCAAGATAAATGAGCTTTCATCTGGTTTCCATTTATATTTTTTCTCATAAATCGGCTTCTCCTCATAATCTCCTCTCCATTTTTGGCTCCAGAAAAAAAGGAGAAAAGAAATCTTGGAAAGAAGACTCGGTTCTTTCTTTTTTCCCACCCATCGATTCCAAGTTTTTTCCAAAGGCTTTTCCCCCATTTTTCTTCTTTTTCTCCTTCTATTTTTTCTCGTTCGTTGAGTATATGCTTGCCATACATACATACATCTTTGCGCACATACTTTTTTCCGCTGCTTTTTTTTTGCTTCTTCGATTTTCCCCTCGTTTTTAGCGTTTAACGAAACGAGCAAAAAATACGAGAAAAAAGACATTTTATTCCGAAATTTTATTAGACTTGTCTTCGTTTTCCGTCAGTTTTTCATTTTTTTTCACAATTTTTTTTGTTGTAGCGGAATGGATAACGTTCGAGCTTATGGAGCGGGATTAGCCAATACGAATTTTGATAAAAATACGTTTTTCAAAAAACCTACTGTTTTATTTAGATGTGGAGCATTGGTATGTTGGTTGGAAAAATAGTGGGAATTTCAGGGGATCAGAATTTTCAGGAGGAAATTAACTTGAAATTTATAGAATCGAAAAATGTCTACAAAAGAAATATTTACATTAGAAAAAAAATTATCTTAAAATTTTTATTGAAATTGGAAGTTCAGATTTTTGAAAAAAAATTGCGCCAGTGAAGAAATTTTTAAGGAAGAATTTTTGAGCTTAAAAATTTCGGAATCCTCTGATTTTTTTCCAACTCTAGTTTCCCAGTTAAAAGGATTAGAAGAGGATTAAATTATTGAGAACACACAATTCCCCGAAAAAAAATCATTTTTTTTTTCAGATCTTCGGTCTTTTGGTCTGGTATGCTGTTTCAAAAGGTGGATGGCACAAACCAAGTGATACTATTCATCCGGTATTTTTCTCCTGATTCTGAATAAATCCCTGTGTAATTTCACTGAATTTTTCCGCAGATCTGTTTGTATGGTCGTAGTTCATCAACATGTTCATTCGCAACAGCAACCGGATTTTTCGCAGTTTGCGGCGCTGCTTTGCTCATTTTCCTTGACGCCAAACTCGACACAATTAGCTCAATTCCAACGCGTAGGCGAGCTGTCATGACTGATCTTTCTGTTTCAGGTTGGTTTGAATGCGAGAAAAAAAAGTTTAGTAGACTGATGAAATATTCATGAGTCTACTTTTGCGAAGTACTTTTTCAAACGTTTTTAGAATACTGAACTTGAGATTTTTAATTATAATTTGAAGAAGAAGAACGAGAAAATTCTACTCAAAATAAATAATTTTGTTCTCACTATGATAATTTTTCAGAAACAAAAATAAAAAAAAATATTTCAAAAAATATCAAATCTCATATTTTTCCAGCAATTTTTACTGGTATCTTCCTAATCGCTTTCCTAACGTTCTGGAGTAAACTCTCCTCCTTCGAAGTCGGTGAAGATGACGAGAACCCGATCAATACCAACTACTCAAAGATTGGTGTTCTTGGAGCACTTCTCTCATTTTTGTCGTGGGTTAGTTCTTTTTGTCATATTCCATTAATATTTTATACATAGTGCAAGAAATTTGATACGTTTTTTTTTGTTGTGAGGAAAAGAAAAATGAATAGAATTTTTGAAGGGTGGTGCTGCATTTTTTGCTTGGCGTCGTTATGAAGAGGGAAATCAAGCATCACACGAGCCAAATTATGAGGAACAATTTGGAACGGTTTCAAGCGATGTTCAAGATGGTTATGGTTATGGTGGAGATTCTGGCGGTTAGATTTTCGCTAAAAAAATTAATTAATTAAAAAGGAGGGGAAATCCTTGCTTGTCTAACATAACATCACATTAAATCGAGAAAAACCACCTGCTAAAATGTTCAGTTAATTATAGGGGAACATATATTGGATGTTTATTGGTTTGGGAAATAAAATACGAGAGAAAAAGAGGGAGTCTTCTAATTTTGTTAGGGTTTTACGAGAAGGATTTTTTCAGAAATAGGAAGACAAAAGTTTGGGGAAAAACTTTGCTTTGAAAAAATTTTAGAAAAATATTTGGAAATTGAAAATTATTTTCAAAAGAAATTCTAAAAATATAGATTTTTGTGAAAAATACTAGATGAACCTTGAAATAATTTTTTAGAAAGTGTGGTTTCCAAAGTCATGACCTAAACAGTTTCATCTTATGATCTTACAAAAATAAATCACGTTCTCTGACCTTCATAACCCAAACCAAGTAAAAGTTGCCCTTTCACTTCATCATTCTGAAAACCCTTTTGATGAAACCAATTATCATCAATTGTTCGTTCAAAACAATTATTTCGAAACCGGAAATGATGAATTCATGAATTCATGAAAAAAATAAATTTTCCCCCAACAATCATAGATCAAAAAACCCAGGAAGTATTTTTCTAGGAATCGGAAGTGTACCTGGGCAAGTTTCATCATATCAAGCTGGCGGTCCACCAATGCAACCTCCACAACACCAACAACAACAACCACCACCAAATCAATATGTTCAATCAGAAGGTTATGGATATTAAGAGAAATATTCTGTAGTTGAAGCAAATTTAATATTTATTTTTTCAAATGTATTCTAAGTCATTCCCCGATCCCCAAAAACTTTCCAGATGCAATAATTATGGACCATTTAATTTCTATTAGATTCTATATATAGATACTAGGTGTTTACATATGATTGAAATCAAATATAATAATAATAATAAATTGTCGATGACTCCGCCTACTGAAAAAAACACTTAAAATAACAGTATCATAAGAAGAAAGGAAGGAAAACGAAAAATGAGATTGATTTTATTGACAACAATTTTTTCGATCTCGTGTTGTAATGCCCTTTTGTTCGGACTCATCGGCACAGAACAAGTGAGTTGATTGGGAGAAGTTTTTCGAATTTTAAAAAGTTTCAGAGTGCTGCTGTTAGTGGGAAATTGACTTGTAATGGGGAGCCTGCTGCGCATGTACGTGTGAAATTATATGAAAAAGAAGCTAGTGAGTTGAAATTTTTAATTTCAAAAAAAAACATCATAAACTGTTCTAGCTCTCGATGTTTTGTTGGATGAAGGAGTTACTGATGAAAATGGCGAGTTCAAACTTCAGGGACACAAAGTTGAAGTCTCCACTATTGATCCAAAATTGAATATTTATCATAAATGCAATTACAACGGAATCTGCTATCGAAAATCGTCACTAACAATCCCGGATAATTTTGTAACCGAAGGTGCAGTGCCACAAAAAACCTTCAATGTTGGAATCATCAATTTGGCTAACAAATTCAGTGGTGACTCAACTGATTGTCTCAATTAACTTGATCTTCTTCTTCTTATTTTTTTTGTCTCTTGGTTTCAGTTCGCTAAACCGATTTTTCCCAAATATATAAATCATTTATTTTTCTAAAAAAAAGTATTTTCCGTTGAAGAGAAATGTTACAGTCTTTGTTGTTTTTTGATTCACTTCATTTCATTTCACTTAAAATTTCAAGGGTGTGACCATGAAATTTTCTTTCTTTTTTCTCTCGTCTCATCGGACAACAGGTTGAAAATATAAAAAATAAAAAAGTAGCAGTAACATACATTTAAAAAAAAAACATTTCAGAATGTTGACACGTGTCGCAGTGATTTTTTCGATTTTTGTCATTTCGACAATCGCAATAACAATTGAATTGGGAACTGTTCAGTCGATTGCTGTTACTGGGATTTTGATGTGCAATGATAAACCGGCGAATAATGTGAAAGTCAAGTTGTATGAAGAGGAAGCTGGTATGTTAGGGAAATTTTAGTATTTGAAAAAAAATTATGATCCATGTGAACACCAAAAGCTTTCAAAATAAATCTGAAAATTTTTAGAATCTTGAAATCAAAGACTTCTGAAACCACAATTTCTTTAATTCTATGAATTCCGGTTTTGGCTAAATTATTTTGAGAAGTTTTTTTAAAGAATTTTTCTGATTTTTAGAATCTGAAAAAATTTTTAAAAATAAACAATTGTAAAAAATAGTGGACAAGATTCTAGGGAACATCTTGAATTTTAACTTTCATATTTTTTATTTCTAAAAATTCAACATTCAATTTTTTTTTCAAAATTTTAATTTTAATTCGTCATAGCTCCCTATTGAGAAATATTTCCTCAAATTCTTGATCATTCCATAATATCATGTGCTCCGAAAATTACGAAATTTTACTCATTCATGAATAATACCTTTCTGATTTTCATGAATAGCGGAAATTAAAAGAAAAAATTTCTCAAATTTTCTTTCCAAAAATGTAAATTTGGAAAGTGCAAGCTTCGCCACTTCAGAAAAAAACTCAAGATTTTTCCAGTTCTCGATGTTCTGTTAGATGAACGTTTTACAAGTGAGAATGGAACTTTCGAAATGTCCGGATCAAAATCTGAAGTCTCAACAATCGATCCAAAAGTCAATATTTATCATAAATGCAATTATGATGGAGTAAGTCTCCTTTTCATTTCACAGAAAAAAATTGTATCAAAAAACATTTGTAGTTTTGCGTGCGTAAATTATCGATCGAAGTGCCAGCAGAATTCGTAACAAATGGCGAGAAACCATCACGAGTTTTTGACATCGGACAAATTAATTTGGCCTCCAAATTTTCCGGCCAATCTACTGATTGTTTTAATTGAAAAAAACAACATTGTTTATATTTTTTTTTTAGTATTTGCTCTCACTTTGAATAAAATATGATAATTTTTTATTATTTTGATAGAAAAAGAAAACAATTTTTATCAGTGCTTCAAGAAAGTTCTATGCTTCTCAATTGGAAAAACAAAAAATATTTGATTTTATATTTTTTTGCGGACTCTTTTCTGTGTAACTGTACTTTTTCAGCACTTTTTATCTTTAGAAATACGCATTTTCCACACACGCATTGCAAGATCAAATTGAAAGGTGAAAGTGAGAAAAAAATCGCTGTTGAATATTTTAAAATCAAATATATGTACAAAAAATACATATTTTTGATCTCTCTCTTCCAATTGTCGCATCTTGTGTTGTGAAAAAGAAAAAGTACACGTGAGCGTCATGTGATGTGTTAGTGCACGCGTCAAAACTCTCTGCATTATTTCACTCTCTCATCTCCTTTTTGTCTTTTCACTCTCTCATTTTTTGCCGCACCTCTTTGTTTCTCTAACCGCGTTTGCGCACTCTCCTCGTTTTTCTTGATATATTGTGGTCGGTGCGTTTTTTTTCGTGTTGTGTCTCATTATTATTCTTATAATTGAGCATTTGATGATAATTGTTTTTAATATGGCCACCATGATTTATTTGTATGGGTGGTAGTTTTTCCTTTTTTTTTTCTTTCGTTGAAGTTCTCATTCTGAGATTCAGATTTTTCCAAAATCCAAAATTATTACAGTAATTCAACCCCACACATCCATGGACTTCAATATATTTTTTGTCAATAAAGGTCATAGTATACCCATATCACTGAATGTAGATAAAACAACAGTTAGCCAACTTCAATCGTTTATTGGAAGAGAAGTCAATTTGAAACCCACAGAACAGGTAAGTTTTTGAAGGTGAAAATTGCTTGGAGATTGTGGAAGCTTTTGAAAAACACCTCTTTTGACTTTTCAAAGTTGTTCCAGAACTAACTTTCTTCAGAACTAGAATTTCTAGGCTCGGCTACTTGAATTAGGGTTTCTAGACTTTGATTTTAGAACCTAGTCGAATTTTTTGCCTTGAAGTCATATTTTTTTATCTCTTTTTTTTGCAAAGAAAATTTCCAAATCGATTTTTCTTAAAAAAACAACACAAAAAAATTTGCAGATTCTCCTTACTGGTAAAGGAAATACGCTTGATCCCAACAAACTACTAAACACTTATAAAGATTTGGGAAGTTCCGGATGTCCAGTGTTTCTTTTTCGCAAATCGGGTCACGATCGGGATGAGCCAACACAAAGTGAGATCAATTATATCTTCAATCAGATCAAGGATTGTTTAGATCAGGCATGTTTAAGGAAATCAAAAAATCAATAATTATTTTTATAATTTTAGGGTAGTTATGTAATTCAACATGATGATCCTTCTCGAATTTATCTCGAGTTATCAGAACGAGTAAATGATTGTAAAAAGTTATCAACATCAACTTTGCACACTTGCGCAAGACTCGTTCAAGAGCATCAATTTTTATATCAAGGTTGGACGGCATTGATTCACAATCTTGATGACTCTGTGGCAAAAATCAATAAAAGATTGGAGAAATTCCAAAAACTATCGGAAAAAGTTGGCGAGATGAACAGTCGCGCTTCGGATTTGTTGCAAAACTTTAACGGAGTTTTGGAACAGCTGAAGAGAATTGAGATTCCGTTGGATATAATGACTAAAAATGCGTCGTGTCTGAATTTGGCGCAAGCGGCCACTGTTTCTGCGCATCCTGTGAAAATGACACTTTTTGATTGGATTTCGAAAGCGGATCCGGATTCAACGCTTGATGAAATGCTTGAAGGTGTTGAGGAGCAGATTGCAAAGGTGATTTGAATTTCTGCATCAAGGATTCGAAATTTTCTCCTCTAAATCGCAATCTCAAAAATTTGCAGGTCAAAGATTACGATACAAAAACTGTGGTAGCTGCTCTTAACTCAGTCATCGATCAATCCAAAAATCCAGAATATCGAGACATCAAAGGAATCAACAAACGATTCTCACAACTAGAATATAGTCTGGTGAAATGCGAAGGTTTGTTGATGGGGGGATTTTGATTCTGTATCAAAATGTCGTGTTTTTCAGAGTTCAACAAAGCGATTTGTGAACTAGTGGCAAGAATTGTGGAGACTCCAAAAAGTATGGATAAAACGAAATTACCGGTATGTGAAATGATTTGAAAAATCTGCAAAAAAATCAATAATTTCAGATTGTTGTTGATGAGCATAAACGAGTGTTCCGTGAAATAATCGAAGTTTTCGAGAGACTTCGTGGAGCTGCAGCTGTTTTTGATCAATCAAAACAAGAATTGATCAAAAATGTGCGCACGCGACTTGCTGGATTCATTGTGCAATCATATGACAAACTGAATTTTGCACATCTTGATATCATCAAACAAGAAGAGCAGACCAAAGTGTTACGATTCCGTTTGGATTTGATTGAACAAATCAAGGAGAGTCCAATTGTATTTTCACAATCTGTATCAGAAGTTATTCGACGGGGATTGTTCAAAGCAGAATTGGAAGCTTGGCATAACGAGCATTCTGAAAAATGTGTCGAATTGACGACGGAAGAGAAAAATATGAGGAAAAGAATCGAGCGGAAATTAGAAAAGCATTTCTTGCGAACACTGTTTCCTGGAATGTTTGATGATATTCCTCAATTTTTCGTCAAATCTCCATTAGCAAATTATGATGAGCGAATTCCAAAAATCCAAAAAGAATACATCAGCTCGCTTCGTCAATCACTTCCCGAACTGGAAAAACATTTGAAAGTGAAGTTGCCGGAAATTTCGGTGAAACTGATGCCAAAAGATGCGAGACCTCATCCACCATTGGGGCAAACGAGAAGAGATGAGAGTTTTATCACCAAGGAGCCAATGAGTATGGGCGTTTCGCATTATGCGTATTCACCGGCACAGTGGTTGAGGTAAGATTATGGAGCTGGATTATTGAAATTTTATATTTTGTGTAGAGAATCTCTGAAAAATAAATAGAACCCAAACATCCTCCCTTTTCAGCGAAGACGGCGGCGACTCCGATTCACCACCAGTTACTTCAGCAATGTTGATGGCAAGATCTCCAGATGCAATGATGAGAGAGTCACAAATGAAGCCAGTTCCCATTGTTCCATCTTTGGCCCAACTCGATATCATGGTATGTTTTCTCTTCGACATATAAAACTTTATAAATCTCTCCGTTTCAGAACAGCGCTCCATGTACATCTGTAGCTCGTAGCGCGCCGATCGCTATCCCATCATCTTCCTTGGGAAATCACAGCAATCGTACAATTTCACCGAATTCGTCTCCACCAATGGAACAAGCTCTAGATATTGATCAATTTCATGATCCACAAGGTGATGAACAACAATTTGCTGTTGATGATTTGAAGAATTCCAATGATTCAACAACATCGAGAATTGAAGCATTGACGCCAATCAAAAATGAGGTTGCAGCTGTTGCCAAAGTGAGTGTTTCATAGAATTTCTGATCATTTTTATTGTTTTTTTTAGGGTTTGCTGGACATTCGTGCTGAAATCATAAATAGTTCGGATAAATTCGAAGAAGAGTTCAAACAAGTCAATGAATTTTTGTTGTCTCGGATTCCGGTTGAATTGAAAAAAGTTGATGAAAAGCATAAAATGGAGATTGAACTTTTGATGGGAAATATATCAAAACTGACTGAGGAATTGGCGAATTTGAGAGAGGAAAATGAAAAAAGCAAAGAGAGTCTGAATCTTTTCCATCAACAGAAAGAGGAAGAATCTACGAAAGAAAGTGAGAAGATTGAGAAGTTGGAGACAAGGATTGTTGAATTGGAGAGCGAGGTGAAATCGATTGAGACAGATACAATTAAAAAATTAACAGTTGAATACGAATTAATGATTGATCGAACAAGATCTGATTATGAGGATCAAATTAGTCAGAAAGATATGGATATATTGGAATTGAAAAAGGAACTGGAGAAAAAGCAGGCTGAAATTGATAAGCAGAAGCAAGAATTGCTGCAATCTGAAAGTTTTGATGATCCATACACAGAAGAATATCGAAAAAAGGTGACTTCGGAAATAAGATCGGAACTCGAGAAGGAATTCAAATCGAGAACTGAAATTATCGCCAAAGCCAACGAGCAAAAGAAAAATGAAAGTCTCGCAAGAGCCAAGAAAGAGCAAGAAGTTGAATTCAAGATTCTCTCCCAGGAAAATGAATCGAAAGCCAAGAAATTGGTTATTCTTGCAAATGAACGGGATAAACTTCGAATGATTATTCTGAAAAGTGCAGTTGATGGTGAACAACTTCTCAAAGAATTGGATGATTCATTAGATGAGATTGTTCCACGAGAAACTTTACCCAATATTTCATTGAGTCGCTCTCCACTAATGACACAAACGTGAGTTCGAACTACCTTTTTCGAGGTATAAATATGATCATATTTTTCCAGATCTCTACCTGAAATGGATGAAAGTGTTATGATAATGAATTCAAACATGAATCAATCGCAAATGATGATGAGTACAGCTATTTTACCATCACCACAATCGGATCAAGAATTGGATGTTGTTCAAATTTTTGCGGAATCTGATGGAAAAGTTTCGACATCAACACAAACCAAAATCTGCTTGCCATCTATGAATATGATGGTGACAATTCAAGACATCAAACAGGGTAGTACAGTGCTTGTGATCTGGGATGAACGACATAAAGCGTATATTCTATTCTGGTAAGGATCTTATTTCTGATCTCAATTCAATATTTTTTTTTGTTGCAGCTCGAGCCAGTACCGCCACTTTGTAAAAGAATCATCCGTCAGAAAACTTGGCCTAATTCTCCCGGCTGATTCAACTGCTCCAAGAAGAAATTGGATTCTTGGAAAAAGTATGAAAATTGATAATTGTGCCATCAAAAAACCAGTCAATAGGTTAGTGAGACTCTCAAACCGAAATTTTTAAAAACATCTCCCTTTTCCAGATACAATTTACCGGTTGGAACAATTGTTCGACGTGTTGAAGTCGATCCGGTTGGCATGGATTTGGAACCAGACATTCACAATCAAATGGTCGAAACTCATTGAGTTTCCCCGAACTTCCCTATAGTTTTACTGCTAGATGTTTCTAGAGAATTGATAGTTTTGTACATTTCACGTTTTTTTTGTATTGTGAATATGCTATGTTTTGCAGCTACTTCGAATGTCATCATTGACGGGGTTTTCATTTTTTTTTTCTCTGAAATTTATTGTCACGTTTACACGTTTTACAGGCATTTTTTCTGTTTTTCTTTCTTATCATAAAATTGTTTGGACAAAATAACGCGTTATTTATTTGAAAATTATGGAAAATTCTTTCATTTTTTCGAAAATAATATAGTTTATAAATTTTCAAACCCGAACTTCTTTGAAGTTTTTTTTTTTCCAAAAGGAAAAAAACACAAAAAATAGCTTATCTATGAACAGAGCCTTGGCCTAGAAATTACTCGTCGGTCTTTTTGAAAAGTTCCGAAGGTTAATTTAGATTTCATGATGCGATATGTTTATTATAAATTTCGGAAATCATGACAGAAATCATTTTTCTTCCAACGTACAATGTGAAATATTTTTTGACCAATCTTTTGCACCGGCGGGAAAAAATCTCATTCAAATATTTTCTCTCTTTCTTTTCCCTCTCTCTCTCTCTCTCTCTCTTTTTTTGCTGATCAATTCAAAACATGATAGGGCACATGGCCATTTCTTTGTGTGTTTTCTTGGTTTTTTAGGCCACGCGGGGGGTTAGGGTGCATTTTATTTTATTTTATTTTATTGATCGGCGCTTTCTTCTTGAGAACTCACGTTTTCTCAATTCTCAATTGTCTCTCATAACATGTGTAAGACACCATTCAATTCAGAATTCCATGCACCAAAGTTTTCAGCTCCCAGAACTTATTCTAACTCTTTTTAGCCTCCAAACAGGACCAATTTTGGTGCATATATGTATAAAATGGAATTCTGAATCGAATCACACATGTTATGAGAGGCAATTTTAAAAACGTTCAGTTTCAATTTTGGAAAAGAAATTTATTTTTAGTTTCAAACTACACACAAACAAATTCAAAAATTCTCGATCTTTCGAACTTTTTCTTTACAAAGCTCAATAACCTCGATCACTTTTTGATATCATTGAATTGTCAGCATTTTTCTCCTCTCTCTCGAATTCTTTGATCTCTTCGTTTTTGTCATCATTTTATTTGCTCTTCATTTTTTCCATTATATAAATATATACGTGTTTTATTATTTAATGATAGTATTTCATTTTATCATAAAAACTTTTTTTTCATCCAAAAACATCATTTCAAATATTTTTTTGCAGAACAATAATGGTTGCTGTCCCACAAATCACCCTCTCCAATGGTGTTTCGATGCCAGCCGTTGGTCTCGGAACTTGGCAATCTACACCAGAAGAGGTCAAGAAGGCTGTGCGAGTTGCTCTCGAATCCGGATATCGATTGATTGATACCGCTGCCATTTATCAAAACGAGGAAGCTATCGGAGAAGCTGTCGAACAAGCGATTGCTGATGGAATTGTCACTCGTGAACAACTCTTCATCACTACCAAAGCGTGGACCCATGAATTTGCTCCAGGAAAACTTGAGGCGGCCCTTCGTGAATCTTTGAGAAAATTGAAAACCACCTATGTTGATTTGTATTTGGCTCATATGCCAACTGCCACTGCTGTAAGTTTTTGAAATGGATCTAAAAAATGTTAACCTTCACTTCACATAATATATTTTTTTCAGCAAGATGGATCTGCTCTCGACGTCACTGTTGAACAAGTTTGGCAAGAATTCGAGCATGTCTACAATCTTGGTCTCGCCAAAGCTGTCGGTGTTTCAAACTGGAATAACGATCAAATTGCTCGTGTTTTGAAGAGTGGAAAGGTTGCAGTTCACAATTCTCAAGTTGAACTTCATTTGTACTTTGCTCAACACGATCATCATGATTTCTGCAAAGCCAACAACATCTCAGTGACATCGTATGCCACTTTGGGATCTCCAGGACGTGTTCACTTCAAATTGCCAACCGGACAGTGAGTTGAAAGGATTCAGTCTCCATATGATCATTTTTTAACAATAAACTTTGCAGAAAAGTTGAATGGGCTCCAGCCGCTTCTGATCTCGAAGATTCAAATGTTGTTGCCATCGCCGAAAAACATCACAAAACTCCAGCTCAAGTTCTATTGAGATACGCTTTGGATCGTGGAATCGCCATCATTCCAAAATCAATCACTCCATCAAGAATTGTTGAAAACTTCCAACTCTTCGACTTCCAATTGACTCAAGACGAAATTGCGCTTTTGGAAAGCCACAAAGTCAATCAACGTCTTTTCTTGCAAGAATTGTAAGTCATTTTCAGCAGAGATTTAGGTTTTATTTTCATTTTTCTCATTTTCAGCATGGCTGGACACAAAGAGGATGCGTTCCCAAGTGAAAGATAATTTTTTTGCATCGTTCCACATTTGTTTTTTTCTACGTATTTTTGACTAGTGCTTTATTTGACACATGAACTTATTTATTTTCATTTTCATTTTGAAACAAACATCACTTCCTCAAATTAATTAATGTTTTTTTGAGGAAAAAGTTAATGCCATTAAAAAAACTATAAATTTCTTTCCGTCAGAAAAAAGTAATTACTCTTTTTTTTCCAAAAAAAAATATATATATTGTTTCTGAAAGTTTCCAGAAAACTATTTTTTAGTGGCAACTCGGTGAATCAATTTTTTATAGCGGGAAAAACAACAAACACTTTTTTCATTGAATTTTGTTTTTTTTTTTCAGAACACTGACTGGTTTCATTTTATTTTGATGTGTGTATTTTTTGAGAACAAAATGTTATACGATTTCAGATGTTCGATTTTTCGGATTTAGTCTAATTTCAGAATTTCTCAGGGGGTTCCTTGCCAAACTTTCCTAGAAAAATATTTCATAGATTATCGGATTTCTTTTAAAAAAATTGTCTAGATTATTGCAATCAAAATGAAATTTCAATTATCAATTGTTTTTCAATTTCATTACCGATTTTCAAAGTGTTTTTTGAGCTGGATGATAAATTAATCCATTATTTTTCAAATTTTCACGGACCACAAAAACAAAGTGGTTTTGGATTAGGATTGTAGTTTTATTATTAGATTGATCAGTTGAATAAATTGAATTTCAAGTTCCTGGTTTTTTTTTTGCGAATTTGAAAAACCATTGGTTTTCATTTTCAAACACGGTATTGTGTTTTTAAAAAATTCATGATATTTGATTCTCTATCCACAAAAATCTCCGACTTATCCTAAATCTCCTTTTCACGATCATTTTAATAAAATCCACCAAATTATAGCCTAAAGAGCAGTTCCTTGAAAAAAGAGGAAGAAAAATAGCCCAAAATTAATTATTTTGCTATCCGTTGAACTTTCGAAAATCTTCGCAATTTCCCCTTTTATATCGAAAATAGAAGAATAAGTCCATGGTTTTTTTTGATTTCAAAATTGAATTTTTGAAAATGTAATTGGGCTTGTTTTAATTTGCAAACACCAAAAATCTTGGAAAGAAAATCATTTATGTTTTTTCTTAAATAATTCTTGTTCTGCTTACTCTTCACTTGAATTGCAGCACATAACAATAAATAATTTCATTACCAAACTACTTGTATTCCTAAACATTTTTGATAACAAATACTTGAACTCAAGATTTTCTGCAGCTGGAAAAATAAGATTTTTCCGCTATAAAATGTACATTTTCATACATTTTAAAAAAGTTTTGTTGTTTTTTCCCAGGCAAAAAAATCTCAGTGTTGGCATGCCAATAGCACTAGTAGAAACGCGCGTGCGCGAAAAAAAAAAATGATAATTATTATTGTGTATTTTTTTTTCTCGTTGTCTGTTTGAAAATATTATTTACATATGTATTATAATTATGTGGCCCCTCGAAAATGGATATTTTTGTTGTTTTTATTGGTTTTTTCTGCTTTGCTCTAACATTAAATTTTATTTATATATATATCTATATATAATATATTAATATAAAATAGAACGGAGTGGGATGGCAAAATGAATTTTTTTTTGTTTTTTTTTCTAGGTGGCCCTGGCCCTTGAGATTGTTGCCCTTTGTTGATTGTTGAATGACAGGAAGTGAGGAAAGCCAAATAAATATCCAATATGTTTTTTTTTGTCTGAGTGAGTGAGTATTTGCTTGTTTCTCTCTTGTTTTTCATTTTTGATTTCAATAATTAATTAACTTTTCTTTCATTTTTTCTGCTCTTCATTCTTCTCTGAAATTTCATTCATGGTTTTTTACTCAAGACTAGACAGTACTTGTGGGACTTAAAATTCATGTTTTTTTTCTAATTTTAGAGTGGGGTTCACAGGATTATAGCGTATTTTGAAAAAAATATTCTGAATTCTCAAATGTTAAGAATTTTTTGCTTCAAGAAATCTGGAGATCAAAATAAATCACATTTAAAAATTATATATTTCTCTGTTTTTTAGAAAGTTTTGCAAGGTTTTCTTTTGAATTCTCTATTATTCATGTTTTTCTTGAAACCATATTCAATATTCTCTAGTTTTAAAATTTTCTCCAAAAATGTATGACTAACCAAAATGTATTTTGAATCCCAGCTGATTTTTTTTCTCAACAAAGTTTAAACTTTGAAACTCAAATAAATACCACGAGATAATTTTTCACAAACAAGATTTTTATTTTAATTTTTTTTTCAAACAAATTCTAGTCGAACATCTGATTTTCCAGAATTTCAATTTTCATTTTCTCACGTAATTGTAATGATATTTTTTTAGAAATCAAATGATGTTTCAACTTAGATTAGATCACAAAAATTTATGAATTTTCTAGGAACAAAATCACAAGATATTTTCTGATTTCTTGAAAAATACAAAAAACTGAAAAATAATACCAAAAAACTAATTTTTTTGTATTTGAAATACAATTCCCCACAAAATCTCAACCAGAAATTTAGATTTTTCTTTTAATTTCAACTTATGAAATACAGGGTGGCCGTTAATTACCCGCACAAATGCAATCTGGTCCCAAGTTTGAACAGTAAATGTAGATATGATTTCTGGTTTCAAAAATTATTCCCACATATTGTGTTCATCTTTTTAACATAGAATCTTGTCATATAATTCAGTCTAAGCGTAGCTGGAACATCGGGAATGAATTTCAGAACTTCGCATCAGGCACGCTGCTTTTATTGAAATGAATGAGCTTTCTATACCCATAGATAGTTTCAAATTATATGTTTCCGGTTCAGAATTTTAGGATAAACCCTAGATGTGCTTGATCCTTGACGGAAATGATTCACAAAATTTCTGGAACAAGAATAACCCACAGTAAAGCGAAACCCTCAAAACGGATTTTTCAACTCAAAAACTCAATTTTTATCATTTATCATGTTCACCATCGTGGTGTGAGATAAATCCGTGGTATTTTTGGTGTTAAATGTCACTAGTAGGCTTGGTTTGGCTATACGGATCTCACATGTCCCACACTTTGTAACATTTTCGATTTTAGCCGAGTTTTATAAAATTTCTATCAAAAAACGGTCAATTTTAAAAACACGATCAGAAATGATCTCAATAATTTTTCAGAGGGTCTAATCTCGCTAAATTTCTTTTTTAATACCCAAAAAACATCATTAAATTCTGCTATGATTCTAAAAGTACCGAAATTGTTTCAAATCTATCACGCGAAGTATGAAAATCACTCGAAAAAAAAGTAGCGTGCAAAAAATCTTGTTTTTGCGTTTCATACTGTCACGAACAACCGCTCTAACTTGGCTCAAACATGAAGAATCACTACGAGACTTCGATTATTTACTTTAAAATAGGTAAAACTAAATAATTATGAATACGGTAACAAGTTTGGGACGTTTTGAAAAGAATCTAAGCTGATTCAACAAAAATTTGGCTTGTGCGGGTAATTAACGGCCACCCTGTATTCATTTTTTCAGAACATTAATTTTTCAGTTTGAAAAATGATCTTAAAATTTCGAATTTCTCATAACTCAACATATTTTTGAAGCCATATTTTGATTTTGTATCACAACTACATTTTTTTGATGATTCCTAGAAGAAAATAACTACAAACGTCTATTTTTAAGATTATTTCTTGTATAAAAACCAAAAACTCATTAATTTGATCTCCCCAACTTCAAAAAAAACCCGATTTCCCGTTTCCCAGACAAGAAAAAACAAGAGAATGATCTTATTTTCTTCATGGGTGGTCTTTTGATTTCTTCTCAACTCACATTCGAAAACAACACAACATTTTTTTTCCAAAACTTCAATTATCATCACATTTTTCATTTCCTGCTAACTTGAAAGTTCATGAATATTAGTTTCGTCACAAGATTTTTGTTTTTCTTTTCAAGTTTACTGATAATTCTATTATACTTACAAGAATTCAAAAGTAAGTGTTTTCCACTTTAAAGCAGAAAATAACAATATTTTTGGGAAATCGGATAAGTTCTCACGCCTTTTTTGCACAAAACAGAAAAATTATTATTTTTGCTTAAGAAAGTTATTATTGTTATCATCATCGATCTGTGTTTTTGAATAAAAAAAACCTTTTTGTCTCTTTACTGAAGAAATCACAGATCTTTTCATTTCTGATTTGGTCTTGCTGGTAATTCCAAATCACTTCCCATTTTCTGAAAATAGATTTGTCTAATTTTCCAGAAAAAAATCCCATAAGGTCAAATCTATAATAAAATTATTTCTCTTTCATCGTTTTGTACCCTGCCCTTTAATGAAATTATTTTTTGGGTTAATAGAATTCTATATGTTTTGATCGAAAATTTTATTTTTTGACAAAGTTCTTGGCAAAACTTTGGACTTGTCAAAGTTGTGTCTATTAAAAAATGTATTATTTTTCACATATTCTGAAAAATATTTGTTTTTATTTCAATTTCTCTGTGTTTTTTTTTCAAATGAAGAAAAAACAAGAAGAAAAATGAAAACAGGAAATGTTTGACTCCTTAAAGTTCATCTGAATTTTGGTTCTGTGTTTGATTTTGTTGAACGTAGTTTTTTGGAAATTGAAATAGAGATGTAGGAAAATAAGAATTACTTGGTGAATTTCCAGAAAATTCGGATTCTCCTACTTTGAATTCTTTCGAGATTTTTTGAGTTGAAATTCTGAATTCTGTTTTTTTTTATTATTTCTACAAAATTTGTATTTTTGAGGATTTTCATTTTCATAATCCTCTGTTCCAGAAGGTTTAGAAATATACTCCAAATTTCCAGTTTTTTTAATATTTTCCCAAAACTTTATTTGTCTATTTCCAGTTTTATTTAGACAAAAAGAAAATACCAAAATAAGGGTCCAATTTTTTTTCATTTGAAATGTGATATCAAGAATATTTTGTTCAAAATGAAAAAAAAATAGTTGATTCCTAGAATAGCATTTTTTCTTTTCACTTGTTTGTAATTGTTATTGTCTAGAGCAACGTTTCTCGATTAAAGAAATGTCAGAAATCATGTTTTTTTCGTGGGTTACTTGTCTGATTCATTGACAAATTGTATTGTAGATGTACTTTGTCAGTGCCCACGTCAAACATTAATTTATTCTTCGCCTAAAACACGCATGTTCGCAACAAAAAAGAATAATGATGAAATAGGATAGTTCGTCTCACAAGAAAACTGAAACTTTTTTGCGTCTATTTTTTTCTTTTCCGTTTTTTCTTCGCTTATAAAAGTCTAGTATTTTTCTTGATTCATCATTTGAAGTTTTACATATGTATATTTTACATATATGCTAATTATTTTTTCTCGACTCTATGACTAATTGTGTGATTTTTGAATTTCTTGTTGCATTTAATTGTACGTACGTATATTTTTGAAACCCATAATTTCGGAGATAATTAGGCTAACATTTGTAAGTGCATATTTAAAGGCGCAGACAAGACATCAGGTTTGATAAGCACCTGCAATACGCACTTTTTGTTTTTTTTTCTTTGAGTTGTGTATTTCCGATGAGAAAAACTGACATATGTAAATAAATATCTCTCATCACATTCATTTGAAATTTCGATTTGATAAACAACAAGTTCAAAGTGATGTGAGTTGAAGGTTTAATTAGGAAAACCAAAATTAGGAAAATCAAAAAATAGAAAAGGATATTCTAGTGAAAAGAGGGTATGAAGTCCTTTGGGATTTTTTCTATTTTTGTTATCTATGAGATTTTTTGGATTGATTTTGATTGAGAAAAAGTATACTTTTATGAGAATCTAGAATTTTTGAACCTGAGAGACCAAAAAGTTTTTATGAAATTGTTCATTTCAAAACTGAATGAGATTGATGAATGAGTGTTTTCTGAGTTTTCACACTTTTCCGTTGTTGGTAATTAGTTATATCTCTAAGAACCTGTTATTTCAGAACTATAAATGAACATTTTCAATACAGTAATCCAAAATTTAATATTATTCATCGAGAAATGTGTTTTTAGATATACAAAATACAATTTACCTGCACATTTTTTTTCAAAAATTCAAATGAGCAGAGATTTTTCAACCAATTGTAATTTATTTCAAGAGATTCTGTGAAACTCTTACATTTTTAAAAATAAATCTGAATGAGCGTTCTCTGAAATGCTCCAACTTTCCTAACACAAAAATGGTGATTTCCAAGACATCGTGCTATATTTTTTTTCTGAAAATAATTCCGGATCTCTTTTTCACCTGTTTCTGTTTTGGTTCTATGCGCGCTCAAAATAACACGGGAACATTTTCTCGCTGTTTTTTGTTTGACTTTTTGACAATCGACTTTTATTTCTGAAAATTTATTCAAACGGGAAGTTGAAATTGTTTTTTTTCGAGATTACTGTGTTTCAGCGACATTTTGAGCTTCATAATTTTCTTTATTCCTCTGCGTTGATCTTTGATCTCATTCATTTTTTTCCCGAAGACATAGGCTACATTATTCGATTTCATTTTATCTCAAAAAAATCTCCTGGGCTATAATTTACTAACCCTCAAATTTTCAATCGTCACAATTTGAATATAGTTAGCAATTATGCATCAAATCATTTTTTTTCTCTCGATCTGAAATCTGAAATTGAATTTCAAAATCCGACCCTGAAAAACAAAGCTCAACCTTCTAACAAATCTAGAAAAGTAATACTGAAAATCAGAGCTGCTTTGAATTTTGAAATAAAAAGATAACCAGATTCTAACTTTTCAGTTTTAATGTTAACCCAAAACCTTCAAGCTTTCATGTCTATCAGATTTTTTTTCTAATATTTCGATTCATAGAAAAACGTCATTGTCAGAAACATTTGTACTTCCTTGGACCAAAAACTAAACTGTCTCAAATAATTATTCAAAATTCTTTTTTTTTATATATTCACACATAATCATATAATATAAATTCGTCATGTATTAAAAGATCACTTTTTACTTACTTACTCACACGCTTAGTTTTTTCGTAGTGTAGTTTTTTTGTTGGTTTTATTGTGGTTACAACGAATAACAAAACAAGAATATTGGTTACAAACAAATCAATCTCAAAAATATTTGCTCTCTAATTTGTATTTGAATTATTCAGGTTCTTACTGTAACCCAAGATGGTATAAAACCAGAATAAAAACAACCAATCTTCGGTTTTTCTAGTCGAGTTCAATCTTCATATAAAAAAACTCTATTGAAAATAATTGCTTTATAAATATGTGGAAGCGGAAACCGAAATTGTTGTACATAGATTTTTGCTCTATATTTTTCTTTTTTGCTTTTTTCTTGGCTTGCACTTGAGACCACCAAAAGTCTAAAAAGGAACACTTGAATTCTTGGAACTCCGTTCAGAAGTCCAAAACTTCTTTTTTTTCTTTCCTATCAAAAACATTCGGATACATTTTTTTGACATTTTTTTCGATAAAAAATGAAATGAATTTCAAAATATCCCACATAATTTTGCAAAAGTATTTCCTTTTCTTTTTCTCATGTAGAATTTTTAATTTGAAAATTTATAAATGATTTTTTGAAAAAGAAAAGTTCCCACATTATTTTTTCCATGTAAAAAACAAACAATCAAATTGGTTTTCTGCTATTTTTTCGGGGGAGGGAGAAAAAAACAAATCAAGTTATGATAATTCCAGTGAGATCATGTGAATTTTTTCGGTTTTTTTGTGTTGAGTTGAGCAAAAATGGCTCATTAGTAAACTCAAGGAGGTTTTTTGAAAAAAAATGAGCAAGTAATTTTTGGAGCAAAAATTTTGTCTGCAAATTTTTTTTCCAAACTTCTTCAGACATTGAAATTCTTAGAACCTTGAAAAAATAAGTGTTTGCCATATAAATATGCTAATTTTGACAGATTTTCTCAAAATAAACTCGGCTCATTTTTTTTCCAGAGAGAGTTTTTCGGAAGAAAAATCGAATGACACGTTTAACTTGAGATTATCTCGAATTTCTAGAGATTTTCCCCTTGTTTTTGATTATTTTCTTATGTTCGCTGTTTTTTTTTTGGGAAAATTTTTTTTTGTGTGTTTGAAAAAATCTTCCATAGTTCAAAATCCAGAAAATCTATTTAAAATGGAAATTTTTGTTTTTTTTTTGAAAATAGAGTGAACTCTGAATTTCAAAATTTCTTTATTTTTTTCGAATTCCTAATGAAAACTTTGAGAAAAAAAGTCTTGATTTTGAAAATATTCGAGATTCAGAGAGGGTCCAATTTCTATTGAAAAATTGATCTGAAAATTAACCGTTTCAGATATTTTTTCAAATTTCCACAGTACCTTTCAATTTCACCACGTCATAGTTTTTTTTTTCGTTCACAACTAAACTAATATGTATTTAGCAATGCACTCACTACTATAAGATTTCTGATCTTCTCAAAAATGTCACAATGAAATTAACTCCCAGTTTCTTTTTCTCATTCATTCTAACTAAATAGCTAAAAATAAAATAAATAGTTTCAAATTATTGAAAAAAAAATTCTTCCAACTCGGTTTTTGCTCTTTATTTTCAGAAGAAGCGAGTCCAACTGACTTGAATATAAAACAACTTTGTCTTTTTTCCTCTTCCCACACATCCTCATCAAAAAACGTTGTTTTAAGACTATTTTTTCAGAGCCAGAAAAATGATGGGTGGGGGGATTAATATAGAAGTTATGTACATATGTTTTGAACTTTTTCTGCGTTCATGAATTCTCAAATCTGACGATGAATGCGAAAAAAATGTATATGTCTAATCTCATTTGACTCACACAGTTTTGTTCTGATTTTTGATTGAATTTTTTTTTGTTCTAATTATATTTTTCTTTTTTTTTCTATTACTACTTGTCGCGTGTCGCATTCTTTTAATGAAATACATATAAAAAATAAAAACAACATTTGACTTTACAGGAACAGAATGGATTTCTTCAATTCATTATTCTTTAGTGACACAGACATTGAAGACTTGGTGAGTTACTTTTTATTTTTTTTATGTTTTGCTTATGTTTTTTTGAGTTTTGTCTGTGAATGAATGAATGAATGTGGTTAGTGACTCAGAATGACTAAATTTATGAATGAGGAACAAGAAAACGACGAAGTGATTTTTGTCTAGCAAAATTCACTTCCTCAAATTCTTTGAGATTTTTGAATGTTCATCGGAGATATAGTAGATCGTGTAGATAAGATTTCTAAATTACTCAAGAAGCTGAAGATTTCTAGATTACGGTAAAGATTTTTTGATTGTGGAATATTTTTAGAATTAGTTTGGAAACATTAAAAAAAAACACTTTGAAATTGAGCCAACTATTTTCAAGTTACAATAACTCTCCCCCAAAATAACAGTAGACTTTTTATTTTTTTGAAAATTATTTTCAATGAACTATTTTTTATCTCAAGAAAAAAGCTACAATTTTTTTGTACTTTCTGATTTTCGGTGACTTCAATCAAAACAAGTATTTAAGTACATTTCAAGAAAAAAAAACAAAACAAATATGGATTCTTTTCAAAAACTCTTGGCTTCCGCTTTTTCATTTTTTTTTTGTTCAAAATTAAAAATTATTTTCAATTTTTTTTTCATTGCGTGTTGAATAAAAACGTATGTAGATAATTCATTCAGAAATAATTCATAGCGATGTTTGAACCAAGCATAATCTATCAAAAAAAGTTTATTCATAATTTTATTTTTGAACGTCAAATGTAGTATGTATTAGTCATATAATTGAATCTTGTTAGTTTAACCCATAATCAACTGACATTTTTTAAAAAATAATATTAACTTTTGCAGGATTTTAGCTGACCAAAAAGCTAATTAAATTACTTTTTTTGTGTTTTGATGCGAAAAAAAGACCGCCATGTTTTTTTGTTTCGAGCTCAAAGAGCCCATGTTCTTTAAAATCTTAAAGTTCTTTGTTGTTTTTTTGCCACTCGTCATCTGATTAGTTAAATCTCACGAACCGAAATTTTTTTCAAAAACGCTATTTTTAAATTGCATTTGCACCTGTCAAAAAAATCGAAATTCCAAAAGTTTTTTTTGTGAATAAAATATTTGACTTTCTTAACTTAACTTAACTTGGTTGATGGTTCGGAAGTGAATAATTTAGGAACCTCTTTTTTTCGTTTTCGAGAAAAAAAATAAAATTTGTTTTTTTCCTTCTTCGTCTTCTTTTCCTTTTCTTTTTCCGAGATTTGATTTCATGAAATTTGATTTTCATGTCAGTTCAGTTCAACAAAAGTTTAACAAAAAGTTAAACTAAAGTTCAGTTTCTTCTCAATTTTCATCACGTATTCCTTCGGCTCCCGTTTTGTTTTGTTGATTAAACAAAAATAATTATAGTTTATGTTTTTCCCTAGACTTTAATCGGGCAGAAAAAAGAAAAACAAAGAAAACGAATAAATTGGAATGTTCCAGAATTCATCCATCCATCTAGAAAAATATATGTCAGTCAAAACAACAGGATTTTTTCTTGCATTTTTTGGTGAAGAATCTTTGTGTTTTGAAACTTTTCCGAAATGAGCCAGGGGTTTGAAAAATCCCTATTTTTTGAATTTGAAAATCACAAAATCTGTGTTATAGAATTCCACGCGCTGAATACGATGTTGTAAAAATTAGCAGCCGAACTTCGGTCGGAAATATCTTGAGGCCCACTCGCCAATTCATTTTCCTGGCTCCACTCAAAGATCAGCAGCTAATTTTTACACATCAACGTCAAAACTCAAAACGTCAAGATTCAAAACAATTTTCTGAATCATCATGTTCAGGTTATAAATTTTTAAAGGGTTCTATTAAAATGCTTTTTAAAAAAATCGAATGTTTTTTGATATTCAGAACACAGTACCTAGAATTCGCTTAGATTTTTGATTTTTTATGATGAACATTCTGTTTTGATCTCAACCACCCTCGTGTTTTTTTTTCACATTTTTCATAATTATATCTAATTACCATCGTCAAAAAAAAATGATCTTTGCTGGAAAACGGAAGGAAATGATATATTTTAATGAGAAATACTGACATTATACTATTTGAAGAACAATAAAAAATAATAACTTTTTTTTCCATTAATTTTGTTGTCTAGTTTCGTCATGAGAAGAATATATCGCAAAAACCATTGAGCAGCAGCTGAAAAAATAGAGAGACATTTTCATCGCTAAAAATTGGCTGATTTTTTTCGCTCCGATCATCAAAATATCGTTTCGAATGGAGACAACTTTTCAGGTAACCCAGAAAAACACATGACAGAAAAAAGAGCACATCATCATAAGTTTTGGAGCTCATTTTCTGCTCGAGTGCTTCACCTTATTGTTATTATGGCATTATTTATACTTTTTTCTCTCTCTCCCTTAAAAGCTACAATTTATCAATCAGATTACAAAAGAATCATAAGAGAGAAAAAAATAATAGGATTTTTTTCTGCAATTTTTTTTTCATCTTACATATTTTTTGCTGTTTCGTTCATTCTTGATGAAAAATATGGGGGGAAAATGAGAAAAACATTTTTTTTTTCACTCATATTTTCTTGGCTAATGGGTATACAATTTCTCATTCACACGATTTGTTCCAAGTATTTTATGTTCCTGATTTTCTCTTCTTCTGATATGTTTTTTGAATGAAAAAAAATCTAAAATCACGAAAAAAAGTATCTCTATAGACCATTATTAATGGGATTGTGTACATATTCAATATCTATTTCGCAGCTCAAAAAACAAGAAAAACATCATTTTCTCACTCCTAGAAATTCATTCTAAGAGGAAAGAGAAAAAAGAAATATTCTATTTTTTTTGTCTGATCTACAATCCCATACTTATCCTATTCTAGACGTGTTATTTTCAAGATTTTCTCTGAAAATTTCCGCTCGTTTTTTTATTCAGGAAATCAAAGTGCCTGTGTTCTTAACTGTCTACCTCAGATGTTTTTGATATTTTCTTTATTTCTTATAGTCTTATCTGAAAAATATGATGAGCTTATTGAGCTTGAAAAAATGTTGTTGTCGATTTTTCTGAAGAGAATGTGATTTTTGAAATACCTACATATGAAAAAATGGCTGGGAATTTTTGGAAAGAGTTTTTCTGAATATCACATTTTTTTCTCAAAAAATCATTCTTATGCGATTTCTTGGACACCTATTCAAAACTAGATTTCAGTAATGATTTTTTTCAGCCTGAACTAAAAAATCCAGTTTTCACAAAAAAAAATTCAATTTCAAGTTACATAAATTTCCAGTCAATAATTTTGAGCAAAATGCGGTGTCCAAAGTAAAAATATAACAAAAAATGCGAAAATATATTGTCCAAAGTTTAACTGTCTGCGTCTCTCGAATATACACACTTTTTCTTTGTTTCGTGTCTGCGTCTCTCAAATACACATACTATTTCTCTGTTCTGTATTTCGAATACAAGGCGAGCTTTGGACGATATATTCTTGCATTTTTTGCTATATTTTTTACTTTTTATCAAAATTAAAGAAAACCATCGATTCGTTTTCATTTTCAGTTTATTTTTTCCTAAAAAATGCAGTGTCTCCTCTTAATTTGTTAATTTTTGTCCTAAAAATTTTGTTTCCTAGAAGTCCAAAGCCAATTCATCTTTTGAACTCTTCTCTTTTTTTCTAGGAACATCATTTCCCATGTGTAGATATTTCCGGGTACTGGTTTTGTTCCACTTTAAGCTATCACTCCCACAAATTTGCACCCTTCTAATTAATTTGCAGAAGATAACTATTTTTATTTCCAAAAAAAAATTAAATTTTGTAGAAGAAAAAAACAAAAGGAACAATGAGAAAATTGGTTTTTCTCATGGTTAAACATTTCTTCATAACAAAAAAAATAAATGAAAAATGTAGCAAAAATAATTTCATTTCTATTTCTGGATTTGTTGAATGAATTAGTATTCTATTTTTATCAAAAGATGATAATCATATTCATAAATAGATTTCAACTGAAAAAAAAAAGATATTTATATTTGGTTGAGCATAATTTCCCTTCTGCTTCCTCGCTTCCCATGAATTATTCGCACACATTTTTATGTAGGTATGATAGGTATAGATTTTTTTTAGTTTTATTATAAAAGTAACAAAAAAAAGTGAATTGACCTTTTTTGTCTACAAAATATTCATTCAAAAGAGAAGATTTTTTTGTTATTAGATGGGACTTTTGAAATATTTATAAAGGTGTTTTGTATTTTATTTTATTTTATTTTTACTCGTTTTCTAATTCTTCTCGTTTTTTTTTCATTTATTCTTGTTTTCGGCATAGATAACAATTTCTTATGTGTTCCATTACATAGTAATTGTTTTTTGAATTTGTTAGACAGCCGTGTAAAAATACGTGGATGAGGAAAAATATTTTTTTAATTTGATTATAGCTAGCTACAAATAATGATATCATAACTGATTTCTAATCATTTTTAAGCTATCGAAACATGAACATAAATTATCTAATCTGAAGATAATCCGGAAGATGTTTTATGTGTTTCAGAAAAAATGAATCAAAATGAAATGACTACGCAAAGGATTAGCTTTGAAAAATGATCTTATCAGTGACAAAATTTTTATTGCGTTATTGCTCAAAAATCTGGAGACATTCTCAAATTGTTGCAGTTTCACATAACCAATAAATCTGCGAAAATAAGTATTTTATATGTGAAAAATTTTTGATTAACTTTGGCTTTTGATATCTAACATTTTTTTGGATACTTTCATGAGTTATCATTAGCTAAACTATAGTTTAGTCTAACAAAATTATATTAGTATGTCTATTTTTATGTTAGCTTTGATACTTGTAAACAAACTTTTTGAACTACATAGCAATCAAGTTCATATTATCTAGCACTTTTACTAGAATTTTTAACGCTTGCAGATTATTTTCCTGGAAGTTTCTATTCATTCTCAACAATCAAACTTTCAAATTTTCTTTTATTCAGATCTGAATTTGCTAAAGGTTTCGATTTCATTAATCTAACTTGTAAACAACCAATTTTCAGCTGTTTTCAGACTATGAACATTTTCTTTTCAGAAATTTCACACTATTGTCTGCTCGTTTGTACTTTCCAAAATCATTTTCATCACGCGCGCGCAATGAAAATTATTAGAAAACCGAAAAAATTACATAGATTCTAAATCAAATTTATTCCGTTAAGTTACGCAAATTCTGAAAATGTCTGCATAATTTGTTCACCTTTAGACTTCAGCAAAGTTCAGAAAAAAAGTGCTAAAAATATCCGCTCATCAGAAAGTTCATTTTTAGTACAGTTTTGATATGGGAATTGTAGCTTCAAATTTTTCTCTCGAAAAGATTTAAAATACACACAATTTTTTTAGTCTTCTTTTCGACCATAGCAACCTGGTGTGAACAAAAAAAAACAAAAATGCAACTTTTTTTGGTTTTTTTTCAAACATGCTAAGCTATACAGAACTTTAATTTTTGTGAGACGCAGACCTCGAGCAACATATTTTACCACACAAAACATAGCGCTTGGCAATAACCTTTTTAATGTCGGTCAGTTGGCATCTCAAGGTGCCGGGCTTTCAAACAAAGATATGTTTTTTGATGTAACCAAAAAAAACAAAATATTTATTCAAAGTTCACACATTTTGGGCGTTGTTGTTTGATTAAACTTTTTTTTGCTTGCCTGCTTCCAAAGCCCCTCTTCCAAAGTTTTTCGCTGCTATCCCAATATTTTTCATTACAGATTTTTTCTGAAAACAAAACAGACAAATTTCCGTTTTTGTCGTTATTTTTAATTAAAAATTCACTGTATTTCAGAGAGAATCTGCACTAATAATCTGTTGTTTTTCGTGGAGATATATGTATGTGAGAAAACATAAATATCATTTTTTTGTACATTACCAAAAACAAAAACTGAACTTTTCTGAAAGCGGTCACTCCTACGAAAAAAAATAGACAACTGTGTGTCAAAAACAGAAAATGTCCAACGCAGTCCAAAAATTATCCCATCTCTATTCATCTATTTTTAAATGCATTATGCATGTATACTTTTTTTCTAGTTCTCAGAAAAATTGTGGGCGGAGCTCTAATTCTGTTATACTTCTTGTTCTTCTTCTTCTTCTAATAATCTGTCCTGGCTAGCATATAGTTTTTTTCCCGATATTTTTGTTTTCTTGAAAAATTTCAATCGATATTTTTTATAGGGTATGATAATGGAATTCAAGGATATAGAACGGTATTGTCCACGATATATTCCTTACAATTCGTCAGATTATGAAACAGTGGCTTTTAATGGAACTTGTCTGCAGGTAAGCATTGGAAAAATGTACTTTTTCGGGAATAAAAAAGCGTGAGAGACCCACGCGAAAAATTTTGCAAAATAAGGTATCAGAGACCAAGAGGTTACATTTTTCTGTTTTCGAAGAATCTTTCTTCAAGATTTTTTATTTTTCATGTTAACATCAAACTCTGGACCCGTGTCATCAGAGAACATATTGACATGCTTTGAAATTTGAAACCGGGAAACGTAATAAATATTTGGTTTGAGCAAAAGTCAATTTCAATCATTTGAATTTCAAATTGCCACCATTCAGGCTTTCCCCAATAACACCAAAGAACCAAGAAATCGGAGACCACCCGGAAACAAAATAATGATACCACACAGAATATAAATATTTTTTGGACCACCTAGATTGTTGGAAAATTGGGTTGAGCAGAGATTTTTGAAAGGGGATCCGAACCACAAAAATTGCCTTATAACAATTTGCTTTCCAGGGTTTTTTCACATCGCTTCAAACTTCATTACGTCGTTTCAATCAATGGGAAGAAATCCTCTACACAACCGTTTATATCATTATTTCAGTGGCCGCTGTTATCGGAAATGGCTTAGTGAGTTGAAGACAAATAATGTTTTTGAACTTTTCTGATGTTCTTTTTTTCAGGTGATATTGGCAGTTGTTCGCAAAAAATCAATGCGAACAAATAGAAATGTATTGATATTGAATTTAGCGTTTTCAAATTTGGTAAGATACACTTTACATATGTTATCGATACTTCCTGGAAATGGAAACAACATTATATGATTCAATTTCCTTTCAGATTCTTGCAATAACAAACATTCCGTTTTTATGGCTGCCGTCAATTGATTTCGAATTTCCGTATTCGAGATTTTTCTGCAAATTTGCCAATGTTCTTCCGGGCAGCAATGTTTATTGCTCCACTTTGACAATTTCTGTTATGGCCATTGATAGGTGAGGGATCAAAAAAACTTGACTAGACTAGAAATGTTGACTAGAAAATTAGAGTTTTATTTTTCTGAACTCATTCAAAAAACCAATTTCACGTCAGATTTGGTTTGGTTTTTTGAAGCTATTCACGAGTTTAAAAAGTTCAATTTTAATTCTCCTTCGATGTTTTTTCTATTCATTTTTCAAAAAATTAATGGGAGCATCTACACTTTTTATCCAATTATGTATGAAAAATAAACTCTAGTCTTTGGAGCACATGAATATCACATGGGTTTTTTTTTTGAAAAAGTTTGTTTTTGATGGATTTCATCTTTTGATCTTGAATTTTTCAAGAAGAAAAAAAAATTAAAATAAAAAATGTGGTACAAAACTCACTTAAAAATCAATTTTCAGATACTATTCGGTGAAGAAGCTAAAAATGGCATCCAACCGAAAACAGTGCTTTCACGCTATTGGTGTATCTTTAATCATCTGGTTTTTATCATTTATCCTATCTCTACCACTTCTTCTCTATTACGATACATCGATTCTCTATGTTATGAAGGTATATTTTTGAACAACATTAGAATTTGTATAAAAAACAGTCGTTTTTCAGGAGATCAAAGTGTTTGACCCAAATGGCGAGGAATTGACACGAAGTTATGGCTGGCGGCAATGTCGATTAGCAGCAACGCGCTCAAGTTTTCTTGACATTAACACTCAAAGTATCCAACTAATGATGTCAATTCTACAAGTTGTGTTCCTCTATGTTGTTCCACTTTTTGTGCTCTCAATATTCAATGTAAAGTTGACACGATTTTTGAAAACGAATGCGAATAAAATGAGCAAGGTTCGAGCGCCATCCAAGAGAGAGGATTCGTCGATTCGACCAGAGGTATGGCTTGTTTTTTTTTAATTTTGATGGATTAGAATTTTTGTTGGGTTCAAGGAGCTCGCTGTTTTTTTATTGCTAGTTGTTTTGAGGAAAAGAGGGTTGTAAAGAAATAATTTTATGTGCTGACTTAAATAGTTTGTATGTAACATATGAGACAGAAAAAAAACAATATTGATAAGATTTTTTTGGTTCCGGGATTAGGGGATTAGTAGAATTCTGATTTCTAAATTAAGTTTTCTGAGAACTCTTCTGGGAGAGTTCAGAAATCGTTTTGATGAAAATTGATACAAATTTTTTACATTTTGTACATAAAAAACTTAAACCCAGACACCAGACAAATAGAAAAATTGAAATTAAAAATAAAATTAAAATATCAAACAACAAAACAAAATGAAAAAATTGACGACTTTTGAAAAAAATTGTTTCCGGGTTTTGAAAAGTCTGCAATTTTTCTTTTCAGCATGAAAAAAAGGGCCCAACATAAAAGAGTTTTTTTCAGAAGTTATAAATTTCTCAAAAAATAATTCCAACAATTTTCAGAGCATGAATTCATCACTCAAACACACCGCCAACAGTCTTCATTCTCCTTCAATGCCATCAATTCGAAGTTCAATCGACCGTAATCCGAATAATCGTCGAACGAGTCGAACAACTTCTCTTCTAATTGCTATGGCTGGAAGTTATGCGGCACTTTGGTTTCCTTTCACATTAATCACATTTCTTCTGGATTTTGATCTCGTTAATGATGTATGTCTTTTTTTTTGCTTTTCACTTCCTAATTGCTCACGTCAGATTGATTAATATATGAGGTTTTTTGCAGCAAGAATATGTTGGGCTCGTTGAAAGAATCGACCAAACTTGTAAGATGGTATCAATGTTATCAATTTGTGTGAACCCATTTTTATACGGATTTTTGAATACTAATTTCCGCCATGAGTTTACTGAAATCTATTATCGATATATCAGATGTCAGACAAAACTTCCACGACCAGCAAGATATCCGCATGATTGCTCATCAATTGGGCAACATCGCAACGATTCGGTATATAATGATGAGACCACCCTGATCTCAACAATTCGACAAAACACAGTGACCCCAAGAATATCAACAGTTACACCGAAAAAGTGAGTCGCGATTCAAAAATCATTCTTATTGAAACACAATTTTTGCAGTTTCCGAGGAAGTATTCGTGTTGGATCTGTTGGCAAAGTTTTGGAAGATCGAATTGTTTTGGATGATGAAATTGACAAAGATAGTTTTGTTTGAATTACGAGTTTTGATATTTATTTACTTTTTTTGTTTTGAAAAAAAACACTTACCACATGCCCAAAATTTGCAAACTTCTTATTTATTTATTTATTTTTTCAATGTTTTTTGAAATATGAAATGAATAATTATTTCATTTTTTGGGGTTGTTGAAATGAATAAACAAAAATTTCGATATCAGAAAGAAGTTTTTGACTTTAAAAATGGTAAGTTGAAACAGTTCCCATGCGAAATTGTAAAGATTCGAATTATCTGAAGCCAAGGTTCAAGGAGCTTGGAAATATTTGAACTTTTCTAGAAATAAAAAAAAGTTCAAAATTTGCCTTTTCTGCTAATTGTCCTGCCAAACACTTGTTCCATCTTCATTTGAAAATAGAAAATAATGATTCATCAGTCTACATACAAATTGTTTCTGTTTCTGGTGAAAAATAGTACAAAAAAAACGTTGTCTTTTCTCACAATGACTCATGCATTTTGTTTTGTTTAACCCGGACATAAAGTGATTCAACTACATATTTTTGAGAGGGGATAAAAATATAATTTCTGTATTTCTTTTATTTCGTCAGAAAAATGTTTATTGAAAAATCTGAATTCCAGATTTTTGAGAAGAAATCAATAAATTATATACCTTTTTCTGTATCATTATGTATTTCATACCATTTGATACAAAACTAAAAATTTGAATGAGTCAACAGAAAATGTATAGAAAGAAAGAAAAAAAGACTGTGACCACGCCTTTTCTTCTCACTTTTTTTTTTGTTGTCACTTTTCAGTTGACAATGAGTTTCAGAGCTCCCATCATTTTTATTATTTTGGTGGTTGAGGTTCTCATTTTAATTGCAGTTCTTTTCGACCTATTTTCATATGGTAGGCTTGATTTTTTTTTGATTTATGAATTTTTTTTTCAAAAATTTCAGACTGGAACATAACTCCTCAAGGTGGTAAACCGACTCATGAAGGAATTGCAAATTGTTTGATTCCTTGGAATTTCAGACAATGTTCAACGTTTTGGAGTGTAAGTCTTATAGTTTTTGGATAGCGAAATGTGTTTTTTTTTGCAGTTTGTCACTTGGAAAATGGGAACTTCGATAATATCATTATTGATCGCCGCGATTTCAATTTTGATATCAATTGGAATCACTTTACGATTAACGTGAGTTGATAATGATAATAGAGTTTTATGTGTTTTGTTTTTTTTTTTTGTAAACAAAAACATGAAGAATTTGTGAATGTATAATTTCAAAATTCAAAAATTGTAGTGATTTTTGAGCAATGAGATCTAGTCTAGTCAAGCTCAAATTTCATGAATATTTTTTTTAGGTAAACAAGCTTTTCCGATTAGAGAAGATCTATAGAATTTTTATTTTTGATAAAGAAATCACAAACACAAAGGCTGCAATTTACAAAAATATTTTGAAATTGAAAAAGATTGTGATTGATACGAAATGTTTTATTTGATTTTTCTGTTGCAAAAAACAATTCAGCTGTGATGAGACTTTTCTTTTAGAATTCCGATTTATAAAATAACTATCAGCAACTTTATAGAAACCTCGAAAAAATTCAATTTTTTTCAGAAAAACCTCAAATCTTCTTCTCACCGCAATTCTCATTCTCTTTGGCTGGACAACATTCATCAGCACTACAATCTCATTGGTTTCCCGCTTCAATTATTACCCAAACACTTTTGGAAACTGCTCTGCTCTTTTTGATCGACCTCATAAAGTTGATGTTTTGTTCATCAATGTGAGTTTGATTTTTTTCTGATTGGAAAAATTAAGTTTTCTGAATTTTCAGCAAAGTTGGAAAAGTTACATCAGCGTCACTTCTGTTCTTCTCTCATTCATGTTTTCTCAATTCGCTTTACTTCTTGGATATTTCAAAAAACCAAGCGCAACTTTCAACGTGAAAGCGAGTATGGAATCTCTTCCGATGCCCAAAATCACAGTGAAACATACTGATAATTTCTAATTTTTTTAAATATAAATTTCATTCAAAATATTTCAAAACACAGAGATCTGCTAAATATGTATGTAGAAAAAAAATAAAAAAAATAGAAAAAAATGACATCAGAATTACATGAAAAAAAAACGTGGCTCATGGATTTGTGTGAGTTCTCATATGAGTATGAAGATTGGAAGCGCGGTTGAAGGCTTTGTCACAAAGACCACAGACATATGGCTTGACAGTGGTGTGAGTTAGACGATGCCGAGTGAGATTTCCAGGTTGGCGGAATGCTCGACCACAATGTTCGCATTTGAATGGTTTTTCGCCAGTGTGGATTCGCTGGAATTTATGGGTTGTGGGGAAATTCTTTACAGATATATGAATCAAAGAACTTCAAAGATTTAAAAATTATTGAAATCTGAAAAGTCTGAAAATATCACAGTACAAAAATAAATTCCAAAAATTACTGAACATCTAGAAAATAAATTTTTCTGAAGTTCAAGATCTAAAATTACCTTATGTGTGATCAACGTATTACTCCTACTGAAGGTTTTGTCACAAACATCGCATCGATACTTTTTCTGATTTTGTCGCTGCTGCGAGGGATCTGAATAGTTGCGTTTTGTAGGAGTTGCTCGTTTTGGAGTGTTCGGAAGGCCTGAAATTCATATTCCTCATTTTTTTTTCCTAATCTATGTATGTATGTATATACCTTTGATTAGTGGTTGAACAAATGGCAGAGAAAGTGTGTGTCCTAGATTTTGCAACACATTCATTTGGATTGTTTGTTGAACTAGACGGAGATGATTGCTTAACTCGAATTGTAAAAAACATTCAGGTTTCTGAAAAAAATGCTAATTTAAGGATTTTTATCAAAAATATATGTAGAAAAACCCACCAATAATTGATTATTTTTCTTGATAATTGGTGAATATTTGTTGTCTAAAGAAGAGGTGATAATTTTCTGAAGTGTTGAAGGTTCACATGATTTTTCCGAACCACCAGTATCCATATCGTTTTCACTGGAAAAAAAAACCAGAATAAAGAAAGAAAAACGAAGACAGTTGTTTTGCTCGAAGCGGTTAATGAAATATTAAACGCGCCTGGGTGTCGGGAATAACATGTACCACAAAAGAAAGGTTTTTTCTTCTTTTTAGCTTTAGGATGGATGAATGAATGGTGGTGGTGTTCAAAAACAATTTCTTTTTATTTTTTTTGTGAGGATGCCACAAAAACACAAATTCATATGGTAGAAATGCTGAAGTCTTGTTTACAGAATTGTTTAGGTGGTTTTGTGGGTTAAACATTTTTTTTTAAATTACTTGTGAGACTAACATTAATTTTGGAAAATTTCATGGTCTTTCAAATTGTGAACCGATTTCTGAGAAAAACAATTATTCCACAATTTTAGACAATTTAAAATTTCTGGGAAAAGACAAGCAATTTTCAGTTAATCTTGAGAAAATGTTCCCAATAAATTGAAAATCACACAATTTTAGACAAAAGCAGCTGAAAAAATGCTTGAGAGTGGAAAAATGAAATATCATATTTGAAACATTGGTAGTGGAGCAGGTGAACATTGTTTTCAGATTTCCAGTTCAAATAACATTTATCGAAACATAAAATTTTCTTACATTAGAAATTGTTAATGTTTTTCAGAAAAATTTCAGATTCCTGATGAATCTATCCTTAAGTTTTTAAAATTGGAGCTGTTTTTCTTTGGAAAAGTTGTGCTATATCAATAGTAACAGGAAAAAACATTTGCTGGAAAATTCTCGAGTTGATTAGAAATTGAAAATATAAATTTCACTTCTGAACAACAAGATTTTAGTGAAAATTATTTTTGAAGCTAGTTCTCAGCTCTTAAAATCTCTTAAAAAACGTCATAACTTTACTCATGTTAGGAATTTCAGTTAACAAAATCATGATCAGCATGTCGAAAACTACAAAATATTTTATCAAAAATCTAGAGTGAAGAAGCGTCATGACTCAAAAAAAAACTCCACAAACCTGGCAATTTCAGATGACGAACATTCATCTTCCTCATCATCATCCTCTTCTTCTTCTCCTCCACCAAATTCAGGCTCCTCTTCTTCTCGTTTCAGCGGTTTCTTCTGATCCAACAATGAATCAATCAAAAAACAAGATCTCGAAGTTCCCACTGACATATCAGCTCACCAAAAATCTCAAAAAAATGAATGAAAACTGAAAGGCAGGCAGAAAAGGAACAGAGACGAACGAAGCCAAAAAAAGCACCGTAGTCACTTGGGGGGCGGAGCCATCCAGGAAAAATGGGGAGGAATGGTGTTGTTTTTGAGAGAGAGAGAGAGAGAGAGAGAAGACAAAAAGAGGATAAGTGGATTAATTCAAGACAGTTAGCTATATATTTATATAATATACATATGATGAAAAAATGGTGAAATATTTGAGTGGTTTCGGGTGAGAAGCGATAATTAGGTGAAATTGATGAACATTGGGGAATGGAAAGGTACTGTAGATTATTGGGGAGGGTTTGGAATTTTGAAAAAATAAGCATTTAAGGTTCTGAATAATGTTAATTTTTCTTGGTTTAGAATATACAAATATTGGCTGAACAATAGCTGTGTGAGACTTGTGAGAAAAATGCTGGGATACGGTATCACATAATTGGATCAATGTTTTTTTTAGATACTGTAACAAGGATGTACTAATTGACTAGAGTAATTATGTCACAAACATTTTTTGATAGTCGAAAAAGTGTCTTTAAAATTTTGATGTTCCAAAGTACTGTACCACTAACAATAAGTAAAAACACTTATCAAAGTCTAGAAGCTATCAATATGAAAAAAATTCTTTGAGTACTGTCATTTTCTAGTTCAAACACTCAAAAGTCATGGCCAGATTCTAAAATGAGGCTTGGTTACTGTAGATTACGAAAATCTATAGAAATATTAAATGGAGTTTTTCATCTAGAATATTTTTCAAATGTTGAGGAAAATAAAAAAATAATGATTTCGAAAATTGTTGTGAGAACATCGCCGCCGCCTTATCAATTTCGGTGGGAATTTTAGAACAATTTTCCTATATTACACAATTTTTTTCATTTTCATCATCTTTCTCTAGACAAATTGTACAGTACTTTACACCCCAGGGTGTCACTTACACCCCTTCCCCCAACAAAAGGTATCGACACTAATCCCGAACAGATGTGTGTACATATTATATGGACTTATTCTTTTTTCTTTTAGATGCACATATACCTGCTTATTTCCGCCCTCAAGAAACTAAATGCAAAGCGGAACAAATGAAAGAAAAATGTTGATTACAGATGTCATCTTATATAACTTGAGTAAACAACAACCTGGATTTGGATTTGAACCACCAATTTATGAACAGCTCATGTATAAACAAAAAAGGAGAGAAGGGGTATCTATTTTTTTTTAATTATGAGAGCACAACAGATGGGTAGAAAAGGTACATTTTGAAGAGGAGGAAAGTCTGGATATCAATTGAACAGATTAGTGGTACTTGTATAGATTTGTAGATTATAATTAAGATTATTGGCAACAATGTTATTGCGCATTATGTCATGTTTGTGTCATACATATGTTATCTATCCAGATATTTTTTGATGACTTCCTGTGAGAAAATATTGAGTGATTTTTTGAATTGGAGGAAAAGGGTTAATTTTCGTAGTAGTTGCAGAATTTCAAAGTGAAAATATTTCTATTGTGAAGAAGCTCTTAGGATTTATTTTTTTCGAAACTTCATATGTAGCTGATAAAATTAGGCCAAGATCATTGTCCGAAAAATTCTACAAAAAATCCGAAAAATAATTGATCTACAGGAATTAATTTGGTTTAATCAAAAAAGTCAAAAACCGCAACTTATCCAAACTACAGTACTCCTCTCTCCCAGATAATCCAGTCAGATATCAACAGACTGTGTGTTAATCCGAAGGCTGTTCATTATTCTCTCATCTAATTATAAGTTATCTAACCCGATTGCATCAACTAATTGTTCAAATCAAGAAATAATTTGTTTTTTTTCTGTTTATTTTGGTTTTCGAAAAAAATCTATTTTTTTTTCGAAAAAATGGTTTGTGATATGAGAATGAGGAAAAAATTGTTGGAAAGAAGAGCCGAAGAATTTGAAATTCAGTCAGCCGATAGATATGACGATGATGATGAACACGCCATCTTGTGTGTATGTGCAGTCAAAAAGAAAATTTATATAGATATTTTGGCCATCGAAAAAAAAAGAAGGAGCCGTGTGAAGAATTAATAATCATTTCATTTCATTTCATGAGCCTCACACTTTTTTCCAACGCTTTGCCTTTTTGGGGATGCACACATGTGTGAAGAAAGATGAGAAGAAGAAGGCTGGGCTGCCCAAATATATTTATTCCTGAATTTTTGATCAATTTTAGAATTGTTAAGCGAATCGAAAAAGAATATGCGAAATAGATGAGATGGAACTTGTTTGCAAGAATCGGAAAGGGATTTTGTAGAGTTTTGAAAAGTGCTCGAAAATTTCAGGGTTGTTATCAGCATTGTCGATATCAGAAGTTACTCAAGTGAACTTTTCTGATTCATCAAAAATTGCCGACACTTTCGTAAGACATAATTGTGTCTGCTCAAGTTGTTATCAAAATGACTCAAGGCATAACATTCTTTTTTTATTTGAAAATATTGCGAAACATGATAAAATGAAATAGTATAAAAGTGCTTTTTTTCTGCTTACCACTTTCAGTTCAAAATGAGCAAAAAAAATTTGATCGAATTTGACTATATTGGTTGCTATAAATATACCAAAACTGCTGATTCTGGAAATTATAAGGATATGTGAGTTTTTGAGAGAGAAAAATGTATTTTTACAAAATTCCTTCATTGCAGGTTCAATGTGACAATCACTGATGCGCCGAAGAAATTGAATCAATCAATAGTGCCAACAGATAAAAATTCAAAAATAACCTACGAACCAGAAGCCTATATCGATCTCAGCTAAGGCATCGAAACATTTCAAGACGACGGTGGCAATGAAAAACTTGAAACAATGCTTCAATTCATCGAGAAGTTGGATTCGAATGAGAGAAATCTTCGAAAACGCATCGATTCAGATTTTATTTGCAATCGAGGACTTCTCAAACGTATTGCCCTGGCATTTTCATTTTTCGACACTATTGAGTTCCGTGCGATTCGAAAAAAAGATGTGATTTTCATGTGTTTCAGCGGTTATTCAAATTAATGGTTAGTTCAATTTTCAATTTTTTTCAAGTCAACTTCAATCTGATATTGTTACAGTGATGAAAAGAATAGAAAAACCTTACATTTGGCAACAAAATTCGAAAATTGTATGATAGAAGATGAGGAGAACAGTCAAGTAACATGCAGTTCAAAAATCAAAGTAGTTAATCGACTTAAAATTCGAGGAACTTTGAATGTTTTTTCCTGTTCTGAAACTGATGCGATGGATAAAGGTTCGTTTTAACTGGTTTCAAGTTTATCAGAACAATTTTTTCAGAAAACAAATATATCGAAATAAAACTTCTTAAATATGGTCGTGATAAATATTGGCTAAAAAACCGTGCATTGAATGTTTATCTTCAAGTTTACCTCTGCAATATTCATTTGTTTTTATTTGGTTATCGATTGAATGAACGCTATCAGAATGACAAAGTTCATCAAGTTAGTTAACAATTCCATTCCGTATTTTATCATTTAAAAAAATCCTAATTTTACAGATCGAATTGGTTGATCGAAACAGATTACTGATTGAAATGATTCAACTGGGCAATAAAAGTTTCACAGCGGAAACTGTTAATGAATCAATTTGTTTTCTATACGACACGTTGTCACATATCCAAAAAATGTTGTATGAAAATGATTTGGCGATTTATGTCAAGCAAAGTGCTAGAGCAAAGTTTCGTTTTGAATATATCAGTTCCGAAGATTGTGAATTTGTTCCAGAAGAATTTCTTGAAAAGTTTGAATGAGTTGGACCGATTTTGAAATAATTTTTTTCTTTTGCTGTAGAGATTTTTCAGAATTATTTTTGTGTGGTATTATTTAATTTTTTTCAAGTTTCATGTTTTTGTTGTTGTTGTTTTTTTGTGTTCAATTATGTTTCGGGAATAAAATTTTAAGATCTCAAATCTGGAAAAAAAATGTAAAATTTTGCTATCATTTAAAATTTTTACCCACTCCCAAAAAATCTTATAATTGTTCAATTTCCTCTTTCCAAAAACAAATTCCATACGCAACAAAATCTGGACACCTGCGAATCAATAAAAAAAGATAAAAAACAGTGTTGAGCAAGACAAAAAAATGAAAACATTACATCTGTGAAACCATTTCGGCCGAACCAGCTGCGCTTTTTTTCGCCTATTACTTTTAGTTGAAAAATGATTGAAAGGAATTTGATCGAATTTGACTATGTTGGTTCCTATGGATATACTAAAAATTCGTCTTCGGGAAACTATAAGGATATGTGAGTTTGGCATAGTTTTTTTTTGATTTGCGAGAAACTTTTTAAAATTGTTTTTTGATAGGAAAATTTGATTTCACTGTTTTCTAAAAATTATTTTTGATTTGACTTTCAGAATTAACTCGGTTTTTATTTGAAAAAAAAAACAAAAAAAAGGTTCTCCCCGGCCGGGAATTGAACCCGGGTCTCGCATGTGACAGACGCGGATACTCACCACTATACTACCGAGGACACATTGGAGCTTCGGCTAAAATGCCAATAAGAAATTGATCGTGACGTAGGATAGATAGAAAAAATTATGTAGATACTAGGAGTAAATATTTACAGATTCGTTATTTTTCCAGGTTCAATGTGACAATAAATGTTGCGCCAAAGAAATTGAATCAATCAATAGTGCCAACAGATATAAATTCAAAAATAATCTACGAACCAGAAAATTATATCGATCTCAGCGAAGACATCGAAACATTTCAGGACGACGGTGGCAATGAAAAACTTGAAACAATTCTCCAATTCATCGAGAAGATGGATTCGAACGAGAAAAATCTTCGAAAACGCATCGATTCAGATTTTATTTGCAATCGAGGACTTCTCAAACTCATTGCCTTGTCATTTAACAAATTTTTGTTTCTGGAAATTGTCGAATTCCGTGCGATTCGGAAGAAAAATGTGATTTTTATGTGCTTCACTAGCCATGGTGAAGAATAGTGAGTTTATGATTAAGTTCAAAATAAATATAATATAAAAATATTTACAGTGATCAAATGTTTAGAAAAACCTTACATTTGGCAACAAAATTCGAAAATTGTATGATAGAAGATAAGGAGAACAGTCAAGTAACATGCAGTTCAAAAATCAAAGTAGTTAATCGACTGAAAATCCGAAAAACTTGGAAAAAATTGAATGTTTTCTCATGTTCTGAAATTGACGCGGTTGATAAAGGTTTGCTTTTGCTTTATAAAATATATATTTTTTTTAAATATTCGTCAAAAAAACTAATTTTGTTTGCAGAAAACAATTTGATTGAGATAAAGCTTCTTAAAAATGGTCGAAATGAAAAGTGGCAAAAAAATCGTGCATTGAGTGTTTATCTTCAAGTTTACCTCTGCAATATTCATTTATTTTTATTTGGTTATCGATTAAATGAAAATTATGAGGAGACCAAAGAAGAAGGTGTCGGATATGAAGCTCCAGGAACATACAAAGTTCATCAGGTTTTTATATTATTTTGAATTTTGTGTCATATAGAAAACAAAACATTTCAGATCGAATTGATTGAACGAGACAATGTCTATTGCGAACCAAAAAACTGTTAATCGCTCAATTTGTTTTCTATACGACACGTTGTCACATATCCAAAAAATGTTGTATGAAAATGATTTGGCGATTTATGTCAAGCAAAGTGCTAGAGCAAAGTTTCGTTTTGAATATATCAGTTCCGAAGATTGCGAATTTGTTCCAGAAGAGTATATCGAAAAATTTGAATAAGTTGGTACAATTTTGGAGAAGTACATATGTACTTATGTCGAACAAAATTGTTTTTCTCCTATGATCAATTTTTTTGTTTCTTATCCGCTCTTGACTTCCTAATTTTTTAACGAATAAATTACCAGAAGATATTTGAAAATTCTCCTCAAAAATTCTTGCAAAAATAATCTTCTCCGCTTACCTATCTTTGACTAATTTCTAAAATTCGCCAACATGCAAAACAAACTGAAAACTTTCGTCATTTCCCATTTTCCAGTCGCCTCACAATGAACATCTCTTGTATTCCTGAAACAAGTGTGTTTTTCCAAATTTCCTCAAAAATCTTATCAATAATATCAATACCTATTTATCTCATCACAAGCTATGTATTATCTTTAAAATGTCCCAAAGTTTTTGATAAATATCGACTTTATCATCTGCAACACATTCTAATTTGTGCAAGTGCTGATTTTGACCAATACCTTAATCAATAGTGTTATCAGAAGTACTCTCCTGATTTTCTGTCTCAAATTGTTATCTCATAACATTCTTTATCAAGTGGAAATATCGTTTTTTTCTTATCACTTTTAGTTCAAAATGAACGCAAAAAATTGATCGTATTTGACTATATTGGTTGCTATAAATACATCGAAACTGCTACTTCTGGAAATTATAAGGATATGTGAGTTTTTTGAGAGAGAGAAATGTGTTTTTACAAAATTCCTTCATCGCAGGTGACAATCAATGTTGCGCCGAAGAAATTGAATCAATCAATAGTGCCAGCTGATATAAATTCGAAAACAATCTTCAAACTAGAAAACTTTATTGATCTCAGCGAAGGCAGAGAGAAATGTGTTTTTACAAAAGTATGGAATTCGCTGAAAGATCAAGGAGTCGATCAACACTACATCAAGATCCTCCAAAAATGCTACGAGGAGTGTTCCACCAACATCACACCATTCTCCAAAAAAGTAAAAATCCCAATCTCAAAAGGAGTTCGCCAAGGAGACCCAATCTCTCCGAATCTATTCTCCGCGAGTATTGAAGGAGTTTTCCGCTCCACAAATTGGTCAGATTGTGGAATAAGTATAGATGGTAGAAAGTTAACCACCTTCGATTCGCTGATGATGTCGTTCTGATCTCACACTCTCCGCATCAAGCTTCGAAAAATGTTGAAGGATTTGGTCCAGGAAAGAGCAAAAGTTGGATTGAAAATCAACGAAGCTAAAACAAAAACAATGAGAAACCGATTTGCACTCACACGCCCAATTGAAATCGGAAACAAAACCATCGAAGATGTTGATGAATATGTTTATCTCGGCCGGCAGCTAAATCCGCAGAATGAACTTTTGCCGGAAATTCACCGTAGAAGAAGAGCCGGATGGGCCGCTTATGAATCCATCGAAAAAGCAACCGATGCCATCACGTGCCAAAAAAACAAGGCAAGATTATTCGATCAAACGGTTCTACCAGCCCTTTGCTACGGTTCGGAGGCTTGGACCCTTACCAAAAAGAACTCTGAAGCTCTCCGAGTCTCCCATGCTGCACTGGAAAGAAGATTGGTTGGCATAACACTCAGCGAACAACGCGAAAGAAATCTCCACCGCGAAGACATCCGGAAGCTATCGCAAGTCAAGGATCCACTTCGACACATCCGCCAACAAAAAACCCGCTGGGCCGGACACATGGCAAGGAGAAACGACAACCGTTGGTCAACGGCAACATTGGATTGGTATCCACGAGATTGGAAAAGACCAGTTGGACGCCCACCATTGAGATGGTCAGATGAATTAAGGAAAAACCACTGAATATATGACAACAACAACAAATTGGTCGAATATTGGACAACTCGTGCCAAAGACCGTGATAAATGGAGAACTGTGGTCCGCGCAATATGCTGAAGAACGGATCGACTAAGTAACTAAGTAAGTAAGAGTTTTTTTGAGAGAGAGAAATGTGTTTTTACAAAATTCCTTCATTGCAGGTGACAATCAATGTTGCGCCGAAGAAATTGAATCAATCAATAGTGCCAACAGATATAAATTCGAAAATAATCTACAAACCGGAAAACTATATTGATCTCAGCGAAGGCATCGAAACATTTCAAGACGACGGTGGCAATGAAAAACTTGAAACAATTCTTCAATTCATCGAGCAAATGGATTCGAACGAGAAAAATCTTCGAAAACGCATCGATTCAGATTTTATTTGCAATCGCGGACTTCTCAAAGTTATTGCACTGTCATTCAATGAATTTTCATCTTCAGAGGCAGTTGAGTTCCGTGCGATCAAAAAAATGTGATTTTCATGTGTTTCAGCAGTTATTCCAAGGAACGGTTAGTTCAATTTTCATTTTTTGTAATCAACTCCAATCTGATATTGTTACAGTGATGAAATGTATAGAAAAACCTTACATCTGGCAACAAAATTCGAAAATTAGATGATAGCAGATGAGGAGAATAATCAAGTAACATGCCGCTCAAAATTTAAAGTAGTTAATCGACTGAAAATTCTAGGAACTTTGAATGTTTTTTCCTGTTCTGAAACTGGTGCGATGGATAAAGGTTTGCTTTAACTGATTTCAAGTTTATCAAAACATTTTTTTTCAGAAAAAAAATTTAATCGAAATAAAACTTCTTAAAAATGGTCGCGATGAATATTGGCTCAAAAACCGTGCATTGAGTGTTTATCTTCAAGTTTACCTCTGCAATATTCATTTGTTTTTATTTGGTTATCGATCGAATGAACTCTATCAGAATGACAAAGTTCATCAAGTTAGTTAACAATTCCATTCCGTATTTTATCATAATTAGGAAGCCTTCTGATTTTGCCACGAGTCATTTTTTGATCAAAAAACTTGAAATTTTTCATGAATTCAATTGTAATTCGTGTGTTCAACATCTTACGAGAACATTTAATTCAGAAAATTAATTAAATAAGTTTTTTTTCAAAATTTTATCGTTGAGTTCATCCATGGCAAAATTAGGAAGCCTTCATGATTTCGCCACGACTCATTTTTTGATCAAAAAACTTATATTTTTTAAAAATATTCGTCCAAAAAAATATTTTTTATTTGCAGAAAACAATTTGATTGAGATCAAGCTTCTTAAAAATGGTCGAAATGAAAAGTGGCAAAAATACCGTGCATTGAGTGTTTATCTTCAAGTTTACCTCTGCAATATTCATTTATTTTTGTTCGGTTATCGATTGAGTGAAATCTATCCGAATCACAAAGTTCATCAAGTTAGTTAACAATTCCATTCCGAATTTTATCATTCGAAAAACATCTTAACAAATTGTAAAAATTTGCTATCATTTAAAATTTTTACCCATACTCTAAAAATTATATAATTTTTAAATGTCTTATTTCCAAAAACAAATTCCATCACAAAAAGCGCAACAAAATCTGGACACCTGCGAATCAATAAAAAAACAGTGTTGAGCAAAAAAAATGAAAACATTAGGAAAAAAACCATTTCGGCCGAAGAAACCGTGAAACCATTTCGGCCAGCTGCGCTTTTTTTCGCCTACTAGTATTCTCCCTGGGAAAAGCAAAGCTTGAAAGACTCTCAGGGTTCCCAATGTTCATACATTTAACGTGTCCTTTTTAAAATCCAGGGGGGGGGGTTCCCATTTTTAAAAATCCCCAAAAAAGCGCCTTTTCGCGTCAGCGTGTAAGATTAAATGTTTGCGGACCAGGTGGTGTTGACACACACTTTTAATTTTTTCGTTCTTTCTTTAGGTTTGGGATTACTTTTAGTTAAAAAATGATTGAAAGAAATTTGATCGGATTTGACCATGTTGGTTCCTATGGATATACTAAAAATGCGACTTCGGGAAACTATAAGGAAATGTGAGTTTGGGATAGTTTTTTTTTGATTTGTCGTTCCCCCGCAACAACGGCGGCTTCACCCGCAGCCATTGCGGCTCTACTTCAATTCTTGCCGGCACTTGCGGGATTTTTCCCGAGTTGTGATAGAAAAATTTGATTTTGTTAGTTTTCACTGTTTTCTAAAAATTATTTGTGTTCCGACTTTCAGAATTCATTCGATTTTTATTTAAAAAATACAAAAAAAGGTTCTCCCCGGCCGGGAATTGAACCCGGGTCTCGCACGTGACAGACGCGGATACATGTTTGAGCGTCGGCTAAAATGCCAATAAGAAATTGATTGTGACGTAGGATAGATAGAGAAAATTATGTAGATACTGGAAGTACATATTTACAGATTCGTTATTTTTCCAGGTTCAATGTGACAATCAATGTTGCACCGAAGAAATTGAATCAATCAATAGTGCCAACAGATATAAATTCGAAAATAATCTACAAACCGGAAAACTATATTGATCTCAGCGAAGGCATCGAAACATTTCAAGACGACGGTGGCAATGAAAAACTTGAAACAATTCTTCAATTCATCGAGCAAATGGATTCGAACGAGAAAAATCTTCGAAAACGCATCGATTCAGATTTTATTTGTAATCGAGGACTTCTCAAGCTCATTGCCCTGTCATTTAACAAATTTTTGTCTCTGGACACTGTCGAATTCCGTGCGATTCGGAAGAAAAATGTGATTTTTATGTGCTTCACTAGCCATGGCGAGGAATAGTGAGTTTTTGATTAACATAAGGTCAAAATAACATAAAATATTTACAGTGATCAAATGTTTAGAAAAACCTTGCATTTGGCAACAAAATTCGAAAATTGTATGATAGAAGATGAGGAGAACAGTCAAGTAACATGCCGCTCAAAAATTAAAGTAGAAATCGATTGAAAATCCGAAAAACCTGGAAGAAAATCAACGTTTTTTCAAGTTCTGAAATTGACGCGGTTGATAAAGGTTTGCTTCTCAGCACTTGACTCTGTAGACTGACTGTACAAATTTCGTTGATACTTTGTACAAAAATGGGGAAGAGAGAATTGCTCATAAGTAACATCCGTTTATCTACAAAGTAGCTACAGAACAGCAACGGCGTAGCTACGGATTCAAAAATAATATAGAGCGGTCACTTCACTTTATTTCTGTCCGCGAATTGTGTAGCTTCATCGGAGATACGCTGTACGTACGTTTTCATCTCTGATTGTGCGACGGTAGGCAGCTCTCGTCAGGATTTAAGGTGTGGGTATCAACTATTTGGCATCTGCGTAGCTACGAATTTGATTCTTTTGATAGCTACGCTGTAGATAAAATGAACCTACGATTTTTGGGAAAAGTGTAGGTACAGCGTTTATCCGCTGTATTCACACTTCTTCAATTTGTACAGTCAGTCTACGGAGTCAATTGCTGAGTTATCATTGATTTCGTCAAAAACAATATTTTTTGCAGAAAACAATTTGATTGAGATCAAGCTTCTTAAAAATGGTCGAAATGAAAAGTGGCAAAAACATCGTGCATTGAGTGTTTATCTTCAAGTTTACCTCTCCAATACTCATTTGTTTTTATTTGGTTATCGATTAAATGAAAATTATGAGGAGACCAAAGGAAAAGGTGTAGGATATGAAGATCCAGGAACATACAAAGTTCATCAGGTTCTTATATTATTTTGAATTTTGTGTCATATAGAAAACAAAACATTTCAGATCGAATTGATTGAACGAGACAATGTCTATTGCAAACCAAAAACTGTTGATGACTCCATTTGTTTTCTCTACGACACGTTGTCACATATCCAAAAAATGTTGTATGAAAATGATTTGGCGATTTATGTCAAGCAAAGTGCTAGAGCAAAGTTTCGCTTTGAATATATCAGTTCCGAAGATTGCGAATTTGTTCCAGAAGAGTTTATCGAAAAATTTGAATAAGTTGGTACAAAATTGTACAACCTTTTTCTCATATGATCAATAATTTTTCTGTTTTTTGTTTCTTATTTGCTCTTGACTTCCTAATTTTTTTTACGAATAATATACCTATTCTTGCAAAAATAATCTTCTACGTATTAATTATACCTATCTTTGACTAATTCCTAAAATTCTCCAACATGCAAATTACAAAAAAAACTGAAAACTTTCGTCATTTCCCATTTTCCAGTTTTCTCACAATGAACATCTCTTGTATTCCTGAAACAAGTGTGTTTTTCCAAATTTCCTCAAAAATCTTATCAATAATATCAATTCCAATTTATCTCATCACAATCTATGTATTATCTTTGAAATGTCCCAAAGTTTTTGATAAATATCGACTTTATCTTCTGCAACACATTCTAATTTGTGCAGGCATGGAAATCCATATCAATATTGTTTGGGAAGTTGTTGTAATTCTTCCGCAAGTTGCGATATGTGGATTAGGTTTTGGGAAAAATAATGGATATATTATGTATGTCATAATGGTTTATATGACAGTTCTAACGGGAGTATCCGCGTTTCAACTTCTAGATTATCGCATGAAAGTTGTCACAACTTCACATCATTCTAGATTGAAGTTTTGGAATTATTTTATTCTTGGGATATGTCTTGCATCTTGCAGCATTTGTATGACCACTTTGCTAGCGGCTTATCCCGAAATGACTGATCAGATTTCATTGAAACTAAAACTTCAGAAAGTGAGGTTCATAACTTCAAATTCCAAAAAAAAATGAATTTTTTTAGAAATTTCCTAGCTTCCCTGATGTTTTCTGGTGCGATAATTGTATATTTCTCGACTTCGATTCCAAATATCTGAAAGTCTTTTTGATTTTTGGAATATTTTCCGCATTTACTGGTGGATTGTATAGCATCACAACCACTTTTATTTCAATCATTGGACTAAAATCTTTACAATTCACAATGTCTCACAGAACATTGAACCTACAAAAAAACTTTTTGTGGAGTTTATTTTTAATGACTCTTGTTCATGTTACATTTATAGCAATTCCAGTTATGTTATTTTTCCTGTCTCATTTTATATACATTGATGAGAAAAGTGAGTTATAACAATAACAAGATATGTATGTATGTGTAAAAATTCCATTCAGGAGTTGGATATATTTTCATAATGCTTATTTCACAACATGGTTCTGGAGCAACATTGGTCCTGATTTTGACCAATACCTCAATCAATAATGTTATCAAAAGTACTCTCCAGATTTGCTGTTTGAAATTTAGAAAATCTTTCAAGTGTCATTCGAGAGTTGAGTTGCAAAATAATGTTGTTTCTTTTATTGAATAAAATATTTGCTGGTTTTTTGAAATGAAACAAAAATAAAGTACAAATCTGAAAATTTAGAAGAAGATCTTCTTTTTCTGAAAATATTTTGAGAGAAAAAAATGAACACAGTTTTTATATGAGATCAATTTATTGTCATATTATACAGAGAAAAAAATATGCAACTTTTTGGGGTTTTCAAATTTTTCAAGAAAAATAGTAAAATAATAATTTAATTATTATGTACATAAGAAGTGCAACTTTTTGGGGTTTTCTATTTTTTTGAAAAGAAATTATTAATAATTGGGTCAATAAAACTGCATCCAATCCTCAAATTCACATCTGATTACATCAGGGGTTGATGTTGAATCAGATCCGTGCATATTTTCAGAATCATATTCTTCAAAAATATCGCTTCCTGGACGATCAAAAACAATAATGGCATGATATCCTCCATAACTTTTCAAACATTTCAATCCGCGATTTGGTTTAAGTTTAGCTAGATTTCTGAACAAACTGATATCCATTGTTGAATCTTTTGATAATTCCAAATGAATACATTCCAAGTTTTCAGATCTTCTCACAATTTCAAACAATGCTTCATTTGTGCAATATGTATTTTTGTTACCAGTGATTCTGAAGAAAATTCAATTATGAAAATGTATTCCAAAATAAAAAAAAATAACTTACTTCAAAACTGTGATTTTCTTCATTGCTTTCACAACTTTCAACAGATCAATTCGTTGTTTTGTCTCAATTTCCAATTTTGTGACATATTTCAAATTTTGCAAATACTGATCGATTATTCTTGTATTTGTTCTAAACCAGATAACCATTGATTTTCGATTTGCAAGCCATTTTCTATCAAGATCACACAAATCCAATTTGTCATCAAAAATGAGAACTTTTGGATCGAATTGATCAACCACTCGTTTTCCGTAGCTTTCTTCTAACGAGCCAAAACTAGTCTCATCAAATCGAATTTCCATTCTTCGCCCATTGATATTGTCTCGTGATGTGAACGTGAGACTGTCGCAAGGATGAAAACTGAAAAAAAAACAATAATTCGATCAGTTCAAAAAATAACAAAATGTTAAAACTCACCTTTTTTCTCCTGTGGATTCACATTGAATTGGAACCAATTCCATTTCATCGTACATTGGAATTTTTTGTGGTCTCATCTTTGAATTTTCAAAAATAAAATAGAGAATCGAAGGATTCGGTGAATATGTGCACTTGGCTCCCCCTATTTATACGGTCCAAAAAGGGGGCGTGCCCTATTTTATCCAAACCATGGGCGTGGCCTGTTAACTGTTTTGGGATGATGACGTGTGCTCCAAAACTGAAATTGAAAAAAAAAACATAGAAAAATATTATAGGCTTGTTAGAGAAAAATGTAGAAATTGAAAAAATTGGATTATAAAGAAAAAACTTGAAACCATACCGGTTTGAAACGCCATAAAATTAAAAAGTACATAAAACATAAACAATAAATTTTGAAATATGAAACCATTTTTTGGGTCTGTTTTGAAATAGAACAATAGCTTTTTTTTGAGAAATGTATTGTTTCAAGAAAATTATTGAAACATCAGTTGAAAACGTTTGTAAAGAAGGTGAAATTATAGACATATGGTTTTGTGGTATATTATTTTCAGAATTGCACCATCTCAAAATCGTCTTAAAAAATACCCAAACTTTTTTGCGTTACAATAAAACAACTTTCATGAATAAATAAATAGTTACGTTTAATAATAAAAATTTGCATGTAATTTTTTTTACAAAAAATATTTGTGGTAAACCAAGTACACTTTTCCCAAAATTATATGTTTTTTGTCGCCGCTCATAATCATAAATATGGTACTTGTCACTTTAAAAATAGTAAACAAAAAATTATGCAATTCGAAAAAGAAACTATGTTTTGGGAAAACTGTAAGACAGAGAAAGCAAAATTGAAGCTATTCCAAGTTGTTTCATGGAAAATGATGTAGAATTAAATGAGCAAGAGAAGAAAATGTGCAAGAAAATCATTTTTGACCTATGAAAACTGATAAAATTCAGCTTGAAAATTGACTCCTCGAGTATGTGGAATCAATAATAACTCAAAATTACGCCGTTTTTGTTGTTTAAAAGTCTGAATTCTTCTAAATTCTTAGTGTTCTCATGAAAACTATTGTGATTTCACACATCTAGTTTCTTGCACCATTCTTCACACTTTTTTTTCCGACCCAACAAAGGGTGTTTTTTGCACCGCACTATGTGCGTTTTGTTGTTTTGTTTACAATAAACAACATCTGGGGAACTAATTTTTGGATATTAGCAAACTGTATAGGAATAAATGGAAAAAATTGGAGAAGAACGATTTTGGAAACTGTCTGTAGTGGTTTCCAGAGTTTCATAGATAAATGAAATTTCAAAGGGTCGGATTCAGAAATTTAGAAGGTCAAAGGTAAAATTGAATCACTCAAATTCGAAATGTTTTGAGTGATCACAAAAAACTAAAAGTCCGATCAAATGATTGTGTTCAGTAAATTACAATAATTCTTTCAACTTAATTCGGGTTTTTATTAACAAATGTTCTAAAATTTTGCTAATGTGTGTCATAAAAGAGTTGCTGAAAATGAAAATTTGATAATTTCAAATATTTGAATGTGAAATGTGTCTTGTGATGAAATTAGTCTAAAAAAATTTTTTCAAAACTTTAAAAAGTTCGATAATTGAAAAAAAAACGCACTTCTCTGTAAAAATATGTAAATTAATACAGACAGCTTTTAGAATCGTTCCAGCAAAAAACGGTGTGGCTTTTTCCCAACTTGTTCTATATTTTTTGTCATTTTGATCCTATCCAATACCCAAAAAACTTAGTTCCCCAGATGTTGTTTATTGTAAACAAGACAACAAACCATAGTGTGGTGCGAAAGATACTATTTGTTGGTTCGGCAAAAAATGTGTGAAGAATGGCACCAAAATAAATCAACAAGAATGGTGTGAGATCATAATATTTATAATAAGTTTATTTACATGAAATCAAAATCAAACTCGTAATGTGGACCGGTAAATATGAAATTATATATAGATATATATACAGGCAATTGTATGATGCATATGACACAAGAAAGAGTACAATAAAGATAAATATAAATTAACATTACAATGGCTCTCAATTCCGGACAAGAGAATTCATGAGCCAAGGGTTCTGGGAAGGACCAACGAGGTTGGCATCTGGTATGGATAGGATAAAATTGCGCATTTGCTTTGAGCTGATGTTGGGTTTGACCTTTTTGACAATTTCGTTCCAGACCGGGATGATTTTTCCAAAGAAACTGTTAACTGGGCATAATTCTGTTAGGCTCCGCTGAAGTGGAAAACGTTGACAATATTTCCTGCAAACAAATGTACAAAGGGAGGGAAAGTGAATGGACCCTTCAAGAATCCCTAGGAAAGTAAAGATCCCCGAGTTTAAACTTCTCCTTTCTGCACTAAAGTATTCCAATTTTAATAATCGATCCTCATAGGATTCATAAGACATGTTGCATCTGCGGAAGATAGATCTTGAATATCTCCGCAATGGTGATTCAGCTAATAAACTCAGCTTTCTAGATATCAGAGGACGATAAATTTCAGAGCAATAGTCTACGATTGGTGATATATAAGTTTTGTACAATAATAAATAAGTATTCAGGTGACCGAATTGAAATGCTTTCATAATTTGACGAGATTTCCAAATTGCTTTCTGTACCACTGTATTTACGTGGTGATCAAATGATAGATTCCGATCGATCCAAACCCCGAGGTCTCTTACAACTTCTGATGCAGCAATAACTGTATCGTTCATTGTGTAAGACACTCTTGGATTGGTTTTACCAAGATGTAGCACTGTTGTTTTATTGGGAGCAATGGGGAGGTCCCACTTTGAAGACCATAACTGAATGTTAGTTAGAGCTTCCTGGAGAGCTATTGGGTCTGAACTAAAAATCTTTATGTCGTCTGCAAAAATCTGTATTTGAACATTATCGGGAATGACCTTCACGATATCATCTATGTAGATGAGAAACAGTAAAGGCCCTGTAACCGTTCCTTGTAACACCCCGGACAATACATCGAAACACTTATTCGAGACAAACGAATTGATCTTCACAAAGGATTTCCGATCACTTATGAATGCATTGAAGAAATCAACTAGGTCCGATGGGATTCCAAATTTCTCCAGCTTTTCCAGTAATAAGGAGTGGTTAACGTTATCAAAAGCTTTTTGAAAATCGATATAAATCACATCAATATTCCGACCTTGATCAATGTCTATAATCCAAGAAGTGATACATTGAAGCAAAGTGGTTTTACAGGAGCGTTTGCTAAGGAAACCGTGTTGGCAATGTGAGAACTTGTTGCTGAATCTGGTGCGAATGTAGTTTGCGATAACCTTTTCAAAAGTGCGACAGATGGGGGAGGTTAATGCCACTGGTCTATAGTTGTGTGGATCATTGTGACTGCCCTTTTTGTGAATAGGAACAATAATTGAATTCTTCCAATCTTTTGGAAATTCACGTAACTTATATGCTTCTGAAAATATTATTGAAAGTGGTAAGGCTAATGAGACAGCACATTTTTTGAGGACATAGAAGTTGATGTGGTGAGTACAGTAACCCATTTTTGGGGGAAGTGATTCAAGAATTTTGTGTATTATATACGGATAGAAGGACAGTGTCGACTGTGACACGTTGGAAGACAAAGTGGGACGCCATTTGCATGAGAATATTTGCATGAGAACGTGTGAAGATTTTTGTTTTTTTTTTATTTTCTACTTTAAAAAAATCCGGCTGAAATTTTTTTTTAAATCTCGATACAACACATGGTATTCCCATGATTTCAAAATCTTTTTTCTATTTTCCTAATAGTCGAAAGGACTTGTTTCTCCAAACAACATTTCAAGCTTCTTCATCTCAAAAATAGCTGATATAGCAAAAATTAGTGTAATTTGTTTTTCAAATTGTATTTCTACATTTTTCTCTGACAAGCCTATAATATTTTAATGTTCTTTTCCAATTTCAGTTTTGGAGCATAGTGTCAAAAAATTTTGGACGTCATCATCCCAAAACAGTTATGTAAAAGGCCACGCCCATTTTATGGATAAAATAGGCCACACCCCTTTTTTGGACCGTATAAATAGGGCGAACCAAGTGCACATATTCACCGAATCATTCGATTCTCTATTTTATTTTTGAAAATTCAAAGATGAGACCACAAAAAATTCCAATGTACGATGAAATGGAATTGGTTCCAATTCAATGTGAATCCACAGGAGAAAAAAGGTGAGTTTTAACATTTTGTTATTTTTTGAACTTATCGAATTATTTTTTTTTTTCAGTTTTCATCCTTGCGACAGTCTCACATTCACATCACGAGACAATATCAATGGGCGAAGAATGGAAATTCGATTTGATGAGACTAGTTTTGGCTCGTTAGAAGAAAGCTATGGAAAACGAGTGGTTGATCAATTCGATCCAAAAGTTCTCATTTTTGACGACAAATTGGATTTGTGTGATCTTGATCGAAAATGGCTGGCAAATCGAAAATCAATGGTTATCTGGTTTAGAACAAATACAAGAATAATCGATCAGTATTTGCAAAATTTGAAATATGTCACAAAATTGGAAATTGAGACAAAACAACGAATTGATCTGTTGAAAGTTGTAAAAGCAATGAAGAAAATCACAGTTTTGAAGTAAGTTAATTTTTTATTTATGTTGGAATAGCTTTTCATAATTGATTTTTCTTTAGAATCACTGGTAACAAAAATACATATTGCACCAATGAAGCATTGTTTGAAATTGTAAGAAGATCTGAAAACTTGGAATGTATTCATTTGGAATTATCAAAAGATTCAACAATGGATATCAGTTTGTTCAGAAATCTAGCCAAGCTTAAAACAAATCGCGGATTGAAATGTTTGAAAAGTTATGGAGGATATCATGCTATTATTGTTTTTGATCGTCCAGGAAGCGATATTTTTGAAGAATATGATTCTGAAAATATGCACGGATCTGATTCAAGCTCGAATCCTGATGTAATCAGATGTGAATTTGAGGATTGGATGCAGTTTTATTGACTCAATCTACCCAATTATTAACAGTTTCTTATAAAAAAATAGAAAACCCCAAAAAGTTGCACTTCTTTTGTACATAATAATTAAATTATTATTTTACTATTTTTCTTGAAAAATTTGAAAACCCCAAATAGTTGCATATTCTTTTTTCTGACAAATAAATAGATCTCATATAAAAACTGTGTTCATAATTTTCTCTCAAAATATTTTCAGAAAAAGAAGATTCTAAATTTTCAGATTTGTACTTTTTTTTTTTTGAAAAACCAGCAAATATTTCATTCAATTAAAGAAACAACATTATTTTGCATTTCAACTCTCGAATAACACTTGAAAGATTTTCTAAATTTCAAACAGAAAATCTGTTGCTCCAGGACCAATATTGCTCCAGAACCATGTTGTGAAATAATCCTAAAGTTGAAGATATTCACAGTGAAACATAACATCTGTCCTGTCACATGATGACAAAATAGTAGCCAAAGGCGCCCGAAAAAAAACGTTCCTCTTCTCGCTTGTCTGTAGAAAAACTGCCGTTGGATGTGTGCAAGACATTAGTCATGTTGTCTCCTTTTTATGTTTCATTTCTTTTTCTTGGTTTTGGTTTGTGGTGATCGTTATGACCGCATAAAAAAGATTCAAAAAATTATTTTCTTTTAAAAAATACTCTGGGCTTTTTTCTTTGTGGTATTTTTTTTGGCTTTCGGTGAGATTTTCTCCACCAATTGCTCGCATTTTTTGAGAATACAAATGTTAACAGAATTTTTCAAAAATCAAAAAAAAAATCAAGAAAAAATCCAATTCGTCAAATAGATCGATAAATATTGTTTCTCACACCAATTCACAACAAAAACTGTCGAGAATTTCGAAATAAGTTGTTTTTTTGCTTGTATAGACGATGTGCACGAAAAATATCATCGTTGGCCCTTTTTTCATTTGTAATGTTTTTTTTCTAGGTCTTTGATGATTATTCTTTTCTCCTTTTTTCCACTAATTGCACGTCGATGATTTTTTCTTTTATTTTTTTCAATACATATATAATTTCATAGTACTTAAAATGATTAATTTTTATATTTTTTCCATTTCTGTCAGAACACCCCGGTTGCAAAAAGAAATTTTTAAAACTAATTTTTGATTTAACAAGAAATTAACATTTCCTCATGCAGAAAAAACAGAAATTTTTTATTTTGAAAAGTTTGAAAAGGTAAAATTAAGAAATCACAGACGAGTAAATTATTAATATTTTTGTTTTTTTCTTCTGCATAGGACAAAAATTGATTTCTGGCTACATTTTATTGAAAATAATAACGTGCGAGCACTTTTTTCAGAACCTAGTTTTGCCTGAAAACTAAATTGCCTGATCTAGAGTTTATTCGATAGAGCATGTTTGCTGAATTGATGAGATTTCCATTTCAGAACCGATTTCTTAGTCTGCGTCAGACTTTAGATTATACTTTTCTTAAATACAAATATATTCACACCTTTTCTTTTTTTTACGAATACAAATTTTGAAAATCCAAGTCTTCCCATGGTAATAAAACAAATTTGAAAATCCCATTTTTCTCATGATAATTTTCAAAAACTTTTCTTATTCGAAAATAAAAACAGTATTTTTATTTTTATTTGTATTTTAATATCTATTTTCGTTCTTCAAATATTATTACTAGAAAATTTCAGTAAACCTTTTCAAAAATGCAATCCGGCTGCGATCTACGTATGAGCCAGATGATGGCTATGTATGAACCAGAGTTGCATCCACTCAAAAACGAATGGGCCTTGTGGCATTTGGAAAAAGAAGAGAGCAAAGAATGGGTAGATTGTTTGAAGGTATGTTTCTTTTTCAAAATTATCTAAATAAATAAATGATGAATAATTTTTAGGTTATCAGAGAAATCGAGACAAGCGAAGATTATTGGCTTATGTTCCATAATGTTGCTTCCCCTGGAAATCTCAAAAACGGTTCGGATTACTGTTTTTTTAAAAAGGTTTGATTGAAATCATTATGAATTTTTAGTAGTCTTACCTTGAATTGAATTTCTCAGGGTGTCATACCGATGTGGGAAGATAAGCATAACAAATTTGGTGGACGTTGGTTGATTGAAATTGGTGAAAAAGTGAGACTATTCTTTAAAAAAATACCCAAAACTATTCGTTTTTTTACAGAAAACACCTCAAGAAACAACCCAACATATTAATTTTCATTGGTACAAAATGCTTTTTGCGATGGTTACTGATAAATTTGGAGAGTATGGCAAAAATATTTGTGGAGCTGTTGTCAATATTCGTCAGGAGAACAACAAAATTTCCCTCTGGACTTGTGATGGAAAAAATGATGATGCGAATCTCAAAATTGGGGGAATTTTGAAAACGGAATTGTCGATTCCGGATTCAGCAATCATGAAGTGAGTTTAATGTTTTCTGAACTTTGATTTACTTTGATTTTTTTTTCAGATATCAACTTCATGAAAATTTTTTGATTGGTATAAAATACTATGCCAGACCACGACTCTTCATTCCACCTAGAGAAAGATTCTCGTATTCGGCATCTCAATGTTTCTCACCAAAATTGTAACTCCAATGTACAACATTCAATATCACTTTTTTCAACTTAATTTTCGTGTTTCCTCAACATATCTCATGTCAAAAATTCATTTGTTTATTTTTATTTTACATTAGTATACATTTAACTTTGTGTTTTTCATAATATTTCCAATTGCATAAGTATAGGTTTGGTTTAAAACTCATGGGGAAATAAAATAATTGCTTTTTCTCTAATATATGTGACACCGAAAAAAAATCAGAAAAGGGAAACTAATTTTAGATTCTGAAAAATAATGGAATTCAGGTGGACCAAATCAGCTCGTTTGTTTTACTGTCTGAAATATGTCTGAAATAAATTTCAATTTTTTTTCCAACCTTCAGATTTTTTGTGATGTTAGACGATGAGCCCAAATTTCTCCAAGAGTCTCGAAGCTTTTATTTTTTTTTCAATTTTTAAAAATTTATCATGCCATAATTTTAATTTTAATTATGTATTACATTTATTGAAATCTATAATTACAGGGGTTTCAAAATGTTCTAACTTTAAGGGAGATCAAATTTTTGGAACTTATAGCAACTCGAAATCGGAAAACAGGAAGTTTTCAAATTCTGGAAGAAAAAAAATCGCACCATTTCGCTGAAATTTTTGAACAAAAAATTGTTTGTCTTCTATCATTTTTGCAGTTGAAAATCGATTGCTATCACTTTAAAAGACAAATTGTTAGTTCCTTTTTGTTTTATTTGATACGTTTACTTTTCCAGAAATTTTTATAATTGAAAATGATTGGCTGGAATGATTTACCAGTTGAGATGAGGTTCGAAATAATACGACATTTTGACTATATAGATCGGTATTATCAAAAAAAAAACAAAACTTTTAATCTAAAACTTTATATTTTCAGCTACACATTTGCTAAATGTTCGTTACAATGTTTGCGAGAAATAATCCGCGGAGGGGATGAAGAAATTGAAAACATTCGAATTGAATGCTTCATGCCAAAAAGTATTTGGGCGCTGACGATGAATAATCATTTTATAGAGTTTCAGCAACTTGGTTATTTATGTCGAATCAAATATCGTGGCGAAATTCTTTGGAAAGGAATTGAAAGTAGCAAAAATATGGCTTATGAGTTTATTGAGAGCATTCTGAAACAATTTCAATATTGTGTTCGTAGTTTGACTCTTGAAAATGTGAGTTTTAGAAAAAGAAAAAGAATCACACAGTTTTCACACTTCAGGTAGATTTCATGGCTAAAGATGAATCAATCGATACTTTTCCATGGCTTGAATCGCTTTCGCTCCACAATACTTCAATAAATTCATCGTTTTCATTTCTTTCGAAAGCGGAAAATATTACAAGCTTATATATAAACGTAGTTGATTTAGAAACAATTGGAAAAACGAGTCAGGTCAGATTTGAGCAATTTGATTCAATTTTTCTTTTTAATTCTACAGATAAATCTTCCCGTGGAGTTCAAATTATTATCGATCGAAAAATTGTTTTTCAAAACAAATTGCGCACATTTTGCCTCGAATTTTATTGATAGATTAACATTATCAGCAGCAAAGAAACAATTTTCAAAAGTGGAATTTTACATCTTTGACCAGAATTTTATGGATGTGGATCAGAAATTGATGGAAATTTTCAAAAAATCGGAAAATGTTGTCACTAATTTGAGACTAACCAATGAGCAATTTGTTGAATTAGCTAACTTGCTCGAAAATTTGGAGTGCAATGCTGAAATAATGGATCCATCGAAAATTATCGATTTTTTATTGAAGTTCAAAACGACTGGTCGAGAAAATTTCCTTTTGGAAAAAGTTGATAAAAGTATAATGGAATTTGGCGAAATTTTAAAATTCACTCCGGCAACTAATGCGTTTAATGATATTGTGAGAGATTTATAGTGGGTTTATTTTAAAAGTGAGAAAAAATCCAATGAATGATTTTTCAGCTACTTCAAAACGGATTATGTGACTGGCATGTATAGACCTATTCGTAAAACATTGCGTTTTTAGTTCTAAATTTATTTTCGAAATTTTTTAAACCTGATTTCATTTCATTGTTAATTTTGTATCATATGTTTGAAGTGGTTTTCTGCAAAAAAAATTGTCTCAAAGATTCCGTTCCCTATACATTTTTCATATATAAAACGAAAAAAACCCACTCCAGTTTTTTTTGTTGAAAAAAAAAAACAGTGAGAATTCCTTGCCTCATTTCACTTTATGTACAGTTCCTGTTTTTCAAAAACGCATCCATTTTTCCTTTTCCGATAAAAATCGATTTCGCCCCATAGGCAACATGAAAAACAACAAAAACAATAATAATAAAGGTCATATACAAAGAGGTAGAGAGAAAAGAGGAAGAGAGAGTGAGAGACGGAGACAGAGAGAGATAAACGCCTACAGAAATGCGAATGACCCTCGTTGCGCGCCAACCAACCAGGTAGACCACTTTCACCCCATTTTTCGAAGAAATTTCCATTCAAAAATTTTGTTTTTCATTTTATGGTTGATTTTATTCAGATCTCCATTTTTTTTCTTTATATATTTTTAATAAATAAAAATAAAATTTGGTCTCTATGACAACCGGGTCAAATTTTATTCAAATTTTTTTTCAGAATAACCATGACAAGTGTGATTTTCAATTATGGAACTGTGGTTTTAAGTATTATTGCATTTTTATTAACTGCAATCGCATTGTGCACACCCTCTTGGCAGGTGAGATATTTTGAAATTGAAAATTTTTGAAAAGAATCAAGTGAGAAAATATCAAGGTTAGTCTTTGTAAGGTAATAAACGACTTTTTCTTTTAATTGAGAGAATCGATTGGAATTTTGGATTTGGGATTGTAAGAGGAAAACGTTTGATATAGATTTTTGAACAAAAATTTAAAAAATTAGAAAAAATTAGAAGGTCAAAATTTGATACAAAATTCTTGAAATATTTTCAAGGAGAGTTTTCTATTCCAAAAAAATTCGATGAAAATTATTCCACCAAAATTCATTTCCAATTCACATACATTTTCTACAGGTTGTTTACGCTCGCGAAATTCGACAATGGGTTCAAAGCGGATTATGGTTATCGTGTCAAACCAGGTTTGCTTATTCTAATTTTAATTCTAATTCAAAAATCTGTTTTTCTAACATTAATTTTTTTCAGACCAAATGGAATGTACAGTTGTACATATTCCTTCTCCCACGATGATTTCAACACCTATTTCAGTGATGAAGTTTCCGGTTTTCGAACACCGGCATTTTATCGTAAGAAAAATGTTTCCACTTGAATACCCCCCACGAAGATAATAGTAGTACATATATGAATATTTATAGCCTGGCAACGGACACTATTTCATATTTATCTGATCTCGCAAGGTTTTGCCCTCTTTTCTCTTATCTGCTTTTGCGTATCTGTATCACAGCGTGACTCAAAATTGCCGAGTATTTTACGAGTCGTCTTTTTGATATTGGCCGGTAAGTTGGGTGTTTTTTTTGGAACATCATCAAAAATTATTATTTTTTTGTAGCATTAATTGCGATCGGATGTTTGGTCACGTTTGCCGTTTTTTCATACATGGTCGAATATCGATTTTTCCATGTTTCAGTTAGTGGCATCTATGAGGTGAGGAATTTTTTTATATGAAGAAACCAGTTTTTGAAATGAAACAATTCTGAAAGTTTCGGAAATTGAATTTGAAGAGGAAAATTTTGACGCAGAAAAAATAATTAATTTTTTTTCAAATCTTGTATAAAAATCGATTAATTTCAATTCTACAGTTCGTCTCCTGGTTAAAAAACCATTGACAAATTTGAAAAAAAAATTGGAAACGCAGCTACAAATTATTGGACTTTCAAGCCATTTTACACGATGTTTCACTGTTTTTTTCGAGTACTAAATTTTGAGAAGCTTCAAAAAAAAATCCTTCAAGTATTGAACTACTTAGAACAGGATATGAAATGAGCACAGCTTATTTTTTGCTCACACTCCAAAATTTTTGATTTTTGAAAAACTAAATTATTAAAAATTGATTGTCTAAAGCATTTTTCAATTAGAAAAATCTCTAAAACTTCAAATTTTTTTCCAGAAACATCGAGGTTACTCATATTATATCGCCCTTGTAGCTGTTCTCTTCTACGTCGCTGCTATAATTCTTGGAACTCTTCAATGTCTCCTTTCAGCCAGAGGAAATTCAACAATCTCTAGACAAAATATCAATTCATCACTTGTAAGTCTGAAATTTCCCTACTCTAAAAAAGTTGCACTAACTTTTTTAGCAAAGCGATTTCTTCGAATATCAATATCATCCAAATCGCCAAACAGAAGAATCATACGAGGATCGTTTTGCCATGCGAACTTTGCCACCGGTACCCAAAAAACAAACCATGTTCTAATTTATTTTTTTTTCAACTATTTGAAAACACGGGTTTCTTTTAAATCTTTCTATTATTAAAATAATATTCTTGCCATTTCGTTTTTTTTGTTCTTGAAAAAAAGAGTTAGCATAACTCTATATAATATTTTCATTGTGAAACTTTTCATTTCACAAACAACAAACAGTTTTGTTTTCAGAAATGTTCGAATTTCGAACAAAACTTCAAAAATATCAGCTAGCATCACTGGTCTCTACAGCTTTGGCAAATGCATTGTTATTTTTAGGAACCCTAACGCCAGCCTGGCAGGTGAGAATTTTGATCTGAAAAAAAATGGTGGGTTTTTCTAGGTTGCTATGGATCAAGATGCCCAAAGATATGTGGAATCGGGACTTTGGTTATACTGTCCGGGATCTGCGCAATGTTGGTATATTTTCAGTGATAGTTTGATCAATTATTATGAGAAGGTGAGGAATTTGGAGGTTGTCAATATAACATTTTTTCCGATTTCCAGGTTGATGTTTGTCGATTCTTCTTGATCGGAGATTGCCGTAAAAAACTTCTTCGAACTCCATATTTCTTCGGGTGGCACTACGCAGTTTTGATTCTCAATGTTTTCTCGATGACATTTATGACATTAGGAATTGCTGCAATTATTGTCGCGTATTTGAAGAAGAACAAAGTGCGATTATTCACAATAATTTTCGATGTGATGGCTTTCCTTGCTTGTTTATTTTTGGGAATTTCATTGATGGTTTTTATGATCAATGCGGAAATGTTGGAATCGAAATATTTGATTGGAATCAAAAACACTTTTGAAAAAGAGTATGGATATTCATTCTATCTCGCTGGACTTGCATTTTTGATCTCAACTTTCTCAATGATGTTTGCGGTTTTGGTAACAACTTATACATTTTTCTTTGTGGAAAATTATGAAGATGATGATGAATATTCAGATGATCAGGTGAGATTTTTTGATTCCACTTTTTTCAACTTTTTCTAAAAATCCCACAATGCAACACGAAAAAAAATAAATAATTATCACTTTTTTTCAAATAAAAAAATAATCTTCAAACCTCCATAACTTTTTTCTTTTGCGATTAGGACAAAATCTGATCACAGACACGTTCTCAGCATGTCAAAATCTATCGGAAATGATATATTTGATTTCAAAAATAGACATCCAGTTTTACCACTGCAACACTCTTGAATAAAACGCCGAAAACATCAACCATATATTAGCAATTCACTCTCCCTCTCTCGCCGCCTTGGATGGCGCAGCCGGTAGAGCATCTGTTTATTGTTAGAGAGTCTCCTGGATGAAAAATCAAATTGGACAAGTTCGAACCCCGCTGGGGAAAAAAATATTTTTATTTTTTTTGCAAATTTGGTTTCCGACTAATTTCGACCCCCTGATCAACGTGGAGTACTTTATTTTTCATCTAAACGTTGCACTGACGAGTTATAACGTGGCAAAATGGTTTTTTTGTAAAAATTATGTTTTTTTAAGAATTGGAAATTTTCGTGAAATCTGAAATTGGGTTTGTAAACGTTAGGCTAACAATCAGTGTAACTCATTTTTTTTTCAAAATTTCCAAGTGATAGCTCACCCAGAAGTTCGAACCCCGGTGAATGCAGATTTTTTTAAAATTTTGTTTATAGGTTGAATTCCAAAGAAATTGATTCAATAACAGTGTGAGACAATTATTTTTAGATATTGTGATTTTTTTGCCTCACAAATTCACCAAAAATGTGTTTTACAGTACCCCATGAAACCAGCCACCAACATGAGTTATCCACCAAGTCATCAAGTGCCCTCTCATTATCAATCTCAACTTACCACCCAAATACCTGCCACCGAACATGGATCAATAATTATGGGATCTGTTTCACCAGCTGGACAATTCAAATCACAAACCAGACATTTTTATAGCTACTAATTAGAAATTGGCATTTATTTCACTTACATTTTGATATGATATAATAACGTGTATGAAAGAGTTCAAATTTATTTTGGGGGAGGAAAATTATGTACAAATATTTCATATTTACATGATTTTTGGCGGACTTATGAAACTACATTTTGATAATCGTCGCTCCATTGACTTCAATTCTTGTTTTCTGTATCTTCTCTTCTTTTTTAGGTCCAGAAATTTCATCAAAACAATTTTTTGAGCAAAATGCAGCTTCGTTGATGGTTGCAAATTGGCCGTGCTGAAAATTTCAGAATGATTGGGCGCTAACAGAAAAAAAAACCAACTTTTTGTTCCAACATTCCACAAGTGGTACACAATTTCAAACCACATCTCTTCTTTTTTTCAACAAATCGATCTCCAAATATAACCGATGTTCCTTTTGGTTTCCATTGTTGTAATATGTAGCGATCAAAGTCTAGCAGAACCCAAGTACGGTTTGCTGCAAAATGATTTTTTTGGAGAAACATGAAGGTCTTGATACTTACAAGTGGCGAATGTTTGAAAAAGAACAACTCTCTCGTCTGGTTCCCATTCTGGATCAGTTTCAAAACGAATCGATTTCTTTTTTGATTTTTCATTTTCCCAGCGTTGTTGCAGAATTACGATAACTTTAATAATCATTGTCAAAGCAGGAAGCTGGGCTGAAAATACAATATTACATAATGTTATTCCCACTTTACACCTGACGAGACGTGTCCAAAAAGGATACTGTACAAAAATTTTCAAATAAAAATTCCCGCCCAAACCAAAATTTCGATTCGGGCGGGAAGCTAATAAAAATTTTCAAAATTTTTTTCATTTCACTGCACATTTTTTCACGAAAAAGTGAAGTGTTTATTGATTTTCAGCGGATTTTGATGGAAATATTCAAAACTTCATGCTGCACAATTTTTATTCTGAAAAAATTTTCACGCTGCACAAAAATTTTTTGGGCACTCTCTCGCCAAGTGTGTTTACAACGAACCTATCGTTAATTGCAAATATTTTGGGTTGAAATTATTGTGAATCACTAGAAAAGCTTGTTGAAGATTTGCTGGTAGTTTGGATAACTCGATGTTTTTTGGGTTGGAGAGAAGATGGAGCAAGGTGTTTTTTTCGCGGATTATGTGAAAGACGGAGGTGAGAAACTGGAAAAATATTGTATTATTGGGTTCGAATATTTTTTTAAAAATATTTTCAAATCCCGACTTTCACACCTCAAAAGCCTCTTCCGGTGTACTCGTCTTTTCCGCCAACTTCTTATGTATCTGTATAAATGCATCATCACAACTAAAAAGTACATCATCATTTTGTTGAACGTAATTGATAACATATCCACGAACAGAAATGACTAATCGTGACCACCAAAGACGATCCAATGAATTGAACATCTGCAAATCCAAATCTGGTTTTTGATCTGGGTGTGGTTTTTTTTCGCGGCGGAAACGGGAGGGCGGGGGAGGATGAACATACTGTTTGGAAATTAAAACTACAAATTAATGTAATTGCCTAATCATGTTAGGTTTGAAGGACTTATTTCAAAAGGATATATATATGATCGGGGTACTGTAGAGAATAGAATTTTGGAACAAAAATTCTTTGAGCTACTTGAAAAAATATCAAAATTAGAAATTCAGACAATTTCATTAGAAAACTTGGTTTAAAAAAGTTGAAATCTTCAAGTTCAGAACTCCAAAATCCCTGTGAAGCTTGAATGAACCCTGTTAAAAAATCTATGAAACTGGGAGAATTTATGTATTCTTTCTTTAAAAGAAATTTTGAATCTTATATTTAAATTCGATTCTGAAAATTGATTTCTGTTTCTAAAGTTCTCACTTATTGAAAAATCTAAATTCAAATTTCTAGTACATTTAATTTTCAGCTTTAATTTTCAGACTTATCCTCACCTGTTTCAGAACATCTTCAGATATCTCAGATTTCGCACTAAATGTCAAGTTCAAAATATCATCTTTTGGAAATAAATCCTTATCATCCATTGATAATGGCAAAGTCATATCGAATACTGAAATAAAAAAGTTTTGAGTTTGAATATGGTAAAATCAAATATAGCTAACAAGCGTAATAAAAGTGTTTTTTTGCAAGAAAAAAGTAACCAAACAGTGACACACCAAGAGACCCAAAACAATTGTCTTTTCTTCGTCCTTCTCCCCTCCCCCACACACACATTTCCTAAACAGGTTTTATTTTTAAATCAAACACTGAATAATGATGGTCAGTCAGAAGGAGGGACGTTTTGTTAGGTGAAAGGGCGTGAGAAGACGAAAATGAAACAAGACAATTGAAATGAAGAGAAGAACAATGGGATTATGAACTTAAGGTAAATTTCACAATCGATTTTCATTTTTGGTTTTCTTGTTTACTTTTTAAAGGGGGGAAAGTGGTATCATTTTTTTGAAGATTTATCAACAAGGAAATAATCTCTATAATTTTTTTTCAAAAAAAAAATCCGGTGTATCAAAAATATTCTCCATAAGTTCTTAACTTTTTTGTTGAATCCTCAAAATTGTCTCAAGAAATTTTTTTTTTGAGTTTGACAATAATTTTCCAGAAAATATTGATTTGTGAAAAAATCTAGGAATCGGAATTTACAGAATTTCGAAAAAAAATATTAATTTTTTAAAAGAAAGTATCCAAATGTTTCTTACAAGCTATTCAATTTTACAAAAACTGAACTCGAAAATTCCTCCATTCCCAATTTTCAACTTCCCTTCTTTCAAAAAGATTTTCCAACAAAAAAATCATTTCAAAAAATATTTATTTTGTCACTCTGTTTTTCTTCCATCCGCCATATTTGTCAACGTTGATTGGTCTCCGTTCGATCCCAAGAGACATTAACACAAAAACACATAGCCTCAAACTATTTACATTTCATTAAAAATTTCATTTTTTTTATTTTTCACGAAAAAAATAAATAAAGTAAAGGAATTGTTGTTGATTTACAGCGCGATACGTACAGAGAACAAATGAATTTGATTTTTGAAAAAACACCAGTCAAAATATTCTTTCAGAATAATTTTCACAGAAAAAATGACATGTTTAGAAACATGAAAAGATAATAAATAGGGGGACAAAAACAAACAAAAAGTAATCAACAATGGCAATTTTTAAAAAAGATATGCAAACAATGGACGAAGCCAAAATGTATAATGTGCATAATACAAGCCAAGCCAGAATAACTGTGAGAATAACATCTCCCAATTATTTGTCACGATTTTTCGACCTTCTCCAGGGAAAGCTCCAGTTTTATAGAAATCGGCGAGAAGTTTGTCTTTTTGAATATATCTTTCATAAAGGAATTCTTTGAGTTTTTCCTCATCTGCCCATTCTGGATCAACTGGAATCACGTCGTAATGAACAGCAAAGCGAGATGCGTCAACTGTTGGCCAATCACCCATCATTGCGTCACCTGTAATTGATAGAGGGGTGTGTTATGTTATGTAGATACACATTTTTAGTATATTGAGTTACAATTTATGTGGATTATTCTTGCCAAATTCGAGAATATCAAATTACAAATTTTAAAAATTTTTGAAAATTTAGATTGTCAGTTTCTAGAAAAAATCAGAATGAACTAGAAAATTTGAATTTCAGATTTTGTTAGATTTGACTTTGATTTTTAAAAGAAGGAAATCATTTAGAAGAGCAGACTTTTTCTGGAAGCTTCTCGAACATTCGTTTTAAAACACACTTGGCGAGAGAGTGTCCCAAAATTTTTGTGCAGCGTGAAAATTTTTTCAGAATAAAAATTTTGCAGCGTGAAATTTTGTATATTTTCATCAAAATCCGCTGAAAATCAATGAACACTTCACTTTTTCGTGAAAAAATGTGCAAAAATATTGAAAATTTTCATTAGCTTCCCGCCCGAATCGAAATTTTGGTTTGGGCGGGAATTTTTATTTGAAAATTTTTGTACTGTATCTTTTTGGACACGTCTCGTCAGGCGTGTTTTAAAATATCAAAACTCCAAAAAAATCCCGTGGAAAATGGCTTGAAAGTTCCAGAAAAAAACCTTCGAGGATTGTACTAATTAGAACATGCTCTTTCAAATGAGCACAACTCATTTTTTGCTCAGACTTCTCCTTCCAAAACTCACCAAGATTTGGAACAATTCCTCGTCGATAACCAATAGTCGCATCAATAATATATTTGATTGGTTCCACATTTTTCTCTCCTTCTTCTAGCAACTTTTTTGGTCCCAACACTTCCAATACCGAATGAGCAGCTCCAGTTCTTGGATAGACACAATGTTCCAATGGTTTCAAGTTGTTCTTTTCGGCAAACGATTTTCCACTTTTTTTCACCAGATACAATCGGGATCCTGTAATAAAACATTTGTTTCAAGTTATGTATGCTAATTAGGAAAAAACAACCTTCAGGATACATAATAACCCATCCATAATCATATTTATAGAATCGTTCTTTGAGGTGATCTTTAAATGATTGAAGAACACTGTCTCGTTTGTTGGCTCCACCATTGACAAAGAAATTTCCATGAGTTGTCCACATCACGCCCAATGGTGTGAATTTCCAGATATTATAGATCACCCACATCCACTGAAAAGTGAGAATTTCAATTTGAATAAAAAATTTGAAGCCAATAACTCACCCTTTGTCGGACACTTCCTTTCTCATTCAAACTGTTCATCAACACAAAATGATCCAATAATCCCAAATGATTAGCCAACAGCAAACACTTCTCCTCGGCATAATTGTGCAAATTGGCACCATATTCTGTCACCGTTGAACCGCAATACACTGCACACGCATTCCAATGAGCATTCACCATCCCGCATAATTTGTGCTCAAAATAATTGAAGAGTGATATCCGGAAAATCGATAATGGATAGAGAAGTGTTACGGTGATGACGCAAGCGACTGGGACCACCCAAGCGGTCATAAAGAGAAAATATGCGGCGCCTGGAATATAGAGAAGCATTTTTTTTTGAAATGAATGAGATTTGGAATGTTTGGATTTTTTGAGATCACAAAAAAATTAAAACATCTGGATTTTTCAAATAAACAAATTCCAAGTGTTCAGAAATTTTTTGAACAAATATAATATAAATAAACTTTTTTCTAGAATGTAGTTCTTGAGGAAAAATAATCCAATTAGATTTTGGAGCAGGAGGAAACGGGCTCAAAAATAGATATTCATATATCAAAATTATTGATGTTGTTTTTTTGCTCGAATAGATTGAAAAAAAGGAAAATTAGGATTTTCATCAAGAAATTTTCTATGATTTTTTAATTGAAAAATTTGAATTTTGAAGGGAGGCTGTATGTTTTTTTCCCAGATTCTATGAAAAATTTTAGCTTTGGGACCACAGAAATCAAAATTTGGGTCGATGTTTTTTCTAAATTCCAAAATTTTCTCAAAAATGTTTCAGAAACTCCAGATTTTTTTCCCTAAAATTCCAAAATTTCTCATGATTCCCCCACGCAACATGTGTTGTTTCAGTAAACATTTTTCTCAAAACTGCAACATTTGTCAAGCCGAGTTTTTTTTGTCCAGATCAAAAACTACCATGTTCATTTAATTAAATCTAAGAATTCTAATTTAGCAAATGAACTTTTTTTTCTTTGCAAGAAAAGTCGAAAGGTCGACCACGCCATTTGTTTGTTTGTTATCAAACAGTATTTTTTCTTTCAAAAAAAAAATAAGAAAGTATAATATGAGTCATGTTAAGTAAATAATTTTGAGAAAAAACTCACCAACAAAGGCGATACATCTTCGAATATCCACTGAATATGAAGGATCCACTTCTTCCCGTTTTGTATTTACCCCAACTTCAACAACTTTTGGATTTTCACTATCTATTAGCATTCTGAAAAAAAAGGAAAAAATTGCCACACATGAATGAAACAATTTTTTCGAATATTTATGAACACGAGTGAGCGAAACAATTATATGTATTTGGAGAAAGAGAGTGTAGCTGACCAAAAAAGTTTTTTTCTGATAAGAAAAAAAAGAACCTAGGCAAGTAGCAGAAAATGGAAAAAGAAGTAGAAAAAAAAAGAAAGCGAAAAATAAAAACAAGTGCAAAACAACAAGAATGATGATGCACAAAGGACAGATGGTGTGGTTTTTCAGTGGAAAAATGTGAGAGACGGTGAGAGAGAGAGAGAGAGAGGGTGGGAGAGAAATGCAGTATTATTCAGTTAGTTAGAGCAATGAGACATCATTTGAATACGTTGTAGTTTGTGGGTGAAGTTTATGGGGTGTTATCGAACTCGAGAAAAAAAAGTAAACAGATTTTTGGGAAGGTCAGGGAATTTACATTTTTTTTGGAGTCTTGTGTTTTCTGTAGGATAAATATCTTTGAAAAAAAATAATTTTTGGAATTCTGGGAAACTGGAAATGACAGATCTCAAAAAGCGTTACGTTGCAACGTCATTGCTCATGTTATATAAAAAGCCAATCAATTTTTCAGTGTTCTAATATTTTCCCAGAAATAACTGACATTGAGCAACAAAAATTTCACATTTGTATCAAAAAAGTGTTTTTTTCCATTAAAAATTTTTTTTTTCGGATAGAAAAAATTGAACACCTAAAGCCAGTTTTGCAAAAAAAAAAGATCCGCCCATTTTCTGAGAAAGTCCAATTAAAATTTTTGCCGACAAAGGCAGAAAATTTAAATTTTTTTTGAAACATACATAATTTCATGAATAATTAGAGAGGTGGAAAATTGGGTTCTGAAGCTCAAATAATAAAAGTATTGAAAAATAATTTGAAAATTTGGTGCTCAAAATTTTATTGTTGATAAGAACGCACTTACTAAATTAAAAATGAAATCACTGGTTTAAAATTTTTGAAAAGTCTTGATATCATTTCAAATGTTTTGGAGGGATTAAAAAATAAATGAAAATAAATTCAAAAATTCTGAAGGACTTGAAATATTTTCAGAAAACTTCTATCAGTAAGGAAACATTAAAAATTCAATTTTCAAAAAATGATAATTTATGATTTCGGAAGCGCTCTTTAAATCACTGATTATCAAACAATTCTTATCTGGAAAAAATGTGTCTAAAAATCACGCCAAAAATGTGATCAACTGCTAGAAAATCTCCTCATTCACTCACACGTTATGTTCTGTTATCAAGCATGACCAAAAAATCTAGTTATTATCTGTTGCAACTTTTTACACTTCCAAACTTGTCTGAATTTTTGTCGAAAAAAAAATTGAATAAAATGATGATAACTGGGTACAATGTTCATGTGATCGGTGAACAAAAATAACAGAAAACATTTGTTGAAAAATAATTATTTCCAAAAAATAAATTGTTATAGGCTAGCTAGCTGATTACTTTATTCTTATCAATCAAAAAATTATAACTCCACTACAATATGAATTTTTTTTGAAAAAGAAAGAAAAACTGAAAATGACACGTAACTAAATTTCAATGGTCATTGAAAAATCGTTCTAACATAAAGAGAACAGGAAAAGTCAAGTTTGTAAACAAGTTTATTTATTTATTTTTTTGGATTATCTTTTCACATATTTTCCCTAGTCAAAATAATATTTTTTTCTGCAAAAAAAAAACTTTTTTCGCGATCTAATTACCTGGTTTTGTTAGCCAATTATCTATATTTTCGGCGGGAAAAATACGTTTTTTTTGAAGAAAAAAGCAAAAGCAGAAATTTTGAAAAATTCATAGGTTTCTATGGCAATTTGGTACATTATCTCATAAATTTTGAAATGTTTTTGTTTATTTTTTCTTGGGAAATCGTAAAAATTTGTGATCTGGAAAAAAGATACAGTAGTTTGAAAGCTTTTATTGAGATTTTTATGGGGATATGAAAATATTTTTTGAGAAAAAAAAAGAAAATTCCCAGAATTTCATTAAAAATGGAAAACAATCGAGAGAAAAGTATTTCAGAATGTGTTTTGAAATCAATTTTCTTCCGAAAATCCAGTTTCAATTTCGAAATTTTGAAACACTGAAATTTTCAATCACAAATGATCAAATGACTTTTAAAAATTGTGTACATCATTCAAAGTCTATTCAATTTCAATTTCAAATTGAAAAATGTGAATTTGAAATTCAAATTCACAAATTCCTCCCAAAAATTTGCATTCGTCAGAGAAAAAAAATTCGAAAAAAAACACTGAATGAGAGAAAAACACATACATGTGTAAAACTTTTTTTTCGAGTAGTTCATTCATCCAAGATATCTAAAGAGAATTAGAGAAAGAAAGACAAAAAAAATGAAAATACTCGAAACTTTTGTCATAAGATTTGCATGTGTAACAAAAAAAAATACGTTTGAACTTGAGGTCAATTTTCAACAACTGCAGAACATTTCGTTGAGTGTTTTTGGTGAACAAATATTTTTAGTTCACTTTATTTTAAAACATCATTCTATTTTTATTTTATTATGTTTTTATGGCAGTGAAAAATGAAATGAGTCAGTTTTTGTTTTGCGAAATGAAAAAAAAAACAATTTGCTAGAAAAAAATGGGGAAAAAGGAAAGAGGAATATTTCTATCTCGAAGATTTTAATTCATTCCATCTAGAAATATGTCAATTGAATTCGAATGAAAAATGTGATTTTGTGGCGGCGGAAAATAAGAATATTTTAGGGGCAAAAGAAAGAAAAAGCTTAGGCTGGCTGGCTGAAAAATGAAAAATGACGCTGGAATTTTGAGCCTAACGGACGAGAAAACATTTGTTCAAGAATTCATGTGATTTTTTGGGGGGGGGGGTTCAGATTTTCTGGATTTTGATGTTTCAGATTGTGAGAAATCACCAAAAAATTGATAATTGCATATCAAACCCGATATTAAAGTTAACATTAACATTTCCAAATTTCAACAAAACTTTGATCAGCTAACAAAAAAACCCCAGAAAATCGAAAGAAAAAATCTCACGTTCTTTTTTTCTTAAGCTTATTATTAATTAATCCGCTACATTTTCATATTTTTCTGAGATTATTATGAACAAGAAAAAAAGAGAATATGTAAAAAAAATTGGATTCGATTTTTTGTGGTTTAGAAATAAAAATGAAAAAAAATACTTGTTAGACATCAGAGATTGAGTTATTATGAAACCCTCTTTCAGGAATGTTGAAAAAATAAAAGAAGGGTAGATTTCGAAATATTTTTTTTCCATAGCGAAATGTATTTCAAACAAAAATGTTACCTTCAAAACAAGTTCTGAACTTTCTACGTCATTTTAATTTTGAACTTGCAATTTTCAATGGAAAATTTTCAAGTTCGGTTTTTTCACAAATATACATATTTCTTAGTCTCAGGCCATGCGGTTTTATGGCTGATAATATGCTTTTTTCAGCAAGCAAACATAAAAAAAAGTGTTGAAGGGGAACAATTTTATGATAGGGGGAACAGAAATGAATGAAAGTTCATTGAGACTAGGGTACATGTGAATTTTGATCGAATGATTTTTAGGGGAGTTCGGAAGCTTGGATTGGATGATTTAAATTGTGTCAAAATGTTCGACTTTCAAATTACTAGAACTTAAAAAAATGTTTCAACAAAATTTTCATTCTTCTCAATGTATTGAAAATTTGCTGTTAGAAAATTCAAAGATTTTGAAATTTTGTTCAGAATTTGTGGTTGATTTTGTGAAAAAAACATGAATCACAAATGTTAGCTTGAAAGTTTTCTCATCAAAATATAGGTTATCTAGAAAGTGTCACCTATAATCAATTTTTTTCACTCGACAAACAAATACATTTTTTTTGCAGATTCAGTAAGCCAAAAATGACTTTTTGTCTTTCCTCAAAACAACAAAAATATTTTGTATTTATTGTAAAACAATATCAGAAAAACATAAAAATGTGAATAAATGGCAAAACAAATTTTGAGAAAAAAAAACCGTTTTCATCTCGGTGAACTTGAAATTTTAAGAAAAACTGGATTCTTTGGTCATTGAAATGACACCTAGATGAGATAGCTACAGATCGAGGTTAGAAAAAAACAGAGGAAAATGTGAAATTGAAAAAAATGGTGAAGAAATTTCTCATCGATATTCCATTTGTGTAGAAGAAGCATAGTTTGAACGTTGAAGTGAATATGAAACCGGCATAGAGAGGGCGGAATTTGAGTAGGCTGACATCATGTCAAATGAGTTTTGCTGAAAAAAATAGTTATTTTTGATCCTCTAAAATAAACTCTCTGAAACTCACCTTTGTTTTTTGTTTCAGACGACATCCAAGATAAATTGATACCATTGAGGAGATCAGGAAGAGGATCAGGAAGACGAGACATGCAATCATCGGGATTTTCCCGAATTCGGAAGGAGCACATTCTCTTTGAGGAATTGAGACGGATGGAAGTGGTACCACTGAAATTTTGGTTTACTGAACGAAGAAGAAACTTTTTTTTTGTTTTTTTTTAACTTTATTGCAGTTGGGGTTCAGATTGTCCAAAAAAACTCACATTCTTTTGATTCATTATCGGTCAAAATGGTCAAAGTATTGGTCAATGCAATTTCACTCATATCAAATTTATCATTAGCATTCGCAGTTTGATTTCCAACACTTCTCCGATGTCTGAATCTCAATCTCTCAGCTGTCAAATTCGAATTCACCACTTTTTTGAAACAACTTTTTGTGCATTCCTCTTTCTTCAAGCAAACTTGTAAAATACAATGTGCAAAAACAGTGCTTTGATTTCCAAATCGGAATGTTTTGAATTTCGAAAAATAGACCTAGAAAAACACCAATTTTTCCCTCATTTCAATCTCAATTTCAATTTCATTCACTTACTTGGTCATTCACATTGGCCAACGGGTCAATTATCTCGCTGATTTCGTCGACTGGACACCTGCCAAATAATATTTCATATGAAAGGTTTTTTTATTGGCTTCAGGCCACTTACCCGCTTTGTACAAATGTCATTTTCTTGGCATCTGGTGAATTGATATCTTCACGATCGCTGAACACACATTCTTTCGGACTTATTCCATGATACGCCACTGGAAAAAAGTGTTTTTTTTGGAATCAAAAATAAAATAAAAAATGATTCTTACAATCTGGAGAAAGCGCTACAAAAAACTCCACAGAATCGCCAATTTTCGCAGCTCGTAATGATTTTCCGTCCGCATTTCTGAACAACATCTCAACTTTTGGTTTTGGTTTTCCTCCCGTCGATGCGATAACTTCATGGCCACTAAAAATTAGTGAATAAAAAAAACTTTTTTTAATTGAAAGATAGCCTAACTCACTTTGAAACATCATTAAATCGAATAGTTTGCACACTTCTTGCGTATAAACAAAACACATGATTGATCCTCAAACTTTTCGAATATGATAAATCTGCATTGTCTTCAAGGACTACTGTAGTTTCAGCAGTACGGTGATTCGGTTGCTGGAAAATGAATTCACATTGATTTTTAAGAGATGAGGAGACTTACCAAATCTACTAGAGAAACATCACATTCTTTGCCATATGGAATTGTTAGGTTGAAATTTGTGAGACCTTTTTCATTTTTCATTGATGTGCCGCATGGATGACGGGTTTTGTGACCGTAGACGTAAACCTGGAAATTTACTTTATTTTGCGGATACTGTAGATTACTAGGAAAATTGAAAGAAAGATTGTTTTTAGTTTAAAATTTTTTCTGAACCTCAAAAATTACTGTAGCTCTACCGTATTTTTCTAACTCACTACTGGTTGAGATTTGGGATTGGCCATCCATTGCGAAACTTCTGGATCTGATCGATTTATCACAACTGTTAAGCTTTCTGATGAGCACGAAACTTCTTCCACTGAAAATTAAAATTCAATTTTTTCCCCTGAATTTCTAGAAAACTTTTCAAATCTCCTTCACTCACCAAATCCCTCTGTATTTTTACAAATCGCATTTCCTAACATGAGCAACAAACAAACCCATGAAAATAATAGGTCCATTTTGAACGACGAACAAAAAGAGCAGCTGAAAAATAAAAACATATTTATTTATTACAACAATAAGCACGGGAAAAATGAAATAATGACAAGGTGAGGGGAAGGAGAGTGAAGGTGGTCTCCATGGTGTTCACCCCTCGTTAAAGACCACCCAGCTTATTACCAATTAGGCTATTGTCTTGAGATGGGCGAAGGAGAGGAAGAGGTAAAATTTGAGCGGGAAATTGGAATTTATTGAGAGGTTTTGGTTTGAATTTTGCAACAAAAAATATTTTTTGGATTAATTGAGAACAATGAGAACACGAACATTTGAAAAATTTTTAGGGCCGATCACAAAAAAATGTTTTCAAGCATCGGAAGATCAATCTTCGAAAAACATTGTAGACCAAAATTAGTTTTTCGAGTTTTTTCAGCCAAAAATGATGAGATTTTTGAAACTTCTGGAATGATATCTGATGAAAATTGAAAATTGACCTTTGAATCCACTTTTCAGAAGACGTTTGCTGATTTTTCGTGAAATAAAAATTTTCAATTTTTTTGAATTCCGAAAAAATTATTAAAATGAGGAGAAATAGGGTTCTCGAAACTTATTTTCATCAGATATCACTTCAAAAGCTTCAAAAATCTCGATTTGTCATTATTTTTGACTGAAAAACTTGAAAAACTAACTTTGCTCTACAATTTTTTTGACTTACCGAGATTTGATTTTTCAAAAAAACATTTTTTCTGGGCGGTTTGATGGAAAATTGAAATATACACCAAGATTGTCAGTTATGTTAATATGAATTAATTATTTCACGACCACCCACGAAGAAAATCTAAATGTCGGTGGTCCTGTCTTCAAAACTTTTAAAAGATTGTAAAGAAATTCAAAAAAAAGAGCTGGAGCTAGAAAATTGTTCAAATTGGGTAGTTCAAGATGCTACTCACAGGTTTTCGATTTAAAAGTTATCAAAATAAATAACAAGCCCAAAAATAAAATGAAAAATTCACTCAAAACCCGTGCAGCAGCCGGAAATCAAATGAAACGATACAAATAAAAATGGTTAGGTGAGTAATTTATGAGAAAATGGGGGGGGATGGAAACGAAAAGCGATCCAGGAGTAGTAGGTAGGACCACCCCCTATTAGAAGAAGGCACCTGTCTCGGAAGTGCCAACATGACAACAGATGGTTGGTATGGTTGGCGGGAATAAGAAGAAAAATTGTGGGTGGTCTTCGAGAAGAAAATAAATGTGAGCGAATATTTGAAAAAAATTTTTGCGGGTGGTCCGAAAATACTTGAAGGTATTACATATGTTTCAAGTGTTTTGATGTTGTTTGTGTGAATATTGAATCTTGATTTACATACATATGTATATTTTTGAATAGGTATATCTGATTTGCTAGCCGGGTGGTATTGCATAATCAGAAAGACATGATCTGGATTATGAAGCACGCTTCAATTGTTTTGGGGGGCAATTAGAAAAAAAGAGATTTGGAAAAAAAGGTTTAAGCCGGGTTTTAGGCGGCGAAGTATAAATTTTTATTTTTAAATTTTCAAATTTTTTTTCGACCTGAAATGATTCCAAGATAGCTGCTAGGTTCTGAAATTTGAATTTAAAACTAATGTATGAACTTAACAAAATAAAATTTCATTTTCAGAACATAAACAAAAATGAATTCAAAAACTAATCCCAAAATTGTTTCTAAAAAGTTTTAATTTTAGTTTCTGGAATAAGAGTCCAAAGGTTTATTTTTGATCTTTTTTTTGAAATAAATTCGAATTTTTTTTAAATTACCAAAATTCAAAATATTTTGTTCTCCCAATTAACAACCACCTAATTAGTTGTCTTCAAAAGCTTGCCTAATCTCTTCCGATACAAAAATCCTGAAAAACAAAATCCTTCTTATTGTCGGCTCCTCAGCTCATCGGCTCTATCAAAATTAATGAGCAACAGGACCACCTGGTTGGTTGCGGCATTTTCTTCTTATTCCGGATCATCATTACATCCATATTATTATTATTGTATTCCTTCTAATTCAAAAAATTGCGGCTCATTAATAGGGCATTCATAGGTATATATTTGTAGGTAAAAATATATTCAATCATAAATAAATATGTTCATTAGTCAGTCACACCATAATCTTATACAACGTTCAGCAAAAAAAATTATACAAAAAAGGGAATTATGAAAAGGGAGATCTTTGACATCTAAAATAGTTATATGATAAATTAAGTCGGAAAAATTATAGAATAACTGAATCTGTATCAGGAGTAATCCAATTAAAAATTGAATCGTCAGCATCGATGATGTTGAATTTGATTGTCGTATCCTAAACGTTTTTTCTCAAATTTTCCAAATCTCCAGAAAGAAGGCGGGCAAAAGATAGTTGCGGAATGAAATCAAAACAAAAAAAGGAAGAAAAAAAACTAAAAACAGGGTGCAAAAAGAGTCGGAACATAAAAAAATGGAATCAGAAAGAAATCAATGAATGAAAAAAAATCAAACTCGTTGTTTTTCATTTGGCTCTTGAACTACAAGCGGACTCATCACTGCAATATCTTTTTCTTTTTCGAAAGTTGAAAGACGCGAATCTGGACGAAGTGGAGATTCTGCAACTTTTTGTTATCATATTTGAGTCATGCACAAAAAAAATTAACATGCAGACAACAACAAAAAAATATTTTGACTTACGAATTGCTATCAGTTCACTAAATTCTGGTCTAGTGTTGGTTGTTATTGCGTGAGATGCGGGGCGAAGTCCACCATTTCGAGTGTATTTTCGCTCAGAAGTGTTGTGAAGCTGGAAAATTATTTAGAAGATTTTTATTTATCTAAAATTTCTCAAACCCAAGTCTGAAAAATCCTCTCACCTGTCGGTTCAGTAACCCATACAAAATAAAATTCGACGCCGAATTAATATACGGTAACGCATGTACACCATACATAAAATAAATGAACGCATAAGTTGGCGGTGTTGAATTTTGCCTCTCGGTTTGATACAATTCTTCATACAATGAGTACAATATGGAAATCCAATAGGGAGTCCTGGAAAAATAATTTACATAAGGGTTTCTATCTGAATTCTCTGAAAAAAAATGTTTTTTACCAGCAGATGAAGTGGAAGGAGCAAATTGCCAAGGTATAAATAGCAATATGGCCGACTGGAATTTGCAATTTTTTATCTTCGTTACTTCGTCGACCGGCTAATGTTTGTTTGATTGCTTTTGCTTGTTTGAACAGTCGGATGAGCATTTCATAATAGAAATAAATCATGAAGAGTAGGGGCATTAAATAAGCCTAAAAATTTTAATTTTAAGCTTAAAAGCTTTTTGGAATTTTTCTTTAAAAATTTAATGCATCACGTTGTTCAGAACGGCCGATTTTACAAAGTCACAAATTCAGAAAACAATTCTGTGGGTCAGAAAATAGGATTTTAAAATTTTTGACTTTGGTAAATCAACCTTCCTGAACATTGCTTGTTCTCTGTTTTTAATAAAATATATTCTAACATGCTCTCAAAACACCAAAATTTCAAAAATTCTCCACTTTTGGCTCTATAGAGAGTCGCTTAGAAAAAAATGAAAACTGGATCTTTCTCCGCGTGAAAAACTGTACAGAAACATGCTTGTCTTGTTGAAAATCTCCACTTTCTTCGTGAGCCTTTTTTGAATTTCAAAATTGTTAGCAAATCAATCAGATTGTTTTATCAAACCTACCAAAACAAAACAATAGAGCGTGAAAACAATGAACAACTCTTGTCCCAAATCATCAACACATTTATACAAATGCATTCTTGTGATAACTTCTTGAGTCACATCAATTTTTTCATGCATAATGAGCTCTTTTGAATGAGCATAGAGGAGAATCGGAGACAACATAATACAGGTTACCAAAAACATTGCACCAAGAAATATGAAAACCGTTCGTTGATTGCGGACCCGAATCTGAAAGTTATGTTTGATCTCGTACCACAATATAGATCAAAAAAATTTCGGATTGCGTGGAATTTTTGATTCTGTCACGTTTCCGCGTGATGAGGGAATTTTAAATTTTTCCAAAAGGTTGACAAATTGAATTATTTTCGCGGCGACAATTGCATGGAATTTATTATGATGTGATTTGAATATTATGTTGTGTGTTGAAGTTTTGAACTCTACAGTTTCAATTTCTAAAATAAAAAAATCAGAATAAAACTTTTTTTTGTGAATTCATACTTTTGAAACCTACAAGTTTTTGAGCTAGGCTATTTAGGTCGAAATTTTCAGAATTTTCCGATTTTTTCACAGAAAATTCCATTTTCTGGTTTTCCGGAAAGTGATTTTTAGTAGTAATATCTTCACAATCGGCCAAGTTTTGAAGTCTGAATTTTGAAAAAAAATATTTTGATTCTTGGAATCTCAAACAGTTACTAAATCATCTGTAAATGAAAAAATTCCAGATAAAATTAAGTTTCACAACCAATTTAGTGCTGAAATTTTGAATTTGAAGACTTCAAAAAATTTTCCGACTTTTCTTTTTCCTGGTTTCATCTTTCCAACATGATGAAAACCGTATCTTGATTTAATTTTCAAAAATATTATTTTTTCTAGTTGTCATGTTCCAGAAGCAATCTTGATATTTCTTCAAAAAAATCTTTGTGATATATGTTACCAACTCTCCAAAAAAAACTTGATTAAAAAGCATATGAATCGGGGGTTGTTTTTCAAACTCAACAAAGCGGAAAGTGCACATCATATGGTAATTTTCCCATTGTCCTTTTTTTCTATGCCTACATCTCCTCACTCTTTTTTTTCACACTAATAAAATCTCATTCAAAATTATCATGTATTATTGATGATTATAATCACGAGTTAGCTTATTAGACTTATTGTGTTGTGTGGGTAAAAAAAAAGAACTTTTTTCTGAAAAAAAATGTTTTCTGGAAAAGAGGAAGTGAAACTTACTTGAAGTGGATGACAAACTGCGCAATATCGATCTATTGAGAAGGCGACCAGAATAAAGGTGCTGAAAATTTTGCCAATGTGTTCGAGAAGACGGAAAAGTTTGCAAGCAAAAGTATCGAACATCCAGAATCCAAGGATCTATAAAATCTCAATTTATTTCTGAAAAATTCCAGAATTTATTTTCTATACCTGATCAATAATTGTCATTGGAATCGGTAACATTGATAGAAAATCAACGATACTCAAAATACATATATAAGTTAGAGTTGTATTATGTCTTGATCTGCAAAAAAAGGTGGTTTTGATGTAGATTTTTGAAATCTGGTTTTTTTCTATTCAAGAAAAAATTAATGAGAAACAGAAACATTTTGGGGCTTCGGAAAATGCATGAGGCATCGATGGATTAATCTCTAAAATCAAGTTCTAGGAATTTGAGCATTTGTTGATGCTGGTTTTTCTGAGAAAGCTAGACATTTTTGGGAAGTTTTTGAACTCAGATTGTAATGGGAATTTTTTTAAGAGTTGAGAAAAATTAATTTTTTTTGAAAACTATTTCGGATTTTGCAAATTGAAAAATTGAGGGGGCTTGGATTATTTTTGAAACAATTTTTAAAAGACTTCCCTATGACTTGTTTCATTGAAGAAAATTTATAGTTTGAAAGTTTTGACACTGAGTTTTCGAAAATGTTAATCTAAATTCTGAGCTACAGTAATTTTGTTACAGTAACCGCATGTTCCTCACTTTAGAGAATACATATTATGTCATATATTTTTCGAATTACATCATTTTTCCAATTCAATTTCCTCAAAAAGTTCAGCTTGATTCCAAAGACCACCCGAGTTATTTTTATCCCAAATAAAAATCATTCAAATGAGAAACTTTTTTCTTTCTATAATCTAATTTTTTTCAGACACAAAATCATTGGACTACTGTAGTGCATTGTGAGAAATGCACGGAGTTCTGAGAAAAAGGGCCCAACTTTCAAAAATGGGAAAAGTCCCTTTTCTGAAAACTTTCTGAAAATTTTGATTCACAATTCTAACAAATCAGTTCAGCTCTTTTCATAGCTAATAACTAGTTAGCAAACTAATAATTAGAGTAAATCACTAATTTTCACAAGCTAGGCCAAAATGATACCTTCTCAAGAAAGAAAAATGACATCAATTTGACTTACCTTAAATCCTGACTTTTGACGTGATTCACCACCGCTAGAATTGCCGCATTTCCACAAGTTCCGAACATGAATAACAACGCATAAAATGCAGCAATGAGCATAAGCGAAGAATTGTCATGATTTGAAAGGGGCAAAACATAGGTCACAGTGTACTGTAATTTGACATTTTTGAAGGAACCTTATAGATCTGGGTCACTTACATTTCTATATCTGTCTTCCTGATCCTCGATTTTAAGATCCATTTGTCTCAAGACATTCAACCTGAAAAAAGAGGATTTTTAAATAAAAATTACATTTGTAAAATACAAATTTTGATTAGATTATCTGAAAGCAACATACTTTTCCGGATCAATTAGACCAAAATGATAGAACATAAAATATCTAGAGAGATGCAAAACGAAGAGGCGAACAAAAAACAATCAAGATATCTAGCGAGCTGCTTGAAATATGTGTACTAATGAATATGCGCGCGTGTGGCAAGCTTCAGTGGGCGGAGCCTTTCAGCAGCTCTCTCTATCTTTAACAGATTTTTATTTCAGAAGAAATGGCTCTTACATTGGATTTGATTGGAAATCACAATGAAAATCAACTAATTGTTATATTGTCTGGGGTAAAAATGAAGAAAAGCAGATGAGAAAACAATTTGGAAAAAAATGTCAAATGTGGGCGGGGTTTTCGAAAAAAAAAATAAGAAGGAAAGAAAAAAAGAAGACACAATGGAATTGAATTGGAAGTGAACAAAAAACTGAACTACTGTAATTTTCAGAGTATTTAAAAAACAATGTGGGTGGTCTTGAGACAAATTCGGATTTGATATCAAATCATAATAATTTTCCTTCATTGTGAACTATTAGTTTTTACTGATTTTAACCACAGATTTTTTCAACGTCACAAATTCTGAAAAATGATTCATAATTTGTTTTGCGAAAATCTAGAGTCTATTTGAAACTTGCTCGAATATTTCCTTATTTTTGCAATCAAATCGGATTATACTTTTTTCTTATTTTTCAAACTTTGTTTTTCTGAAGTCACATGAACCTTGAATTATTCAAAATGAAATAGTTCATCTTTGTTTTCAACTAACATATGATTGTAAGATCGCCAGATTATCTGAACGTTTTCAGAAAGATTTATGACAGAGATTTTTGCGATCTCGCTGCGAAGTTCAAAAATTCAAACTTCAAGAGACGAAAAATATGAATCAGATTGTAAGATTATCAAAATATTTTCGGAAAGATTTTAAGATTATGACTCGAGCCTCCAAAAATCATTTCAAAACATCTAACTATAGTCTAGTACGATACATTTCCCCGAATATAAAAATGCACACAAAAAAAATCAGCGCACCCTTTTCCAAAAAAAAAACCAAATAGCAAAAAAAAATAATTTGATTGAAGCCTAGAATTATTTATTGCTCATAGTACTTCTACTTCTACTTTTATTTCTCTCAACAATTTTTTTTTTCATATGTAATTCTAAAATTAGACAGGTTTTAATGAGAATAAGGGCGAGACAATCGATTTTTCTTATATTTTGTGAAGAAAAAGCAAAGAGGAGATGATCTCAAATATTTCATCCGCTTGGTTTGAAATTTGTTGTGAAGAGCAACCAAATACTATTTTTTTTCTCCATTTTTTCGATTTGCCAGAAACGAAAAATATGGTTTTCAATTTGTTTTCAATCTCAAAATAAATTTTACCTTTTCCAATTTCAAACAGAAATATTTTATTCTCATTTTCAAATCGGAAATTAACGATACTTGAAAAAACAAAATTAACTTCCGGCTCTTCAACGCCCCAAATATTATTGCTCCGTTTAGATTTCGAAGTGTGCATTTTTTTTTCAAAATAAAATCATCATGCACTTTCAATAATTTTTCATTTATTTTGAGGAGGGTTAGGCTAAATGGTGATTTCTACTAATTTTATTTTTCTGATTCGTAAGAAAATGACATTTTCAAAAAAAAAAGGAAATCTGGGGGTTTCGTAGAAGTGGGGATCTTTTTTGGAGAGAAAAAAAGGTCAGAGTTATCTGTATAATCTGAGCAATCTAGTGAAAGTTATAGAGTATAACCTGAGCAATCTAAATTTTGAAAAAAACTTCTGAAACTCTTACGCTTATTTACAGCCTGCTCTACGATTCACTTTTGATGCTGTCTAATTTATTTTAAGGAGGTTTAGGCTTAGGCTAGATGGTAGTTTTCACTAATTTCATTTTTCTAAAGTGACCTTTTACAAAAGAAAAAATCTTGTTAAACACCATCTGTGTGAGATTAAAAATTGAAAGTATTTTTTTTTCACGAAAAAAAATTTCAAAATAAGACAATTCTGGGGGAAAAATATGAATTGTTGTTCATTTCGAACCCTCTATTTGAAATTCTGCTATTTATTTTTGGAACGACAAGCAAATTAACAAAATCGAGAGCGGAATTTCGAATTTTGAATTCGGAATTCGGAATTCTGAATTACAAATTCACAATTTCGTCTGCATTTTGGCTCAACAAATGTTCGGGTTTTTGATACATTAAAAAATTGAAAGCGAAAAAAAGAAGGAAAAAAAGTACAATAGAAAATGAAAGAAAAATGAAATAAAATAATTTGTCGCATCAACAAAGAGTACGACGAAAATGGGAAGGAAATAAGATGTGGAGGGATGATTTTAATGTATATTTCATAGAAGAATACATCAAAAATGATGAGCTAAAAGAGCTTTTCATTTTGCATTTACAAAAAAGATTTTCGGCTGCAAAAATTTCTGAAATGCTTAAAAAACACAATTGGAGGACAGCGGGTCGAAAACTACTAGAAAATTTCAATCAATAAAACAACTTCATAATAAAAAGCAAACCTCGTGGGTGAAAATTGAATTAAGTTTATAAAATGTTTGAAATTTCGAAGCTTACGAGTTACTCAAGTTTATAAATTCAAAAATAATTTTTTCAAAAAACAATTTTGTTTTTTTTGGTTCAAGGTTCATAGAAATCAAAATTATTTTTTTATTCAAAATCTTCTAAAATTTTTAATTAGGAATGATGTGAAGTGCAAATTTAAAAAATTCTAAGCTTTCATAATCGTGCACTTTGGTTGATGACTATACGTTGCATATCCCTGATCTTGAGAGCAACTTTTTTTTTGGAATTTCATCGCAAAAATAAATTTTTTTTTCGAAACAAAAAAAAGTTGTCTACAAATTAGTAATGAGCTAATAATTATGACAAATTTTTTTTAGCATCGTGGGTGGTCGAAGTTAAATCAGCTTCGATCGATAAAAATTTCAGTTTCAAAAAAAAATAATTTTTCTTACGTAAGCAAAACCGATTTGTTAAAACCCGGATTTTCAGGCTCACATCAGGATTTTTGAAAAAAATGCGGTCATCCTCAAAATTCAGTAAAATTTCAAGTATGAAAACGTTTTTTTTTAACAAAAAAAAAAGAATTGAACAGAGTAGAGTGTGAAAGGAAAATAATTAGTAAACGCGCCCCAAATTTAAAATGTGAGAAACTTTTTTAGCTTCTTACTTTTTGCAGTATGATTCAGTTTTTTTTTTCAGAGAAAAAAATGAGAATGGAAATGAGGAAGTTGGAAATGAAAATGTAGAAAAATGAGAAAATGAAAAAACAGTGATTCTGGAAATTTAAAATAATTAATGAGAAAAACAATGGGTTTTGAGACGGATGTAAAACAAATCAGGTGTCTCGGAAAAAAAAGGTTCACAGATCAAATTCCTGATTTTTTTCATATATTAATAAAAAACAAAACTCACATTTTCAGCGCAAGATTAATATTTTTCCGCATGATCAAACTATAAACTTTCTATATATATTTTCCGAATGAAGATTAGTTTGCTTGAATTATAAAAAGTAGAAAATTATGAGAAATCTGGATAGAGTCTTATGGAAAGAATTTTTGATGAAAAGAGCGAGTTGGGATTTTTGTTTCGTTTATATAGAAAAACTATGAGAATTTGTGCGATCTTTAAAAATTTATGAGATTGAGAAGAGAATCATTTGGTTCTGAACATTTTGAAACTGATCTACAAACATATTTTTAAACCTATCCAATTTCAAACTTTATCCATTAATGTTTTTTTTTGAAATCGAATCCAAAAATAACAATTCATCTGAACCTTGCAGGAAAAATTCAAGATTCAAAAATTCAAAAGATGAAAAAATACTACTAATTGTTGTTTTTTCGTTCTTGTGTTTTTCTTTTTCTTTCCACCGCCAATTTCTCATCATTATTGCAGCAAAAAATTGAAAAATTGCAAAAAATTCTTCACAAGAAGAAAAAATGCGACGCGGAAATGAATTGAACAAAACGATATAAATAAATGAGTAAATGGGGTGTTTTCTTAATTTGAACATTTCTTGCATTATTTTACAATGTCTGAACTAATAACAATAACATTTTTCTTCTTTTTTTTATTAGTGGTAGAGGTCCTTTTTTCAATTTAAGAGAGCTACTAACAATAAATTGTCTGGAAAATGGATGAATGAAAAATGTGGCGTTGGGTAATAGTGCCCTTTTCTAATAGTAAAAATTCAGAAAAAAATCTATGGAGTTTTTTTCTGAAACTTGAAATCCAATATCAAACTGATGAACATTTTTTTAAATTTCTAAATTGAAAAATCGTAATTTAGGTTGAATATACAAGAAATGTACAGCACTCCTCTGATCATTTGTTATTTTGCACTTGTCTTCCAATCTACGATCTACTACAGTAACCCGATAACACTAATTTAGTCAATATTCAATTCAAAATGACTCGAAGAAATCCAATACATGAAATCAATTAAACAAAAGACAGCACCAGAAAAAAATGAGCGGGAAAATGAAAAATGAAAACAAGCCGATGAAAAATGGAAGATCGGAGAAAGAAAGGAAGGGAAAGGAATTTCAGAATTAGCTAGATAAAATAAATAGTTAGAAGGTCGATTGTAGATAAATAGGAACAGTGGGACGGGGGGGATAAAAGAAAAGGAAAAAATAAAATGCAATTTGATTCTCGTCTTCCATCTCTCGTCTTCTTTCTGGGTATATTCCCATTTTTTTTGCTCCGAACATTTTTGTTTTCTTTTTGAATATTTTATATCAAAACCAAAAACAACAGGAGGTGGAAGAAAACTTTGTTTTTCCATTCCATTACCATTCATTCCATTCCCCTTTTTCTTTCTGTCGTGTGCCGGTATCAACTTTCAGACATCAGAAAAAAGGGAACAGGGAATGAAAATAATACACACAAAAGAGAATATGAAAAAATGAATGAATTGGTGCACGGAGGTCCTTCTCCTCCCGATAAATAATTAGAGAGTCAATGGAAAATGATGTTTGACATTTTACGGGAGTTTTCTTTTGTTGGCTTTCGAGAATAGCAAATTTGGTTAAGAACAAATCTGGTTCCAAAAACATTCAACATTTTTTTTAAGAAAAAATATTTCTGCAACAACCTCATTCAGAATTTGAAGAACGCAGAATCTTTCACCTATGTTCCAGAAAAATCGAGTCAGATAAAAATGTTCTGGAATAAAATGATTGACATATAAAATAATTGATGTCAGAACTAAATTCATCAAAAAGTTCATTTCGCTGAAAAATGGAACAAAGTTCTCCAATTTTTCAGTTTTCCAGTTTCCAGCGATGAAATAAGTTTGAAGGTTATTTTCGAAATTGAAAAAAACCTTTCAACTGGTTAAAAACCATAAACCATTTATTTTTTGAGAAAAAAAAACAGTTTTCTGAACTTTTAGAAAAACCTTTTTTATCTATAAAAAATATTTTTTCAAAGTTCGAGGCATAATGACTTTAAATAGTCCGAGGAAAATCAAAAATAACTACCTTAAAAAAAGGTTGGGATGATTGATGAAACTAGTTCGAAATAAAAGAACACTCTCAATAATCAGTAAATAGCCTAAAGGAATTTCGAACTTTTTTCACGAGTTCTTTCCAGACATAATGAAAATGAAAAAGTTCAATATTTCTACACTTTTCTTTTGGGTAAAGCCTTGGAATTCACTTTCAAAGTTGATTCAATATGAAAAAAAAATGATTTCATATATATTTTCAGAAAATTATTTCTATTTCTCATTAAAACCCTAACTACCAGACAATAAAAACCTCAACGGAATACTAATTTAGACAGAACAAACAGAAAAGTACAACTTTTGTTGTTATTCGTATTTTTCCTCTTTGAATTCCTGATCTCCAATTTCCAACTTCACATTACCGTACTCTTTTTTTCGAGATTATTTATTTTTAGATTAGGAAATAACAAGGAAATTGATTAGTCTGTCAAATAAGTAAAAAAACTAATATAAAAAAGAAACTGAAAATAATTCTAAAAATATATAATTTTCAGTCGTCGGGGAGCAAAATGAGGAACAAAATCATCAAAATGAATCAGAACGAAATTTGATGTGAAAAATAATGATAAAACTAGGAAAATAACAATTGTGTTGTGTTTTTTTTTTGGGGAAACAATAAAAAACTATTTTTTTTAATGGTTTTGGTTTTGAAAAAGTGATTTTAAAGTTGAAAAAATCGTGGAGCAACACACACACGTGATCTTAAAAAGCTCATATATTATTAAAAATTCTATGATTCATTCAAAAGTCGAAGAAAAAATGAATAGAGAAGGAATGTTCAAGATCATGTTCAAGTGGCATTGAAAAAAGTTTCGTTTTTGGAACAGGTTCAATGAAATCTACAGCAAAATATGAAGTTTTATAGAAAAAAAAAAGAAATGAAACTGTAAACTCAGAAGGGGGATGAATAAAATATACAGAAAAACTTAAAAACTTCAAAAAAAAAACGCTGTGAAACACACATTTTTGGGAGAAAACCGGAAAAAAATAATCGACAAATAAAATAAAAACAAAGTTTCCGTTAAACAAAGGTCAAAGTGTAGTGTCGTAGTGTCGTAGCGCGTTGTTTGGTGGAAATTTTATTTATATTTTTATTTATTTTTATTGTGTTGAAAGTTATTGTATTTAATGAATTCAAGCAGGTTATTCGAGAGTCCCAAGCTTTGTGATCATGTCTAAAAATATTTTTGATCTACCAGAATTTTTCTTCCAAATATCAAGAGTAAATTCTTGAATCTATAAATTCCAAAAAAAAAAAATACATACTTTCCAGTTTCAACCCACATTGTCTTTCCATTTCTGAATCACCGAACTTTTTTTCGTTGTTATCTTCTGTCGGTTTTTGCCATTCTTTCAAAGTGTCAAAAAGCAAAGTGTGTGGAATGTTATTAGTTTTTGAGACACTACTCTCTCTTTCCCATACACACACACAAACACAAAACCGATTCGTTTTCGAATTTTTATTTTCACATTATGCCCGCCTGCAAAACTGATAAAGTAATGAATGAGACTCTTTTCTCTCTCATACACACCATATCAATGCCATATTTAAGGTTGGCACTAGGCACTATACGCCTTTTATCATTTTTAGTCCGCTTTTAATTTCCTTTCCATATTAAGCGTTATTTTTTTGTGGTATTATTGCGACTTTTTTCTCATGACTGATAAAAAAATCACTCGCTTTTTTCTTGAAAAATCTTTTTCTTCAAAAAATTTAATTAAAAAAAATATATTGGTTTCAGTCAGGATGATACACAATGTGCCAATTCCTCTTGATTCTCGAGCTGCTTTTGATTGCTTAGGTCGACTTGAAACTAGATCAATTGAAGAGAAAAAAGAGCTAGTTTATCTTAATGACAAATTTATAGATTTGATTGAAAATGTAAGGTTTTTTCAATAAGTTCCCATGAATTATTTTGATTTTTTGCAGGTTCACTTCCTAGAAGCAGAAAATCAAGTATTGCTACACGACAGAAATTTATTGAAGACTGGAATTGAGAGTGGAAACACTGGAATTGATCAGATTTTTCAATCGGAATTGACTGTGAGTTGTGGTTTATTTTTAGTGTTTTTTATTACTCTTATCGGAAAAAAAAACTATTAACATAAAAAAAAACTATTCTTTTTTTTCTTGATAGAAAAAAAAACTGTCAAAAAATGTGGGCCTTATCAAATATAGTTTTTGTGCTTTTCGGAAATTTTTGAGTGCAGATGATTTTTTGTGAAGAAGTGAATTCTACAGTCTAAAATCTCCAGAGTTAGAGAGTAACTTTTTTTGATCTACCAGAATTTAGGTTGTGATGTCTGACAAATTTAATTTTTTTTTTCTATTCCGATCACAGAAAAATGTTTGAAATCCTGAACTTCCAGATTATTCAAAAAACCTTGAAATTTTCAACTTCAAAATTCAAATATCAATCCCAGAAGCAACCCATAAACTGATTGAATTTCCAATCGCACGCATACGAAATTGTACATTTTTATGATCATTTCTCATTTCTCCAACATGTGTAGTTGATGATAATTATTAACAACCCCCGCAAATGTTTTTGCTGCAACAGAAAAATACACACATTTTTCTGATAAAAAATGTGTACAATTAATTGTTTGCACAATGAATGAGTGAATCATTTTTGAAAGATTGAAAATCGTTTATTATAATTATTGAGGGTTTGGCACAATTTTCTATAAAATCAAAAAGGAATTGGGACATCCACAGTATTCAAAAAATATGGTTCAATTTTTTAGACCATCCGCATTGGTGTTGAAGAAAAACAACGGAGCCGTGAGCATTTTGCAAACGAGGCAACATTGCTTGAATCGCAAGTTCAGGACGCTTATCAAAGACTTCAATCAATCAATTCAGCAAGCTTGGGAATTCCAAACGATCTTGATGCTGAACTCAAAAGATTGTCTGAAATCGAAGCTGAAAATGCACATTATGTTCGGCGAATTCGTTATATGGAAGAGAAAAATCGCAGTATTCGCGGTGGATTAGGACCAATTCAAGAATCAATCAATTTGATGAGACTCGTAAGAATATTTAGTGTTTTTTTTTTAATTTGAAAAAAAAACACAAAAATTTCAGAGAAAAGATCAAGCTGAAAGTTTGAAAAATGAGTTTGCCAATCGTCGTAATGATTTGATCAATAGTATTCATAACATGGAAGCCGAAAACAAATCGGTAAACTTTACTTATAAAAAAAATATTTTTTGAAATTCTTTAATTGCAGATCATCATGAATGAGCACAAATATTTCATAAGAGATCGTAAGGTCGATCAAACTGCGTTCAGAAATCAATTCCGTGCAGAAATCGATGCAATTCGACAAAATTATGAGGCTCTTCGACTTCGATCAAAGGAAGAAATCACAATTCGTCTTCAAACCAGAATTCGTGATATTCAAAGTCGAGTTCCAGATCATAAACAGATTATTATTGGAGAGTTGCGACAAGTTAGGGAACATATTCGTGTTGTTCAATCGCAAATTTCAGACACAGAATTGAAGGTAAATTTTTTTAAAACTATTTAGAAACATCCTCGTTTTTCAGAACACCCTTGTTCAAAACCTCATTGATAACATGCGCAGCGAAGCCGCTGAAAACACCAAGTTCTTTGAAATCAGCTTGGCAGAACGTGACGCCGAAACTGATCGTTTCAAAACTCAATGCACCCAACTCGCGATGGAAATGGAAAAACTTTGCGATCAACAAATTGTGAGTTTTTTCAAAAACGTTCCTCCAACCTCTAAATGTTTTTTCCAGACCCTCACCGCTGAAATTGAGCGTTATCGTAAATTGTTGGATGGTATCAGCGGTGTGAATGTAACCGGTTTGTCAAGCGTTAGTATTCCAAGAACCGGAGCATCAATCAGTGTTGGAACAACTTCAACAATCATTGAACATCGCGGACCAAGCCCTTCACCATATATTCCATCTCCTCTTGCTTCTGGAATCACTAACACTCAAAATATCGTTCATGAAGTTATTCAAACTGGGCAAAACGTGGTTTACACCCCTAACATTCCATCAGCAGCTCAATCTGGCAGTGTTGTTCAAGAATTTACCGGAGTTAGCACATATATCCCATCGCCACTTGCATCTGGAAATGATTATGCTAGAGAGATAACAAGTTCTGTGACAGGTTATACACCATATATTCCAGCACCATCTGCAACTGCTGAAAGTGTTGTCTATGAAACAAAACAAAACTCCTCAACAGGATATTCTACAGGATATGTTGCACCATATACAACTGGAAGATCGCTTTATGATCGTTATCAATCGAGAGCAGAATCGAGAGCCGAATCGCATACTGGAAGATCAGTTTCGTATCTTCCAACATCTAGAATCTATGAAGACACACATAAACACTACTCCTTGCCACCAGCTCCAAGAGTTTATACACCAATCCCTGCTCCATCTCCAGCTCCAGCAGCAGTTTTAGAAACTAGAGTGTACACACCAATCCCATCACCAGCGCCAATTCACGAACATACTGGAACTCGAATCTATCATACAGAAACTGTCAGAGAACACCAATCGAGTCATGGACACGAATATGGAACTTATGCCGGTTCTCAACAACAAACTGGAGATCATTCAAGATTCGCTAGCACTGTTGATAACGTTGTTTCTCAACATCTGATTTCAAGAGGAGTGCATTCGCAAAATGTTGGACTTACACAAACTACAGGTTTGCTCATTTTCTGAAAAATTCACAATCAGTTTTGCATGTTATCTTTTAAAACTCCCGCAAAATCAGCTCAACGTAAAAAATTCCAATCATTTTTTACTACACAATCAAAATTTTTTAATACTATTGTTTTAGGTGACAATTGCGACAGCTTAACTGATAACAAAACGCGTTTCATGTTTTTTTTCCAGATGAAGAAAGTATTGATTTGGACAATGTTCAAAGATTCACAAGATGGTATAAGGGACGAGTCAAGATTTCTGACGTCACTCCAGATTTCATTATTTTGGAGAACAGAAGCGCTAGAAAACGCGCCAATATTGGTGGATTCAAATTGATTCATAAAACAGGTTTCAAAAGCGTATTCCTAGATTTCCCAGCTCATTTGATCCTTGAACCCAAGGATAGCTTGAAGGTTGGTTAGCATAAAATTCTAAAATAATTTTCAAATATATCTTCAGATCTACGCTCGAAACTCGAACCATCCAGTCGGAAGTTTGGTGGTTGAAACTGATGAATTTGACACAACAATCTTGTCCGAAACTGCACTTCGAAATCAAACTGATGATGTGAAAACGTGGTTCAAATATGTTACCAACACTGAACATGACACACAATATTGATTCAACAATTTCATATTTACAATATCTGATTTATTCGAAAAATTACCCTAATAAATTTTATACTTAAAAATGTTTTTGAAAAAAATTCTAGCTTTCCTAGACCAAAATTTTGACATCATCCAAAGCCAAAGATTGAAAAACCTAAATATTCTGCACCCCGAATAGTGTGAAATGATTTTTTATTCATTAGAAAACTGCATTTTCAATTAAAAAAATCAACTGAATTGGCGAGAAATTTTTGTGTTGATTTTTAGAAAGTCCTTGGCGAATAATTAATAAAAAAAAAGATATTATGTTTCAGTTAACCTTTTTCTATTTTCTCTCGGCTGAAAAAGTAAATTGATACTTTTTCCTGTACATCTATTTGCTTCCGTCTATAAATATGAGAAATGAATCTTCCTCATGTTAGCTCAAATTTTGTCTAACTAAAAAAAGTGTCAATTTTCTTGATGATAGTATATATTTTTTTTATTCTGTGTTTAGAGAAGAAAAAATTAGAGAAAAACAAAATAATAATTTTTCAGGCAAGCGGCAGTTGGAAAAAGTGAAATTAATCAACATTCAGATGTTTTGTCTAGTTTTTTTGTTGATTTGTGTCAGGCCTAGAAATATTATTAGTCAAGCCGAGCCCTTCTCGCAAGAAGTCAGAAACCAGCAACTTTTTTGTCAAGTTAGCACAAGTTACCTTGAAAAAACACAGCAAAATTTAAATCATCTCAAGAAAAAAAAAACAATTCATCCATTCATCCATTCTACAAAAACCCTTTTCAGAAATTCATATGTTGTTTTCGACGAAAAAAAAAACGAAGACTCTTTTTCTCTTTATTATTAACTTAACTTGTGAAGAGAAAAAAAAATATTTTTGCACAATTTTTCGTTGAGTTTATGAACCTATTCATCTCTGAATCAGAATCACATGCTTAATTTACTTTTTTGAAAGAAGAGCAAAAAAGTTCACAGGATTAGCTGGAAAAAACGACCAAAAATGAGTCTTCTTCTTTCTCTTTTTTTCCTGTGCTTTGCATGTTTTTATTGTTGCAAAGAAATCTATGACGAATTCGGTCATTAATTGCAAAAAAAGTTGCCTGAAATTAGAGTAGATATCTTCTTCTTCTTCTCAAATTTTTCCTGTCAATCCGAAACATTTTCAAATCAAAACATATTGAGCAAAAGATTTATTGCTTTGTGTTTTGGAAAAAAAAGAACAATTGAAGATTTTTGAACTTTTTCTATAGTTTTTATTTTGAGTGTTTTTTTTCAAGATGTGGGCATTTTTTCTGAAAGCATTTCAGAGTTTTTTTATTAATTGAATTTTCAAAATTGTTTGATTTCTTTTTTTTGCGTGTTCTGGGATTTTTAATATTACACATTTTAATTGCTTTTTCAAAAAGCAGTTTATTTATAGATAGGCTTTTTTTCTAGGCCCAAATTTTAATTTACAGTATCCCCTCTTCTTTTTTAATTTTTCCTGACTTTTGGTCTTATTGCAAATAAAACTTTCCGTGATTCGAATTTCTATTTTTTTTTTCAAAACTAAAGATTCTTTTTTCCCCCACCCACTTTTCAAAATTCAAAACACGAATCATTTTAATTTTACGTCATTCTGATTTTTCGTATTCAACCCAACCCAACCCACCTTTTTCTGCATCTAAAAATAAAACAAAATGAAAGAATGAAAAAAAATCACGAGTGAACTCTAATCTCTTTTTTCTTATTTTTCATTCTCTTAAATTGAATTCTTATTTTTTGTTGCATTTTTTTAGTTATGCTTTGTTATTCATAACACAAAGAATCCAAAAAAACTCTGTGTGTTTTTTTTTCGTCGCAAAAAAAACAGATCTAGAAAAAAATATGTCACAAACAGAACAGAGCAAAAGTTTGAAAAATCAACATTTTCTTTTTGCTTTCTTAGTCTATTGCTCTATTCCATAAATTTTCACATAAATCTTTTTTAAACGAAAAAAAGAAAACAATTATTTTTTTTCAAGAAGGCAGTGTTTCCTGAATTTTGTATTTTTATTGGGTTCAGTTATTCTGAAAGCCAGAATACATTGAACTATGAATCTGAATTTTTAAGATTCTATGTGTGCATGTGAACAAATATATCATATTACACATTCAGATACCAGAACCAATTGGTTTTTTGAGTATTTTAGATTGAAAGAGGGAAGGATACTTGAAACCACTGTTTTGTTGAACAGAGTAGAATTTTTAGAATTCAGAAATCAAGATTTTCTAGACCATTTCAAGCTTCGAGGCCCGGAAGTATATAATTTTTGAGGGTCAGGCCAAAAATTCCAAAACAGGTCAGCTTCAAATATTAGATTTATCTTTCAAATTACCATAGTCTGTCACTTTTTTCAGTAAAATGTTTTCAAACACAAGAATTCAAACAAATTTCCGGTGTTGTTTCTGTCAAAGTTCAGATTTTTATTTTTTTGTTCTAAGTCTGCTCATTTTGTTTTTGTTTACATGACATCATATTTTCTAGGTTTCATTTATTTATTCAATTTTTGAATATCATTTCATTTTTTCAATCAAATAAACATTGATTCTATAAGTTTTTCTTTCCCAAGACCATTTTTATACCCAATTTGTCTTTTTTTCTCTGCAAAATTTCATTTAACACGGAAACATTTTTTTTCGGCCAAAAATTCCATTTTTCCAATCGAATTTTTGAGATAAACTTGAGATATGAAAAAATAACAATGGTTTCTTGGTTTTGTTTGGCCGACAAAAACTGTTTGAAAGTGTCACATGTTTTTGGAAAATTCTTTTGTTTGGTCGGTGGATTTTTGGATGTTTTTTTTTTCAAAGTTTTGATTTTTTGGAAGAATTTATTGCTTTTGTGATATTTTTGCACAAAGTTTTTTCAAAAAATGAATAACCCTACAAATTTTGATCATGATGTTTCAAGATGTGATAATTTCACTATTGTTAGATACTAGAGAACGCTGAACATTTTGAATTGAAGCTAATTGATAAGATTCTAATTATGTAAACTCATATGTATGAATCAGTTCGTTTCTTGAGTTGAAAAAAATTTGTCAGAAGCACGTTTGATTTTTTCTACTAGTTATCTGTAAAGATATATTTTCAATGAGACTGTTTCTGTACAGTTTTTCACTCTGAGAAAGATCCCGTTGCAGTTTTTGCTCAGCGACTCTTTCAAGAGCCCAAAAATAAGCCAAAAGTTGCGAATTTTCTGAAAATCGCGTTTTTGAGAGCTCGTAACTCATGTTAGAAAATATTTTATCAAAAACAGAGTACAAGGCGATGTTCAGGAAGGTTGATTTACTAAAGTCAGAAATTTTGTCAAAATTTTCCAAAAATTTGCTATTTTCTGAACCACGAAATTTTTTTCCGAAAAAGTATGGATTTACTAACAAAAAATTTGTCTCTAACATGAGTTATGGGCTTTCAAAACCACGAAATTTCGAAAATTCTCCACTCATTTTTGGACTTTTTCAGCAAAAGCTGAAAACTATCGAGTTTATTATTTCAGTGAATCCTAAAACCGTAAGAATTAGAACAAAAATCTACATATGTCATTTTGTGACGTCAAAAGGGTCTCTTGAACAAAATCAAAAGAAGACTAGAAGTCAGTGCCCAACGCACACATCTTGAAATTCTAATTCTATCCTTCTCCTATGTACATAGCTTCTCTGAAATCCATCCACTGAAACCTGAGTACCCACTACTCTTGGCGATTATTGCCCATACTTGATGTGTGTTTCACATCTCCTTATTGCCTTTTTCTTCATTCTCGTTTTGTCTCCGAAAACCTCTCGACCTTTTTTGCTGGGCTCATTTCATTTCATCGCGGATGAGTTTGTTTTTTGGTGCCATTTTTTTTGTGTTTCTTTTTTGCGTTGTTCGTCCATTTTTGTTGCCAAAGATGAGCCAGATGACTAGAGCAAATAATTACCCGATCTTCATTTGCGGTGCGGAAAAAAAACGAAAAAAAATGATATTAGAAACCACTAATTGGATTCGTCTTACGCGTCGATGATGTTTTGCTTTGTTATTTTTGTTTCGCTTTTTCTTTGGGTTAGCTTTTGGTCAAATGTTTTCCCCAAGAAAAATCTATGGTTTCACATGTTTTGTGTCAAAATCTCAATAAAAAATGAATAAAAACACATCAATTTTACGACCAAAAAAGGGTTCCTGAAAAAAGATTGGATTGAAATTTGAAAAAGGAAAAGGAACAACTCAATTTCCCTATTGCGCTTCTAGAAGTTTCGCAGATGTTACACGATTTATTTTTATTTTTTTTGTCTCGCTCGTGTCCTCTTTGAATATTTTTTATTTTTATTTTTGGAATCAGGAACATCTGGAAGAGTTTTTTCGTGTTTTTTTTTGAGTGAAAGAGCTTTTAGCTCTGGAAAAAAAAAGAAAAAAGCTAATAGTATTTTGTGGTTGGTATAAAATAAATTGGGTGGAAATTTGATATCTCAAATTATATTTGAGTTTGTTTAAAGATATTTTGGTCCGACCATAAATACTTAAAAATTACTGTAGGAAAATTAGAATTCCAAATGTTTTCCTCAAACAATTTTTTTTGAATTCACATTAGGACCAATTTCTAGGGTTGGAAAGTTAGCTTTCGAAATTAATGTAATCTAATTTTTTCGAAAATTTCTTCACTAACAAAATTAAAATCAAATTCAATTTTTCACTTCAATATGTTTATATTTCCAAAAATTTATTTCCTATGATTCTTTTGAACTTCCTTCCTACACATTACCGTAGTCTTTTGATATAAAAAACGTTTTTATTTTTAGATTTTTCCCAGCTATAGAATATAAAAGTCTAAGAAGTCTTATTCATTAGGCTCCTAGTCATAGGTAAAGAACTTTCACACGACCAAAATCTTTTTCATTCTTTTTTTTTGACTATTCATTTTCTATTTTTGATGAGTTAAGTTAAGGATTAATAAAATAATAAAAAATAAAAAAATAAATATCCCATGATGATACGCCCTCTTTTCTTTTTTCATATGACTTCATCACTTTATTCCTGCCATTTGTGTGATTTTGCAAAAGACCAAATACATACATGCATAATCCAATCCTCGATTTTTCCTTCTCTAAATGTGTTTGTTTGGCTCTTTTTTGTTATTTGAAAATGTTTATGTAGATTTTGTGTTTCTGAAGAGCAGTTTTTTGGCTTTAATCTGATTAGATTAAAGTTCGTGCAATTTTTAGTTCAAAAATATTTTTCTCTAAAATTCCTCAAGATCTTTTTTGGTCTCTATGATTCTTAGAGCTCAAGTTGATATTTTTAGGGCGATGTAAGGTTTCATGGATTTTTTGCAGAAAAATATTCTAGAATTTTGGAGAATATTCACTAGACAAAATTCTGGCTTGAATCACCACTCATCAAAAACCTTTGGACTCGATAATTTCCGGACTTCCCGTTTACCCGGATGCCCAATTTTTTTTTGTAGGAAAAAATCAGGTTTCACATTTGTTCTTTCAGTTTTTCTTACCGTAGTGTTTTTTTCTGACAAGCGTTTTTCCCAGAGTCACAAAAATTTTCCCAGACTATATTTATAGAGATACAATTTTTTGGAAAATGTTGCGATATTATTTCCCACTCAATTTTTTTTCTAGTAAATTCCAGAAGCCACAAAGTATGGGATTGAACTTTTCCACAAACTAGAAAACTGAAATGATCCAAAATATTCCTTGCATTTTTGCACGCATGCTGTACATAAAAACACATTTTTTTTCTCACTAGAATTTTTTCGAATAAGTAAAACAAAAAAGTAAACGCATGATGAGTTAGAGAAAAAAAAAGATTTGCTATTAAAAAGAGAGTGCTCATTTTCGCCTTCCGGCATAGGCCTAGGATAGGAAGAAATAGCAACAAACACACGGAAAAAGATTTCGCACTTTTTTTTTCTCAACATCATTTTTTTGCATGATTTTCAACACAACATGAAGGAAATGCCATCAATCACAAGATTTCCGATTTCATTTTAGAAATGCCTTTATTTTTGAAATTATTTTTGAAAAACGTGTGTTTTTGAATAGAAGAAGAAGAAATTATTCGAAGAATATTTATTCTTGTTGACACATTTTAGACCATGTGTGTTGTGTTTTTACATATTTATGTAAAATTAATGGTCTGTCTGAAAAAGATATATTTCTGAACGTTTTCTGAAAAATTGAATTTTCTAGAATTTTTTGGTAGAAAGTTGAACTCTAGCGTAGAATTTCTGATCTGAACTCTAATATTTGACCTCTGAAGGTCTCTAGAGGCTCTGAAGGCTCTGGAGATTCTGGAAGATCTAGAAACGTAAACTCATATTTTCTGGAGGCTCTGAATTTGATCTGCTGAAAATCTGAACTTTAAATTTGATCTCTGGAGATCTATAGAGGCTATGGAGGTTCTGGAGATTTTAGAAGCGTGAAATAAAATTTTGAACTCTAAAATCGACCTCTGAAAGTTCTGGAGGCTCTAGAAGCTTTAACTAAAAGTCTGGAAGCCCTTGGTTGTAATTTCTAAAGATCTGAACTATAGGTTTAAACTAATATTTGTCTGTGAACGTTTTCAGTTTTTTTCCAGCTGAAAACCGTGTATTTTTTTTGAGACAGACAAAAACTTCTTCTCACTGAAAATTATGATTTATTCATTTTATTTACTACACACATATTTTTTTTTCGATTAAAGGACATGTTTTTCCGACAAAAATTAATTTTTCTCCCCCCTCTGTTTTGTGTTCGTTTTCACTAAAACAGAAAATATATATTAGGTTAAGGGCTTTTTGGTTGAATGACATGCGAATTTTCAGTTGGAAGCTGAAGCAGCTGACAAAAAAAAAAGAAAAAAAAATAGATATCTGATGTTGCAATCTTGTTCTGATTTGATTTGACAGGTGATGGACATCTGGGACAAAACCACAGATAGTTTTTTTTCTGATTTTTTTTTGTGATGTGAGGATTTTTAAATAGAAAAATTTGAAATTCATCATGATAAACTAGAGATTTTTGACTTCTAAATGTGTGGGTTCTCATTAAAAATTCACTTTTTCACTTTTTTGCAAGATTAGTTCCCGGTACTTGTTTACTTACAAGTGAAAAAGAGATTTTGTTATACAAAAATTAGATATTTTTGTCGATACAAAATTTGAATTCTGCCCTCAAAATATCCGCTAGAAAATTGAGGCTACGGTATTTGTTCATAAACATTTTTTTTTTCACAAACACCTGGTTGATTTGTTTATGAAATTTTGTTGTCAACAGATATATGAATGAATTTTTAGAACTTGACAGAACTTTGTTGGAAAACAAATCTAGACTAGACTGTTTTTAAAGCCCCATAACTTGAAATGTTAACAAAAACTAAAAAAAAATGTAGGTGGTTTTTGAGAAGAATCTAAATCCTCATAAGTTCCTAGTAAATCTGGCAAATCCAGTGAACTGATCAATTTTTTTGAATCAAAAGATGTTCCTTATTTCAAAAATCCATATAAAAATGTATTTCACCTTTGTTTTTGATCTTTAAACATACCAGAAGCTTTCAATTTAAACCAATAAAATCTAAAACATTGACCCCAAAAATCTCCATGATTTCTCCCCATAAAAATCCACATGCATACAAACACTCACACTTTTTTTAACGATCCCGCCCAAAATCCAACCATATGTTTTGTTTTCTCAACAAAAAAAATCATACGATTCCAATTTGTTTATTCTTTCATTTGCTCTTTCTTTTTTCAGCTTGTTAGACATCTCTAGTTATATTTTCAGAACAAAAAATATATATAATCACTGATTATCTTTGTTGTTTTCAGAAATGAATTCATCGAATGAGACTGCTGTTTCAATTGATGATTTTACGTGGTTTGAATTCATGTTTTATGAATGTGCAGGTGTTATCGGTGCGATTTTTAATGTAATCGTTTTATATATTGCATTACGGTATATTAACACCGAGGATAAACCAAGACAGGTGAGATTTTTCAAAAGTAGGAATCTTGAATCTTTCTCTTCCAGATAATTGTGATAAATATGGCAATAGCAGACTTCCTTATGTGTATTGTATATATGGTAACTCGGCCATATCTCACAAAATTCCCAATATTCCTTTGTCGCCCTTATTATATTGTTATTTGGACTTGTCAAATGAGCAGTTGTCTCAATTTGGTTTGGCTCAATGTTGATAAACTCATCTATATTCAATTTCCATTACATTACTATCAAATTGTGAATCGAAGAAGACTTTTGTGGTTATCTATGGCGACATGGGGAGGATTGTTGTCGTTTAATTTGGCTGTCGGATACTTTTTGAATGTTAATGTGAGTGAGCTACTTTTTTTGGAAAGAAAAAGGATGATAGAAAATTAGGTGGCTCGAAAAATTCAACATGTTTTAGTGAAGCTCATTTTGACACGTCATTCTGTTTTTCTGATTTCTAGAATTTATGCAGGAGCCAGGTTTCAGATTGCTTAAAACTTGTTCAATTTAGAAAAAGTGCAAGTTGGGACAATAAAAAAATTAGTGCAAAAATTAAATGTAGGTTTTCAAATAGAAAATAAATGTTCTGAAAAACGAACAAAAATGTTTTGAAAATAGTGAGAAACATATTACAGGTTTGAAATTTCTAAAACTCATAAACCCAGACTCAATTTTCAGGGAAGCTGTATTCAAGTAAGCGTCGATTCAGTGCTCTACGTTCTCAGCCCAATATTTTACGTTGTCATGATTATTGTGTCATTCTCTTTGTCAGCCTTGATTTATTGCATAGCTCATAATCTAGCACACATGGAAGAACGTCAAAGATCGGTATGTAAATTTGAATCTCTTGATGTTCAGAGTTCTAAACGAAAATTTTGCAGCGTCTCTTCCATCGTTTATTTTTCCTGTTCTCCAGCACTTTATGGACATTTTTCACATCACTGCCTTATCGATTGATGTATATCATTTTGAAGCATTGTAAGTTTCAACAAATCAGATGGATCCATATGACAACAACAAAATTTCAGGTCCTCAATGTGGATCACAGGCGTTTTATTGGTGTGTCACTGTATTTTTCCGCGTTTTGATTGTTGGAATTATGATGAATCCAGCGATCACAATTTGGACACAGAGGGTTTGTCTTGGAGATCTTATTAGATTCAAAACACAAATTCATGTTATTCTAGATTTATCGTCTGCGATTGATCCGAATTTTTGGAAAATTCCGAGACAACAGTTCCACTGAAGTATTGATGGTTTCAAATCGACGAGCTTCGGATAGACCTCCCGAGCATCAACCACTTCGATGTGATTTATAGACAAAACTGGATCAATCAATAATTTATCGATTTATGAAACATATCCAGCAAATTGATCTACCGGTTTCAATAAATAATAATACATAAAAATTAAATTTGTTTTTTAAAATAATGCATATTGATCTCCAATGTATTTTTTCTCATTTGAACTTTTGAGAAAATGTTGAGCTTTTATTGTATGGGTGTTCTTTGAAATGAAGTATGTTTAATCCCATTTTTCTTTTTGAAAATGAGAAAAAATGAAGAGTTCAACGAGATGAGAAAAGGAAATGAAATTGAGTTATGTAAATTTTATGAAGCAGAAGGTGCCCTTTTATGGTGTTTGTGGGTTTTCGAGTTTATTTTGATTTTTTGCCGAGCTTTTGGGTTAGAGCTCAAGATTTATCTGGAATTCTCCGATTTTTTTTTGTGCTATAGGTAGAAATTTCGCAATTTTTTAAAAAACCTTTTGCAAAATAAATGAGTTCAAAAATTCTGAACTTTTCAAACTTATTAGAGAGAGAAAACTCAATTTAGAACCTTTCTAATTGAATTTTGGATGTTTCAAAACTTCAAATTTTTGGTATTTTCCGCCGCTCTCAAAAGTAACACCTACGTTTTTATGTACATACATAATGTTTCATAACAAATTCCCGAAAACATGCCATCATTTCCAATTTTGGAAGAGTAAATTGAGGATAAAGAAGAAGAAGAAGAGAGGACAAGTAAAGTCTGGAAAGTAGTGGCAAAAGGTTTTTACTTCTTCTTCTTCTTTTTTCTTCTTCATCTCTTTCTTCATCCTCTCCAGACATTCAGCCCCTGAGGTATTTCAATCTTCCGAATGAATTGCCCGGGTCTCTCATCTCATCTCAATCTATTTTCCCTTATTTTTTGACTCGATTATTTTTATGTCACTTGCAAGTTTTTCGGTTCGCATCATTCTTTTTCTGGATTTCTGTTTTGGGTTGAATATTTTTGCTGTGAAAGTTTTATTTTGTTATTAGAACTCAGGAATCATCAAAATTGCACTTTTATTTTTGATTCCAAAACAAAAATTCTTTGGAAAAATCTTGAATTTTTCAAATTCAGAAAATATTTTTTTTTCCTGTAGGGCTTCAAAAAGTTAATTGAAATTGAAAATAAAAAAATCTCGACTTTTTCACTTTATTCAAAAATCCGGGTGAGCAAAAAATGAGCAATGCTCATTTCAAAGAGCATGTTTCAATTAGTAAGGATTTTTCTGGAAGCTTCTCAAAAATTAGTTTGAAAATTTCAAGGTTTGAATAAATAGTGAAACACCGTGTAAAATGGCTCTAGATGCCGAGTAATTTGGAGCTGACATTGAGTTTCTCTGTCAATTTAAATTTTTCTGAAAATTTATTGGTGGATTTTTTGACCAGGAGACAAACCTTTGAATTCAAATAAATACATATATTTCAAAAATTTATCGGAATATTTGAAAAAAATCTCACATTCTTCTATGAAAATTGAAATTACTATAGAAAAATTTCAAAACATTATGCATTTTCTTTTTCAGAATAAAAATTGTGCAGCGTGAAATTTTGAATTTTTTTTGAATATTTTCATCAAAATCCGCTGAAAATCAATGAACACTTCACTTTTCCGTGAAAAAAATGTGCAGTGAAATGAAAAAAATGTTGAAAATTTTTATTAGCTTCCCGCCCGAATCGAAATTTTGGTTTGGGCGGGAATTTTTATTTGAAAATTTTTGTGCAGTATCCTTTTCTCGTCAGGCGTGAGTTGTTCACTTTTTTGTCAAAATTTTTCGAAAAAAAATTATCCACTGTTCCCCCAAACCCTTTCAAAAATAGTCGTTTAGTCAAAAAATGCTTCCCTCACTCCAAAATTGTCACAAACAATTTTGCAAAATATCTTCTTCTCCTTCTTCTTGTTGTTGAAGTAAACAAGAAGTGGACACTCATCCAAAACCAAAATAAATTTGCACCTCGAAAATACTTGAATTCATTTTTTTTCAAACCATCCTTTCTTTGGTTAAGATTCAAACAATTTTAAAATAAAAAAATATTTTTTTCAGCCAGTTAACTCAAAAAAAAATAAACGACCAACCAAAAAGTGAAAAAAAGGAAAGAGGCCGCCGAAATTAGAGAAGCACGAGAAAAAGAGGTGAAATTGGTTTGAAAATGGCGCTCGGTACAATTGTTGAGGAGCAGTCTTCCAATTTTCAAACGCCTATTTCACAAGAAGAAGCTGACGACGACGAAGATCCCTCTTCATTTGTTATTTCTCCACAACAACAAAAACCGACGACTCTAGCTATTAGAGTTCCGATTCCGATCACAACGACGTCGACAAATTTGCCAAGAAATATCGCGGCGCGCAATTCGTCCGTAATTGTGCCGCCGATTATTATTGATCCGAGTGAAATGAAATTTGGTGAGAGATTGTCAAAGGTTAGTTTTAGGTTGAGATCTTACAGCCAAGTTTAGCGATGAAACTAGAATATTTTTGATCTACATTTTTTGAAAAAATAAGTAAATCAACATTAATTGCGTTTTTGATTTTTCAACAAAATTCATAATAGTTTCGAAAGAAGAAAAATAATTGAACAAAAAACATCATTTTGTTTTCAAAACCACAACACACAATAAAAACCAGCTTTCACCAGTTTCGAACAGAGTAAATATATTGAACAAACCTTCCTGTTCCTCTCGTCGCCCTTATAGCTCAGTGGTAGAGCGTTGGTCTTGTAAACCAAAGGCCCGTAGTTCGATCCTGCGTGAGGGCAGATTTTTTTCTTTTAGTTTATCATCGAAGCTCGATGCACTGACAACATTTTATTCTCCGGTGCTATGATGGTTGGCGGATTTGTTCTAGTTATGCAAACTTTTCCAATCTTTATGAATAATTGGGTTCTTCTAACCGAGCCCAGAAATATTAATAAGACAAATGAAAATGGGGAACAATTAGTGAGTTTTTTTTTTGATTTTTTTGATCTAGAAATTTGAGATATTTTTTAGGAAAGCACATTTCACTACAACACGGGTTATTTTCAAATTTGTCGTTATCATATCAACAACAATTCAGGAATCATGTATGATGAAATTGAAATTCCTAGTAAGCTCTGGCTTAACCTTTAATTCTCCAAAAATATAAAAAACAATTCCAGGATCCGAAAGTGACTATAAATGTTTTCTAAATCCCCTGTTCTCTCAACTGGATCACAGCGATTTTTCACTAGCAAGTCTGGCAGTTATCAGTGAGTTCTTGAAAATCATTTGTTGAATTTTTGAAAATGATTAAAAAAAAATTTCAGTCAGATTGGGCTCTCCGGCTCTTTTACACGTTAGTGGTGCAATGGTTTGCTGTTTTGCGTTTTTCTTGGGAGTTGTCGGACATATCAAAACATCGTTTTATACGCTCTTCTCGTCGATCACGTATATTTGTGGGAGTGAGTAAATTTTTGAAATTTATTAATTTTCAAGGGAACTTATCACATTTTCATTGTCTAAAATTGCAAAACTCAATTCCTAACATGAGGTATGACGTGTCAAAGTTCAAAATAATTTTCATGAAAATCTGAAAGCATGAAGTTATTCAGGATACATTAGTTTTAAAAGTTCATCCAAAAATTCAAAACTACCTTTTTTACCAAACAAATTTTTTTTAAGAACACATTAATTATGTAATCAGGCCTTCTGAACAACACTATGCCATCAGATTTTCATAAAAATAATTTTGAAAAAAATTCAGATCTTCCCGATTTTTTGAAATTTTTGAACTTTGTTGAGTTATGTAATTGAAGACGACGAAAATTACTAGAAAACATTTATTTTAATAAAAATCAAAGTGAAAACTGAAAATCAAAAAACTCTAATTTCAGTGTTTAGAGGTTAAATATTTTCAGAGAAGTCTGGTTTTTTTTTCAGTTCACTTTTGAAAATTCCCCAAGGGATTCCACACAAATAATATTTTTCTGCACTTCCTGGTCTACCTTTTAACCCATTATTCCAGGCATAATACTGTGCATCGCCGTTCTAATGGTTGTTTGTGTTGTCGATGATGAATTGGCACCAAGAATGAAACCGAATGCTGCTGGAGAACCCAGTAAATTCAGCTACATTTATGGTGAACTAATTAGTTTTTCTCTTCTTCATTTCCAATTTTTTAGGACCACCATTTTTCTCGTCAGCTCTTTCATTTATCCCCGTTCAAATTTGCGCGTGTCTTCATGCTTTTTTGTATTTTCGACGATTTCCATCGGTTGTTGAAAAGTTGAAATTTGTTCCGGGACTCGAGGCGAAACGTGAGTTGGTAAAGACTGAATTTCAATGATGTTCATCTCAATTTTCAGTCCGCCGTGCTCAACTCGATAAAGAGCTTGGAATCCCACCACTAGAAAGTTTGCGTAGGGGATCATTAGCCTCCTACCTACCGATTCCAAATTTCAGCCAAGGATCGAGGAGAAATTCGAGAAGATCAAGTCAAGCTTCATTTTCAAATCCAAGTTTATTGTTTATGCAAGAAGTTTAACGTGAGAAAAATATCAATAAATAAATTTTTCGAAAAAATCAATATTTTAAATAAGAACTAAAACATTCATGATCATTTGAATGATCAAAAGAACACTGATTATTCCATCTCCAATATCAGCCAATTCCATAAATGGATTCAAAACAGTGCCATCTTCACATACTTCAAGATTTTTATAATCCCAACTTCGAATGTTAATTGTGAATGTTCTCCAAAACATCAAAGCTACCGTTTCGATCAATAAAAATATTCCAAGAGTTCCAATAAGTGGCATAGAATTATAATCTGGAGGGAGACTTTCGAAGAGTTCCGTCATACTGTAGATCTCATAGACGAGGCAAATCATAAGCCAGAAGAGACCATGAAAACCTTTAGCAATTCCAGAAATTCCAAGGAACCTAGAAAAAAAATATGAAATTTGTTTAGAACATACATAGAAATCTTGAACTCACACAGTCTGACAAATCATTGGTAAGGCCATTTCTACAAAATATAAATTTTTCACTCTTTTGAACACAAAATTATAATTGAATATTGGAATCGCAAATCTCTCTTGTGACCTAGAAATGAAATTTTATTTATATCTTTTCGAATTCTCAACTAACTCATCAACTTTTTGCATCCATTTTCCATTAAAAAGATATCCACCTCTACCTTCAGCTCTTTCCAATTTGAAATCATTCATATGTGGAGTTTCCTCATATCTTTGATTTCCAAATTTGATGACTCCAGCTGATGAAAACCTCAGTTTATTTCCATATTTTTCAGTATATAATTGGAATGAACAATTTTGATAATCATTTGGATAGAGACCAAATGTGAAAAAACATGTTGTTTTGATATGCATAAATGTTGTCATTGTTACAGTTCCATCATATTTGATTCCAATTTCATTGTAATAACCCATCAAATCTTTATCATAATGACTGGAAAACTTTGTTGAATGTTTTGTTTCAAATTTTCCTCAACTCACATATGGTTTACATTAATTTTTGGATAGGTAAAGTTGTATCTATTCTGGTAGAAATAACTAATAGGATGGGTGATCACTTTAATCTTATCATAATTTTCTGGGTCCCATTTCAGACGAGGATCGATCCAATTCTGCGAAAAAAAAATTTGTTCAAGTTTAGAAATTTTTTTTGAAACTCACAATTTTAAAGCTTCCATGAAGTTGCACAATCTGTTGTTCTTCATCAATCGCACTAACATGTGAAATAAAAAGCATTGGATGTACCTCATATCGATCATTGAATGGTTTTTCATCAAGTCCAGTGAACAAATCTTTGTACAATTTTGTCTGAAATTCACCTTGTAAAAAAGTGTTTTGTAATGGTGGAGTCTGATATGAAAACCGAATCAAAAGTTGGTCTCGTGGTTTAAAAAAAAGCCATTGGCAGAATTTTTTTAAAACTCGGAGTTTTCAGAGAAACACAGCTCCAAACTATTGGATATCTGAACTTTTAAGGCTTGAATTTTGAAAATTTTTGAGTGATTTTTGAGAAGCTTCCAGAAAAAATCTTCGAGAATTGTAATTAGAACATGCTCTCTCAAATTAGCCTAACTTCTCTTTTACCCCATCAGACTTCAACCTAAAAAAAACTTACTTCCGCATCATAACTTGTTTTCATAAGCTCTTCAGATGGTCCCAGAACAAAAAGTGATGAAAGTTGAATAATGTTACCCAAAGCATTCCAACCGCCATCCATTTTGGAATAAATTGACAAATGAATCCATTTTTCCCAACCAACAATTTTGTTATGAAATTTGATAACTATAGTTTATTTTATTCCATTTCAATATAATATATCAATATAAACATTTATTTATCAAAGAAATACGATATTTTTCTATTTTTCAAAAAACGCGCCAACACCTCGCAACACTGACGCGTTTTCTGTTTGTTTTGTCATTTTTTGTCTCTTCTCTCTCCTTTTTTATTTGTTGGTGAGAGTATTTCATAACCCTTGTTTTTTCCTTTTTTTCTCTTTGGTGTATTGCAAATATATTTAATTTTTCAGAGGGTAATTCAACATCAGTTGTGAAAATGCCAAATTCATCAAGTAATTCACAACCAGCAAATACTGGCAGCGAGACGGCGTCCACATCCTATGTTGCCTGTGAGTTTTTTTTATCATCATCAATTTTTCGCCCTGCCTCGTTATCATAATAATAGTTTACATTCGACAAAAATTGTATCAAATGTTGCCTATTGCAGATCCAGAAATGAGTGCGGAGCAAGAGTATTTCTTGTACGAGTTGGAGACGACGGATAGTGGAAGTATGGGATTGGTTTTGCGCGCGATTTATGATACGGGAGATGTGCAAAAGTTTGCCAGAGCTTTGCAACAAAGAATTAGTCATTATGACAAGAATATTCAAAAGGTTTGTTTTTGACTTACACAAAGATTTTGACAAAAATTATCTGTTTTCTAAATTATTCAGAGCTCATTTTGAACTATTAAAGGTGGAATCTGATGTGAGCAAAAATAAGTTATGCTTTGAAAGAGCATATTCTAATTAGTAGAATGCTCGAAGGATTTTTTGATGAGTTCAGATTTACAACAAGATTGTAAAATGAAAAAAACTGATTCATAATTTGGAAAAAAATCTCACCACTATCATTTTTTGCTTCCACGTTTCAACCTAATTTCAGAAAAAATTCTCTGAGCAATAAATAAATTTTGCTCATTTGAAACAGCATTTAGTACAATCCTCCAGGATTTTTTTCTGAAAGCTTCTCAAAAATTAGTTTAAAAATTTCAAAACACAGTAAAACACTTACAAGTCCAGCAATTTTGTGTTGCCTTTAACTGAATAAAAACATTTCTTTGCAGGTTTGCTCATTCCACTATCAAAGTTTTGTTGACGCAATGCAAGAATTGATGTCACTAAAAGAACAATGTCAAATGATCAAAAAAGACAGTTTATCAATCGATGAAGAAGTTCAAGAAGCATCCGAGCGACTTTGCCAAAAGAAGCAAGAAATAGTCAGATATCGTAAATTGATGAAAAATGCGAAAACCGCAATGGATCAGATTTCAGTCTGTTTGCCAGTTCTTGAAAACTATGCGAAACTTCAAGAGCAAATGAATAATCGCAAATATTATCAAGCGCTAAAAGTTTTGGAAGAGCTGGAACATACACATTTGGCGTTGGTGGAGAAATATCGATTCACACAGGTTTTGGCGAAAAGTATGGCGCCTGTTAGATTGGAGATTAAGGAAAAAGCATATTCGGAATTTAAAGATTTCTTGGAGAATATTAAGAAGGTTGCGGGGAGAATTGGAAAACATGCTAGCAAATGTGTAAGTTCTAAAAAAGATTTTTTTGTTAGAGTTCCTAGATTAATTTGCAGACTGCTGAGCAGCATTCGTTTGGTGTCACTGACGCGGATCGCGCTAAACGTCTCCAAGAAGAAGCAAGAAAGTGAGTTGCTCGAACTTTTACACATACATTACTATATATTTCTAGAAACGCGAGTAGTGTTGAAATCGAAGTTTCCGCCGATGGAAGTATTGTCAAAAAGCAAATGTCACCCAAAAAGCAATATTCGCAAGAAACAACTGAGGACGATGAGCAACTGTCTGCACAAGATCTGATCGATTTCACACCGGTTCATAGATGTTGCCAAATTTTCAATGTTCTTGGCGCCAAGGAAGAATTTGAAAAATATTATCGTCAACAAAGAGAAGATCAATCGAATTTGGTGATTGAACCGGTTCAAAAAATGAACTCTTTCAAACATTATGTTGAGTATCTTGATGAAATTGTTGGATTTTTCGTTGTCGAAGATCATATTTTGCTGACCGAGTCGAGTTTAGCCAATCCAGCTTATAAGGATAAATTGTGGGAGAATGCGTTGCAGAAAATTCGACAAACTTTAGATGCAAGATTCGTAAGTTTTCTAGTTACCTTCAAATGCATTTAAATTTTTTCAGGGAGGCTGCCCGGATGTTGAAATGATGTTGCGAATGAAAAAAGTGATATTATTGTTCATCCTCACCATGAAATCGTATGGCTACACTGTAGCCCCACTTTATGAGCTTCTTCAAAACTTTCGCGATCAATACAATGAGATTCTTGTTAAAGAATATTGTGCGCAATTCGAAAGAGACTTGGAGCGCGATAATTATACGCCGATTTCGGTGAATAGTGAAGAGGAATTTCGAACTGTCATCAAACAATTCCCATTCTACAAGAGAAGTATGGAACAAGAAGGGTTTCCGAGACGATTTGCGTTCTCGAAATTTGTCATCTCTGCGTATACACAATCGAAACAATATCTTATTGGTTGTTTGAAGTTTATGGATAATTTGCAGTTGAATAATTCGGCCGTTGATGATACTGTTAGAAGGTGAGATTTTGAAAAGAGTTCTGGAATTTATTTCAGATGTTGATTGATCTCTTTTTTTCCAGATGTGCAAATGTTTTGCTTGGAAGATGGGCTGGAATTTTGAAATCCTTTGTCCACAAACGTATCTCATTAATTCAACTTGTCCAAATCACAATCAACCTCGGCTACCTTGAAAAATCATGTGAATCGCTCGGAACTTTTATCACCAGCAAAACCAGCGGAGAAGAAGCGATTGGAACAACATCTCATCAGGTTGTATTATCCGAAAGAGTGTTCCGTGATGCAAGAAGTGAGGTCGAACAACAAATTGATGAATGCATCCAAAGTAAAGTTGATGAGATAATTGAGTTGTCCAATTATGATTGGGAATTGCCAGCGTCATCTGGACAAGCATCGGATTTCATCTCGGATTTGATCAACTTTTTGCAAACCACTTTCACATCATTCACCAATTTGCCATCCGGTTTGGCAAAACATGTTTGCACGCAGGTATGTCATTTTTTTCTTCAAATTCATTTTTGAAATTATTCAAATAATGTTTAGACATGCAAGCACATTTCCCAAACACTTATGGATCTTTTATTGTCATCTGACACAAAATGCATCTCAACTGGCGCTTTGGATCAATTCTCATTGGATGTTATGCAGTGTGAAATGTTCACTTCAAGATGCCCAGTAGCCGGAGTCGATCCATTGACCTTATCAATGACTTTTGCTGACTTACGGTGAGTAAATAGAGTAAAGATGAAAAAAGATGATGGTTGAGATTTCAGACAATTGCTTGATTTAGTAATGTCGGCTGATTGGACAACTTTCAATGCTGAATATGGAAAAGATCATGCCAAATATATTCGTGTCAAGGCTTCGACAGCTATTGTTGTTTTGGAGAAGTGAGTTCAGCTTTCTAAATTGGCCAGAAGATTGTAAAATGAAAAAACTGATTGATAATTTGAAAAAAAATCTCACCACCATCGATTTTTTGCTTCCACGTTTCAACATAATTTCAGAAAAATTCTGAAGGTGGAGTCTGTGCAAAAATAAATTGTGCTTATTTGAAAGAGCATAATTAGCACAATCCTCCAGGATTTTTTCTCAAAGCTTCCCAAAAATTAGTTAAAAAATTTAAAAAAGGCTTAAAAATCCATATTTACAATAATTTGGAGCTGTTTTTAATTCTGATTTTTATGAAAACAAACTTTTGAACTGAAACTGATTCAAATAAATCGATTTTTTTCAATTAAAAAAATGCACATTTTCAGAATGATCGAATTCGAACGAAAAAGCACTGGATTCTTTGGAATCACCAAAGGAGATCGTAAAAAACTATTGGACACAATTGTTCGTCAATTGAAAAACCTAGAAATTCAATAACTCTCATTCGCTGCTCACTGTTTCAAAATAGGACTTAATTTTACTAACATATTTGCCTGTGATATTTTTCACTTTTATTCTATTCACGCATAATTTTTTTGATAAATTGATGCTTTTTTGTGTGTATGTACTTATTTTTTTTATTGTTCAGAAGACAAAAAAAACTGTGAGAAGATTTTGTTGCTCGAGTGCTTTGTCTAACATATAATATATACATTATTACGTAGTTGCGCCCCTCGTTTTTTTTTCGCGGTCGCTGCGCTATTTGTGTATTTATCTATTTATTTGATTTGCGAGTCCATGCCGATGACATGCTTTTTCTTCCCTCTTCTTTGCGATCATCAGGAGGAGAAAAGTGGAAAAGATGAAACATTTTTCAATTATTTTGCACGAAAAATTGTTGCCTTTTCAAAAATTATTCTTATTTCATTCATTCTGTTTGCATTTGTAATTTATATGTAATTCTTGCGTTTTTCCTGGTTTTCCCGATTCTGATTCTCATTTTTTTGAAGGTTCTATGGAACTTCAGCTTTTGAAACGACCACGACCACTTCCAGCATTTCGAGACGAGGAAAAAGGCATTCACGCGCAATGGAAAATCAAGGTATTTTCTCTTTGTTCAGAAAAAACTTGTGGGTGGAGTCTGATCTGAGCAAAAAATAAGTTACAGTCCTCGAGATATTTTTTCTGGGAGCTTCTGTTGAAAAATTTCAAATTTCGAAAAAACAGTGAAACACCGTGGCTTAAAAGTCCTCTGTCAATTCTGATTTTTATGAAAATGTATCTAACCAACAGACGAACTTTGAAATTGAAATTGATATTCGTCATTTTCTATTTTTTTTCTGAAACAGAAAATCACAAAGTTTATTTTTCTGAAAATCCAGGAATTTTTAAAAGTTTTCAATTTAATTTTCCCACGAAATTTGTTATTTGAATTTGAATTCATTGAAGTATCAGGTTTCAATGAATTGACAAATATTCACATTGTTTCATTTTGTCAAACTATATTTATTCTGAACAAAAAATTAGAAAACCTAAATTTAAAAGTAAACATCCTGCAATCAAACTACATAAAAAGCGTACGAACATTTTTTGCCTTTTTGAAAAAAAAACAGTCGATTTCTGACCCACAAAACTTTGAATCTGAAAGTATTATATTTCAATAAATTGACAAAATAAATATTTGATCGCAAAAATATTGAACCAAGATCAGAAAATCAATTTTAATTTGCAATTTTAATATAAACATAGATAAATTAGGAATAGTCATAATTGTTATTGCTCGAACTGGGTTTTATTAAAATTTTGAAACATCAATCAATTTTCAACCCACATCTGAAGTTTCTGTTTGTTATTATTTTTCGTCAAAAAATTTGAAATTAAAAATGTCAGCGAACAAAAATACTATTTCAATTTCATTAATTGACTACAATAAGAAAGGTCTGCGCTCAACTCAATAACAAAGCCAATATAACAAAAAAAAATTTCATGAATATTCAATGTTGCTCTTTTTAAAAATGAATTATTTCAGGGGTTTTACTATCGACGTAACGGGCTTCCAAAAATCAGTGTTAAAGGAATCGGTCGAGTTCGTTATGCATGTTTGGAGCTCGAAAGTAATTTTCCACCCGTAAAAATTTCCAAACAATTGGTGAATATTGGATATGTCGAGCATGTGAATGAGGATATTCTTGATGTTCGTGGCGCAGATTTTCGACTTTTGATTTTTGGAGTTCAACACGTTGAGGTAGGGAGGATCTAGAATTTTTTGAGCTTAACATTTTTCCGATAGATCATCCGAGATTGGCTTCGTTTTCTTGTAATCAGACAACGAATACCACATTCATTATTAGGATTACCATTCGATTGGCAAGTGAACCCTATAAAAGATGACAAACAACTTCAATTATCACGAATTTCTCCGTTTCATTGTTTCAAGTTATGGTAAATGAATGATATTTATGAATAAAAAAACAAATAATAATAATAATGATATCAAAACTGTCAACGAGAAAAAAATGAGAACAAAAGTAGGAATATTTTGAGATAGGGTAGAATGTTACGATCATTTGGTAAAACACGTGAAAATTGTATAAATTTTTCCGGGAAAACATGAGAAAAAACAGGATTTCAAAAAAAAAAAATAAAACAGGAGTGAATAACAATGAGCTTATGGAGTTGTCTTGCGTTTCTTGCCAGGTGGCTGATTTCGAAGAGTAGCGGATCTCTGAAAAATTCGAATGTTAGTTGGAGAAAGATTAGGGAGATATCTAGGAGATTATTTTAGAATCTGATGTTTCTGATCTACAGGAAAGTTCGTAGAACCCAGAGACTCAACATTTTAAGAACATCTAAAATCGATTTCTTCAAACAAACTCACTCTCTTATTCAACGAGCAACCATAAAGTGAAATATAAAGCCAGACTTCGCCAACAAATTCCGGCAAATGATCCTTGACCGCTTTTCGATACAACATCCAAACTTTCTGCGTTCCTTTGCCCTTCTCCGATGCTGCCGAATTATGAATCGATGCATTGATGAGAACATTATTGAGCGCTTCGATGAATTCGTCAACCGTCTCAAATGACATCGGATGATCCTCTTCTAAACGATGACCGACGACTTCCAAAGTCTTTTCAGGATCCTAAATTGGTTTGTCAAAAGGTTTTTGTATTCAAAAAAAAAACACTTACAGCATAAGATCTCATGAGATAAGATGCTCTTTTGGTGCCAAAACATTTCATCAGCACAGTTTGACAAAGGAATCTGTTTCGAGGAGTCATCAAGGTTTTTGATTCGCCTTCAATTTTGATCGGCGCAGTTTTGCAGAAAATGCATTGCCAATTCTCACTGAAATATATTTGGATTCAAAACATCTTTCGAACTTAAGAAACTCACTCTTCACTCCAGGCGACTCTCAATTGTGGAATTGTGCACGATTTGTGGAAGACTCTTGGGCAAGTAGTACAAATTCCCTTTTCTTCTTCAAGTCGATCTTGCTTATCATCATTACACACATAACACCAACGATGTGTTCCATCATCGTCAAGAGTTCGAACCGATTCACGATCATCAATGACTTCTTCAGTTGGTGGTAATAATGCGCCAGCTTGTTTGCATTCATCGATTGTTGGGAGAAGAGAGTCGGGCTTTGGTGGGTCCGGATGTTCGGGAGTTTCTCCAGCTGAGGATGATGATTTTGGTGTTGGACGTGGAAGCTGCAAGAGTTTTGGGGTCATTTTGGAGAAAATATTCCGATTCAGATTCCAGAATTTGTCTCAAACTCACTCTCAAAATCAATCGTCCATCTGGTCCATCTTGAATTGCTGGTTTTGTCGGAGTTGTTGGTGTTGGCATCGTTCTTGTCGACGCCGATGCTTCAGCAGCCAATTGTGCCGCCGCAACTCCAGGCGGTGGTCTCATCAAAACAATCTCATTTCCATTAACCGGCGGTGGTTCAATCAAAAGTGGTTTCTCTTCCTCGGCCAATGTTACAGTTGATGCCGCTTGCATTTGTTGTTTCAATTTTTCAACATCCGGCTTGACATCAACTTCCTCTTCTTCTTGGTCTTCTTCGATTTTGATTGGCGCCTGCGGCAATAATCCACTGACACGTGGAGCAGCTGCTGCTGCCGGTACTTGTTGTCTGACCGGAAGTGGTGGCGGAGCACGTCTCGAAGCCATATCTGGTGCAACAGGTTTAGAGCGTGTCGATAGACTGCTGATTGTGTCAGGTGTCATGGCGTGCGGAAGTTTGAGAGCTGATTGAATTTGTTTCGATGTTGCTGATGCTGCATTCTTTTCAACGTTGAACAATTTTGTGATCAGTGTTTGAAGTCGAACTTGATTGATTTGCAAAATGACCATATGATCAGTATCATTGAAATTGGGATTCTTTCTACGTTGATCTTCAGCTTCGCTCAATTTTTGAGCCTGTTTCAACACATAAAATTGATGGTCTGGGGAAAGCGCTTTGAATTGTGCCGAATTATAAAGCTTGTTCATAAACTCGCTGGAAATCGAGATGTTCATCGGATCTTTTGGCCCAGTCTTTGAAGTTGATGGTTGAGAAGAAGAAGGACCAGGTTTCGGAAGTGATGATGATGATGCTGATGAAGAAGAAGCTTCCGAATTGCCAGCCATCAATTTTTCAGTCATTCGATCATATTTGGAGCCCCTTGTAGTTATAGTTATTTGCTCTGGTTGTACATCATTCGCATATTTTTTGTTGGGAATCAATTTTCTTTTGCTCTCATCTCGAACTGGTATAGGTATTGGAATCGGTGTTGTAATTGGAGTTGGAGTTTGAAAATTGATCGGTGCTGGATTACGACTTCCACCATTTGCACCACGAATCATATGCAAAAGTTCTTCCTGCTTTTTTGATCGATCATCGGTTTTTGGTAATGCTGGTGAACTCAACGTTGATGTTCTTGAAGCCGGTGAGCTCAGCGAAGAGTTTGGTGTCGAATCCGGAATTGATAATGGTAAATACTGATGATCAACTCGTGGGTTATCCATCAATTTTTCACGCAATTTCAGAGGAATCAATGTTGCGTGAAGATTTGAGAGATCAGTGTTTTTCAAACCGCACGCTGTTACGGCTGATTTGAAACGTGAGAAACCATCTTCTCTGAGTTTTGCCACACAGTTTCGCGTTGAGAAATCAGACTGAAAATTTATATTTTTGTGTCAAAAATTTTTTTTTCAAAAAAACTTACATTTTTCAATTTCAAATTAGTCTCGGGCATATCAATAATAACTTGATTGCCAGGTGAGTAAAGTTTTGTAAACGGTTTAATCTCATAATTCACCACAACACTTGTATTTGTTGTTGTAAATGCAGAGAACACATGGGAAACTTCGCGAACAAGTTCATCAACTTGTCTACGCATGCTGAATTGAAGAGTGTGTGATTTGATCACTTTTACGTCACGCTGGAATAAAAAAATGATTATTGGATTATTCAGATAAAATGAATGAAACTTACAATAGTTCGATTGTGAAGTTTGACAGCTTCTCGAAAGATTTTTTGTGCCGACATTTTATAACTATCCGCCACAAATTGTTCGGGCATCAATTTTTTGTTGCGCGCCAAATCGTCCATCTCTTTGCCAATTTCGATGCGTCGTTTCGCGTCGCGAACATCTTTTTTGACGTCTTCATAGGTTTTTCGCATTTTTTCTTCTTCGAGTTGAATTGCTGATTGAATTTGACAGAAACGTCCGATGGCCGCGTTGATGATTGATATGAAATAGCAACCCATCGAGTTTTTGAGGTTTTCCGAACGTTTGATGAATGCGTCGAGGGAGGTTTTTGCGTCCATTTCTCTGGAAAATATTTTGATTGCATTCTAGATTTTTCAGTTTTACGCTTCAGTTAGGATCAAGTTCAAGTTTTGGGCTTTCTTTCAGAACTGCTAAACTTTAGTCAAACTTTCAGGAGTTTCAGGTTTCAAAAAACAAAAATTGATTCATAATTTGAATGAAGCAAGCTTGAATCCTGTCCTAACTTTACTCTAACTTGAAGCCTTCTCCAAATTGATTCCCAATATTTTTTTAGTCTACAATGTTCTTGAAGAAGAAGCTTCTAACTTTCAATTTTCAAAATCAAAAAACAAACTCACAATGTCGTAAGATTGTTATGAATAATTGATCCGTGTAGCAAGGCATCTTCAAGTTTTGGATTATCTTTTGTGATATCAATCAGCGTATGATCTCTTTGTAAGAAATCCTCTCTGAATTTCTCCAAACAAGCTTGGCACAAATGTTTTCCACATTCCAGACAGAAATATTTGACAATGTGCTCTTTGTGCATTCCACAAAATGCGATATTGTTCAGACTTGGACGTTTTTCAACATTCTTGCTCTTTTTCATAAGACAGATCTCGCATTTACAATCCTCGTTTATGACAGGCGAATATTTTTGTGCACAAATTCGAACATGATTGGGGACGGTTAGAGGAGGACTCATCAAACCGCAAATTCCGCATTGAAAATCATGTTGACAATGTCCAGGTCGACCTCGATTTACTGTAGCGAAATCTGAAAAAAAACAGGGTAATATTTTGAAATTATAACTCATCTCAAGTTAGGTTAACTCACCATTCATATGCACACATTTGTTACAGAATACATGTCCACAATTCAAGACAATTGATAAATCATCAATAACTTTTGGAAGTTTTGTGATGCCACTTAAAGGGTGATTGCATTTCTAAACAAAAAAAACTCTTTTTCAGGTGAAAAAATGAATATTTCATGCTTACCATGCATTTTGAAAAGGGATCTTCGGTCAAATGTGAAATAAATTTGGTTGGTGTGCATAAACGACTCGTTCCGCGAGGTCTCAATTCGCTGCCAAGCATCTTCGAGACCCGTTCAACTAATCGATATTTCTACAAATAATAAATTCAATTCAAAAAAACAAAAAAAGAGTAATCCTAAAAAAAATTTCGCCAAAAAATCAATAAAATCACACAAACAAACAAAAAGGGACGAGAGAGAGAAAGAATAAGAGAAATTGAGAGAGCGCAGAGAAAAGGGAGAAGAAGAAAAAGATGGTGAGAGCCTACGACTAGCAAGTAAGTGAAATAAATTAGTTTGGGCGGAGTTTCTGAAAATCTATGAATTTTGGAAAAAAATTAGGCCAGAAAAATTTGGGAAAAGCGTAGACAGGGAGGCAGAAATGATAGGAATGAATTGGGCGTCATGTACAGACGACCAGCGTCACTATTATGATAAACTATGGGCAGTGGGATTAGGCGTAGTGTTGTTGTCATTGTTTTTTGGGCAGGTGGGGGTGTGTGTGTGTTGGTTGGGAAAAACAGATGTTTTGTGAGGGGTTTTTTTTGAATATAAATTTTTCGGTTTTTTTTCAACAAAAAAAAACATTTTAAAATAAAAAATATTCATATAAGTTCAAATTTATCATAGCATATTCAAAGATTTCAGAACAATTTCTCGTTTCTCCGAAAGGTTTTGCGATTTGTTGTCGAGTTTCACCGAATCGAGAACCGCTCTAAAATATGTAGGTTAGAATTAATTGGCTAGGATAATCCTTACTTTTTCAATTGCCTGGCAACAACATCTGAATCGGGTTTGAATGCTAAAAGGAGCCAACCAATTGCCGCGGCAACGGCACGGATAATTGAGCAAGAACGCCAGAAATATATCGATTGATCGTCGGGTTTTGAGCCGTGGTAGAGGGATGAATCAAAGCGGATACATAAAAGACTTGAGACAAGTCCGACAGACCAGATAATGAAACCGAGAAACGCATTATTGGCTAATGCGCCTCGGAGATGCTTGGCGGCGTAAAAATGTTGGGTTTTGTAAATTCCAAGTCTGGAAAATAATTTGTATTTTTAAAGAAGATTAAGTTGGATTTCTTCAAACTTTCAAATGACTTTTCAAAAGTATGTAGTATTTTTCTAATAACTTAAAAATCATTATATTTTCAAATCGAAAGTAGAATAAATTAAAAGTGTAGTCTGAGCAAAAATAAGTTGTGCTCATTTGAAAGATAAAATTTCAAATTTCGAAAAAACAGTGAAACACCGTGGCTTGAAAGTCCAGATGTACAATAATTAATTTGGAGCTGTGTTTCTCTGTCAGTTTCGATTTTTATAAAAATTTGGCAATGGCTTTTTTTGAACCAGGAGACAATTTTTTTGAATTCAAATTGATTCAATTATATTGTTTTCTATGTCAGATAAATGAGGCGATTCAGATCTAAAAAAAATGTCGAAAAATTGTATTTTTTCCTAGCTTTTGACATTTTTTTAGATCAATTTTTTTAAAGATCAATTTTCGTTAAAATTGTTATTTTTAATTGGTGTGCTCAACTAAAAATGAGAGCATTTTTTTCGTTTTTTTTTGAATAATTAAAAATGAATGACATTTCAACTTTAATTGCTGAATCAGCTGATTTCCAGTGGAAATGTAGTTTTCCACGCCACGCCAAAAAAAAACCAACCGATCAATCGCAGTGAAGAGTCCAATTGAAAATGCAATCATAAAAATTGCATGAACTGGCAAACTCATCCATTGATAATTACGAAAAAGTGCATCTTCAGTAAAATTAAAAGCAAAAACAGCAAGAGTTACAGAAATACCAGCCAAAAATCCTTGAACAATCAAAGCAAATTGATTAATTGATCGTTGTGTATGAAAAGCTTGTCCAATGTCTTGTAAATGAAATGGAACAAAAAAACTTTGCTGTTTTTCATCTTCATCTTCTTTTTCTTTTTCAAGAACTCTTTCGATATTGAATGTTCCTTTTCTCATTGATTTAAAACGACCTTTTGATTCAACGTATATGGTTTGATCATTACTCGAATTTTGCTTCTTTTTATTTGATTCTTTGAAACTTTTATATATATCTAGGGTTACAGATGAGCGACGAGGATCCATTGTTTTATGAGGAGATGTTGATGATGCTCCTGCCTGAAAATTCTTTTTTTCTTATCTTCTGGATTTTTATTGAAGTTTGATTTCAAAATCAAATTTTTTAAGTGAAGTTTATTCGAAAAATTTCTAATTTTAAGATCAAAATTTATCATATTTAGTTCTGGATATCCAATTCAAAAATTTTTTTCCAAGTTTCTCGGCGGTAAAATCTTCAATTTTCTTATCTTTTTTTGTTGTTTCAAAATGCACTTTGATAAATCAGAAGTCAAAAAAATTGTACACACAAAAAATTGTATTAGAAACAATTTTGTAGCGTTCATTTTTCATTTTTGTCTAGTTCTGATTCTCATAAAATCACCATACCTGATCAGCAAGCTCTTTGATATCTTCATAATTCAAAGTCTTCGGAGGAACTGGAATTTTACCCAGAGAAAATCGACGTTGTAAATTTCTAGGGTTCGGAAGTTCAGTTATAATATCAGCATGTTCATCATCACCGGGAGATGTTGGAATTTCTTTCAACTCATTATCAGAATCAGACTCCAATTCGGAAGCCAATGCTTCTTCATCTTCAGTTTCAGATTCTTTTTCAATCACATCTTCTTCTACAATCACTTCAGATGTCTGTTGTCTACGATTCGAAAATTGAAACATTCTATTGCTTTGATCATCTTCATCACTATTTCTTTCTTTTTTGATTTCTATTCTTTAAAAAATTATATTTATTTAGATTAGTAATCTAAAAAAAATCATTAAAAAAAACAACTTACACCTCATTATTATTAGCAGGATGCATGATAAAATGTATATAAATAACGACAAAAAATTATAGGGGGAAAGGAAAACAAACAGGTGCGCGAGCTTTTTGATATTGAACATTTGGTTGCCATGAGCAACCAGAGTATTCGTAGGGACCAGTTTAATTGAAAGTTGGGAGAAAAAAGGGGACATTTTTCAAATTTTGTTGGAAAAAATCAAAATTTGCATTCACCGGGGTTCGAACTTCTGGGTAAGATATTACTTGGCAATTATGAACAAATGAGTTACACTGATTGTTAGCCTAGCGTTTTCAAATCCAATTTCAGATTTCACGAAAATTTCATATGAAAAAACATATATAATTTTCAAAAAAACCACATTTTGCCACGTCATAACTCGTCACTGCAACGTTTAGATGAAAAATAGAGTACTCCACGTTGATCAGGAGGTCGAAATTAGTCAGAAACAAAATTTGCAAAAAAAAATAAAATCAAGATATTTTTTCCCCGTGGGGATCGAACTCTTGATATTCTCGATTTCTTCCGCATGGGAGACTAATTCTCTACCAGCTGCGCCACTTGGGCGACGAGAGAGGGAGAGTGAATTTTCAATATATGGTTGATGTTTTCGGCATTTTATTCAAGAAACGTGTGTGTGTTTTAACTGGAAGTCTATTTTTGAAATCAAATATATCATTTCCAATAGATTTTGACACGTTGAGAACGTGGATGTGGTCAGATTTTGTCCTAATCGCACAGGAAAAAAAGATATGGGGTTTTAAAAATTAATTTTACTCAAAAAATTAATTAAAAAAATACTACTAATCCAGAAATCATAATACGAAACTTTTAATGTTAGAAAGTTACAGTTTTGAAATTTAAAAAAATCGCTGAAAATGAGTAAAAGCAAAAATGAAACTTTTTGATTTTAAAAATAGCTACAGTCACCTAAATTAGAATAGTTTTGAAGCGACAAGGAAAATAACAATCGGGAAAATATAGATTAGAAAAAAGAAACTGAAAATGATATTCAGACTCAAATTAAATTTGATTTTTTGAAAAATCTCATAAGCTAATACTGTGAAAATGTCTCTTTTTTCCAAAATACACAAAAAAAAGTTTATTGAAAAAATTCCTGAATTGATTTTTGTTATTTGACTTACAGTATTCTACTGCCTATACTTGGTACTGCTAATACTTGGCGATTATAAAACCACTGGATTAATTCATTAAAGATCAGAATTACTATTTGGATTAGCACATAACACTTCAACTTTGATAAGCGCGAAAAAGACGACTGGCGCTTCAAAAAAACGTTACAATAATTCGAATGGAAATTGTGTAAAATATGAATTACCAGATTTTATCACTAATATGGTGGGTTTCTAAAAATCAATCATAATTTCTAACACCTACAGTAATTCAAATGTGATGTTTGCAAAGCAAAAACTGTTAAATTCACACCTGTTCAATTTGTTTGTCTAATTTTGATCAAAAATGATCTACTGAATGCTGATAATTATGAGTTTTAAAACTAATTGAACGCGTGAAATTAAAAATCTTGAATCCAATTTCATAAAAGTTTTCAAAGAGAACACTTGGTTTCTTCAGTAATTAAAAACATCAGGAATTCTCCATATTTTTTAGCCTGAACTCATGTAAAAATCAAATAATTCGAAAAATGAAAATATCAAACATCTTATTGGCTAATTTCAGTTCAACGTCAAGAATTGTTGTAAAAAATCATTGCTATTCAAATTTTGAGGTTTCATTTTTATACCAGTTTTCTCTTACAGTACCGTGTTTTTCCAAATATTCTGAATCTCATTCCCTCGACAAAACAACCATATTTTCTCATATAAATGTACACGGTGTCAATCAACTCAATACATGTATATACACAAAACTTTGCCTCCCAAAATCAAATTTACCAACACCAACGCCTCTAACACCTCAACAATCAACGTACAATAATATATACAAGAAACAAGGAGAACAGGTGTTGGACTTGCCTCCCACCCTCTTTACTCCATACTCTCTCTATCTCTATGATAGTCTCCCAGGAGCACACAAAATCGAGCCACCAAAAGAATATTCCGATGTGTGTGAGTGGGAGTGGGAAGAGTCGATGCCTATCGCAATGTTAATGGCGTGCCTTTCTCCTCTTTTCCTTATTACATTATTATTAATTGCACTCATATAAACAATAGATATTATATGACGATTTTTTGGACAAGTTGTATAACTTTTTATAGTTTTTCGAGTCATTTGAATTGGATTCTTGAAAGATCTAAAAGATTAAATGAGGTATGGAGGTAAAAATTGAGGTAAATTTAAAAAAACTCTCTAGAAATTTTGATCATGATTTGTTGAATTGTAAAAATTTTTTAAATTTGAAAACTCTGGAAACACAAAAAACCTCCCAGGTCATTTGTAGATCAAAAGAGGTTGGGATACTGTAGTTGCGTAAGACCACGCCGAATAAATGTTCTGTTAATAGGGGGTTTTGGAATACGTGTTGTGTTGAGAGTTGATGGTACTGGAAAACATGGGAAAAAATTGAAAAGCATATACAATTTTTCAAAAAATTATGGAAATTGTGTTGAAATTTGAAAAAAAGATGAGAAAACGTTGAAAAATAAATTGCGTCTGGAATTTCACAAATCAAAATCATAGGTTCACAAGTTTAATTTCAATATTAAAAATGAAAATTAACGCGGAGCTCCTGGAAAATATTCAAAATAAAATCATACATTTTCAGCCTGAATAAGAGGTTATCCTGAATCATTTTTAGAAAAAAAAACTCCCATTAAGTTTTTGATGTTCTGAATCTCTTTGAAACTGATTTTTAAATTCAATTTCAGATCTGAAAATATTTTGCGAATTATGACAATTTAAATTTAAAAATTGTCAAAATTCACAAAAAAATTTATAGAATTCATTTTGAAACCAACCAAAATTTCAAAAACTATTTTCCGGAAAACAAAAACACCATCCAGTGTATCAAAATCATCTCAACAACATTCTACAGTAACCCAACGATCTATTTAACCAAAAAATATCTACCATATGCCTCAAAAAACATCCACGTAATTGTGCGTGTGTCTCTTCTCACAAATGTTTTCGTCTCTTTTTTTTTCTCCAACATTTTTGTGGTGGTTCATCATCCTCAGGTCGACAGATAACACACCCTAGCCCACCACAGTATATACATATATTCTTTCCCCTCCCACCCCCTCAATCGATAGCTAATGGCGTTGTTGCGCACGTCTACAGTTGCTCGTCTTACCTCCTGCTATCCCGTTCTCCCCCTAACTCCCCCTCTCTAAGCCACACCCCCTCCCTACACCAATCGTTTTTTGGCGTGTACTCATTATTGAAGATTGTTCTCACCATTATTGGTGCGTGATTTTTTTTTTCTTGGTGTTTTCATAGAACTGTGTGTCGTCGCGCCCTTGGGCGACAAAAAGACCACACACGAAGAAAAAGCCTTGCCTTCCCTCTGCATGTCTCACGTTTTGTCGTCGCCTCTCCTCCAAACGCACTCTTTTTTCTCACTCTCTGTTTTGTCTGTTTAGGCCAGCGATAATAGTTATTTGTTGACTGGACTCTCTATCTGTTATTGAACTGATTGCTACCGTATTTTTTTGCTGCTGAAATTGATTTGATTTGTGCTTGAATTTCTAGGAGCAAGACAACAAATGTCAGAACCGATTGGAGTTTCGATTCGCACTGAAAACTCTACGCATGTCCCAATAAGGTTAGTAGTACAGTAATCTAGGAATGTGATTTTAGTAAGATATTTGATTGATCAATTTCAGAGAAGCACTCACAGTATTGGAGAGTCATCTCGGCTTCCAAGTGCAAAATCCTGGCGTTGGGCTTGCTCCTCATTATTTGCGATTAATGGAATGCGGCACGATTGTGAGTTTTTCTCTTGTCAAGTTTTTACATTTTCAGATTGTTATTGCTATGCATCTTGATCTTGATTTTGAGCATTGAATGATTTTCAACAAGATTTCAAAAAAAATCACGGTGAAGATTTCTTTATGGCTTGGAGCAAGCACTCACCAGAAAAATCGATAAATGTTAAAAACGTTTTCAGTTTTATTCTGATAGTGAGAATGGTTTCTTGAAAATTATTAGAATAAAAATGGAAAAAAACAGAAAAATTATGGTGAAGATAGCTTCAAATAAGGAATATCGATTGACGCGGTGCATGGAGTAGGTTAATTGATAAATTTGCACGATATTTTGGGCTCGCTTGATTTTTTATGCAGCTTTCTTTTGACTCTGAGCTTGATCTAGACATTGTTTATTGTATAAGAATTGCAAGTGTCCAGAATTTCAGTAAAAATGTTGCCAAATCAATGATTTTGTTTGGCGAAATGCATATGTTCATTGAATCGATTGCACCACTTTGAAACCTCATTTTTTCTTGATTTAGAGCATGACTACTAGATTTTCATTAAAATAACAGGCTTAAATCTGAAAAATACTGTAATATCAAGAAATTCGCTTCAAATCAGGACATTCATAAATTAATCGATATAATTCACGTCATATTGATTTGTTTTTGGTCAGTTCTAGATTCTAAGCTTAACCATTAGATTGTTGACAGATATATCACATGAAGTTCAAAATTTACTTTAAAAATGTCTAAAAAATAAGAAAAACGCTGGTAGCATAGCTTGCAGTAATAAAATCAATAAAATACCAAAATTTTCCAGTTTTTTCATAATTCAGAGTTCAATTACCATATAGTGTACAAAATGACATGTTGAAATTCAAGAAATAGTGTAAACTTATGGTGAATAATCGAAAACCGGTGAAACTGTTTGTATTTATAAAAAATCGATACAAATTGAACTATTTCCAGTTTTCTTTCGATATTGAGCTTGGCTTAATGATAATTAACAGTCTTAAAATATAAAAAGTTCAAAAATCGGTGAAGATTGCTTCCAATAATTGAAAACCGTTGAAGCCAGGAATTTAATCTTTCAATCATTAATACTCATCTTTTATTATATTTTATCAATTTTTCTTCTGATTTTGAGTTTGAGCTATAGATTATTCACAAAATGAGATCAAGAATATTGAAAATATAATAAAAACTGGATCTAGATATAGATTTTTGTTTGAGCAGTAGATACATGCGCTGAAAAAATCAATATCTTGGTTTCTAGCTTCTGAGCCTTCAGGAAAACTCCAATCTGGAATTTAAATTATCAATTTTCAGGCCGTCGATCGGAATTGTGCGGTCGTTGGAATATGTCAAAACACTCCTCCAACATCATCAGCAAGTCATACAATTCTTGGAATGGAAAACCATCCAACATTCCAAACAACCCTCCAAACAATTCGGGACTTCTTGACCACCTTGGAGTTGAAGAAAACTTTCACATTCAAAATTCAAAATTGTCTCGCGCCAATTGGTAAAGTATCGATTTGCAGCATTTTGGTTGCGATTTGGAAATTCATTTCGATTTTCCATGAAGAAGGAGATCAGCCAATTGATACTGCAGAAGCATTTCAAGCAAGACTTGCGCTATTTTTCGAAGCGAAAAATATCAAAGTCACACAATCAGAAATCAGAGCTGTTTTGAAAGGAGGTGAATCTGCATATATCAACTATTTTTTGAAAGATGTCTTTGATATTATTCAATATGGAAAAGAAACGTGAGTTTTACAATATCTCTTTGTATTTTTAAATATTGAATTCATTATTTTCAGCGCGGTTTCTGCTCAAACTGTCATTCCATTCTTCAGAGAATTTGATTTGATTTTTCTCCGTACCGATAGCAGCAATATGGAAGAATCATCCGATTATTATTTCAAGCCAAGCTTTGTAAATGATTTCAAAAAAGGTTTCGATGAATTGGATTATGACGAGTTGGACAATATGGATATCGATGATTCCGACTCTGATTCTGATCCTTCCGAGTCTTCGAGAAATGAGTTTCGCGTCATTTACAATGTTCTTTCAAGAATTTCAAAAGCTCGAATTGAAAGACCACAATTTTCTGCATCAACGGTTGAAAAGGAGTTTCAACAAGTTCTCGAAAAACTGATTGGTGAAAGATTGGAAGAACAAATTGTTAGAGGAGGTTATGCTTCGAATGAAGGACTTCTTCTGATTGTTGATAAACATGTCTTCGACGATAGAGACTTTCATAAACTTCTTGCTGTAAGTTAATTTTTGATTTAATCAATCATATTTATAAATATTTATAATTTACAGAACGCTTTCTTGCAATGTAAAATACACCCATCATTTATCACCCTCGAAAAATTGCAAGCTGGTAAAGCCGCCATTTCTTCAAACCATATTGAAAGAGAAAATGGCCCAATAACAACTGTAAATATCATTCCAAATTTTTGCGCTGAACCGTCATCACCACCGCCGATTCTACATAAATCGTGTCATAAAACCATCGAGCAGCGATGCTTCATATTCGATGATTCTGTAGAAATGCCCGAATATGAATCATTCGCAACAGTATAAGTTTCATCTTGGTCATTCTTTCTTCTCTCCCCGTTCGTAAAAATTCCAACGTGTCGCACCCAAATTTTATCAGCTTGTGTCCCAATTCCATTCGATCTCTATATGTTCCACCCTTAGCCGCAAGTCATCTCGATCTGATTATTTTTGTAAACGACCCGTCATATCATCTTGAAACGGCTAAATTTTTCAGATATTCATCTATATTTACTCAGTCTTATACATTTTTTGCACGTTTATTTTTTGTAATATTTATTCTGCAATATACATATTTATACTGTATTTATCCTGTAATTAATGAAGTTTATTTTTTTATTGTGTATTCCAATATTTTGTTGTGCAAGCCAGCCTTCTGGTAACAAAAAATGTTTTCAGAGTTTCAGTAACTGAAAAGACGCCAGAAGGATGAGTGCGCTCCAATGAGAAACCAGTGACGGACCAATGAGGAAGGAGGACCTACAAAAATACGGGTGCCCAGGTGGACAGGGACGCTATTCATTAGTATACGTACGGTATCTCTAGGGACCTTTTTTGTGTACGGTAATTATTAAGAAGTTTTTCATTCTTTCAGGACATCTGTAAAATGATTTTAGTCACATAATCATAATATACAGTAAGTACAGTATTCATACAGTAAGGATGTGCCAAAAATCGATCGACATTGTAAGCTTTTGGCAGTTTTAGAATTAAAATTCATATCACAGTAAATAATTTTTATATTGATCGACGTTTTCTGGTTCTCTTCCATTTTTGGTTTTCTCTTCCACATTTTCTCTACCATATTTTTTGAGCGTGTGCTTTCCGTCGTGCTGAAAACCTCGGCCAGTTCCCTGGCAACACTATCTGACGTAGAAGCTTTTATTCATATTGATTTTAGCTTCGCAACGTGTGATTAACTGAGCGACGCCAGAGGTGGAGAAAGAAAGAGGGGCTATGCTCAAAAACGAGGGGTCGGCTGGAAATATTTTGATAAGGGGTGCATTTTTTATTGCTGTTGTTTCTGGAAGTACTGTGAAAGCTGTGAGAATAATAATAATAATTGAGAAACAATTTTTTATAAGAATTTTTGTAGCTCAGTCTAAGCTTCAGTAGATTCTCGCTTTTTGATACCCGATGATCTAAATATATATTGCCTTCTGTTGCAAAACAACTGCCAGGGACCATTATAAATAGGTCAACATACAAAAGAGAGGTTAGCCAGAAAATCATTTTGTGGGTCGCATGTTTATGATCGTTTAGGAAACTTTCAATTTTCCAGGTGTCAGATTTTGAATTCTGAAGAATTGGTGAATTTAAATCATCAAGGAACATCTGAATTCACTGAATTGCATTTTTGTGAAAAATTTCACTGAATTATATTCATTTATTTTCCATCAAAGTCTTTTGTCTGATTTTTTTCACTAGAATTTAGTCTTCACTGGTCGAAGTCTTCCATTTACTCTTCCATTTTTGGTTTTCTCTTCCACGAAATTTTTAAACCAATGTGTAATGTGGTTTTCGAATTTTTCTGTTCAATTAGCTCGATCAGCTATCTGCCAACAATTTGTGATGTAGAAGATTTTATTCAAATTAATTTCAGCTTTTCAGCACATGATTAACTGAAAGGACGCCAGGGATGAAGAAATGAAGAGGGAAAACATGCTCTGATGAGAAACATGGAAGAGGCCAACCAATGAGAGAGGAGGACCTACAAAAAAGGAGAGAGGAAAAAATAATGGGGGGTCGAATGAAAATGTTTGTTGGGTGCGCAGGGATTTTTGTTTGAGAAAAATTGCTATGATTTTTACAGAAAAAAAACTGGAGATGGGAAAAATCACAACAATCGAAATTCGATTTTGTAATATTTTTAAAAACCCATGTTTGAAAATTCAAAAAATTTTATATGAATTCGATTTTTTAAAAACATTGACACCCTCTTTTAAAAATTTTGTGTCAAAACAATGATCCAAAGAATTCGATTTCTGGAAAGATTTATTTTATTCTACCGAATATAATTTTTATCTTAACAGTTTCAAATATTTGGTAAGCAAAACATTTTGTAAGGTCTCTCCAATTAAATCATCCGATCTAACTAAATCCTGATCTCTTTTTGCACGATTCTTGCTCAACGACATACAGTCGGATGGTCTTTTATATTAGAAAGCAGCTGACAGGGACCACAAAATTATGTAGGTCAACATAAAAAAAGGAAAAACCCCAGACATTTTGTGAGTTTTGTTGCTGTTTATAGAAAAAACAAGGTTATTATTCTGTAATTGTTTTTTGAATTTCGTAAATGGTAAAAATGTTGAAAATTTTTCATTTCCTTCTGGAAAAATTTTAGAATCTGAAAATCTTCCTTCTGTGTCATTTTTCAGCCGATGTAGTGTATTATTTTCAATTCTCTTTCGCAGAAAATTCACCCAACTACCTGCCAACAATTTGTGATATTGAAAATTCCTTGCAGATTTATTTCAGGGTTTCAGCACGGGATTTACTGAAAAGACGCCAGAGATGAGAAAATGATGGGGAATGTTCGCTCTAATGCAAAACAAGCGTCAGGGACCAATGAGCGAGGAGGACCTAAAAAAAGAGGGGAATAAGGGAAAATGTGTTGGGTGGACAGGGACGTTTTTCTTACAGGGACCATTCAAAAGTAGGTCAACATACAGAAAAAATCGATGGAGAGTGTAAGGAAGAGATAGCCAGAAAATATTAGGCAACAGGGACGCTTTTTTGTACATACATAATAATTTTCTTGGTGGGATTGAATTATTCAAAAAAATGTTTTATGTTGAATTGTTGATGTTCACATGGAAATTTAAATTTCAAGTTATGGAAACCAGCACAGTAGTGACAAGAAACTGAAAAACATTTATGGTCAAAAAGAAATGTGAAATGAAAAAATCCATAGATTATTTTATTCAGGCGATGCATTTGGTCCAAGTATGTAGCATGTTTTCTGAAGAAAAAAGTCAACAAATATTTTTTACAATAAAATTAAATATATATAAACTAAAAAAAAAAGCTCACATGTAAAGATTTGGAAATGTTTGAGTTTGGGCCACATTTGAACGCATCTCTGAATTCTGGATTCTGCGCTGCTATTGCATTTGATCTGATTACAAATGGTGAATGATCTTTATCTGATATCCGATAATTCTGAAAAAAATAACATAGGTGCTTAATTAAAAAATAAACAAACGCATGCAAATGATGCCTGTCCCATAAATAATAGTTGAAGATTAGTGTAATCAGAATATTCATCATTTTGTTCATACAATTTTCTTCCAAACTGATTTTTTGCCAATTGAATAACTCCTCTAAATCCCAATAAATCTGATCCATTGTCATCGATTCTTGTCAAGTACTGAATACAATTGTCCTGAAAGTCACAAAATATAAAATATTTACAAATAATAAACATACCGAGGGCACGTTATAATAATCACAAGATTTATAATACTGATTTTGTATACAGTTTGTTGTTCGTTGTGAGAAGAACAACTTTTTTTCATCACCATTGCTTTGAATTACAGAATGAGACATTTCGTGAGCAATTCCGAATCCCAATAATCCAGTCTGAAATAATTATTTTTTCAAAGCTCAGCCAATTTCAGAACTAACATAAAACGATTCCGTTTCAATTCTAGATGCGACTGCGTAAAAAGGTAATCCAAGATTTACAAAGTTTCCATCAAGAAATGCATTGAAATTAGTCAAAAGTCTTTCTGAATTGTTTCTATAACGCTGATAGTTATCGTCAATACAAATAATGTTGACTAAAATTTGATCATTCAACCATTGCCCAAGCATTTTCTGACAATTTTTAAATTCGGTGGTCAATTGAGATATACGATGCGAGCTCGACATATTCTGTAGTTCAAGATTTGACACTATATCGTGATATTTATCAACAACTTGATATTTTTTGAATGATGGTGTTTCCTGAAAACAAAACTCATGTTATGTATGCTTTTTATCAAACCTACTTCAATCCAAGTATTAAAAATAGGTTTCAGCTCATTGAGAATTTTTTCAAAATCATCAATAACTCTCGTGTTTTTATATAGCCATAATCGTTCTTTATTGTATCCAATGACTAATTCACAACCTAGTTGATATCTTGCAATCTGAAATTTCCAGTTCATCTCTCGAAAATCATCCCAAACTTACTAAATCAGATTCCCAGTTTGCCAAAAACTGTGAAAATTGATTTTGGTGGCCAGTGAAATTGCGAATGTTTTTCATATTGTTCAAGAATATATCTTCTTCTCCATTTTGAATTCTAAAGTGAAAATTTCCATTTTTATTTTTATCTCTGTCGAGTTGTCTACTCACGCGTTTTCAAGCAAATTTCTCAATTTTTCTGTTACGGTTCCTTCTTTGTAATCCGTTTCACTACATTTCATGAGTTCCACCTACAGATTGATATGCTTTATACAATGAAGAACTTTATTAAACTAACCAAGTATTCAGAAATGTCATCAGTTACCGTGAAGTTACCATAATCTTCTTCCAAAATGCTATAACCCAATTTGAGCATACCATGCTTTGTTCCTACTTTACAAACATGTCGATAGAAATTATCACATCTATCGACCGATGAATTAAGCATACTGAAAAATGCCAAATCAAACCATGAATTTCGAACAAGAACTTACTTTCGGAAAGCATAATCGATCACATAATCACATGATATCCCTGCGAAGACGATGAATGTAAGTAGAATTTTGAAATTCAACATTTTCAGTTGTTGTTTAGTTATTTTTTCAAAATTTATACTGATCATGCTCATTGTTTTTGAACAAAAGAAATCAATTTTTATTTATTTTTGTTTTATTTTTTTCTTAAACAATTCAGATTGAAAATGCATTTCGAATGCAGAATGATTCATTTTGGCATTTTTTGAAATAATTTATAAATCAAATGATTATGAATTTCCAGAAAACATTAGAACGCTTTTTTTGCAAAATAATTTTCTAGATTGGATTTAATTATTCACAAAAATATTTTATGTTGAATTGTAAATGTTAAAAAGTAAAGTTTTAATTGGAAAATGAAAATTATGAACTTCAAGACTGGAAGAGCACAGTACACTGGAAAACACAACATTATTTTAAAAATTCAGAACGTTTTGTTTTTTGTGAACTTTCAGATTATTTTCAGCAACAACTTCTAGTCTAAATTTAAAATTTAAAAATTACACACAATTTTCTACCAGTTTTTGTTCAATGCAAAATATTTTGGCCCAACAATGCTTTCAATATTATTCGCAGCTTTTTTCCATTCTCCATATTAATAATGCGTGAGTTCAAGTAATCAAGAAAAAAACCAGTTTCACTATACTATTCCAGAAAAAAGAAAGAATTTCGGAGAAAATCGGATTTTAATACAAATTTCAAGCCGCAAAAAATACAAATTTCTTCGAAGAAACTCCCCTATTTTATTCATTCTCACTTTAGTCGACTTCAGCACTCATCTGGGTGAAAAAATAATCTGAAAGAAACATGTTCCCATTTGACTCGTTCTCCTGTCAAGTTGTGCTTTCACCACGTCCAGCTTCAATGTTGAATATTACAAGACCGGAAGCGGATCGTGCTGAGATTTTGAATCAACCACTTTCAACAAGCACTATTGATTTGCCAACTCATTTTATTCCACCAAGAGTGAGTTTGAAAATCAAAAAAAAAATGAAAAATCAATTTTTCAGTGCATTATGAAACCCGATCCAGCATTTGATGCTGCTCTTGAGAGATATATGGACAGAATTCAAGACCCGGCCATTGAGATGGATCTCTCTCACTTTATGAAACTTCCCGAGCCTCGCACTCCCTCTCCAATTCCAATGGCTGACACTCGTAAACGTCTCCCACCTATGGGCACTCCTCAATCTTTACAATCACCAACTCCTACACCATCCTCAAATGTCAAACGTGCAAAAACGGCTGATGATGCAAATATCACATGTCAACACTGTTTTCAAAGCTTCTTGGCGATCACCGGCTTTGAAGCAGACCCTTTGAAAAGTGGACCATGGAATTGGCACGAATTTGTTGATATGAAAGGGCAAATGAGGTAGATTTGATTGAAATCCGGTGACAAAAAAAACATGAAAAGTTTTCAGATGCCCAAGATTCTGGTACATGGAACTGGAACGTTGCAACAAAAATAGCATCGAGGCTCAAAAAGAGGTGCTCCGCCAGGAACATGAGCAACTTCGTCAACAACAACAACTTCGCGAGCGTAGACATCGCAATCCTGAAAATCCATAATTTTTTCGAATTGAAATTGAAATTTTGTGTTGTGTTGTGAAATTGAACTTTGATTTTTGATTTTCCTGTAGCTCTGAACCCCCGTCTGTGATGTGAAATCATTTTTTTGTAGAAATAAACAATCGTAGCCCGAAACTTTTTGTGGATATTTATTGATTTTCAGCTTATTTTCTGGAGAAAGTGTTAGTCTTCAGTGACATTTACTAAATCCAAGAGTTTTTTAGTTACCGTATCTACATATTTTAAGAAAAAACACAAGATTTTAGAAAAAAATGTATTTATTTCGGTATTTTTTTGTGGTTGATAATCCGTTTCGAAAAGTTTTTTTCTACGAAAAAAAACCACAAATGGAAAAAGAAAAAATATTCTGGAATAACAAGGGACTAGTTTTGCATCAAATTTTGATAGTCTTTTTTTCCACTGAATTATACCAAGACAAATCAAAACTACTTCAATTTGCAAAACTTTCATAAATTTTTTCAAGAATAACAAAATTGAGCCAACTGGGAAGCCTAGATTTGAAAGAAATGTTTGAATTTGAACTTAAAAGTTCTCTTACTAAAAATGGGGGACATTTTTCAAAATGAAATTTTTATTTGAAATTCATTATAAACACATGAAAATTGAAAACGGGAAGATACGTTTGAGGGGGAAATGAAGTGAGGGGAAAAGGTAAAGTATGGTTGGGTGGGTAAAATTTCTTCTGGTTTTTTCACTTGAACTGAAGCTCAAGTCAAAAAAAAAGAAATATTATTCAAATTGGAAACGTCGGTTTGGATGGAATTAGGGAAGATACGGGTGCAAAAATAAGAAAAAATATGGGGAAAATAGATTTTTTTGGGGTTTTTTGGGTTTATGGGAAGAGAAAAATAAACGTTTTGGAGAAATAAATTCGGAAGCTGATTATCTGCGAGAGCTTCTGTCTCTTCTCGAGCTGCTGCTGCTCGATCCACCTCCAGATGTGGAGTTAGAGTGATGAGATCTCGAGTTAGATCTTGATGAGGATGACTGTGTGCGGTCTTCAGCGTAAGAGCTTGTCGATTTTTTCTGGAAATAATCAAGATTTTGTGTTAACATGCATAGGTCAACAAACCTCGACACTTCTGCGGCGATTCGCCTCCTTTTCGAGTTCATCTGCGTGGTGCAATGCTTCTTTTTGCTGAAAAAATGATTGTGATTCTCGCATTTGAATAAACAAAACAACAAACTTACAGCATTTGTGAGCACTTTTTTGTTGGACGACATTTTTGTAGTGGGTTAGGGTTCGGTTAATCTGAAATGTGGGATAAATGTAATTTGGATGGGGTAGAAGTTCAGGAAGAAAAAAAAATAACGCGAGAATTAAAAAATCATCAAGGACTATTTAGTTTTGCTAAATCTGAATTAATATAATACAAATTGAATCAAGTAAGTCACAGGTGGATCAGGGAATTTCATTCTAAAATGAATCTTAAATCTGGATTGAGTGCGGTGTTGGTTGGAGCTTGAAAAAAAATAAAAGACGTCAACCAAAATGAATATCTGATTAACTGTTAATGTGAGTTAACTTCAATTCTGAGCTGGCTCAAGAGTAGTAAGCCTAAATATTAGGATTCGATATCGGAGGGGGCTTAGAGGTAAGGGGCTTGATGCTTGCAAATATTAGGGTATTTTATGGTTTTTGCGATGAAAAATCAGCACTTGAGAGTCCCCGGAGCGACTGGTTCATTTATGATTAGGATGACAGGGTTGATCTGAAGGGGAGGATTGATTTATTTGAGGTTTAGGTTGAAGGATTGGCTTTTCAATTGCCAAGGAATTTGGAAGAAGGTGATTCACGTCAGGAGCAATTTTGAAGTTAGGGCAACACATAGCAAGGCGAAATATTTGAGAATGAAAAAATTCGATTTTCGTCGCTCTTTTATATCCTCAAATGTTTTGTTTTTTTCTTCAGATACATTGACCACGCCTATTTTCTAGAACATGGTAGATTTCATCATCCAAAAAATAGTGTGTTTATTTTGGAGACGCGGATTTTGTGTAATAAAACGATACAGTGAGCAATGAATTTTGATGGGAAAATAACAAAAAAAAACATTTTTTTGATAAATCAAAGGATTTCGCAATCAAATCTGTTGCTCGGTCGGAATGGTGAATCATATCTCAAATTGGGTGAATCTGAAGAGGTGGCTCACAAAGAAAAAAAATTGTTATGTATCTGAAAAATTTTGAAAAATGGTATAGGTTTTCAATAAATTCGTATACTAGGGGTTCTTAGCCCCCAGGCGTGACAGTCTTCTTATTATTTCAGTTCCGTTTTTTTCTGTGATTATTTTCAATTTTCTGTGAAAAACAAATTCATGAAAAATTTCAAGTTTTTTGATCAAAAAATGATTCGTGGCTAAATCATGAAGGCTTCCTAATTTTGCCATAGATGAAGTCATCGAACTATTTTTCAAAAAAAAATATTGAATCTTTTTTATTTGCATAATTACAGAAATGACCGTCTCCAAACAGAAATTTCGGTTTGGAGACATGACTTTTTCTCAATAATTTCATTTCTGGACGAAATTCTGAATTTTCTTGTTTTTTAACAGTGTTAAAATATTTCTTTCAATTTTTTTTAGCTTCAAAGTTGGTTCTGGGTGGTTTACTAAGCCTAAGCCTGAGAGGAAATGTCATTTAGGTCCCAACTCATCGACTTCATTTTTACATTTTTGGATTATTCCAATTCTGTTACTTTTTTTTGTTGACTGTATACACGAAAATAAAAAATTCACTTTAACAAAAAAACTCGGGCCGATTTTTTTTTTGAAAAAACTCGAGACGATTTTTTTTTTGAAAAAACTCGGGCCGATTTTTTTTGAAAAAACTCGGGCCGATTTTTTTTGAAAAAACTCGAGACGATTTTTTTTTGAAAAAAGTTACATATTTGGATTAATCCAAAAATGTAAAAATCTCGGGGCGATTTTTTTTTTGAAAAATCTCGGGCCGATTTTTTTTGAAAAAAGTTACATATTTGGATTAATCCAAAAATGTAAAAAATCTCGGGCCGATTTTTTTTTGAAAAAACTCGGGCCGATTTTTTTTTTGAAAAAACTCGGGCCGATTTTTTTTGAAAAACTCGGGCCGATTTTTTTGAAAAATCTCGGGCCGATTTTTTTTTTTGAAAAAACTCGAGACGATTTTTTTTTTTGAAAAAACTCGGGCCGATTTTTTTGAAAAAACTCGAGACGATTTTTTTTTGAAAAAAGTTACATATTTGGATTAATCCAAAAATGTAAAAATCTCGGGCCGATTTTTTTTTTGAAAAAACTCGGGCCTATTTTTTTTTGAAAAAAGTTACATATTTGGATTCATCCTAAAATGTAAAAATCTCGGGGCGATTTTTTTTTTTTGAAAAAACTCGGGCCGATTTTTTTTGAAAAAAGTTACATATTTGGATTAATCCAAAAATGTAAAAATCTCGGGCCGATTTTTTTTTGAAAAATCTCGGGCCGATTTTTTTTTTGAAAAATCTCGGGCCGATTTTTGTTTGAAAAAACTCGGGCCGATTTTTTTTTGAAAAAACTCGGGCCGATTTTTTTATCTATGGCAAAATTAGAAAGCCTTCCTGATTTTGCCACGAGTCATTTTTTGATCAAAAAATTTGAAATTTTCTATAAATGTGATTGTAAGTCAATGTTCTGTGGCCAATAATCACAGAAAAAAGTGAAACTGTAATAAATGAGAAGACTGTTACGCCTGGGGGCTAACAGCTTCTAGTCAAGCAGTGAAAATATGGGATAATTTAGAGTTGATTATTTCGCTTTGGTTTTCAAAAAATAATCGAGTTGCAAATTTGGAATTTTAATTCGTTTTTGAAAATGAAGAATTGTATGAAGATCGACGAATCCACTCAAAATCGGGTCAATTCCATGTTCATTGTTGAAAAGTACCAAATGTTCCAATTGTTGATTTTTAAAATTAGTTTTTCCGAGTTTTTTATCGAAAAAAATCGGCCCGAGTTTTTTTGTTATCGAAAAAAATCCACATCTGAAAATCGAGAAAATTGTTCTGGAAACGATAATTTGTCATTTTACTTTTTCCGAACCAGAAAATTCTTCGTGAGAAAAATCTTCACTTGTGTAAAGATTTTTCATGTTTCAGCTGGTCTTCGAATTTTTTGAAAACCTATACCATTTTTTCAAAATTTTTTTTCTTTGTGAGCCACCTCTTCAGATTTACCCTTAAGATATGATTCACCATTCCGACCGAGCAACCGATTCGATTGCGAAATCCTTTGATTTATCAATGATATTTATGTTTTTTTGTTATTTTCCCATCAAAATTCATTGCTCACTGTATCGTTTTATTACACAAAATCCGCGTCTCCAAAATAAACACACTATTTTCTTGGATGATGAAATCTACCATGTTCTAGAAAATAGGCGTGGTCAATGTATCTGAAGAAAAAAACAAAACATTTGAGGCTATAAAAGAGCGAGGAAAATCGAGTTTTTTCATTCTCAAATATTTCGCCTTCTAATATTTCTCCTATTCTTTTTGCTGACCCCGACTGGCGCTATGTGTAGCCCTAGCTTCGAAATTGCTCCTGATGTCAATCACCTTCTTCTAAATTTCTCGGCGATTGAAAAACCCTCAACCTAAACCTCAAATCACTCAATCCTCCCTTTCAGATCAACCCTGTCATCCTAATCATAAATGAACCAGTCGCTCCCCACTTACCTTCAAAAATCCACCAGAACCCCCTCCCTCTGAATTCGGAGTCATGTATGATCCTAATATTTAGACTTCTTACTACCCTTGAGCCAGCTCAGAATTGAAGATAACTCACATTTACAATCAATCAGATATTCATTTTGGTTGATGTCTTCTGTTTTTTTTTCAAGCTCCAACCAACACTTTAAAGCACTCAATCCAGATTTAATATTCATTTTAGATTGAAATTCCCCAATCCACCTTGATTTCTATACTTACCCTTGAGTCAATTTGTATTATATTTAGCAAAACTAAATGCCCCTTGATGAATTTTTGATTTTTTAATTCTCGTGTTCTTTTTTTTTTGTACCTGAAGTTATCCCCAGCCAAATGTATCCCATATTTCAGATTAACCGAACCCTAACCCACTACAAAAATGTCATCCAACAAAAAAGTGCTCACAAATGCTGTAAGTTTGTTGTTTTGTTTATTCAAATGCGAGAATCCCAATCATTTTTTTCAGCAAAAAGAAGCATTGCACCACGCAGATGAACTCGAAAAGGAGGCGAATCGCCGCAGAAGTGTCGAGGTTTGTTGACCTATGCATGTTAACACAAAATCTTGATTATTTCCAGAAAAAATCGACAAGCTCTTACACTGAAGACCGAACTCAGTCTTCAAGATCCAACTCGAGATCTCATCACTCGAACTCGGTTACTGGAGGTGGATCGAGCAGCAGCAGCTCGAGAAGAGAAAGAAGCTCTCGCAGATAAGCAACTTCCAAATTTATTACTCCAAAACTTTTATTTTTCTGTCCATAAACCTAAAAAACCCCCCAAAAAATCTATTTTTCCCATATTTTTTATTTATTTTTGCACCCGTATCTTCCCTTGTTCCATCCAAACCGACGTTTCCAATTTGAATATAATTTCTTTTTTTTTCGACTTGAGCTTCAGCTCAAGTGAAAAACCCAGAAGAAATTTTACCCACCTAACCATACTTTGCCTTTTCCCCTCACTTCATTTCCCCCTCAAACGTATCTTCCCGTTTTCAATTTTCATGTTTTTATAATGAATTTCAAATAAAAATTTCATTTCGAAAAACGTTTAAATGGATATCAGAACCCCATTTTCAGTAAGAGACTAGGGGCTGTTAGCCCCCAGGCGTTACAGTCTTCTTATTATTTCAGTTCCGTTTTTTTTCTGTGATTAGTTTCAATTTTCTGTGGAAAACAAATTCATGAAAAATTTCAAGTTTTTTGATCAAAAAATGACTCGTGGCAAAATCAGGAAGGCTTCCTAATTTTGCCATGGATGAAGTCATCAAACTATTTTTCATAAAAAATTAATGAATCTATTTTTTTATTTGCATAATTACAGACATGACCGTCTCCAAACAGAAATTTCGGTTTGGAGACATGACTTTTTCTCAATAATTTAATTTCTGGATGAAATTCTGAATTTTCTTGTTTTTTAAAAGTGTTAAAATATTTCTTTCAATTTTTTAGCTTCAAATCTGGGTGGCTTTAAAAAAAATCGTCTCGAGTTTTTTTTGTTAAATTGAAATTTTTATTTTCGTGTATACAGTCAACAAAAAAAGTTACATATTTGGATTAATCCAAAAATGTAAAAATCTCGGGCCGATTTTTTTTTTTTGAAAAAACTCGGGCCGATTTTTTTTTGAAAAATCTCGGGCCGATTTTTTTAAGTAAAAAGTTACATATTTGGATTAATCCAAAAAATGTAAAAATCTCGGGGCCGATTTTTTTTTTGAAAAATCTCGGGCCGATTTTTTTTTTTTTTGAAAAATCTCGGGCCGATTTTTTTTTTGAAAAATCTCGGGCCGATTTTTTGAAAAATCTCGGGCCGATTTTTTTAAAGTAAAAAGTTACATATTTGGATTAATCCAAAAATGTAAAAATCTCGGGGCCGATTTTTTGAGAAAAATCTCGGGCCGATTTTTTAAGTAAAAAGTTACATATTTGGATTAATCCAAAAATGTAAAAATCTCGGGGCCGATTTTTTGAGAAAAATCTCGGGCCGATTTTTTTAAGTAAAAAGTTACATATTTGGATTAATCCAAAAATGTAAAAATCTCGGGCCGATTTTTTTTTTTGAAAAATCTCGGGCCGATTTTTTTTTGAAAAATCTCGGGCCGATTTTTTTAAGTAAAAAGTTACATATTTGGATTAATCCAAAAATGTAAAAATCTCGGGCCGATTTTTTTTTGAAAAATCTCGGGCCGATTTCTTTTTGAAAAATCTCGGGCCGAGTTTTTTTTTGAATTTTTTTTTTCAAAAAAAAAATCGGCCCGAGTTTTTTACATTTTTGGATTAATCCAAATATGTAACTTTTTTCAAAAAAATCGGTCCGAGATTTTTCAAAAAAAAAAATCGGCCCGAGATTTTTCAAAAATAAAATCGGCCCGAGTTTTTTCAAAAAAAAATCGGCCCGAGATTTTTCAAAAAAAAAGGCCCGAGTTTTTTACATTTTTGGATTGATCCAAATATGTAACTTTTTACTTAAAAAATCGGCCCGAGATTTTTCAAAAAAAAAATCGGCCCGAGTTTTTTCAAAATAAAAATCGGCCCGAGATTTTTCAAAAAAAATCGGCCCGAGTTTTTTTTTACATTTTTGGATTAATCCAAATATGGAACTTTTTTCAAAAAAACTCGGCCCGAGATTTTTCAAAAAAAAAATCGGCCCGAGATTTTTCAAAAAAAAAATCGGCCCGAGTTTTTTTTTACATTTTTGGATTAATCCAAATATGGAACTTTTTTCAAAAAAACTCGGCCCGAGATTTTTCAAAAAAAAAATCGGCCCGAGATTTTTCAAAAAAAAAATCGGCCCGAGTTTTTTACATTTTTGGATTAATCCAAATATGTAACTTTTCACTTAAAAAATCGGCCCGAGATTTTTCAAAAAAAATCGGCCCGAGTTTTTTTTTTACATTTTTGGATTAATCCAAATATGGAACTTTTTCAAAAAAACTCGGCCCGAGATTTTTCAAAAAAAAAAATCGGCCCGAGATTTTTCAAAAAAAAAATCGGCCCGAGTTTTTTACATTTTTGGATTAATCCAAATATGTAACTTTTCACTTGAAAAATCGGCCCGAGATTTTTCAAAAAAAAATCGGCCCGGGTTTTTTTTACATTTTTGGATTAATCCAAATATGTAACTTTTTACTTAAAAACCGGCCCGAGTTTTTTTTTACATTTTTGGATTAATCCAAATATGTAACTTTTTTCAAAAAAAATCGGCCCGAGATTTTTCAAAAAAAAATCGGCCCGAGTTTTTTCAAAAAAAAATCGGCCCGAGATTTTTCAAAAAAAAATCGGCCCGAGTTTTTTTTTTACATTTTTGGATTAATCCAAATATGGAACTTTTTTCAAAAAAACTCGGCCCGAGATTTTTCAAAAAAAAAATCGGCCCGAGTTTTTTACATTTTTGGATTAATCCAAATATGTAACTTTTTACTTAAAAATCGGCCCGAGTTTTTTTTTTACATTTTTGGATTAATCCAAATATGTAACTTTTTTCAAAAAAAAATCGGCCCGAGATTTTTCAAAAAAAAATCGGCCCGAGTTGTGTTATACCCGCCCAAATGAAAATTTCGATTTGAGCGGGTAGCTGACAATAATTGAAATGTTTATTTTCGTGTATACAGTCGATAAAAAAAGTAACAGATTTGGAATAATCAAAAAATGTAAAAATGAAGTCGATGAGTTGGGACCTAAATGACACTTCCTCTCAGGCTTAGGCTTAGTAAACCACCCAGATTTGAAGCTGAAAAAAATTGAAAGAAATATTTTAACACTGTTAAAAATCAAAAAAATTCAAAATTTCATCCAGAAATGAAATTATTGAGAAAAAGTCATGTCTCCAAACCGAAATTTCTGTTTGGAGACGGTCATGTCTGCAATTATGCAAATAAAAAAGATTCAATAATTTTTTTGAAAATTAGTTTGATGACTTCATCCATGGCAAAATTAGGAAGCCTTCATGATTTAGCCACGAATCATTTTTTGATCAAATAACAATTTTTTTTCTTTGTGAGCCACATCTTCAGATTCACCCAATTTAAGATATGATTCACCATTCCGACCGAGCAACAGATTTGATTGCGAAATTCTTTGATTTATCATTGATATTTATGTTTTTTTGTTATTTTCCCATAAAATTTCATTGCTCACTGTATCATTTTATTACACAAAATCCGCGTCTCCAAAATAAACACACTATTTTCTTGGATGATGAAATCTACCATGTTCTAGAAAATAGGCGTGGTCAATGTATCTGGGAAAAAAACAAAAATTTGAGGCTATAAAAGAGCGACGAAAATCGAATTTTTTCATTCTCAAATATTTCGCCTTCTAATATTGCCCTTATTCTTCTTATTTTGCTGACCTCAACTGGCGCTATGTGTTGCCCTACCTTCAAAATTGCTCCTGATGTGAATCACCTTCTTCCAAATTTCTTGGCACTTGAAAAACCAGTCCCTCAACCTAAACCTCAAATCAATCAATCCTCCCCTTCAGATCAATGAACCAGTCGCTTCCCACTCACCTCCAAAATCCACCAGAACCCCCTCCCTCTGAATTCGGGGTCATGTATTATCCTAACATTTAGACTCACTACCCTTGAGCCAGCTCAGAATTGAAGTTAACTCACATTAACAATCAATCAGGTATTCATTTTGTTTGACGTCTTCTATGTTTTCAGTTTTTTTTCAAGCTTCAACCAACACTTTAAAACACTCAATCCATATTTAAGATTCATTTTAGAATGAAATTCCCTAATCCACCTTGATTTCTAGATTCACCCTTGAGTCAATTTGTATTATATTAATTCAGATTTAGCAAAACTAAATAGTCCTTGATGATTTTTTGATTCTCGCGTTATTTTTTTTCTTCCTGAACTTCTACCCCAGCCAAATTACATTTCCACATTTCAGATTAACCAAACCCTAACCCACTACAAAAATGTCGTCCAACAAAAAAGTGCTCACAAATGCTGTAAGTTTGTTGTTTTGTTTATTCGAATGCGAGAATCCCAATCATTTTTTTCAGCAAAAAGAAGCATTGCACCACGCCGATGAACTCGAGAAGGAGGCGAATCGCCGTAGAAGTGTCGAGGTTTGTTTAACTAACAGTTTCATGTGAGCTCAAAAAATCTTGATTATTTCCAGAAAAAATCGACAAGCTCTTACACTGAAGACCGCACTCAGTCTTCAAGATCCAACTCGAGATCTCATCACTCGAACTCGGTTACTGGAGGTGGATCGAGCAGCAGCAGCTCGAGAAGAGACAAAAGCTCTCGCAGATAATCAGCTTCCAAATTTATTTCTCCAAAACTTTTCTTTTTCTGTCCATAAACCTAAAAAAACCCCAAAAAAAATCTATTTTTCCCATTATTTTTCTTATTTTTGCACCCGTATCTTCCCTTGTTCCATCCAAACCGACGTTTCCAATTTGAATATAATTTCTTTTTTTTTCGACTTGAGCTTCAGCTCAAGTGAAAAACCCAGAAGAAATTTTACTCACCCAACCATACTTTGCCTTTTCCCCTCACTTCATTTCCCCCTCAAACGTATCTTCCCGTTTTCAATTTTCATGTTTTTATAATGAATTTCAAATAAAAATTTCATTTTGAAAAATGTCTCCCATTTTCATTAAGAGAACTCAAAGACAAATCCAAACATTTTTTTTGAAATCCAGGCTTCCCAGATGGCTCAATTTTTCTATTCTTGAAAACATTTATGAAATTTTCGCAAATTGAACAACTTTCGAATTTTTTTTTTGGACCACCCTGAAGTAAACATTGTTTTGCATATAAAACTCTAAACTTCAATAATTTACAAAACTTTTTTTAAAAATTCAGATGAAAAACAGCAATTTTAATGAATAGCAAAACCCGTCCCTGTCATTTTTTCTCTTTTTCTTTTTCTCTCTCCTTCTCCCTTCTTCTCCTACACAAACTAAAGGGAGAGAAGAAAACGCGCCCCACTGCACACGCTCACAGGGACACAAGTTTTTGCATTAGTCAATATTTCTTATTTCCACGCACAAAACCGAATGGAAAAGAATTTTACGATAGCTTCTTTGGAATTTTGCCTATCACAATTGAAACGAGCTGATGAATCTGTTGTTAGGAAAGCGATTACGTCAGGAGATGGACTTTCCGAGTCTTCAGGTTGGTTTTTCACTGAAAATTTTCATATTTTGGTATGAATTTTTTTCAGATGACGTTGGTCAAAAATTGTCAGAAGCTCATAAAAATGCAGTCAAGCAATGCTTAACAAATGCCGATAAATTGGCCACCTTACATAATCAAATTGACGCGTGTGACAAGGTTTTTGAGGTAGGAAAACAATTTGAATCAAAATCAAAACGAAGGTTTCTAGAGACTGCAAAATATGTTGTGTAGTTTTCAAAATAATTTGGGGACAATTGGTGAGGATATGAAACAATTACAAGTGCAATCATTGGATATTCATCAAGAGCTTGAAAATCGACAAAAAGTTCGGAATGAACTGAGTCAATTCGTTGATGATATTGTTGTACCGCAACCTATGATTACAACAATTATGGATGCTGATCCGAATGAGCGTGGATTCATCGAAGCGCTCCACGAATTACATCACAAAATTAATTTAATATCATCGAGGGGGAATGGTGAAGCTGTTGCTGTGAATGATACGATTCCGATTTTAGAAAATTTAAAATATAAAGCTATTGAGAAAGTGCGCGAATGGCTTTTATTGAAGATCTATCAGTTTCGGAAACCGCTATCGAATTATCAAATCTTTCAACATCAACTTCTAAAGTGTCGATTTTTCTACGAATTTGTGCTGAATCATGAGCCAGCAATAGCTAGAGAGGTGTGTCGTCTGTTTTTTCTGTATTCCAGCTAAAGATCAACATATTTCAGCTTCAAGATGAATACATCGACACAATCAGCAAGATGTTCTTCACATACTTCAAAGCCTATGCTTCACGTCTTTTCAAACTCACAATGAAAGACGCGGCTAGTAAAGAAGATTCTGTTGGAGCAATCGATACGGCAAAATCTAGTGGAATATCTGGATTTTTTGCAGCAAAGCCGCAAGTGAGAAATCGAGCGACGGTTTTTTCGATTGGACAAAGGAATGGTGTTTTGCAATCGGATTTTCTTGGAGCTTTGATTGTCCCCCATGCCGCAGCCCAGAATAATCAATCGGTGAGTGTTTTTTTTGAAATTTGAAAAGCCCAACCACGCCTGACGAGACGTGTACACAAAGGATACTGTACAAAAATTTTCAAATGAAAATTCCCGCCCAAACCAAAATTTCGATTCGTGCGAGAAGCTAATAAAAGTTTTCAAATTTTTTTTCCATTTCACTGCCCATTTTTTCACGAAAAAGTGAAGTGTTAATTGATTTTCAGCGGATTTTTATGAAAATTTTCAAAATTTTCAAAAAATTTCAAAATTTCACGCTGCACAAAAATTTTGGAACACTCTCTCGCCAAGTGTGAGCCCAACTAACATTTTTTTGCAGTTCCAATTCGAAACCTTGTTCCGATCTCTCCAATTGGCCTTCGTCGATCATTATAGTCATGAATATCTCTTCATCACCGACTTTTTCCTTGTCTCTGAAAACGAAGCGCTCGAAATCCACTCAAAAGCAATGGCTCGAGCTGTTTCGGTCCTTCTCAAATGCTGCGAAGAGCAAATTGTTGTCAATTGGGATGCGATCAGTTTACATCTCTGCATCTGTTTATGCGATAAATTCCAACAATTATTGATTGAAAGAGAAGTTCCTGATGTGAATGGATATTGGGAAACAATGTCGAATATTTTATGGACAAGATTTGATCAAGTGATGACAAATCATAATGATAGCGTGAGAATGATTGATTTGAAAAAGTTGCAAAATCAGGGAGCACTTGACGCAAGACCCCATTTTATTGTTCGAAGATATGCTGAATTAACAAGTGCACATTTGACAATCGCAAAATCAAATGGAAAAGAAATTGGGCCAAAAGTTGGGGCACTCTTAGAATCCAGTGAAGATGCAATTGAGCAACTTTTGACAAGAATGTCAACAATGCAAACGAGTCATAAAAATAAGCATGTTTTCTTGATCAATAATTATGATTTGATTCTTGGAGTTATTGATGATAATGAATCGAAGCAAAGTCGAATTTATGCAATTGTTCACGAATTGGAGCAAAAGAGCATTGATGATTTTGTTGAGGTATAGGGGAAATTTTGTGTAAAAATCTTATTGGAATTTTTTTTAGGTTGTGTTGGATCCTCATATTGGTTTCTTGATCAAGTTTGTTACCGAATGTGAAGGTTTGATAAATCAAGGACATACTCAATTGCTCGTGAGATACAATGGTGAGTTCAATAACATATTTGTGAAAATGTTTTGGTTGGGAAGTATGAAATTTCGAAGATAAACTATGACTTTCAAATTCTACGACCCATAGAAAATTCGCTGAAATTATTTAATCGTATCTTCAAGCAGAATTTTTTTTTGGAAAAATGCTTTTCCAGACAAAATCTCAACAGTTATCACAACATTCAATCAAAAATGGAAGCAATCAATCGACGCAATTCATTCCGAAGTGATGAACCTCTTCACCAATTTCCGACTTGGCACCTCAATTCTTCAAACAATCTTCACCAAATTCGTGCAATATGTTCAGCGATTCTCCAAAATCATAGCACACGAAGTGTTTTCATCAAATTCGGCGTGCAGTGAAATGATCAATGTGCATCAAATAATGCTAGAAATCAAGAAATACAAACCTGTTTATTAGGCAAATGATTGTGAAAGAAAAAAAATATGGGACGGGTTTTGTCTGAAATTTGTTGTGAATATGTTTAATAGTCAATTTTATTACTAACTTATTGCATATAAATAATTCAAAAATGTTTATTTTTACACATATTTGATATACACACGTTTCTAAGTGATTGGAGCAAACAAAAAAAATTGTATTACAAAATTGATCACGCAAAAGCGACACCTTCGTATTTATAAGGACCATGAAGTTGGAAATCATCAAGAATCACAGTACCATTAACATCAAAAACTGAAGCATAACTTGCAACTGGTTTACCATCTCTCTCCTCCGATTTAATAGCCAAAATCAGATTTTGATGAGTGTTTGGAATGAATTGGAATGCAGAGAATCCACGAGTTTTATGCTCATCTGAACCAACTCGAACCACTCGGAATGTTTTGAAGTCTTCGGATGCGATTATCATCACATTTGTACCGCGATGTTCATCGTCAGCTTCCGAATATTTTTCGGTTGACATTCGACGTGGAAGGAAGAACCATTGGCGATGAATTGGCGACCATTGAATCGCTTCGTGAATCATGTAACCAGGCGATTCGATGCCGACAGCGCGACGGACATTGATGAAAACATTTTTCCAGTTTTCGTGCCATACTGCACCATTTGATGAGACATGTTTCACCCACATTGGATGATCATTCACATATTCACCATCTGTTGTTGTCCATTCCTGGAAATTTGGTTGGTTTGTGATTTTCAAACTAACAAAACAACTCACTTTCCCAAGCCCTCCAACAATCAATTCATGATCCTTAACAGTAATCCATTCACCCTTCAATCCTTTTTGAACATTTCCAGGTCCATCGTTCAACAAAACCCATGGGATTGCCTGAAATTATCAAAATAGAATTTTGAAAAACAAGTTGACCTCACCTTTTTATCACTAATTTGATAAATCAGACCAGTTCTATCATCGACCGAGTACAATTTTCCATTGAAAACTGCAAGATCTGACAACTCCATAGCACGACCACCAGCAGCAATATTTCTGGAAATAAAATTTGGGATTTCTGGGAAGTTTTGATTCGGTTAGATTTTTTTTTTCTGAAAAACCCTTTATTTCCGAATGAAAAATTCTTCAAGACACCACAAAAATCCCACCGCTTTCAAAAAATTAATCAATAAAAATCGAAATTTTCAAAATTCTAAAAAACACAACTCACGTGTCAACATAATATTCATTATCCGGATTGAAATTCACACTGGCTGATTTTTTGTCAGCGGACAATCTCAAAAATCCCCGAGACACCAAAGATTTCCACTTTTTGCCATCTTTACTATCATGATCCAAATCGGTTACAAGAACAATCGAATATTCTTTTGAACCATCTTCAAGTCGCTTTTCTTCGTAAAGATGTTTTGATGAAAGTCGCTAGAATACATATTTCTGATAATATTTTTGAAAAAAATTTGAAAATTAAGAAAAATACCTCTTCAGGTCTTGAACTTCTATCAAATTGTAATCCTGAATAAAAAGCGATAGCAGTCACAACTCCAATTACAAATAAATTTGTAAACGCTGACTCTCCCATCTATAAGAAAAAAATATATAAAAAAAGATGGCCTAGAAAAAGTTAGTCCAAGTGAAAAAGAAATTGCGAAAGAGTGTTTATATAGTGATTATGATGATGTAACTCTTATCAAACGTGGAATTAACCTTATCAATCATAAACCACAACTAAAAATTGTATCAACTGGCAAAAACCACTTGTTTTTATGATGGTTCTTTATCTGAAAATGCTCAAAATTCTTGAAAACCCCAATATGTAATAAACAATTTTCAGAAAAAATTTCACAATCAGTAGAATTTCAATTTTGACACGGTTATACAAAATAAAACAACAGTAAAACATTGATTTTTGTATTTTCTAGTCAATGTGTGTTGTTGAAACAAAAAATTTATTAATTGTGTTGTTGTATACAGAAAAAAAAAACGACGAGAGAAAGAGAGGGGTGAGAGAAAAAAAGTTGCAAAAAAGTCTACACGGTGAGCGAAAACTATGTAGGGGGGAGTAAGAGGAAAAAATGGTGTTAATATCGTGGAGTATAGCCACTGGTTCTTGGGAATAAATAATAGTTTTTGGCGTCCGTGTAGCCGATGCCTTCTCGTCCCATCATGTAGCGAGATGCGCGAGGATTGAATTGCTTTTCGCCTGGAACAAATTAAGAATTTTTATTTGGTTTTTGAAAAATAATTTAAGGTGTTTAGAAAAAAGAAGGGTTTGCGATCAGCGCCAAAGATTTATAAAAAATCAACATTTCACTTCTAGAAATAAAATTAGAATTTGAAATTATTGTCAAAAGCAAAAAATCACGGTTCATGAGAAATTTTAATCTGAAACATCAATCAAAAAAATCCACAAGCTTCCCAAAAAAATTATTTTCCCCAAATCCCCTACCTCTATGACTGTACATATGATAAGCTAATCCACGACTATCTGCATAACTTTTCGAGCAATATTCACAAATATACGGTTTTGACCTAACATCACTATAAACTTTCAATGGATGTTTTGGCTCAAAACCATCTGTTGCATATGTCGGTTGTGGTAGATCATAAACTGTTAGACCCGTTCGATTTTTTGGTGTTGTCACGACGACATTTGATTTTTCTGGAGCGCCAATCAAATCAGCTGGATCATCAGTGTGTTTGTGATAAAGCATTTCTGTATAGGAGAAAAATGTTCGACCGCATTCACATTTGTAACCGTCGACGTCTGGAAAATGGAGATTTTTGGCGATTTTTGGACAAAAAAAATTGCTAAAAAAACTTCAAATTACGAAAAAAAATTTTAAAGATCTGTGAAATATCTGGAAGATTGGGAACATAAAAAAAACAATTCTTTGGTTCTGGGCTGATTTTGAAAAAAAAACCAGTTCAGATTTTGAGATTATTTTTTCACAGTAATTCAATCTTAACACACAATAATCAAAATCATAATTTTTTTTTTTAAATCATTTTCAGAAATTCAATGTCTGAAAATGAATGTAATTTAATTTTTAGTTCATGTTTCATAATCACAAAACATTTGGATTCATTTTCAAATCACATCTTACCTGAATGTTGTGCTGCATGATATTCCAACTGGCAAGCAAATTCAAATGATTCTCCACATTTTCCACAAACATACGGCTGAAAAAATTGTTTTTTTCCCATTTTCCTGTCTTCCAATTTATTTATTGATTGTCCATTATTATTGTTTTTGCTTGATGTTTTTTCTCCAACTTCACTTATCTCATCTCTTCTCAAAAACCAATCAATAATGTTAAACAAAAAAAACGGATCGAATTTCCTGCGTAAAAGGTTGCTCGACCTTTATTCTTTTCAGTGAAGATATTAAAATTACACACAAACCTGTGAAACATCGTGTATTCTCTCATGAGCACGTAATGTGTTCATAAAATTAAAGGTGATTCCGCAAAATCGACATTTGTAGTAGATGAAACCATTGTCATCTTTTTCGACGTTTGAAGATTCCTAAAATCCAGAACGATTTGAAATTTCAAGTGGGACAAAACAAACACTTTATTTTTTTCGAATATGATTTTTTTTGGGAAAGACAAAGACAAAAGACGTCACAAAACACAGAAAATTTAACATCCCGCTGAATATTCTTTTCCAACAAATGTACAATTCATTGTTACTTCGGAAACACGCTAAAATTTGAACAAAATTAGATGTTGAACATAAAAAACAGAGAAAACAAAAAATAGTAACAATTTACCTGGTCCGGTTTTGATTTTGGAGCTGTTGGAGCACTTGAACTTCCAACCTGGAAAAAATTATCCTGATCTAAAAAAAGACCCCGCACCCCAAGTTCCACATACATAAGCTTCAACAGTTGGTGCAATAACTCTCAAAATATTCTTCGGCTCTTCCGACGATGATTCTTGCTGCTCATTTTTCGATACACTTGGCATACCATGCACCATTCCATCATTTTTCACAGCAAGTTTTGCTAAATCGCAAGCTTTCATAAGATCTTCAAAATCATCACGTTCTTTACGAGCCTGAAAATTAATCAATCAATAAATTTTTAAATTTGAAAAAAAATCTCACCTCGCTGAAAATATCGTCGTCCATCTTGGCAAGAATGGGAGGATGGGGGTGAAAGTTGTTGCTCGACTCGACTTGAGCAAATGTGTAAAAATCTGCGTCTCTCGATATCTCTCTGTTGTTGTGGGATGTTTTTCGTCTCTATATCTCCCGGGAAGAAAGGAGAGACGGAAAGAAAAAAGAAAAAAACGAGTCTCGGATAAAAGCCATGTTTTTTTGTCTGATGTGTACTAGAATTTGAGTAGTAGAAGAAGATGAAGAACAAAAAGAAGGGGGAAACATAGGAAAAAGATGAATTGATGAGATGTTCTACACATCTGGATTTGCTCTTATTTATGATTGGAAAAATAAATAAATATATATATAGATAAAATGAGCGAAGCAAAGAATAACAACTTTTTTTGTGAGTCGGGAAAAACTGGATGTTAGTAATATGGAATTCGAAACTTTCTACTTGGAAGAGGAACCTTGTTCTTACATTTTTATTACAAAATTCTTTGAGTTCACGACACTTGATCACATTACATTATAAAGCTATTTTCATTAGAACGTTTCTTAAAACTACTTTTTTGTTAATGAGATACATAATTCGATGTTTTCCTCTTTGGCTGTCGTTTTTTCTCACAGTCGTTAAAAATTTTTGAAATTGTTGAGCTTTGACATAAGGTGCTCCAAGCCTATTCAAATGTTTTTCTTTAAAAATTTTCACATTCAGATTCAAGATTTTGGATTAAATTCAAAATTTTATATTTTGAATACATGCGATTTTTCTCAATTTGGAGTACAGATATGAGAAGGAAAAATGGAAAGAAGAAGAAGACAAACAACTTCCCTTAACTCACAGATTGGTTTCTTATCTTAAATTCCAGGTATATTTCCTATTTTTTATATTAATAGTCTTACAATTATTGTTTTGAAAAATTAATAAAATTATTATTTGTTATTTGTTCATTAAAATATTTAGTTTGCAACCAGAAAAAAAACAATGAAAACAACAAATACACATACACACATACATGAACTTGTTACCTTATACTCACTATCCTTGTTGTGTCTAATCTCTCTATCACTATTTCTCTCTCACACTGTTGCTTTATTAGTACATATGCATGCATTCACATTGATCCGGTGATTGCATATTTGCTTTTTTTTTAATTTTTTTTGTTCTCTCAGAGTTTCTTAACTTAAAAGTTCTGTTTTATTTTTTATTTCTGTAAAGATATTCAGTTCTAGAAAGTGTCAGTTGTATAGCAATAGAGCTCGAAACCTTTTTTTTGGAACTGACTGGGAAACTGCTAACTTTTTTTACTAAAAAATGAAATATGAATCTTACTCATTTAATTTTATTATGTTCCTTTGTTTAAAAAAATTTTGTTCAATTTTCAGTTTTCAAAAATGCCACCACACAAACGTTCAATGGATGGTTTCCAAGCTGAGGATGTTGAAGTGAAGAAAAAGGCCACCGAAGATTACGTCTCGAGACGATTGGCTCTGGATGATCCGGCGCCATTTAGTGATAAGCCAGAAGCGATCGCTGAACGTAATCACGTTGATTACACTAAAAAGATCACAATCGCTGAGACCACCAAGGAGTATGTCTCGAGACGATTGGCTTTGGATGATCCGGCGCCATTTAGTGATGAGCCAGATGCGATCGCTGAACGTAATCACGTTGATTACGAGAAGAACATCACAATCGCTATGGCTAAGGCTAATGAAGGTGAGGGTTTTTTTTTAATTCAGAAAAAAAACATTCTTGGTTAGAAAAAAATGATTTGATGTAAAATTGAGAAGAAAATTATTAATTTTCATTTAAAAAATTTTAAAAACCAATTTTGCAATCCAATTCCAAAGTCAAAAATTGTATATTTCTTGCCACTAACTCTCAAATCAATATTCATTTTATAGCTGGTCGCCCAGTTCGAATTTACGCCGATGGTATTTATGATTTATTCCATCACGGTCATGCCAATCAACTTCGCCAAGCCAAAAAGATGTTTCCGAATGTTTACTTGATTGTTGGAGGTAATTTTTGAAACATGATTTTTTTGTTGGAATATTTAAAGACTATTTTTTATAGTGTTTGGCGCCGAAGACATTTCGAAACATTTGCAACAAGTTGTTAATTCAGAAGATGAACGTTTCGACGGAGTTCGTCATTGTAGATACGTCGATGAAGTCTACCGATGTGCTCCGTGGTTCTGCACGGTTGAGTTCTTGAAAGAGCTCAAGGTCGATTTCATTGCTTTGAATAATCAATCAGTACACATTGATGATTTTGAAGAAGTTCATAAAGAGGAAATTCAAAAGTTGGAAAGAGTATTAAAACAACAACAACAATATGCTGATGATTCAAAAGCTGCCGAGGAGAAAAAGAATGAGAAATTAGTGAGTTGTGTCTATATTTTAGAAATCGCTAAAAATCTTTTTTTTTTTTCAATTTTTCTCAAAACGATTCCTTTCAAAAATCATCAATTTTTGAAACGTATACAGAAAATGTTCCACTCTCTTTCAAACAAAGAAATAATTCCATTTGAAATTTTTTAAGAGCTGTTTTTTGGCGTTCATGGATAACCAAATTATTTTCAAAAATAGAGAGATAATTGTGTGAACTTTCCTTTTTGTTATGAATCAACTAACTTACCGCATCAAAGAATTTTTTTTAAACAATGAAAAAAATTATGAAAATCTGGTCATACAAACACTTCTTGCTATATAAGAAACAATTTTCAGATTGAAATTGTCACAATTGACACAAGCGATGATGATGAGGAAGAAGAAGACGACGACGAAAACGACACCACAATAGAAGAAGAAGAATTGCCACCAACTACAGTGAATGAAGAGAGTGGAAAACCACCCAGAAGAGCATTGGTAAGTTAAAAACAAATTTTTCTCATAACAATACTGAAAATATGTATTTCAGTCTGCAATGCAACCGAGACGATCAAACAACTTCCATCTCTAATTCTCATCATTTCTATTTTGATTCGAATTGTCGTTTCCGATAGTTTTCAATTTATACCACTAAATCTCCCGTGCCTTTTGTATGTTTCGATATTCCATATATTTCTATTGGACCCTCCCCCTCTCCCCTTTTTTCTCTTTTTGTCTTCGCTGCTCTACGACAAAAAGTCTATTTTAGTTAGACCGGTATTTGGAGGGCACGTTTTATTTTTCCATCTCTTGGAACATGGCTTTCTCGTCTTTTGACAACTTCTGCTCCTTCGGGTTCGCCCATATGAATTTTCGATCTGTAAATATATATTTATATTGCCCCCCCCTCCCCTTTTTTCTCTTTTTTCATTCTTTCTTCATTCTATCATTTTCTTGTTGAATAAAGTTTTTTCAAGGTACATGTTTTGACGTTTTTTTCATTCTTACACGTTTGTCTTTCCGCTAAATAAAAATTAAAAACGTAGACAAACACATTTTTCTGGATATCATCGAAAGGTAGATTAAAAGCACTAGGGATGATTATTGACTTGAAATATTCTTTGGTCATGTTTCATTTGGCTAATTATTTGTTCTCATGATTTTTCACATTTTGTATGTTGAAAAGGAAAATGTGCCCCAACGTACAAAATAATTTTTTTGAAAATGAGTCATTCGGTTTTCTGGAAAAAAACTGCTTTTATATAATTCTGTCTTTTCGAATAACGGTCTTCGAATGTATTTTTAAAATATAAAGTAAAATTATTTTTTCTACATAATTTCCCTTTTTAAAATTTATTTTTATATCTTATGAAAAGTGTAAATCTTAATTTGTATTTCGTATAGCACACTTATTGTAAAAAATTTTCTAACGTCCAGTTTTCATAATGGAAACCCTTTTTAATCAAACTCAAGCCCCAATATTGTGCTTTTGATTTGAAAGAAGAAAAATCTTTGATTTGTTGAGCTCCGGATATTTTTTTATAGAGTTAAAGATAATTCATCTTTTTTTTCTGTGTAGCCAAAAGTTTCAAGCAATTAGTCATCGAATGTATGTTTGTAGTCTGACATTGAGAGATGTTTTAGAAAAAAATTGAAGAGAGTGAGAGAGAAATTTCCGGCTCATTAGTTATACTTTTCTGAAAATAAATGTTGGATATTTTTTTCAGACTCTTCTCTCACAATTAGTTCAATTTGAAGGCTATGAAAAAATCTCGTTTTTTTTTAGAATTTATATATTACTAGTTAATTTAATTTTTTTTTGAAATCTATGTCAAATTTTTCTTGAGTAGAACACGTTTTTGTGCTCGCGACCACACAAAAAACTTATTTCAAAAGTGAAGACTCTTCAAAAATATTTCTGGTGTTCAGTAATCCAATTTCCGCCGGTTTTTTTTCATTTTCAATTTTTTTTTTTTGAAAAATACAATTCGTAACATTTTCAGCACCTTTTGGAATTTCATTTTTGAATAAATTTTTATTTCACTACAAAGCTGTTTCAAATTAGCGCAAAAATTCTTCAAATATTGAAAAAAACGGAAATTGTTTTTTTTTTGTTTTTGTGAAAAAAAAACTCGCGTGATATTTCGAAATATTTCTAATAAAAATTTATTAGATTGTTTTATTTGATAGATTGGTCATAAATTGTATTTATACCACCAGATATTTTTGAAATGTTTCATTTTTGTTTTTGAAAAAATTATTTATTTGTTTACACCTTCTAAAAAATTCTCCCCAAACAAAAAAATCAGAGAGAAAAATTAGCTGTCTACAACTTGCCAAAAACAAAAAATAACAACAACATCCCAAAAAGCCAAGCCAAAAATTTTTTGTTGTTTTTTTTGTTGTTCCAGCATCTGTTCATTTTTCTTTTCTTTGACCTTACACTGCATGCTTTTTTTTCCAAATGTGCTGTGTTCAACAAAAATTGAGGGTCTAGACTCTATATTCTTGGAACATTTATTTTTATCAAAGAAAAATGTGTTATCTTTTCATATGCCCAAGTTTCAAGGTCCAAAGTGTCAAGAGATCTGACAAAGGTCACAACCTTTATTGATTTTTTTCATATATTTTTTTTCCAAAAATAAATAAATAAATAAACTTTGCTTCGAATGATTCACAGCGTTTTTTTTTTGGATCGGTGTCAACAGAACGACGCAAAAATGCACCCCATTTCTCTGCACCCTCCCTCTCCCACATTATCTCTAACCCTTCTCGCTCAAAACATTTTTTTTTGAGCGTGCGTGCGTCGTTTTTTTGTTATTATATAATGTTATTGTTTTTTTTTCTGTGTTCCTGTGTACCCCGTTTTCATTTTTCTTTTTCTCATGCAAATGGTACGATTTCACCGAATCGAATGATAAAAAAGTGTCATTTTGTTATATCATTTTTTCTTGTTCTTTTTTCTGACGATAATAATGATAAGTAGAACACACGTACTTATATTTTTTCTTGTATTTTTTTTTCTTAATTTCGATTTCATTTTCAGTTTTCAAAATGCCACAACGAAAACGTACGATGGATAGTGTTCAAGCTGAGGATGTTGAAGTGAAGAAAAAGGCCACTGAAGATTACGTCTCGAGACGATTGGCTCTAGATGACCCGGCGCCATTTAGTGATGAACCAGATGCGATCGCTGAACGTAATCACGTTGATTACACTAAAAAGATCACAATCGCTATGGCTAAGGCGAATGAAGGTAAGGGGTTTTTTGAAAATTTCAACAAAATTATTTGATGAGAATATATTTTCGAAACAAATTTCCTGGGGATTTCTAAAATTAAGCAGTTTTTCTAAAAAAATTTTAATGATGATTTCAGAATTATTCATTTTTTCAAACCATTTTTTGAAAATCTAGCAATTGAAAAATACATTTAAAACAAGCAACGTTTTGAAAAAACAATCTAATTAAATTTTAATCTTTTTGAATTTCAAGAAAATGTCTTCAAAGGTTTTGAGATCTTTTGGAATTTTCTAACCAAAAATTGTTTGAAAGCAAACTAAAAATAATTCACAGGAAATTTTATCAATGAAATTTCCCTAATAAAAATTTCTAGATTTTTTAAAATCATCAAATCGTTTTCTAAAACATTGAAAAAACACGACATCTCAAAAATAAAAACAAAAACTGAAAAAAAACCCAGCCAAAGACGCTCATCAATATTTTTAATGAAAACCAAACAAAATTTCGCAATCCTACATGTGCCGCATCTTTGAACTATTACCTCTCATATCAATATTCATTTTGTAGCTGGTCGACCAGTTCGAATTTACGCCGATGGTATTTATGATTTATTCCATCACGGTCATGCCAATCAACTTCGCCAAGCCAAAAAGATGTTCCCAAATGTCTACTTGATTGTTGGAGGTGAATTTTGAAACTTTTTAAATTTTTTTTTTGAAATATATTGATTTTTTATAGTTTGTGGCGATAAGGACACGCACAAGTACAAAGGACGAACTGTCACATCGGAAGATGAACGTTTCGACGGAGTTCGTCATTGTAGATACGTCGATGAAGTCTACCGTTGTGCTCCGTGGTTTTGCACGGTTGAGTTCTTGAAAGAGCTCAAGGTCGATTTCATTGCTCACGACGCAATTCCATATGTTGCACCAGGAGAAGAAGATTTGTATGAGAAATTCAGAAGAGAGGGAATGTTCATCGAAACCGAAAGAACTGAAGGAGTCTCGACGAGTGATGTTGTTTGTCGAATTATTCGCGATTATGACAAATATGTTCGACGCAATTTGCAAAGAGGATACTCGCCAAAAGAGTTGAATGTTGGATTTTTGGCGGTGAGTTTTGGTTTTGATTTTTTGAAATGAATATCTGGAATAATATAGTTTAAAAAATCTTTTGAAATAATAAACTACAAGATTCAGTTTCATTAAAAATCTAGAAAACTAAAATTCCAGAAATCTCCTGAAGTTTATGAAAAATAAGAAAATCTGAAACTTCTCAAAAACATTCAGCTAATTTTCACTGCAAAAAATTTACGATAAACCCAAATTTCATTTCAAATGTTGATATTTTCTAGGCCAGCAAATATCAAATCCAAAACAAAGTCGATTCATTGAAAGAAAAAGGCTTAGAGCTTCTCAACACTTGGAAAAGCAAATCCGACGATTTCATCAAAGATTTCATCGACACCTTCCACAAAGACGGTGGACTTAACGTAAGTCTTCATTTTCCACTGGGGAAACCAATGACATTATTTTTTTTGCAGGCATTTGGTGGTCGATTGAAGGGAATTATGTCAATGTCAAGATCACCATCACCATCTCCAGATGAAGATTCCAACGGAATCGTGAGACATTTGGAAAAACAAGAGGAAGATGAGACCAAAACTCCACTCGAATACTAAACATTTTTTAAAACACATTTCTGGTAAAATTCACCCTTAAACTAACGAACATAATTAATTAGTAGTGCCTTTTAGTTTTTTTTCTTCGTCATTCTATTTTATTCCACCCATCCAATCCTATTTATTTTATCATCTTGTATTTTTGTTTCTCGGGATTCGAATTTTGGCCATAGCTTACCAGAAATTTCACATGTACATATACCTTATTTGTACGTTTGTTCTAAGATGCATTTAATGTTGTCGAGCATTTCTAATTCCACGTATTATTATCATCTCTTCATTATGTACCTTATGAAAATTTCTCCTTTATTTAAAATAAAATTACTGAAAATTTGGTGTCACAGCAAGTGTTTTGAAATTTGTAACCGCTTTTTTTTTTCAAAAAATCTTTGGAATTTCCGCGAATTTTTGAGACCGCAAACAATTTCAGAAGGTGAGACTAGAAATCGAAGAATTCAACGCTAAATTGAGAGAATTGGAGAAAAATCATTTTTAATCTACCCCAAAAATGATTGAAAAATTTGAGGTCTAGCGATTAGGGGTAGTAAATTAGATACTGGGATTCACAGCAGAGAACAAGAGATCAAAGTCAGATTTAAAGTTAAGATTCGAAATTCAAGTTTATGAATAAATTCATCTGAAGAAAATATGAATTTTGCCACATTTTTTGTTGTGAAATTGCAATTTTGGTTTTTTGGGTCTCGCAGCGATCACGTGTCCCTTTAATATTTCTTCTTTATTGTTGTGTTCATTCGGTGTCATTTTGCGACAAAAAATGTCGCGAAACTCATTTGATGAATTGATCCATTATTTTCAATTAAAACTTTCAAATTCAAAATTGCACCACACTTCAATTAGTTAGTTAGTCATGACCAGCACCAGAACGCAATTATTTTCAAAGTTGGCGCCAAAACGCCCCCAAGCACCCGTTTCATGTGAGCGAAACCTTTCGCGAGTCAACATTGGCCAGCGCCCATTCATTTGTTACACACCTTTTTGTCGTCTCGCCAGTTTGCACTTTTTTGTTGAACCTTCTTTTGAAATATGTCCTTATTTTTTTCCCTATTTTCATTCTTTTTGGCGCGTAGGTTAGGTTTAGGCTTTAGCCTTAACCCCCCCCCCTTTAGGCTCTATTAGGCTTTAGCCCCCCCCCCCTTAGGCTCTATTACGTTTATTTTTTATCTGTGTAATCTCTTGTTAAAGAAAGTTAGTTTTTAAAAATCGAGAATATTTTAGGTAATAAATGAAATCTCGAAAACACTTTCTAGTATGTCGGTACTGTGAAAAGAGGGTCGAACGAAAAACGATGACTAAAGTTCCGTGTGCTCGAACCACTAGAGAAAAATGGGCAAAAATTCTTGGCTCGAAATTTGCCGAAAATGTGAAGAAATGCAGCGATAAAAAATTGAATGATTTTGGTCGAATTTGTTCGTCACATTTTCAAGGAGGGCAACGTATACAACGTGGCCAACTTCCAATGAAAGATTGTCAAAAACAATCTGTTAGTCAAGTGAGTTTGAATGATTTGAAAATTAATGTTATTTCACCTCGTATATTTTTAGCCAACTCTAAAAAACTACTCGCGAAAATGTTGTTATTGTGAAAAATCGCAAGTCGACGATCAGTTGACACGAGTTCCGACGAAGGAAAGTGATCGTGAAAAATGGATAGAGAGACTTGGACCACGTTTTGCTGAAAATTTGGGGAAGTGCAAGTATGGTGCAATTTGCATCTCACATTTCAATGGATTTGTTAGACGTCGAAGAAATCAATTACCAATTCGAATGGAGGAAGAAGCCGAAAAGGAAAACGAAGAAGACCAGGAGGAACAGGAGAATGAAGAAGAACATGAAATGGAGGTAGAACAATCGGATGAGAATGAAGAAGAAGATGGAATGGAACAGGAGGTTGCCGAGAAACAAGAAGAGCAACAAGAAGAGCAAAATCGAACGGAAGGTTTTATAGAAAATGTATGGCTTTTTATTGAAATTTACAAAATGAAAAATCATTTTAATACAGGAAAACAGAGTCGAAGAAATACAAGAGACTGGATCAGTGACAGTGAAAAGAGAGGTCCCGGAAATAGTGGAAAATGAGCAGGTTGAGGTAAGTTTTTATTTTTTCATTGGAATTTACAAGAAAACAAATCATTTCAATACAGGAAAACAGAGTCGAAGAAATACAGGAGACTAGATCATTGAGAGTGAAAAGGGAGCAACCGGAAATTGTGGAAAATGAGCAGGTTGCGGTAAGTTTTTATTTTTTCATTGGAATTTACAGAAAAAAAATCATTTTTATTACAGGAAAACAGAGTCGAAAAAATACAGGAGACTAGATCATTGAGAGTGAAAAGGGAGGTCCCGGAAATAGTGGAAAATGAGCAGGTTGCGGTAAGTTTTTATTTTTTTCATTGGAATTTACAGAAAAAAAAATCATTTTTAATACAGGAAAACAGAGTCGAAAAAATACAGGAGACTAGATCATTGAGAGTGAAAAGAGAGCAACCGGAAATAGTGGAAATTGTAAGTTGAACAATTTATTAAGAAAATCCAATCTAGATGCATTTTTCAGATCAATAATCACATTTGTCGTTATTGTGAAGCAGGATTGAACTCTTCAATCAAATCAATCGGAATTCCAACAAACACCGAAGAGTTCATCAAATGGTCGAAAGTTTTCGGCAGAAAGTTTTCGAATAATGTTCTCAGAAACCCAAAACCACATTTCATTTGTGTGTCTCATGTTTTCGAGAAAAATTGGGAAAATGTTTGAGTTTGGTAACCTTTTTTGACGGTTTTAGAGCAATTTTTGGCTCAAAACAATTTTAATTCCACGTATTGTTATCCCTTTATTATGTTTTGAAGTTTCGAATAAAGATACTGAAAAATCTTATTTTTATTTTCTTAAATATGGTTCTGAAACTAGATTTCATTGTCAGTCAAAATGTGAGGAGAGTTTGCCAGATTCCAGAAACATTCAAATTGTTAACCCCTCTACAATCACCTAGAAAAATTTCGAAAGCGAAAACATATTTTGTTTACTCATTCATTAAACCAGTAGGTGTAATATTAGCATGCCAATCCAACCAAACATATATGGGTGGTCGAGAAATAAGCAGGCAAGCAGGAAGAAAATGACTGGTTCTAGCTACATTTTTGTGAATCATCATGATCATCATGTGAGAATATGGTCAAATGTTTGTTTTTCCGAACGAGGTTCGGAAATGGAAAATTCCGGAAATGGTGGATTTTGGCAGATTCGAGTAAAGATCAGATTTTGAATTGCGGATGAGTGAAAATCAATAGATCTTGAACGAGTGGATTTACAAACCGCTTATTTTGTGACGTTGAGTAAGATTGTTCCAGAATCAAGTTGATTTTGGAAATTTGATGATTCTAAATTTTATCTGATGATTAGATCTAATTGAATTACTAATGATTCAAAGATCTGAAGAAAAATATGAAGGGTTGGTTCAGGATTGACTTTTGAGTTAAAAATTCTGCTTCTAAAATAAATAATCAACAAAAAAGTTTCTCAAAGATTTGAAAATTTTTTGAAGATTTAGATTCACGATCCTATTTCTCGCCAGCTCACCCTGTGTAAAAAAAAGCTCTAGGTATTTTACCAGGTATATATTTAACTTCTAAAGTTTTGTTTTTTTAAAGTTCAGCGAACACCTCATCTAAGAAAATACCCTCTTTCTGTAAACAGTTTCCAAATTATTGTAAAATTCAAGAACATTTGTTGATCAGAACACAAATGCTTGCAAGTTCTCATTGATTTCTATTCCAAGACCCACTTGAATGTTTTTCAGAAACCTTTTTGTCTTTTCATGTGTTGATTTTCTTTTTTTCACACATTTTAATGAAAACTTCTAGAATCCCTCAAAATCAAAAACAAATCTTCTCCTAAAATCCTTCCTTTTATTGCCTATCAATCTGCTGATATAATAAAATTTTGATAATAATTATCAGAAAAACTTACATGGATGATAAATGGGGTTCATAACAGCGAAAAGGGAAGAACATATATATCCATTCATTTCAATTTTTTCTGTATTTCAGAAAAAAAACGAGAAGAGAAAATCAAAATCAATTTTAATTTTTGATCATTGAAGAAGGAGATTTCTGTGTTTTCATTCATTGCTTACCGGAAACCTGAAAATCTATTTCTTTCTCTTAACAGAAAAAAATATATATTTATTTCCTGATAAGACTAATTAGAGATGGTCACACACGGATGTTTTTCCAGAAGCAATAAATCATTGAAAAAATAATCTGGAATTGTTTGACCAAGGTTTTTATCATTGTTTGTTTACACACTGAAAAATAATGGGACCACCCCTGAATGTGTTGTTTGATTCCTATTCTCATAATTTTTTATTTTTTGGTTTTGGAAAATTTCCTAGAACAATTTGCATAGAAAGGTTCATTGAATACAAGTGTTTTGCACTCATCTTAATTATAAATGCACTTGAAATTACTAGATTTCTATGATCTGAATTCGAGATAAGAGGTAATTTTTTGCACTTTTGAATTACTATTATGTATTTATTCATCGTCTTAAAAAACCGAACAAAAAACCATCAATCACACGAGGAATTTCCGAGAAACACATAAAATAGCGGTCAAATTCACCCACACATCACACACACACCTACACATTTTTGAATATATTTGAAGTTCAACTGGATGAATGTTTTTGAACTTTTGTATCAACGTAAAAAAACGATTTTCTGGGAACAAAGAACAGAAATGGCAAAAAATTGGAGAGAAAAACGACGAATTTTTTGATTGGATTGAGAATTGGAATGGTGTTGAACATGAGACTGAAAAAATTTGAGAAAAAACTTTAAGCTGGTCAGAATACTGTAGTTATTTTGATCGTTCAAAGTTTAAATTCTGTTTTCTCGAGGTCAAAAAGATTAGTATTATTAAACAATTTTCTAGAGTTGCTTCAATCTGTGAAGATTACAGTAGGGCAAATAAAATTCAGAAAACTTCACGAAACTTTACTGACAAGAATTCTGTAGCTTTAAAAATTGAATTATTTTTGAATGTGTTTCACATAAATCTTGATATAAGAATTAAATTGATAAATTTAAATTTGTACAATAACCTATTAAAAAATAGTTGTTTTTCTTCTTATTTTTATCAAGATCTCAAGATTCCTACTGTGCCTTAAGCTAGAAGCCTACAGTATTCAAATATCCAATAAGCAGTGCTCATCCAAAAACCTTGACAAGGATTATCCAGGGATCCCCCACCTGGTTCCCCTCATTTTTTTCGTTGTTTCAAACCATAACAACCTTGACAAAAAACACAATATTTTCATTTTTTTTTCGACTTCTAAACCAGCATAATTGAAGCAAAAAAGGGTCAATATATAATCGGCTTTCATCGTTTTTTTTAAACACAACATGGTTTTGTTTTTCTTACATACATTTTGTAGCAAAAACAAAAAACAAAACAATAACAAATACCGGAAGATGGTATACTTGAACTCATGAAAAAATCCCTCGTGGTTTTTTGATGTTTTGAAGAAGTTTGCACTTTCTACTTGTCCATCTTCCTTCCTGTCTGTTTTTTTTTTCAAATTTATTTCGAACATTCGCATTCAGAAAAATGAATAGATAGAAACTGGTAATATTTGTTTTGTTTACACATTTCATTTCAATTGTTTATCCACATATTTAGCGGTGTCCAAAATAGAACCTTTTTTTCGCGTTTCCGAATCTCACTTTCAACAACTAGGATATTACGTAAATAGATAGATGGAAGAAGAACCGTAAAAGAAGACGAAGAAACAACAGAAAAAAATCATCGCTTTGCCTTTTCATCTTTTTTTTGTCGCGACTGCAATGAAGACCAGGGCGAAAAAATATATATAATTTTTGCGTGCGATCGTGTGGTTTCAATTTTCAAAAGTGATCCATCATTTATTTTCATTCAATTTTTTGTCTCGTTCGATTGCAATTTGGGTTGAAAAGGAGGATGGTTTGGCTTGATTTGACGCTAAACGGGCGGCGGCGGCGATGAAAAACAAAAGTACTTTTTTCTCGCCAGCTAGGTACAGTAATCAAGTTGTCAACAAATGATTGACTAGATAATTTTGATGAAAAAAGTACTCTACAACTTTTTGAATTGTTGTTTTTTTCTCATTTCATTTCGCTGAAAGTATTTTGAAAAAAAGACACACCCAATTGATATTTGACAATTTTTTTCCTGGGAATAAGAATCAAAATCAAAAACATCAATAGAAAATGCTTCAAGTGTTCATATTGCGCTGCTGCGCGAAACAAAAATAGTTTAACAACAAAATTATATGTAATGTCACGCTTTAGGAGAGAAAAAAAAGATAATTAACAAAATAAAACTATATTGTATTGTATGTATTGATGTTGAAAATGAAATGCGTGGGAAGAAAATGAAATTATTGTTTCCTGAATGAAGTTTGAGGTTTTTTTGGGAAATTGGGAAGGGAATGAGGTTAAAAATAGAAATAGAGGTTTGGAATCTGGGAAAGAAATATTTCGAATTTCAAAAACTTTTTTGAAGATGGAACAAAACTTTGGTATCAACTGAAAAAAAGTTTTCAAAATTCTCGAAAAAAGAAAAGCTTATCGTGATTTCTAAAAAATCATATTCAGATTCAAATCATAAAATAAATAAATAAAATAATCATAATTTTTTGAATTTTTTGAATTTTGTTGCAGGCAGGCTTTCAGTTTGGACTCGCCTTTGGGCCCGGATTTTGAAAATATTTCTAGATGTTAAAGTCAGAATTTAAATTTTTGAATTTTTTTCAGATTCCACGCAACTTCAGCTTCTCATCATTTTCCTATTAGAAATTGTTTTTTTTTTAATTTTGTGTTAATTAACTTAATTTTTTTCTAGATTAATCAAAAACCATGTTCATTCTTGAAAACAATTTTTAGTTTTTGATAAAAAATCTTCAAAAATCGGAAGTTCAAGGATTCTCGTATGTTAATTTCAATTGTTCTTTCGACTCCTCAAAACTGCCCTTTTCAGAAATTGAAAATGATCTTTCTTCAACATCAATTAAAATAGAACTCGAACGTTTCGCAAAAACTATATTTTACACCAAACTAGAACACAGTTCTTTTCGGTCTGGAAACAATCAAAAGTCAAATATGATTTTATTTCATTTCTATCTTTTTTCCTCCTTACCAAACACCCACGAGTAATAATTATAGTATTCCGGATCCAATGAATCCACCCACCACATCACATGCGCCAAACACGAGATGGGTGGAGTCAAATGCGTGGGTGCAAGCCCACGAAAAAGATACATACATATACCGTGCATCAAATGGGCGGAGAGATTCAATGAATTTCTCGTAACTGTTCTGTTCAAGTCATTTTTCTTCTGTTTCGTTCTCCTTGTACTCTCGTTTTTTTTTGTATTTTCTGTTCATCTTCTTCTTCTTCCAAAATTTCTTTCCGATGATCCGCCTACTCTTCTTCTTCATTCGGAAATCGACCTAACGATCAGTTTGTGTGTGTGTTGTGTGAGTGTAATTGAGTGTATGTGTGTGTTTTTCTTTTTTTTTCTACAGTAGACACGCCCACGTAACAAGACGAAGCAAAACGATGAAACGTTTCGGACTAAAGGTGTCTCCATATTTTCCCAGAATTTTTCTTCTTTTTTTTCTTATCTCAAATTGTTCCTTTAATCCTTTTATGTTATTACAGTATTTCTCCTGGCTCCTTTTATAATTTATTTATATTTTTGCAAAAAATTGGGCCATGAACATCATTTTTTGCATTTTATGCATTATACCTGTAAGTTTTTTTCGCATTTTTTTTCTTTTGGAAATACTTAAGATACATAAGTGCATAGATCAAACTATAGAATTAAGTAAAAAGATGACCCCCAATTATGTTTTGTCTAGTCTAGTCTAGCCTAAGTGACTTGCAAAAAGTTACATACATAAATTTTGAAAAAGAGTACCGGAAAAACCAAAGAATTGCTAACTGTTTAGCCTTGACGATATATTTCCAGTCAGTCAAGGGCACTATGTTTCTTTATCTTCTCCTTCTCTTCTCCTTTTTTGTCTCTATGTGGTCACGAAACCGAGAGGCGCCAAACTGACGCCCCCCTCCCCTCCCCCTAAAAAGCTAAGGGTTACTATCAGAACGGGGTTGACCAGAACTTTTGATAACATAACACAAAAATTGATTTTTCTTTCTGCGCTGCAATTTGAACAAAAAATAATTTTTCATGATTGATTGATAAGTTTTTTCCTAATTGGATGATTTTGTCTGGAACTTGATTGAACTTTGTATGAATGTATGTACATATCATCTAGGAAACATTGAGAAGAAACAAATTTGTATGCTTGACCTAGCGTAAAATCGATAAAAATCAATGAACTGCAAAAAGTTTTTTTTGGGAAGCAAAGAAATCAAATAAAATGTGTATACTAATAATAATAATAATGATGACAATGAAAAAAGTTTTGTAACATTATTATCATCAATCAATCAACCAACTTTTTTACAGAATATAGTAGCATTTCTACCGTTTTTCAATAAAGATGATTTGAAATTTACATTTGGTGTAGATTCACACGATAAAGGTAGAGGAACAAAATATAAAATCGCAAAACAAAAAATATTTTTATTTCAGTTCCACATCACGAAGAAGTAGATCCTATTCCATTTTACCATTCCAATAATGGAAGTTTGGATAAGATTCAATTCCGAGCTTTTGATAAATTATACAATCTGACGCTTGAGCCAACTTTGGCCAAACTTCTCTCACCAAGTGCCACTTTTATTCGGAAAAATGAGAGACGCGGTGGAAGCTTGAAATTTGGCGAGAAGAATATTGAAAATTGTCATTACCATCATTATTCCAAAACAATCCATGCCGCTATAAGTAATTGCGACGGAAGAATTGTAAGTTTTTTCCAACCACTTGACTTTTCGAAACTTCCTTTTAATAACCGTTTCCTTTCTAGAAAGGAACTGTGATTGACAATGGCGAAATAATTGTTATTCACCCGTTCCCTGATCGACATGCACATCGTTCAAAACGAAGTTCGGGTAGGTCAAAGAATGAAGATCAAAATACTTTCATGTTTTTTTTTCTAGAAAATGGAGCGCACGTTGTTTACAAGCGGAGCACTTTGAGTGGCGAGGTTCCAAATGATTTTTGCGGTTTGGATAATGTTGTGACCGAAGAATCATTGCTAGAAGATGAGAGTGCGATTTTTGAGGATGTTTTTGTGACAGGCCAGAAGCTTACACAACAATCAGATCTTATTGTGAGTTTTGGTTGTCTTGTGCCCGGAAAAAAATTAATCAATTTTAAAATTCCAGGTTGAACTTGCGGTTTTCATCGATGAGAACCTTTGGAAACACTTTAGCAGTAAATACGGTGGTTCAGCTGATCGCAAACTTCAAGATTACACTTTGACACTTCTCAACAATATTCAAATAATGTATTATCAACCAACAGCCAGTCCTCCACTCACTTTCCGTGTCATTCGATATGAAGTGCTTACCAGACAACCGGTAAGTGCCATTCATTCATAACAAGATGATTTTCTTGCTAAATATATGTGTACGATGAAGGAAACCCCCCGCAATTATTTTTTTTGCAGTCTTTCATCGCTGGACACGAGCACAAATATGGAAACGCAGTCGAATATTTGGAACGTTTCTGTCGATATCAAAGAAATTTGGCTGTACGTGATTGGGATCACGCCATCATGTTGACTGGGTAAGCGGCGGAGAAGAGATTGAAATCGGGAGAGGGGGCGCAATTTTCGTGCGCTGATGACTGAACAAGATTGTAACCGAAACTGAACTGAATTGAATGCAAGACGTTTTTTGTTTGTTTGCAGAGAGAAACACACATTGATTAATTGTTTTGTTTGAGAATTTTTAGATAACATTCGGCAACTTTTTTTGGGGATAAAAAGCATAGGTGTTCAGAAATCAGATTGAGAAAAGTTGAGGATCAGGACTTTAACTTTTTTTTTGGTTTGGAATAGTGTACTTTTTTAGGATTCCGAAATTGGCAATTTTTTTAAAAACAATTTTCAGAAAACCTTTAATATTCTCAGCCCCAAAAAATCTCTTTCAACTTCAAAAATACAAAATTTTTTCAGATATGACATTCATCGTGGAGCCGGATCTCGCTCAATCTCTGGAATCGCACGTCTCGACGGTATGTGTGATCCAGGAAACACTTGCACCCTTGCCGAAGGTCTCGATTTCACATCAGCCTTCATCGGAACACATGAACTGGGTCACAGGTTTGTTTCAACAAAAAAAACTAAACCCAATCTGATTTGCAGCGTTGGAATGCGTCACGATGAACCATATTGTCAATCGAAGCATATAATGTCATCTTCATTGGGACCCGGAAAAGTCACGTGGTCCACATGTTCTTTGCGCGATTACCATCAATTTTTACAACGTCTCGAGTGCGTAATTAATTTGATTTGTTTTGTTTCTTCTTTTTTTTTTTGGTTCGGTTTCAAAATTGATACCAAAAAAAAAGAAGAAATATGATGATGATGATGATAATGATTTTCAAAAAAATTTTTTTTTCAGTGCCCGCGGAAGAAATTGCTTACGCGTCACAAATATGCCAACAAAGCTTGAAATTAAATCGAACGTAAAGCCTGGTCAAATTTACGATGCTAATCTTCAATGCGAATTGATGCATGGAAGCGGCTATCAGCAGGTATATCTTTTATTTGATTTTTTTTCCTCTTCCGCATCTGTAGGAAAAAAAAAACTTTTTAATTCGCAATTTTGAAGTGCATAGTTGAAGTCTCAAGTATATTTCCGGTAATTATTCTTTTCTCAAAACTTTTCTTTTTTTCAAAATGAATAGAGAAATGAAATTGAAATAAAACGGAAAGACGAAAAAATAAAATAAATCTGTTTGATTTCAACGAAAAATGCTGACCACATACATACATTGCGATCCATTTCCGGTGTATATCTATTTCTCTTCAACTTTTTCTCGTCTTCTCTTCTTTTTGGCGCCCTGGGTTCTTTATTTCTCAACTTGTTTTGGTCTAGAAGAAAAGAAACAATAACAAGATATGAATTTGGAAAAAAACGTAGCAGACAAGACAAGACAAGAAAAAATGAAAAAAGATTGATTTTCAGGTCACACCTAGACAAGATTCGTATGATGGAATTTGTTATATGATGTGGTGTGGACAATCATCGTTTGGTAGAATTATTACATCACATCCAGCGTTAGAAGGTAGATATTCGAGAATTTTTGAAAAAAAATTTTGAAATCAAAAATGTTAAAATTAAAATTCCAATTCCCAAAAAACTATTTCAGGAACCTTCTGTGGTCCAAACAAATGGTGTCAACTCGGTCGATGTGTTCCTTGGACCGGTACCAACGAGATCAACCCACCAACAGCTCAAACCTACGCACCAGTCACCACCACAACCCTACCATCAAGAATCGATGGTGGATGGTCTGGCTGGAGTGGAACTTATTGTCAACAATGCACATGTAATGATATTGTTGGCTCAGTCGGTCTTGCCGTCTCCAAACGAACGTGCTCCAATCCATACCCAGCAAATGGTGGAAATGATTGTTATGGCTCACAAACTCGAGCAGTTATGTGTAGTCGACAATGCTCGCGCGCTTATAAATCGGTTGATGATTATATCAGTGAGAAGTGTATGGAGCAAAAACGATTGAAAAATGATCGAGAATTGACTGGAAAGGGTAGTCAACTTAATCGATTCCCACAAAGAGCTTGCAAAGTGTTTTGCGATGTTCAACAACATTATGGAAGTCAGAGGAATTATCGATTCTTTGGTGATAATTTACCAGATGGTACAAGTTGTGGAAATGATCGATATTGTTTAGATGGTGAATGTTTGGTAAGTGATTTCATTTTTTTAAAATCTAAAATCTATCAAAAAATATATTTCTTCAGGCTTTATCTTGCAATAACAACGCGTTGATTAGCCGTGATTTATCTTGCCCAACTGAATCTTGCCCAATCGCATCAAATTCGCCATCAACATTCACTGGAATCTGGTCAACCTGGAGTCTTTGGACGCAGTGTACTGTATCTTGCGGTGGCGGATATCGCAGAAGAAATCGTGCCTGCTCAATCTCCGGACAATGTGACGGACAAGAAACTGAAAACGAGACGTGTGGAACGCAAGCTTGCCCAGCTGTTGCGGCAAGCGGAAATCAATGGAGCACATGGACCGAGTGGAATCGATGTTCAGTGTCTTGCGGAAGAGGATCACAAGCCAGATATCGTAAATGTCTTAGCCCATATCGAACATTGGCATTTGACTGCCCTGGTGAGAATAAAGTCACTGCTTCGCTTCGAATAACATTTCATAAAGGTTTTTGGGTTTTTAACAAACATTTTACTAACCTTTTGTTGATTTTGGTGTAACTGGATAAACATTTTTGAATAATAATTCTCTCATCCAGTTACCCTAACATTGTCATTTTCCCATTGTGTTGTTTGTGTTTCCGCACGTTTTTCTGTTTTTATCACCTAGTATTTCCCATTTTACCCCAATTTTTTTCCAGAAAAAAACATCGAAGTTCGCTCGTGCGACAATGGTCCCTGCAACGCGATCGGAGTCTGGGGAACTTGGGCATCGTGGAGCACTTGCTCAACATCTTGCGGAGCTGGAACAATGGTCAGACAACGCACATGTAATCGAGAACCTTGCGACGGCTCAGCTCACGAACGCCGATCTTGCAGTGTTGCACAATGTCAGAATGATGGAATCTGGTCACTATGGAATGAATGGTCCGATTGTAGTCGAGTGTGCGGAAAAGGACTGCGAAGTCGAAGCAGATCGTGTTTTGGAAGTGGATGTCCTGGTCAAAGCAGTGAACAACAATTCTGTAATGAGCAAGCGTGCGCAACAAATTTCGGAGGAGATTGGGGAACTTGGTCGATGTGGTCGTCTTGTTCAGTAAGCTGCGGAGCCGGTGTTAAACGTCGCACAAGATATTGTCAAAGTGGAAATTGTCCCGGAAATTATAAAGAGTCTGCAATTTGTAATGATAGAGAATGTGAAAATCGTAATGCTGCATGGGGAGGTAAATATTCTTCTTTTTTTTCATTTTTTTTTGAGATTTTATCATAACCCTTTTAGATAACGAAATCAGTTTCTAACAAATAACAACAACAACAAGGTATAACAAAAAAAAACTTTCCCTATTATCATGTAGAAAAGTGGCGCCAGCCAACCAAAAAAAGTGATTTATTGTTGTTGTGTTTTTCTCTGTCTGTACCCAATGTTCCTTTAAGTTTTGTTTCTACCCTCCTTCAAGTTATCATAACTCAAGAAATCAATGTTTTTGCAGGTTGGGGATATTGGTCATCTTGTAGTGAAACATGTGGGGAAGGTATTCGTAAACGTGTTCGAAAATGCTACGGTAGCGGAAATTGCGATGGTCAACAATATGAAAAGCAGTATTGTAACTTACGAACATGCGATTTCCGGCGGAGGTTTTAAGAGAGCCACCCCCAATTAGAAACTTGTGTTGTATTTATTGATTTTTTGGCTCAATTTCATATATATGGTCTTGTAAATAACCCCCTCCCCATTTTTCCCCCCAAAAAAAATATCAAATAGGTAAATGTTATGTCCCTTTGAAGCAAATTTACTTGTTTGACCATAACTGGTCACTTAAAATTACGGGTTTTTCGTTTCTCATTATGATAATAATGTTTTTTTTATTTCTGAAAATTTACTATTTTTCGATGCTAGTTAATTGATATCTGTAGAAAATCTATTGGCCTATTTCATTCTATGAAACGACGTATTTTTTCTTTATCTTTTGTCCTTTATCTTTTTCCATTCGTTTTTTTTCCCATTTTTTGTATCTTTATCTTCTTGTTCTGTATCAATTAATGAACATTTTCATGAAAAAAACACAGAAGAAGAGAAATCAAGCAAGCAAGCAAAAAAGTGTTAAAATCAACAGAGAATTCGAGTGGGGGAACGACATGTTTTTGAAAGATATCGTGGTTTTGGCGATGCTATTTTGCAGAGAAAAACTTCAAGAGGGCTGCAAAAATACATAGTGTATATTTTGGATGATGGACTTTTGGCCACACACTTGTTTTTGTGTTGATGACGTCAGAGATAGACTATAATATAGTCAGATATAGGTGTAGATTATAAAGGAGAACCCTTTGTATATAAATATGAGCAATGACTTAAAAAAAACATTTCCAATTTCACAGTTCTGAATTTAAAGGTGGAGTCTGACATCGATTTATTTGAATGAGTTTCAATTGTATGTATTTATAAATTTTCAGAAATTGACAAAGATCTTCAAACGGTGTTTCACTGTTTTTTTCCAACTCAATGTTTGAAAAGCTTCCAGAGCTTTCAAATGAGCACAACTTATTTTTGCTCACATCAGATTCTACCTTTAAAAAAATCAGTTGATCTCTCTAAAAACGTAAAATGTGGCGATTTCCAATGTTCAAACAACTAAAACCGAACAAACCGATTATGTATTGAAAAAATTAACATAATCATCATAAAACTTCTCTTCTTCTTCTTTTTTCTCAACAGATAACATAAAATAAAATCAAATATGTTTTTCTTTTATTTTTGTTCTCGTGTTTCTTTCTTTGATTTTCGATTCGATTCGATTCTTGTTCAAATTTTATATTATTTTTCCTCCAATAAAAGCTCAACCTTGAAGTGAAACAAGTGTTCGAAAAAAGGTTGATCTTTGATTTGCAATTTTCTTTTGCTAAAATAAATGACAAAAAATCTATTAATATTGATTTTGTTTTTTTTATGGAAACCAAAAACAATAAAAATGGCCGTTATCAAATGGGAAGATGAAGTTGAAAAGCGTCTTATCAATTATATGAATTATGACTCAACTACTGGACATGAGGGTACATTTTTTCTTCTAAAAATACAGGAAGAAACCAGATTGATTTCAGAGTCTTTTGGAGAATTTGTGTCTGAAGATTTGGAACAAAATGGGTGGAATGTTATGAAGCAATATTTGCCAAATTCTACACGTTTCAATGTTTTTGCAACTTTCAATAACTCGGATCCGAAAAGTGAGAGATTTTTTTTTTATTTTGAGAAAGGAGAAGAGCAGATGTTTTTGAAAATTGGAAAATTTATAAAAAAATTTTATTTTTGAAAAAATTATCAAGAAAACATAGTTTACATAATGAAAATATGAAACAAACTTTTTTTTGTGAAAAATCTAAAATTTGAGATAAAAATTCAGAATTTCCAAAATTTTGAAGAGACCCTTTTCAGAAAAAAATCACAATTTTTTTCTTGAACATTTCTGAAATTCGGTCCAGTCTATTAGCAAACTATCAAAACACATTCGACCGTTGTTTGAAACCAATTATCATCGCATTTATGTAGTTTTCTAAAACGATTTCTCGGTTTCAATTTCCAATTGGCAATTTCGAAATTTCTAGTTTGAAAGAAAATGACCACCACAAATTGTAGACATAAAATTTCTTCTGAACACACATCTCGACACAGTTCCTCCGTTTATTGCGCCAACACAAGACGAAACAAAGATCTTTGGAAGAGGTTCAAACGATGCTAAAGGTTGTAAAAATCCATGATTTTCGATCGAATACAATTTTATTTTAGGCCAACTTGCCGCAATGGTTACAGCTGCTACAATTATCGCAAAAACTGACGAAAATGTTGCGAGAAATATCGGATTATTGTTTGTTGTTGGAGAAGAAGTGGATCATGTTGGAATGATTGTAATACCTGATTTGTTTAACTAGAAAAAATGTTGTTTTGTATTTGTTTAGGAAGCGAATAAGCTGGAAATCCTACCTGAATTTTTGCTTGTTGGAGAACCGACGGAATTGAAATTTGGAACTATTCAAAAAGGGGCCTATAAGGTAACTTATTTATATATGCACATAAATGTGAGGGATTTAAGGTGAGATTGACTACAACAGGGGTTGCTGGACATTCGGGATATCCAAATTCTGGAAGAAGTGCGATTCATGAAATGATTGATGTTTTGGCAGATGTGAAGGCTTTTGCTTGGCCAAAGGATTCAACTTATGGTAAATCGAGAGCCAAAAATTCAAATATATACATTTTCCCCAGGTGACACTACATTCAACATCGGAAAAATCAGCGGCGGCCAAGCTCTCAATGCCTGGGCTAGCAAATGTGAAGCCGATATTTTCATCCGTGTCACAACTTCGGTTAAGGAAGTCGAAGAAATGATGAAAAATATTGTGAAAGACCGTGCAACTCTTGAACCTTTGAGTTTCAACGATCCCGTGATTCTTGATACCCCTTCAATTGATTGTGAGATTGATCAAGTTGCATTTAACACTGATATTCCATATTTTGACAATAAGGATAAGGTTAAAGGTAGTCTTTCATACTTACATATTTGAGAGAAAATAACCCTTTCAGCAAAATATTTGTTTGGCGGTGGAAGTATCAAAATCGCTCACTCGAAAGACGAATTCATTGCCAAATCTGAACTTCATCAATGCACTGCCACAATTATTAAACTCATCCATCATTCATTGAGAAATTAAGGTTTTATTCTTTTCTTTTTTTTTCTTGGTTTTGTTCGGTGAAAGAATGAGCGGAAATAATAAATATATATAGGGAGAAAAGACGATTATCAAAAGAAAAAATTGAAAAATTGAATTGGAAAATAATGAATGAATGGAAAAACCCTAAAAGATCACAATGAGATGCAAAAAAGATAGACAGGAAAGAAATTTTGGGCATTTTTTTGTTGTCGGGGAGAATTTGAAATGACTGGGGGAAAAATCTTTGTTACTAAAAAATAAAATTGGATTTATGGTCGTTTGAAAAACCTGATATTATAAGTGATACCCAGAAGGAGATAAAAATGAGAGAAGATCCAGCGAGTTTAGAAAAATAACATTGGATCACTTGATGACATTTTGTGCGAAAGTCTTGATGGTGACATTGGAGTTTTGTTGCCAGAAACATCATCCATATATTGAGCATACTGAAATACATATTTTTATTGATGTTGTGTTAACTGATAAATAAATCTAGATGTCTAGAAAATAATAGCAAATTAGAAGAACCAAGAAGGCTAGGCCTGAGAAGTTAACCAGTCAAGCTTTTCAGGCGGCAATCAAAATAAAAATAAAACTACTGTACTTACTTGTTCCGCTATAGTATAATCATTTTTCTGTAATTTTTAATTTTAATTGGGTTTTTTCATGTGAGAAATGCTCTTTAAACTATTTTGAAAATCCCGTCGGCTGAGCTTCAAAAATTAAATTTTGTCTCTTCCAAAATTGTTTATTACTTGAAAAGTTGTTTTTCACTCTTGAACTCATTTTGTTTCACATTTTCTCAACTTAATGAGTTCACATCACAGTACTATTCAACAACAACAACAATATTTTCATTTTTGAAAATTTACCATCTGTGGTCCGACATTATCCTCAATCCATCTCAATAAATGCACATTATACGGCACATACGGTTGACGCAATAAATGTTCTTGAACTTCCAAGAAACGCTTCAAATCTTCCAATGTTATTCGATCTTTGCTTGGCCTAAAATTCTAGGGTTGAACACATAAAACACCAAAAAAAAATTAATAAATGTACCTAGTCTTTTTGAGCGCTGCTATAATCCTCATAGCTTCTCGAATATCATCGCTCATATTAGCAAAACCACGTCGAGCTCCTCGAATCTTACGACCGAAATAGTGAAGTTTGGTAAACGTTCTTTTCAACGTCGAAGAACATAAATCCAAAGAAGCTGTGATTACAGCAAGACCGATAATTACATAAGAAACAGCTAGCTGCAAAAAATATTGATTGATTTATTTATTTGAAAAAAAATGTTTATCAAGAAAATATAAATTTCATCTAGTTCCGGGTTACTTGCCAATGGCAATGAACATTGTTTTGTTGGTGATAACATTCAGAAACAAAGAAAACGTTTTTGAATTATAAAGAAAAAAGGGGACCAATTTTTTTAAAATAAAAAAAATGAAATTTACAGAAAGTTCAGGGCCGGCTAGAATACTTCTGGAATACCTTTGAAATTTTTACTGAGCCAAGTTATGTATTGAGAACTTATGTTAATTCAGAATTTCATGAAAAATCCCGCTCGGAAATTCTTGAGATGAAGAAAAAAAACAAGATTTTAGCTTCGGACGTCGCTGGGACTGCTCACAGAAATTTCTGTCAATTTTTGATCCCGGGAAAGATTTGACAATTTTTTTTTTTGAAAATCTCACCGCTAAATAGTGATTGTGTTGGATGCGAATATTACCAAGACCAATTGTAGTAATAGTGTTGAATGAGAAAAAAACACCATGAATAAAAGACCACACTGGTCCTTCTTCAAAATAATTGAAAAGAAGACTACCAAAACAACAATAACCAATAATCAATGTGAAATAACTAGCAATCGGAAGTTGTAGTCGATCTTCTTCATCATCACATTCTTCATCGTCAATACTTGTGCCACTTCGTTTTTTATTCTTTTTCAATTCCCTGAAACAGAATCTTTGTTTTTGTTGCAGCTTCTTCTGGAAAAAAACACTCACATTGAGTCAATAGAATCAACATCAGTATCAAATAAATGTGTCCTAATCAATTCGACTAAATTCGCTATCATTTTCCACATGGCTAACAGTTTTGCATATGTTCGAATCACAATTTCGGATAGAAATTTGCCAATATCGGCGGCAGTGATAAACATCAATGGGATACCTATCAAACCGAAAAAGACGGTAAATATTCGACCGGGATCTGTGGCTGGTGTCACATGATCGTAACCGGTCGAAGTTATCACAGTTAAAGCATAGAGAACAGCGGCAGCAAATGTCCATCTGGAATTTTTTTTTTTTTGAAAAAATATTTTTTTGAATATTTTTTTTTCAAACCTTGTTTCCATTCCTTCCTCTTTTCCAGTCCATAATTGTTTTTTAATGGCAAATCGATCATCATATTCATGAGCACGTGATAATTCTTCTAACAACGGTAATATTCGAGCTTTTATTGTTGGAGTTTCACTCATATTTGATGACAAAGATACAGTTTCATTGATTATTTTTTGATAAATTGTAAGCACACTTTGAACTTTTTCGCGTCGTCCTTTTAGTTCATGATCCGCTTCTAACCAAATAAAAATTGTTGCACCCATAGCAATATATGATAATAATAAGACATTGAGACCAACGTGAGGTAATAGGATTTTAAGGAGCTGGAAAAAAAGAAGCTGAAAATATTTTTTGTTCAAAAAATTGATTATTTTGTCTGCGCTCTCTCAATTTCACGTTGTCTCTACTCACAAACAATTTGTTTTCGACGGAAAAATGATGTTTTTGGTATTTTTTAGATTGAATATGCATTAGCCGTTGAATTTTTTTTTAGAAAAAGTTGATTCACAAAATTTTTTTGAAAATTACTATATTCAGAGACCCTTCCTGCTATTGCACAAATCAAAAAAAGTTAAAATTGATTTGATTTCTTTGATAGATAATTTTGGAAAAATTGCAAAACCTTTTTTCTCTGAAAAACATCGGCTCAAATTTTTAGAAACCTAGAAGAAGCTCAAAAATCTTTGCTGGAAAAAATACTCTGTAAATGTGAAGAACAAATTTCTGTTTTTTCAATATTTTTTGTTAAAAAAATTAAATATTTTGTCAGCGCTCTTTCAGTTTCACGTTGTCTCTACTCGAAAATAATAAACTATAAATTTCGGAAAAATAATTTTTTTGGTATTTTTTTACCTACAAAATATTAATCTGAGCCCATAAAAAGTTGAATTTTTTTTAGAAAAAGTTGATCCTTTTTTTTCTGAAAAACATAGGCTCAAATTTTTAGAAACCAAGAAAAACCTCAAAAAAGTGTCCCCACCTTCAATATCCTCCTCCATAATGGAACTCGAACAACAATCGGTTGTTCAGGAACATCATCAATACCTTCTCTCCGATTATATTCTTCCCATTTGACGCGACCAATGTTTTCTGAAAATTGCATTTATCTATAATACATCTATTTGGTTTTCTCGTTTTTTTTTTCTTCATAATAATCAAATTATGGGTTTTATTCATCCGAATTTCTAAATATAACACATTTTTTTCTGATCAATGATCATTTGGAACCCGGAAATTTCACATAACTATATATTTATTTATACAATATTTTACCTCGAAACAAGGGAGGTAAACAATCTTCTGGTAGCGTTGAAACGAACGCAAGATCCGATAAAGGTAATCGTAATTGCGGTTTCTGAACAACTTGAAAAATCTTGCCAACTCCTAACGAGCCCATCAGTAAAAACTAATGATTGGTAGAAAAATGAGGAATATTTTCTATGTGGTCAGCATGTTTTAGTTGACCGGGTGGTCTTGAAAAACACAATAGAGTTTAATGATGACAAATAAAAAAGTGTGAAGATGATGATGATGATGGTGGTGGTGGAATAAAGAATAAGAAATGTTGAATTGGCGATATCCGGAGGAGAAAAAGGAAATACGAAACTGGTCTCTCTATTTCTTTTCTCCTTCATTTCAAACTTTTTTTTTTTCTTTCTTCTTTCCCCTTTTATTTTCTCATTTTGGAGAAAAAAGGACGAGCACAAAAATTGCTTTTGTGATTTGTTTGGAAAAAAAAAGTGAGGGTGGAATAAATGGATGGATGGGATGTAAAATTGAGTTGGTTTTTTAAAGAGGAGACCAGAACAAATGAGATTTGGCGGGTTCAGAAGTGAAAAAAAAATCTGGATTTTTTGGACTGAAATTCTTGTAAGAATTTTGTTTTTGATATGTGCAAAAATCCAAGAAAATCATAAATTTTCATAAGGAAATATAAAATTTTTGCACTCAAAAAAGCTTTCAGCTTTCTTTCAGGGTCTGGATTTTTTTCTGAATTTTGTGAGAAATTTGTCAATTTTCTAGCCGAAGAAATTATATTTTTAAATCTTCAGAATTCATCGAATTTTCAGGCCTTTCCTGATTCAATTCTGATCCCTTTCCAAGCTTTATGTACAAAATCTGAAACCTGATTCTCTTCAATTCTCACATTCTCAAGTAACAAGATCACCAATTTTTCTCGTAAAAAAACAATAAAAAACTAGCTAGCTAACAACAACAATAACATTTTCAGTGATAAAAAGATGAATGGATGACAGAAGGTGCCAATTGATTTGTTTGTGTTCCTCGCGAAAGTCGCAAAAAAATATTTCTCAAATTACTCATATCAACACCCTTTTTTTTTTGCTTGATTTTTCCGAGATTTTTCCGAGATTTATTTTTCTCACTGATTCTCTGAGGTTTTTTTTCGCGAAATTGAAATCAATGAGACTTTTACGAGATGAAAGATGAAGATGATGAGCAAATGAAATCTGATTCTTTTTTTTTTGGAAATGAGGAGGAAGAGTATTTAATTGGATTGGTTTGTACTGGCAAAAACTTAGGGACATTTGAATCGAAAGTTCAGGGGGTTCTAGAATCAGTGATCTCATTAAGATTCAAAACAATTCGAAAAAAGAATAATAGAATTCCGGAATTTTGAGAAAAATGTTGAAAATTAATGACGTCACAAAAACAGAGAGCAAAAGAACAGAAAGAGAAAAACAATTTGCAATTGCAGGTTTTTTTCACATTGGAATTATGTATATTCTAAAATTAGAACTCTTGGAAAAAAGACTTTCTGACTTCACAAATTGAACTTCGATGAATTTCAAAGAAATTCAAAATACGGCGGTTAACATAATTTGTAAAAATTGAATCCCACGAAAAAAATTGAAAATTAATTTCCAGAATTTCCAAATCTTCTATAAATGCAAAAAAAGTTCAAAAATATTTTCTGCATGAAAAAACAATGTTTTCTAGCTTCAAAAAAATTCGATTTGAAGTCTTTCTTTAAAGTTCAATTAAGCTTGAATATCTTAAAAATTTCCAGCTTTGAAAAAAATATTGAAAATTAATTTCCAGAATTTCCAAATCTTCTGAAAAAATCCATACAAGTATTTTCAGAATAAAATCTGCATGAAAAAATCTTTGGAGTTTTTCTGGCTTGAAAAATTTCGATCTAAAGTTCAATTAAGTTTGAATCTCTTCAAAATGTTCATCTTCGAAACTTCTAAAATCCCCTGATTTTTCAAAAAATCAAGAAAAATTTTGATTTCTCAACCAGATGTTCAAATCTCCCTCCCACTTGACATATAAAATTGAAACTAATAATTCCTCCCATACCACACAAACCTCTGCGGTGATTCAGAAAAAAAAGTTTGGATGGCTCAAGAAATACATCGGAATATGCCAGATGTTGTTGGAAATAAACGATTGGCATTTGTTTTTTGAGGAAAAAAATTGAAAATAAAATGTGTTCAGAAGCAGTAAATTAAAATTACATAGGATTAGGGTAAGAGAAAATAGCGAAAAAAAATTTTTCGATGATGAAAAAAATGAATTCACTCGAAAAACATACATACCATCGTAAAATTGAAATTGATGTGATCGTACAGTGTTATGTCGACTCAGAGCCGCCGAATTTCGATTACTCGGCGGTTTACTGGGTGGTCTACTGGGTGGTCGACTTGGTGGTTTACGATAATGATAATATGGTGTGAAACTTGGTGTCGGTGAATCAATTGGAATATTATTTGAGGAAATTGATGGGCGTGGATTTAAACTGGACGATTTTCGACGACCTTGCGGAAATAATACAGGTTGATCGTGTAAATGTGCAAGTGTTAGACGACGAAATGAAAATGCTCCAGATGAGCCCATATCAAAAATAAATTGTAGTATGAGTAATAATAGTAGTAGAAAAAGGTGTGAAGATTGATTCCATAGACTTATTCGCACCTTTTCGTATCCTCCTCTTTTTATTTTTCAACAAAAGGCGGCGGCTGACGATTGGGAGATGCAAGATGATGATGATGAGTTGGGAATGATGAGCAAAGACACGTTCAGTTTTTTGAGTCTCCCGTCATCTTTGAATCCCTCTCCCTCTCTCTTGCTTCTAACAGCTGTATGGGATTCACTTTTCAACTTTTCTCGAATTTGATTTGATTTGATTTGAGATTGAATTGGTATTCGGGTAGACTGTGCATGTTTTGACGAGTAAAGTGTGGAGATTTTCAAAGAGACACACTTGTTTCTGTACAGTTTTTCACGCTGGTTTCAGTTTCTGCCGAGCAACTCTCTAAAGAGCCCAAAAATAAGCCAAAAGTTGAGAATTTTTCGAAAATCGCGTTTTTGAAAGCCCATAACTCATGTTAGAGATGATTTTTATGTGAAAACTGAATGCATGACTCATGTTAAAAAAAATATTTCATCAAAAACAGAGTACAAGATGATGTTCAAGAGGATTGATTCACCAAAGTCAAAAAATTTGACAAAATTTTCAAATTTGGCAAAACCACAAAACTTTTTCTGAAAAAGTTCTAGTCAAACATTCTCAGATTTTCATTAAAATAGTTTTTAACATGAGTTATGGGCTCTCAAAACCAAGAAATTCAAAAAAATTCTCCACTTTTGACTCATTTTTGGGCTCTTTCGAGAGTTGCTCAACAAAAACTGAAAACAGATTTTTTCTCATCGTGAACATCTGTACAGATTGCTCAAAGTTAAGGTTTTCAAAGATCAATAAGCGCATTTTTGTTGAACCTTCATGTTCCTCATTTCTGTTCCAAGCTCAAAATTCAGCATATTCCAAATTTCCAATCAAAAAATCCCATCTCTTATCTCAAACATGATCTTCTCCCCGCTTCTTCCTCAATTTTCAACACTTCTTTTTTATTTCGTCTCAATTTTCATGTTATTTGCAACATCATGTTTCGAAAAGAGCAAAAAACACAAGCTCGTTGAGCTCTGAACAAGAAGAGATAGAAAGTGTCATGTTGATAAATGATATACATTATCATATCAATCAGATTGACTGAAGGTTTTGTCAAAAACAAAAACAATTTTGATTAGAAATATGATTTGAAAAATAAAATGAAAAATCGGTTTTATCTGATTTCAAATTCGATTTTTGAGGAGCTAGACATTCAAAAAAGAAAGAAAGTGTGAACAATTTGTCGAAATGATTTATTTTATTTTTATTGGATGCGATCATTTGAAGAAGATATTTTGAAAACAAAACAATTAGCTGAATTTTATCGAACACCGGAATTATTTTTGTTTTGAAACTAGAAGACACAATTAATGATTATTCGATCAAGGTCTTGATCAATTACGACAAGAAATTTCAGGGTTTGAGAAGAAATGAATGAAATTTCGATCAGCAGAGATTTTCAGAAAATATTCCAGAAAAAAACGAACAACAGTTTCTAGAGTAAATGGATGCAAAATTCAATAGAAAAAGGTAAACTCGAGATTTTCAAAAAAAAAAAACAGGAAACACAATTATTGAACACCGGGAATCTCAGAAACTGAAAAGATATTTGTTTGAGAAATCTTAAAGATGGAGTCTGAGCAAAAAATAAGTTGTGCTCATTTGAAAAGGCATTTTCTTAATAGTACAATCCTCGAAGGATTTTTTCTGGAAGTTTCTCAAAATTTAAATCCGGATTACGGTGGACTCTCCAGCAGTGTTTCATTGTTTTAAATCAATTTTTTCGCTCACATTCGAAAAAAAATCCAAGATTTTTGAAATTTTGAAACTCAAATGTAGGTCAAAACCATTTTTGAGTACAAAAAAATCGATAGAAAACCCAATTCTCAATTTTTTCAAAGTATAATATTTTCAAAACCTTTCAAATTCCTTGAAAATACAATAGCTTACGATATCTGACAGCAGCGGCGGCAAAAAATGGCAAAAGTGCAATAGTCGTCTCATTCACCGGATAAAGTTCATGATGAGCAGATCGAGCCCATTCAGCAAACATTTTTTGATATGAAACTTTTAGGAATTATGTACATAAATCGAGATAGATCAAAATAGGAATAAAAAAAAACAAGCACAAACTATATCTGGAACGATATGAATAACAAGTCTCAAGGGGTGGGCAATTTTTTGGTGAGGGCGACACAAGTTGGCGAAAAATGGGGGAGATGTGTGTGTCTTTTTTTTTTTGAGCATTTTGGACTCACTCACTCACTAGATAATAAACGTCAAAGATTAATATCTACTAGAAGGGCTTCGCTGGCTAACGCCATCTACAGTAGTTTGACTTACTTTTGATTTATTTTCCGGTTAGGTAAAGAGAAACATTGAGAAATGCCCAGAAATTGTTCGCTTTTTTCAGAAAACAGAAAGATCAGATAAGAAACGTGTCCTTTAATTTTTTTGGAATAAAAACGTGATCATTCTTTTTTATATGAAAAAATTTTTGATTTTTCACGTGAAAACTCGCGCATTTTTTGAAAAATCGAATATTAGCGCCTCGATGGGAAAGAATTTGGGATCGAATGGTGAAGGTCCCATCAAAAATGGTCTTCTGGAAATTGAGAAAAGTCGAGCGACACATTTTAAAATCGAAAAATACATTGGAGTTTTCAAACTTTTCATTCTCCGCGCACTCACAGACATTTTGAGAAAGAATGAATAGGAAGCGCACCGAGCTGCCAACATTTAGAAACTTTTTCTTTTTTTGATCATCAATTTTTATGCGCACAGTTTTGAGAACGGGTCCCGGACATACTATTGCCAAAAAAATTTTCCCAATTAGTATTAATATCTATTTTTTTTAATGATGAAAAAAAGTCACAATTTTTCTAAGAATGTATGTGAAAAATAAGTGAGTTGGAGCAATTATTATGTTATTTTTTGGCACCATAAAAGCTCTCGAATTGAATTATTTCTCTTTTGCCACATTTATTACTTATTCTGAAAATTTTGGAGAAAAACAAAACATTTTTCTGTGTGTTTCCTCAATTTTTGGGATGACAAACAAGAAAAAATAATGAATGAATGAGATGAGCAAAAAATGATGTTGGAAAATACATGTACACTTCTTCTTATTTGTCATCCGTGAAAAATCCAATTTATTATATCCGATTTTTTTTTGAAGACATCGAAAATGAAAGGAGGACAAATAATTATGCTAAATTTTATTGGAGTCCTGATTTTTTTCCATTTTTTTACAAGGATTTCAAAAATAAGAGAACTCATAACTGAGCCTAGAAAATCATAGTATTTCAATTGAACCCAAAGAATGTTGAAACATAATTTTTGATGACAAAAAATGTTGAAAATCCTTGCACTTTTTTGAGCAAAAATCGAAAATAAACAAAAAGCTTTGAAAGAACAATCGAAATTAATTTGACATTTCCGTTTCCCTTGTAAGAACACCTCGTGATTCTTTCATCGGAGAAAAAGCGAAACAAAATCTATATAAAAGTTGTTCAGTCAAGTTGATGACGATTCATAAATGACACAAAAAGTCCCAAAGGGAGGGTCAGCAACAGATTGAAGAAAAAAGTGCAAAGAAGCGCAAAGAGACAAAAATTGAGATGACACTTTTTGGAACCGACAATTTATGCGTGTTTTGGCGCCGGTTTTTTTGGTAGCAAATTTGAATCAAAAGATAATTGGAAAATGAATTTTGAATTCTATTTTTTTTTTGGGTAAAAGAAATGCTAAAGAATTTGAAAGTTTTAAGAGCTCGAAAACTGAAAATTCTAGAATGAAAAGAAAAATCCATATCTCGAAGAAAACAGAAAAACCTCATGGCATCTCATGAAAAATTCAAAATCCTTCCTTTCGGATAAGAATCTACTGATTTATGATTATCCCAATTTTGTTCGAGTTCAACATGTTTTTAAACTCACCAATAGAATATAGTTCAGCTAGCATCTTAGTTTTTCTTGACAAAAAAAACCAAAAAAAACTACCTATATTTAAGATTATTTATTCTTTAGAAAATGTTATTTACTCACCAACATAGTCTGAAAACATCCAGGAAGAAGTATCCATTTTTAAGGTGAAAAACGAGCGAGAAATGAAAAATCACAAGAAAACTAGATCATTTCCATAACTCGTAAATATTTATGATTTTTTTTATTCTTCAGATAATTTACCTTGACTATCGTCCAAATGCAGATTAAATACCATATTATTCATTGTAATTAGCGGCAATTGTATAGAAATAAAGAAAAAAAATATGATTCACATTTTTTTTGCTCAAAAACGGAGACAAAAATGTTTTATAAACATCTGAGCTCAATATTTTTCATCATTTCACTCATTGTATATACTTTTTTCTATGGCCGCCGGAAAAAACGCTCATAAATATTTCATTAAAGATTTTTTCGAACATCAGACCACTTTGTGCGCCCCTTGAATTTTTTATTCAATTTTTATGCACTTCTCTGACACCACAAAAAAACCATTGTCTGACCAATAAAAACGGATGGACAAACTTTAATTGTGTCAAATTAAAAAAGATTGACAATATATTTATTTTCTTATGGGATAGAAAGAACTATAGAACTATATAGAATTTTTCCAATAAAAATTACAACATTTTTATGTGTAGCTATTAATTCGGTAGATGGAATTCTGGATGAGACGAGATGAATTAATGATTCCCGAATGGCTTTTGCTCTTTTTTCTGTTCGGTTTTTTCGCCTTCCAATACTTTTCAAAAAAAAGTTCAAAAAATCCTTTTTTTTGCAAAATGTGTGTTTTGTATGTTGTTGATCAATCCTAATTAACCAAGACGACAGAATTATTTGTTCAAGGTCAAATGAAATTAATAATATATGTATGTTAGAGAAAACACAAGCAGTTTGATACCGTATCTTTGATGTTTGTGGAACAAAATTTTCTAATGAAATGGAAGAGCTGATTTAGACAGAAGAATCGAGAGAAAATTGGGAATTTCAAACATTTGGAAATACGTCTACATGAGTTACAACAACTCAACTACCATTTGATCAGAAAATAAATATTTTCAAATTGTTTCAGACTCATAGAAGATAGAAGAGTCAATCTCTAACAATTTAAATCGCATCTAAACTATTCCAGATACCGAGCCATGCTGAAATTTCAAAGCACTAGAGTAAAGACAAAAAAATTCCAGAAATATTTTGCCGAGAAGTTCATTTATAGAAATTGATTTCAGAATGCAAGCTTAACAAAATCTTTCAAAAACCAACCTCCTCTAATCATAAATCTTCCCGAGCCCGGAACCTTCAGATCATTCGAACAATTACTGGCCGAAACTGCAGATGAGCGATAAGAAGCTTGTGACAATTTGGGCGACAGCGAAAAATGCGTTCGCTTTCTCTTCGTCGAATATCTCGCCGACAAAATTTGTGGAGTTGGCACAATTCGATGATAAGACGAACTTGGCGATGTATCAATAAATAAGGTTGAAGAGAAAATTTGATGCGCTAAAACCGCATCTGCAGCACCTCGTAAACCTTCACACATGTCTGATTTACAATGATCCGCCGTTGTTTGAGCCCACATTTTTCGCGAGGTTTTATGATGATTCACAGCCAACGAAAAACGATAAAAATTAGCAGAAGGCAAATGAGAAAGATGAAACACAAAAAAGCAAAAACAAAAAAAGAAAAATGCTTTTTAGTCAAGTTATACAATGTTGTTAAATGAGTATAAATGACACGCGATGTTGTCTTTTAAAATCTTTTTGAGATTTCTTCTAGAATGTAACTTGAAAAAAAACATCTGAACGTAAAAATATTTTTTGTTCCTCATTTTTGTCACGAAAAAAATGGTCCAGTATTCAAAAAACAATGATTTTGAAATAATAATTATTTTTTTCTTGCTCCCAACTTTTTCTCTTGTTTTGCTTGTTGTTGGTTGTTTTCTTACATGAATGTTCGGAGCATTTTTTTCTGTAGTGCGCTCAAAAAAATGTATAAGTGTTTGAGATATTTGAAGTGACATTTGGTTGTTAGGGGGATATTAAAAAACAAAACATCTTGTTGTTTTTTTCTGACGGACAGACAAGACGATACAATTAAGTTAGTTGGTTTTAATAAGATTTTAGAGTTTGGTGACGCAAGAGGAGGAGGAGAAATCGGAAATCGGACATGTGGAACTTTACTTTAAAGGAACATTAGATTTTCGGAATAGAAGATGTCAGAAAAATTGTTTGGGATTGAATCAATAGAATTCACATCCATTCAGAAAAAGATAATTTCACAAGAAAAACTGGGGATTACGGTAACTTACAGAAATTTTTTGAAAAACCTATATTTGTTTTTCAAAAAAATAATGATAAAATCCCGAGTGATTCCTGAATTCCAAAAAAATGAATTCTGAAAAAAATTCAGAACCGAAGATTTATTATCGCAAAATCAACTTCAAAGAATCGGCAAGAAAAAGAGGTAGATCAAAATTATGAATTCGAAATCAATTAGAGAAATATTTTGCAAGAATATATTCACTCATCATGTGGATTACAGTAACTTGTAGAAACGTTACAGAAATATTTAAAAATCCCAAGTGATTCATGAATTCCGAAAATATGAATTCTGACTAAAAATTCGGAACCGAAGATTAATTTTTGGAAAATCAACAAACAATTCACAAGCTTCAAAGAATCGGCAAGAAAGAGAGGTAGATCAAAAACAGGAGTTCAAAATCAGTTAGAGAAATGTTTTGCAAATATGTATATTTACTCATCATGTGGATTACGGTAACTTGTAGACACGTTACAGAAATGTTTAAAAATTCCAAGTGATTCATGAATTTCGAAAATATGAATTCTGACTAACGACTAACATTAAGAATTTGGAACCGAAGATTCATTTTCGCAAAATCAACAAAAGATTCACAAGGTTCCAAGAATCGGCAAGGAAAAAAGTAGATCAAAATTATGAGTTCAAAATCAATTAGAGAAATATTTTTAAATCACAAAATACTTCAGGATATCTAAAAAAAAAATGAGAAGAGAGCGAAAAAATGGAACCTGCAGATCTAACTCGATTTCTAACTGTGAGAAGAAATTGGACAGAAAACCCAACAAAAATGTTCAACGGAATTTTGAATAGGCAATTTTAGATTATTTTTTTACTTTTGAACCCCGCACAATAACCAAGCTGGATTGAAAACTAGATATGTTTCTACTGTTAAAAATTCAGTAGTTTTCTAATTTTTCAAAAAACTACAAAATCCATTACCATGAAAATTTCCAAACCCCAAAACCCCCAACTGACCGCTATGATCATCATCAAAATCTTTGTCAGATATCGGTCGACTTCGTTTATTACACAAATTGTTTTGTTTGATCGAACAACTTCTGGAACTACACAAAATCGTCTCCCTAAAACCTCACCAAACCGCCCCCAAAACTAACCTATTAATAAGCGGATGTATAGATGGTGTGCGTATCAGATCGCCATACGCATGAAATGTGGCGGATGCTCCTGTCGAGCCCATTCCGAATCACCCAAAATCAAATCTACCAAAATGTACCAAAATCAAGATATTGATTGTTCGACTCGAATACTGTAAAAAAATGTTTTTGTTGACTATATAAATTGAGGCGGGGGGAAAAATAAAACATGTTATTATTTGAGATGCGCAACAAATGTGGCACAAATAAATATTATTATGAAATGATACATAGAAAAAACCCCCCAAATTCCGACGAGCATCTTTTGTATTGTCAAGAAAAACTAACCAAATTAGCACTCAAGCACAATCTCGTTTTTTTTCTTGAGGAAACCGCCAGAAAATAATGTTTTTTATGAAGTCTAGTTTCCAAAAATCAAGAAAAAAACGAAAGGCGGTGCTAAAAAATTAACAAACCAAAAAAACTATGTGGGCGGGATGGACAAAATCCTGGCGGATTATTTTTGACTACACAGTGTTTTGCATAGTAGGGTCAGCAAAGATTCATAAGTCAGCTAGAGAGTTTGAAGATCATGAATGATATGGTTACTGTAGTGTTTCAATATATTTCGAGTAACTATTAACTTAAAATAATGCTAAATAGTCCAAAGTTAAAAAAAAAATAACAAACAATGCGAAATTATATCGTCCAAAGTCTAGCTGTCTGCGTCTCTCGAATATACACACTGTTTCTCTGTTTCGTGTCTGCGTCTCTCGAACATACGCACTATTTCTCTGTTCTGTATTTTGAATATACATAAGGCGAGCGATATATTCTCGCATTTTTTGCTATATTTTTTACTTTTTCAAAAAATCAGATAACTTTTGATAACTCCTTGAGACTACAGTAATCTAAAACTGTTTGAATCTTACTTTTCAAAAAATGGAAAAAAACTGTAGGAATCTCAAATTTGAGTTATGTGGCCCCAAAAACTGACCTCTACTTCCAGTATTGTGAAAAGCAAAAATCGTTGAACGGACCATAAGCGAAATGAATATTGGTGTATTCTGAAAAGAAACAAAAGTTTTCTCCTTCTTCTTCTTCTTGTTCAGTTTCTTCGAAACAAAAATTGAATTAAAATGTGTTTCAAAGAAAGCTTGCATGTTTTTTTTTTCTGTTTCTGTCTTCTGTTATTTTGCTACATTCTTTTTTTTTGTCTCTTCCAAAATCTGATAAAATGTCAGAAAAGAATAGGAGGAAATGAAAACAAAAACAGCAAAAAATAAATAAATTTGGCACGAGAACAAGAGAAAATTTGTGGATAAAACGCATTTCAAAAAATGAGCTGATGTGAGTGAGAGCTCAAAAAATAATAGTAGTAATAATAATAAGAATAATTCAAAAAGAACAGAACACCAGAAAAAACAAGAGAGGGTGGCAAAAAAACGTAAAATAAGGAATATCCGCAATTATTCAGCTCAAAAGACAACTCTCGACAGACAAACTGAAGCATAAAGAGAGCGAAAAATGGGAGAGCTGAAAACAAGGAAACTGGAAATTTTTGGAAATTATTTTTGGAGGAGGATGAACTTTTAAAAAATCAAAACTTATGTAGATCTTGGAAAATTGTGCTACTACGGCTCATTTGATTTTTCACGGAGCTTGAAAATCCAAACAGAAACTTGAAATGTTCTCCAAAATAGTTCCCCCGTTCGCAAAAAAATCCCAAAAAGATCAAAAACTTCTCAAAAATCCATTTTTGGTCGCACGTGTCAGAGCAACAAAAACACACACACACAAATTGTAGTGCACTTCGGATCACCGTGTCTGCCCTTTTGGGATTTTCCTCAAAAGACACCAAGAAAAAAAGAAATAGAAAAAAACTACACAGAAAATGAGGATGAGACAACCAAAAAAAAATAAAACTTTGACACCCTCTTTTTTAGATTCAAAAATCATTTGAAGATAAGCTAAATCAATTTTGGCGGAGGCGAAAAAAATTTAAAAATAAATTTTCTGTGAAGAAAAACGGAAGTGACTACAAAAAACAAATTATTATTATTATTGTGAGGTTTCTCTCAAAATTGACCAGTATTTTCCAATTATTTCTGAACTCGAGACAACAAATATGTGTATTTTTTTGGATTTGACACATTTTATGTGCCAATGTTCTTTTCACACAAGAGATTTGTTTTATTTTGGATTGGAATATTAATTGATGTGATGTGAGAAAAAAAGAGAGAAGGAGGTGAAGAAAAGGGAAGATTGAAAAGTAATTTGCGCACATTTAGAAATCTCAAACATCATGGATTTTTGTGTGTGTGTTTTGAGTTTGATTTTCATGAGGTCAATGAATTTCATGTTTTTTTTGAGAAACAAATATCAAACTTTTAAGACTGTGTTTTTTAAAATTTGTAAATCTAACTTAAAATTGTTCAAAGTTTTCGAATCCAAAAATTGACCGCCTCGGGGATTACTGAAAATTTTATTTTCAAAAATCTATATGTCAGAAACATTCAGTTCGCAATTTTCAAAATATTTTTCAAGATACATTTGAAATTCATTAAAAACAAGATTAATTTCAAATTTTTTCCAAAAAAAAAAACAAAAAGGACATATTTTATGATAGGAAAACTGAAAATAGATTTTGTTAATTTCGAAAAATATATGGAAGTTAGAAAAACTTCAAGTCAAGCTTTCAAACATTCAGGAAAATGTTCGGAATTTGATAAATTGATGGATCAATAAGATTTTTCTGTTTGCAGAGCAAAGCACCCAAAAAAAATTTCAAAAGATCTGAAGATACTAGATTCCAGACTAGAAATTAAAATCTAGTCTCTATCCAGAAAAAAATTGTTGTTCCGCAACTAACACAACTTCTTCTTTTTTTGTTCTCCTTCAGTTAGTGTTATTTTTGTCAAATGTTAGGGGCGACAAAAAGCGACACCACTCATAAATCTCGGTCTATCCGGACGCACCACAACCACCCTCCATCTTCCTAGTTTTTTCTTGTTAGCTTCTTTTTTTTTTGCTCCGCTGTGAGCACATTTTTCTCTGCTGGAATTTGAGCTAGTCTTTCGGTTTTTTTTTTCGAGACTGGAAATGATGAAGGTCTGCATTCAGAACTTCGTGGGTGGTCCAAGAAAACATTGCTCATGTTTATTTCAAAAATGGAGACAATGAGAGAAAGTTTTCTTCTGGGAGAAGATTCTAGGGGTTTATCTAGAATATAGTGAATCATCGTGGGTGGTCCTGATGAATATTTGGAAAACTAGAACATCTTTTTTTTTGTTGAAACAATATATCTCCCAAAAATTCAGAAGTTTTGTGAAAAAAGTTTCTAAACTTATTAAAACTTTAAAAATATTCAGAAAATTCTTAAACACTGAAAAACGAACAATTCAAAATAAAATTCAAAGATTTTGAAACAAGGTGGTTTTGAAAACAACCAAAACTCACTGCAAAATGAGATCAACAGATGAGAAAAAAAAGTCTACGGAAACCAAAGAAAAATTTACGACAAAGGCAACAGCAACATATGAGATGAAAATATGGCAGCCTGGAGAGCACCTCTCATGGGATTATGTCAACTTTTTTCGTATTATTTCACGATTAAAAAATGAGTGAAACTCACACCAAACATTTTCTATTTATTTTTTTTTTTCATTTTCAGCAGCGAACTGAAGACAAAAAAAAAACACACACACACAAAAAGGTGCATTTTATTTTCATTCATTTCTAAATGTACATAAGAACACCCGAGGAAAAAACAACACAAATATAAAACTGAATTGTTTTTGTCATGAAAGGAAAAACGGGAAATTTAACTTTTTTGAGGAAAAAATACTATGACAGACTGAATGTGAGAGTAAATCAAAAAGAAAACGAAAATTACATTTTCCTTGAACAACGCTGTGTGTGTTTTCAATCAAATCAACACTTTTTATTCGCGATTATTTTTGGCATTGTTTGAGATGAGAATTGGGAACATTGAAACAAGAAGTTCGTGTAATCAATGGGAATTCAACAAAAATTGAAATCAAAATTTCTTTTTTTTAACACTGTTAAAAAAACAAATTACAATAAAAAAGTTTTTTTTTTGAAAAATTCATCGTTGACTTCATCCATGGCAAAATTAGGAAGCCTTCCTGATTTTGCCACGAGTCATTTTTTGATCAAAAAACTTTTTTAACACTGTTAAAAAAAAACAACTCATCGACTTCAATTTTACATTTTTGGATTCGTCCAAATCTGTAACTTTTTTTTGAAAAATTTCGGGCCGATTTTTTTTTGAAAAATTTCGGGCCGATTTTATTTTTGAAAAATATCGAGCCGATTTTTTTTTTTGAAAAATTTATCGTTGACTTCATCCATGGCAAAATTAGGAAGCCTTCCTGATTTTGCCACGAGTCATTTTTTGATCAAAAAACTTTTTTAACACTGTTAAAAAAACAACTCATCGACTTCAATTTTACATTTTTGGATTCGTCCAAATCTGTAACTTTTTTTTGAAAAATCTCGGGCCGATTTTTTTTTTGAAAAATTTATCGTTGACTTCATCCATGGCAAAATTAGGAAGCCTTCCTGATTTTGCCACGAGTCATTTTTTGATCAAAAAACTTTTTTAACACTGTTAAAAAAAAACAACTCATCGACTTCAATTTTACATTTTTGGATTCGTCCAAATCTGTAACTTTTTTTTGAAAAATTTCGGGCCGATTTTTTTTTGAAAAATTTCGGGCCGATTTTATTTTTGAAAAATATCGGGCCGATTTTTTTTGAAAAATTTCGGGCCGATTTTTTTGAAAAACTCGGGCCGATTTTATTTTTGAAAAATATCGGGCCGATTTTTTTGAAAAATTTATCGTTGACTTCATCCATGGCAAAATTAGGAAGCCTTCCTGATTTTGCCACGAGTCATTTTTTGATCAAAAAACTTTTTTAACACTGTTAAAAAAACAACTCATCGACTTCAATTTTACATTTTTGGATTATTCCAAATCTGTAACTTTTTTTGAAAAATTTATCGTTGACTTCATCCATGGCAAAATTAGGAAGCCTTCCTGATTTTGCCACGAGTCATTTTTTGATCAAAAAACTTTTTTAACACTGTTAAGAAAAACAACTCATCGACTTCATTTTTACATTTTTGGATTATTCCAAATCTGTAACTTTTTTTTGAAAAATCTCGGGCCGATTTTTTTTTTTGAAAAATCTCGGGACGATTTTTTTTTCTGAAAAATTTATCGTTGACTTCATCCATGGCAAAATTAGGAAGCCTTCCTGATTTTGCCACGAGTCAGACTGTGTCTATTTGGTTTTGTGTTAAAAATGATAGAAGTGGACCTATTTTGGGATTTAAAAATAAAGGTTTCTAAAAAATTCATTAGAAGATTAGGAAATTAATCTTGTTTTTCAATAAATTCCAAACATTTTGAAAATTGCGAACTGAATGTTTCTGACATAAAAAATGTAAAAATGAAGTCGATGAGTTGTTTTTTTAACAATGTTAAAAAAGTTTTTTGATCAAAAAATGACTCGTGGCAAAATCAGGAAGGCTTCCTAATTTTGCCATGGATGAAGTCAACGATAAATTTTTCAAAAAAAAATCGGCCCGAAATTTTTCAAAAAAAAGTTACAGATTTGGACGAATCCAAAAATGTAAAAATGAAGTCGATGAGTTGTTTTTTTAACAATGTTAAAAAAGTTTTTTGATCAAAAAATGACTCGTGGCAAAATCAGGAAGGCTTCCTAATTTTGCCATGGATGAAGCCAACGATAAATTTTTCAAAAAAAAAAATCGGCCCGAAATTTTTCAAAAAAAAAATCGGCCCGAAATTTTTCAAAAAAAAAATCGGCCCGAGATTTTTCAAAAAAAAGTTACAGATTTGGACGAATCCAAAAATGTAAAAATGAAGTCGATGAGTTGTTTTTTTAACAGTGTTAAAAAAGTTTTTTGATCAAAAAATGACTCGTGGCATATGAAAAATATTTTTTTTTATTACAAAATATTATTCTGCATAGGCTCATTATAATTTCAAAATATTTCACTTCATCTAATTTGTATTATGAAAATTTCATTCTAATTCTTGCTTTATTCACAACATGTCAAACAGCAATCGGTGAGAGTGAACGAGACGAAAAGATATTGAAATCGCGAGTGATCTACAGCGATTTACATTTGCGGGTCTAGGATTTGTGAAATTTAGAAATAGGCTTCAGCTTGACTTTTGAGAATTAATTCTTGAACTTTCACTGTGCCAAGCGACTAAAAGTCATCCTCAATTTTTTTTGTAACAAAATATGCTTAGCAACCGCAATTTCAAAAATTATGGATTTTCAGACCCACAAATTTTTAATGTACCTTTGATCTATTTTTCTCTAAAACTTCTTCACTCTCACCGATTGCCAATTTTCATTGGGCTGACATGATGTGTATTTTTTCTTTTTTTATTTATTTTTCATTCAGTCCCTTTCTCCCTTTTTCATCAGAGCGCACTTTCTCACCTTCCCTTCCCAAAAAACGCCAAGCGTCAGAAACTGACGCGTTTTATTTTTGTGTATGCTACGTTGACAAGCCAATTTATTTGTTCAAATGTTATTATTAGTTTTTTTTCCTGCGTTGTTGATTTATTTTTGTTGAGGATTTTTCAATAATTGATTTTTTTTTCTAGGTAAACCAGAAAGAAATGAGGAGGATTTTATCAATTCTATTATTTTGCCTTCTTGGTCATCAAATCGAGGCTTCTCAACAACAACAAAAATCAGTTCTCACTTCGCTGAATGCCAATTGGAATGCCACCTCATTTTTAGCTGAAGCAAGTGAATTTATATCGAATGAAAATGAAAAACTATTCTGGAAATTTGTGGAATTGATCAATGCGGATAGTGCAACTTTAGGATGGAATGATTGTGAGTTTTCGTGAGGATGACAAAAAAACAACAAAAATAAATTTTTCAGTGACCGATGAGAAGAAATATGACTACACAATCAGAACAGCATCCAAGGTTTTGTCGTCATCTTCAGTCGATCTTCTCAAATTCTCATTAGCTCTTCGACAATATTCACCAAAAGTTCAATCTTTTCAACAAATTGCATCTGAATATCAACCAGGAAGTTGTGATGTTTTCATTGTTGTTAAAGGCGAAGCCAGTTGTGATGTTTCAAAATTGCCAAAAGGAACTGGAAATGTTGAGATTCTTTTGGAAAATGATCATTTTGTTGGAGACAAGAATAGCGAAAATATTATTGTTGCTTATGGTGATCTTGGGACAAAATCGTTTGCTAAAGCTTTCGAACAGCTTTCGAAGGACTCGGATATCAAACTTGTTTTCAGACATTTTTCAAAGGTAAGGAAGCTTGAGCCTTTTTTGGGCCCTATAGGGTACTCTTACCTAAACCAAACATTTTTCAGAACGTCAAAGAGAGCCACGTGTCACTTTCCGGATATGGTGTTGAACTTGCTATCAAAAACACCGAATACAAAGCTGTCGATGAATCAAACACTAAAAAATCAGAAGCTGAAGAAGATGAAACCAACCTTCACGGACTCAACATCAAACTTCTCAAACAACTCAATCCAGAAGTCTCGGAACAAATCGAATCATTGCGAGCACATTTGAAAGACACTGATGAGCTTGCGCCACTCAAAAAATGGCAATTGCAAGATTTGAGTTATCAAGCTGGTCAAAAAGTTTTGAATGCGGATAATTCGAATGCATTGAATGTTTTGGAAGATTTTTCGCAAAATTTCCCAACTCACGCGAGAGCTTTGGCTAGAACTACGGTAACTGAGCAATTCAAAAAAGAGGTCTTGTTGAATCGCAAAATGTTGGAAGAAGTTGGAATTGATGCCGGAGAGACGAAATTGTTTATTAATGGTATTAATCAAGATGTTAATAGCTTAGATCTTTTCAAATTGTCTGATCTTTTGAAACAAGAAAATTCAATTGCTAATGGTTTTCATGACATTGGAATTAATGTGAGTTGCAATTAGAAAAACAAAAAAACCCATGATCCTAATTTTCAGCGAGAATATTTGTCAATTCTTGTTGGCATGGACACATCAGATGATGAAAAAGCATCATACGCTATTGATTATCGCGAGGCTTACCCATTCTACCTCAATAATTTGGACACTGATAAACGCTATAAACAATGGGGAAATAGTGTGAAATTAATGCTCCAACCTTATTATCCTGGAATGATTCGACCAATCGCAAGAAATTTGTTTAATCTGGTGTTTATCATTGATCCAAGCACATTGGAAGGTCGCAAATTTTTGAGAATTGGAAAAGTTTTTTATGACAATGATATTGCTATTCGAATTGGTTATATTTTTGCTGTCAATGATGGCGAAGGTGTGAATGGCTCGAACGATTTAGGACACGCTCTTGTTAATTTGTTCAATTTTGTCTCGACAGATTCGGATAATGCTGGAGCTATTCAAGTATTAAATACTGTAAGTTTAGAGAAGGCGATCTTGAATTTTAATTAAAATCCATTTTTTTTCCAGTTCCTTGACAATTACAAATCGACTGACCCAACGCTCGAAGATCTCAAAAAATGGTTCTCTCGCAAATTCTCCGACACCAACTTTGAAGATGTTTTCGGCGCCAACACCGATTACGACAAGGGAATCAAAGCCGGTGCCGCTTTCATGAAACAATCAGGATTGAAAAACGCGCCAAAAGTTTTGCTCAACGGTTTTGTATTGGATGAAGATGGTGTTCGTGGTGATAATATTGAAGAGACAATTATGATGGAAGTGATGAAAATTTCGCCAAAAATTCAAAAGGCGGTGATGGAAGGCAAATTGACTGATCGAATGAATGTTGGAAATTGGGCACTTGAGCAAAAAGATGTTATGAAACGATTGAATAAACGAATCCTTGCTGCTCCAGGGCTCAAGAATTTTGTTGATTTGTCTGGAACTGAAGAATGCAACGCTTTCGACAACATTAAGGATATTCAAGATCTTTCGGATGCTGGAAAAGCTAGATGTCTTAGCCAGAATCTCAATTATCTTCAGAAATCTACACAAGACGCAATTATGGTATATCTTGAAAACATAAAGTTAAATTAATTTAATAAAAAAAAAGTTTTTTTCAGCCAGTGACTCTTTGGGTTGTTGCCGATGCTGATACTCCAGATGGTCGAGAATTCATCTACAACTCTCTTCAGCTTCTCAAGAACTCCCAAAAAACTAGAATTGGTATCATCCTCAATCCGGCCAATCTTGAAGTCTCCACCAAGGAAAACAGCATTTCTTCATTCATCAAAGCTGCGTTGGAAAATCTATCGCCAGATTTTGCGAAAAGATTGATTTTGAAATTGACAAATGAGGAAATTGCTGCAAATTTCATTTCTGGAAAATCAACATTTGAAGATATTAGTGTGGGTGGAATGGATGTTGAGAAGTTCCAAAAGGCTAAGAAATCGGCTGACTTCAAAAAGCGGATTGAACTTGATGCTCATGTTGCGACCAAAGTTTTTGGCTTAACAGCTGGTCAAAAAGTTGCAATTGGAAATGGGCTTATTGTTGGACCTTTGGATTCAGATGAACAATTTGCTTCAGCTGATTTCGCGTTGTTTGAAAATGTTTTGATTGCAAGAGGAGCTGAGGTAAATTTTTTCTTTTGAAAATGAGATTCTAAATTTTTTATAGGTCATCTCATCGCACTTGACAAAATGGGACTATGAGAAGAAAAATGGTGTTGGATCCAACATTGCATTATCAATCTCTGGATTAGTTGGCAAACTCGCGTCGGCTCAAAAAAGACTTTGGATCGCTATCCGAGGAGATAAACATAGTGTTGTCACATTGGCTGCTGATGATTCTGACAAGCCGGCGATCGATATTTTGGCTGTTGTCGATCCACTTAGCGCGGAAGCTCAGAAATTGGCTAGTATTTTGAAATTGATTAAGAAAGTGACAAATAGTGAGATTCGAATTGTGATGAATCCAAAGGATAAGCATTCGGAACTTCCACTTAAGAGATTCTATCGATATGCGTCTTCGTCAGAGTTGAGCTTTGATCAGAATGGAAATTTGAATGCGAATATTGTGAAGTGAGTTTTAAGAATTTTCGAAAAAATCATTTTGAATTTTTTTTTATTTTTGTAACTGAACACATCTCAAAAAAATCATCTGTAAATGGGAAAATTCCAGACAAAAATAAGTTAAAATTTGAGTTTTTGAACCCGGAAATTGTCTGATTTTCAAGATTCAGAATCAATTTTATGAAGCCACAATCTATTTTTTTCTAGATTCGACAATCTTCCAAGCAAACAGCTTCTCACTCTCTCCCTCCAAGCTCCAGATTCCTGGATCGTTGAAGCCATTTTCACTGAAGCCGATTTAGACAACATCAAACTTGAACAAGTCACTGGAAATGTCGTCGCCGTCTTTGCTCTCCAACATATTTTACTCGAAGGACAATGTTTCGATGAAATTAGCTCGCAACCACCAAGAGGACTTCAATTTGTTCTTGGCACTGAAAAACATCCAAAACAATTTGACACCATCGTTATGGCAAATCTCGGATACTTCCAATTGAAAGCTAATCCAGGAGCTTGGAATCTCAATCTTCGCGAAGGGAAATCTAGTGAGATTTACAAAGTGAGCAGTCAAAAAGGTGCTGAGATTATTGGCCCCGACACTTTGCGCGTTGTTATTGATTCGTTCAATGGAAAATCGGTTCGAGTTCGTGTTGAGAAGAAAGACGGGATGGAAGATCGAAATCTTCTTTCTGATGAAGAAGATGGCGTTTGGAGCAGTCTCAGTAGCTTTGTTGGAAGTAAAGATAATCATGAGACAATTAATGTTTTCTCATTGGCTTCTGGACATTTATACGAGAGATTTATGAGAATTATGATCGTATCTGTTATGAAACACGCGAAACAACCAGTCAAATTCTGGCTTTTGAAAAATTATCTATCACCACAATTCAAAAAAACCTTACCAACAATGGCTGAATATTATGGATTTGATTATCAATTAGTTGAATATAAATGGCCAAGATGGTTGCATCAACAGAAAGAGAAGCAGCGAATCATGTGGGGCTACAAGATTTTGTTCTTGGATGTTTTGTTCCCACTTGATGTGCAAAAGATTATTTTTGTTGATGCTGATCAAGTTGTGCGGGCTGATTTGATGGAATTGATGAAGTTTGATTTGGGAAATGCGCCGTATGGGTGAGTCCAAGATGATTTTCCCTGCTTTTTCCCCTGTTTCAGAAAAAAAAATCATAGATTTTTTTCAGATATGTACCATTCTGTGATAGTCGCAAAGAAATGGACGGATTCCGATTCTGGAAACAAGGCTACTGGGCAAACCATCTTGCCGGAAGACGCTATCATATTAGCGCTCTCTACGTCATTGATCTTCAAAAGTTCCGTCAAATCGCCGCCGGTGATCGATTGAGAGGGCAATATCAAGGATTGTCGGGTGATCCGAATAGTTTGGCGAACTTGGATCAGGATTTGCCGAATAATATGATTCATCAAGTCAAGATCAAGTCACTTCCACAAGAATGGCTGTGGTGTGAGACGTGGTGTGATGATGGAAGTAAGAAGAATGCAAAGACTATTGATTTGGTGAGTTGGTTTGAAAATTTTTCCACTGGCTTCCCAGGAAAAAATTCTTTTCTAATTGTATTATACATAAATTTTTTCAGTGCAATAATCCACTCACCAAAGAGCCCAAACTCGACTCGGCGCATCGTATTATTGGCGAATGGAAAGAATATGACGACGAGATTCGACAAGTCATCTCAGGGGAACTCACTAAAAAATCAAAAACGGATGATGATCATGTGGAACTGTAATTCGGGGCAATTTTTAACAAACAAGCTTTCTAATTTATTTATTTTTCTTTATTTGTTTCGATTTTTCAAAAAAATATTTGGTTTAAAAAATCCGTGGGTGTAGCATCCTGAAAATTCCAGAAAATTGTTACAGCACATCTCTTTTTTTTATTAAAAAATCATGAGAATCTCCTTGAGATTTTCCAATCATTCTTGAAAAATGGTTTCTTTTCAAGTGGTCGTTTCTCTCTTCTTGGTTACGGTAGCCTCGTGCACCTTTAATGGTGACCCGGTGAACTGGAATCGTCATCCATATTTGGTCAAGATTATGACAAGAGATTCGGCGTCGAAAAATGTGACAACTTGCAGTGGAACATTGATTTCAGCTTCAGCTGTTTTGACAAGCAATAAATGTTTCCCAGAAAATTTGGATGGTGTTGAAGGACAAGCTATTGTTCCACTTCACGGAACTTCCAAAACTATGCATCGTGCGATGCTTGATGTGAAGAGAGACGGGGATTTTGCGATTATGAGAATTGATCCAATCAAACAGAAAAATGTGGGTACTTTTATGAAATTTGATTTCGAAATAACCTTTTCAGCTCTGCGAAAAAGCGCCAATCCCAGCAAGAATTTCGAGATTACCAATCACTCCAACTTTGATTGAAGCTTCTTTCAAACCAGTTGATGCTAAGCTTATGGAAAAATATCGATGCAGAATTGTTGGATTCAAGACTAATGATGATGGTGAGTTGTAAGAGAGTTTAGGGTTTCTGAATCTTTTTTTTTTTTGAATCAGAAAAATCTTATGTTTCAAAAATTATATGAAAATGAAATTTGATTTGATATGGAACTTAGAGAAGGTTAATTTCAAATGTATTTTTTTTCAGAAAAAAATTTCTTCATTACATAAAATGACTATTAGAAATTCACAATTGTAGGACTCTTTTTGTTTAGTAAATCCATAATTTTCAGAAAAAATTCTGTGGCTCAGGTGCATATTTGAAACTTTATGAAAAATTTTGTCAAAACTTTTGATTTTTGGTAAATCAACCCTCCTGAACATCGCCCTGTACTCTTGATGAAATACTTTTTAACATTAGTTACGGGCTCTCAAAAACGCGATTTTCAAAAAATTCTCATCTTTTGGCTCATTTTTGGGCTCTTCATAGAGCAAAAACTGTACAGAAACAAATGTGTCTTATTGCAAATCTTCGAAGACTGGTCACACACTTTCCTGGTTAGAAATTAAACTTTTTTTCTCAAAAAATTCAAAAAAAAAATGAAAAATATATCACAAATAATATTCTCTATATATTTTTTGCAGTCGAAAAATTCTCATCAAGCGACGAAGTCGAAATCGTCGATGCTGAAATCCGCAAAACCACCGACACTTTGATGTTTGCCGAAGTCTACTCAAACGAAACTGGAACCGCTTGTTGGGATGATCTTGGAGCACCATTAGAATGCGCATTGGAAGATGACTCGTTCTACACTCAAGTTGGATTTGTTCATAATATTTATTCAAGAGGATTGGATGATGAGATGGCTCTTGGTAATTCTACATGTTCTGATGTTAAGGTAAAAAAAAGCGCAAGGGTTTTTTTTAAAGAAAAATTGAATTTTTTTAGTCTATGGAATTCATCGTTTTCGGCGATTTTACTTTGGCTGAAAATATCGATGCTGCTGACAAAATTGGCGTTTTTGAATATCAAGAACGCTGTTTCTCCAAATAAATAACTTCGTTGTTTTTTTTATGTTTGAAAAAGCAAAATAAAATAAAAGATATTAATGGCTAGCAAACATGTGTGCACTTATTGATTTTTCTTCGGCTTTTTCGAAAGAAAAGGTCAGCGTGTTTTATTTTCTGGTTTTTTCATTTTAAAGACATTTTTTTATTGGAGAGAAAAAGAAAATTTGAAAAATGATGTGAGTGATAAGGAAAAATCATCAACATCATCATCGTTTTATTGTTTTTCTTCATTTCTGTTTCATTTTTCGAAAAAAATGTCGGCTGAAAAATTGAATTGGCGATTATTAATCATGTCCACGCTTCTAGCGGTCACCTCGATCTTTCAGGTAAATTTGAATCAACATTTTTTATGGCTCTGCTAAAAATGTGTTATTTAGATGGGTTACACTAGCGCGTACCCAAATACCGCTATCGAGGGGTTCAGAAATTATTTAAATAAATCACATAATCCGCCGTTTCAATTATTGAACTCGGAATTTGAATGGATTTGGTCTGGAATGCTGGCGATTTATTTTGTGGGATTTGCGATTGGAAGTATTATCACTGCATCGATTGCGGATAGGATTGGAAGGAAATGTGAGTGGATTTTTTTAAGTTTGAACTGATTCTGAAGAAGAATTTGATTTTCATAGTCGTTCTTGGTCTTCTGACCAAAATGTTCTTTGATGATTTTGTTGCAAACATTTTTTTATCAGAAAAAACATTTTCTAATTTTTTTTTCAAAAATTCCATATTTTCTGGAAATTCATGAAATTCTAGCAAAAAAAAAAAGCGAGGAACCCAAGCTAAAAAATCTCAAGAAAAATTCATAGAGATTCCAAATTTGAAACAGAACATTTTCAAAAAAAAAATAATTTTCTCAGGCACCCTGTGTTTCGGAAACTTTGGTGGTTTATTATCCGCAATCATCGCATTATTCGGAATCGTCTTCAAACTTCCAATTCTATTTGGAACCTCCAGATTGCTCATGTCACTTTCAGCAGGGATTTCGATGAATGCTTTAATTCTACTTCTACAAGTAGGTCCCTATTTTCCAGGGTGTATGTGTTTTTTTTTTTGAAAAAAAAGGAAAGAAAACTCGTTTCATTTCACAAAACGGAAAGAGTAAATGAAATGAGATGCTTTTTCTTAATTAGGAAGGGTTGCGCGCTCTTTTTTCAAAACAAAAACAAAATTGAGATAATTGGATTTTTTTCAGGAAAGTTCACCAAATCATATGAAAGGCTTGATATCGTTTAATGGTGAAATGGCATTTGTGATAACAAATCTGATTGGTGGATTGTTTGGCATGAAATTTTTGCTGGGTGACAATTTGGCAGGATTAATTGGGTTCGGAAATATCTCGCACAAACGCAAAAAATCTGGAAAATTTTCAGCATTTCAATTGTTCCATCTGCCATCGCATGTTTGCTCTCAACTCTGCTCAAAGAGTCTCCGAAATATCTATTTTTAAAGCAAAATGATTTGGATGGTGCTGCAAGATCTTTGAGATTCTATCAGAACTTGAAAGACGATGATGAGAAAACCAACATTTTGAATGAGTTGAAATTGGAGAGAGAAGAAATGACAGCGAAAAATGATACGATTTTTGATATTTTGAAAAAATCAACCGCATAGAAGGGGATTTCTTTTGGGTGTTGCGACAATGCAAATCACTTCATCGATTTGGCCAGTGATTTTTTATAGCACTGATTTTTTGTTGGATGTTGGGTTTAGTTATAGTTTTGCTGAGATTGTGTCGACGACGATGCTTTTTGTGAGGTATGGTTTTTTTCCGAAAACAGCTCTTCAACTTTTAAATATCCAATTTTTCCAGCTCAACCTCCACATTCATCGGAATGTTCATCGTCGAAAAGTTTCCCCGAAAAAGATTGCTCATTCTAACTGCAATCGTAAACGTTGCATCGTTGCTAGTTTTCTCCTTATGTGTCTACTTCAAAAAACAGTTGCCAGGCATTGAATATGGTTGTGTTGTGACTCTCATTACTCATGGAATAAGTTATAGGTGAGCATAGAACTCGTGATTTTCATAGAGACATATGTACATATGATTTCAGTGTGGCATTAGGTCCGATTGCTTGGTTCATCACATCTGAATTGGTTCCAATGAGTTGTAGAGCAGTTTCTCAATCATTGGCTTTGGCGATCAATCATTTTTTCGCGCTTATTTTGGCGTTTTTAACATTTCCACTTTACAAATCTTATGGTACATTCTTTAAAAAAAGAAACCATCAAATAAATTTATATTACAGGGTCAATAATAATCATCATATTCTACGTTCTCCCGGGTATCATTTGCATTAAAACACTACACAAATATTTGCCAGAAACCAAAGATAAACATATAAACGAGGTGGTGAAAGAGCTGAAAAATGAGAATGAAATGGTCGGATAGATTTTTTAGATTATGATGAAAAGAATCGAAATGAGAATGCTAGAAGTGAATAAATTATGTGATGAAATAATATGTGTAGAAGCGTTGCAAAAATCATAATTACAGCAACATGTTTCCCGTGTTGTTTGGTCCGACAAGCAAGCGTAGAGTTTCATCGGTTGTGTATAAAATGGTCGCTCAAATGAGCGTTGACAATCACCCGTATCATCGCAAGATAGTTGCGTCTGCAAAAAATGAGAACTTATTTGAAAGAGCATGGTAAAATCCTCGGATTTTTCTGTGGGAGCTTCTCAAATAGAAAAATTGAAATTTCGAAAAAAAAACAGTGAGACACCGTGTAAAATGTGTGAATTTGTCAATGACTTTTTTTTTAATTGAAATTGAAATAAATCGATTTTTATCTCAGACTCCAGATTTTCAAAAATCCTTTTTTGGGAATTCAGAAATTTTAAACTTTCTTCAAGTTAAAGTTTGTTTTTTCTTCACAGAAAATTAACCTAACTTTCAAAAAACATAGAATTTTACTGAAAAAAATGAAATTTTTATACAATCAAAAAACTCTGGAATTTTCAAATTACTCCTAAAAAACTCACAATCCCAGTAGCACCAGTATACTTTTTACAATAATTTGAAGAGCACTGCATAACAGTAGCAGGCTCGCGATTAAAAGAATTCAAGCAATAAACATTTGCTTGAACCTCGATCGCAAAAAATAATATTAGAATGGTATAGTAAACGAATTGCATATTTTCGCAAAATGAGTCATGTATGGCAAACATTTGGTCAAAACACATCAAAACTTACCACACATCATCTAACTAAACAACAATCATTTCTCCCCAATCTGACAATCGTTTTTTCCATCCCTTTTTGGTGAAAAATGCAATCATTGCCGGGTCGTGTGGATCGCATTTTCCAATATATCTGGAAAAAAATGAGAATTAATTTCGATCTGAAATTTTTTAAAGTTTTTTTTCTATACATATATTTTTGGAGAGCCACTCTCACGAGGAAAAATTGTGATTTTGCTAAATCGAACCTCCTGAACAACGTGACACATTCAGTGTTTTATAAAAATAATTTCTAACATGAGTTATGGTCTCTCAAAACCACGAAATTTCGACAATTCTCAACTTTTGGCTCAATTTTTGGGCAAAAAATCTCCTGGTTTCTGGTCCCCAAATTCCACTAACTTTTTTGTTTTACAATAATGATTCTCAAACTCGATGAAACGATTTTGTTTATCCCAATCTGCATCATATTTATATTCCGTTAGATTATCCGGATTTTCAAAAGTGGAAGCCGGCACCAAATAAACACGAGTCTCCTGGTAAATCACCGTGACAACGCCATAATAAGCAGTCCTTTGCATTCCGCCCTGAAATTACTTTTTTTTGTTGGAATTTCTGGAAGTATGTTTGTATGTACATACCCGAATATCTGTCATAATTTTGAAGAATTTCGCCAAATTATTCCACTCACGAACATTCTTATAAGAAATTCTGCAAAAACATGAGAGATTAGAAATGCAAGAAATATAAAAAAACTGACTTGTATGTATGAGATGAATTAATAGAATTTGATGCATTGCTAATATCAACGGCTTTCGAGTTTTTGATATCTTTTATGAGATGTTTGTTATAATTGGATTTTTCGACGATGGAAGCTGGGAGCAATGAAAAATCAGTGTTGGATTTGGAAGCGCCGATTTTGCTCAAAAAGTCTTTGAACATTCCGCTGCAAAAATATGGGATATTGAATGTGATCTCAGAAAATCTTAAATTTCTAAAATTCTTTCCCAAAGCTTTTGTAAGAACGCATAAAAAAACATATTAAAAAAAATAATTTTTTTTTATTTAATATTCCTCCAAAACATTTATAGATCGCTATAAAATGTATACAATAAAAAAAGCATCAAAAAATTTCCCAAAACTCACCCGCTCGACCCTTTCCCAGCTAGTCGCATATTATGCGAAGTCCGACTAATCTCTGGTCGAATACATGAGCGATTCTTGCGAACCTCTGGTTTTCTCATCCAATCATCCCAATAGCTTATCGGGAATTGTTCAGACAATTCAGCCCAAATCTCTTTTGTCAACATCCAGCCTAATCCTGGGAAAAAATCGGTTCGCCAAACTAAATCGCCTTTTGAATTATCGATTAGGTTCGGAGCACCATTATCGTTCCAAGCAGAGATGCACCAAATTGTTTTGTCGAGCAGGAGAATTCGTTTTCCCCATTCGAAAAATGAGAAAAAGTCGTTTCCTATATCGAGATCGTCTGAAAAATGATTGTTCAAAATTTTGATTCACGTAAAAAATCTCCCCCCTAGTAGGGGCCCCTACCTTCCGTAATTATAACATGATCGTATTTTTTCTCGAAAAACAATTTATCGAGTGCCCATTTGTAATGCGCCGAAATTGCCGGATAATTGTCCCGCTTTTTTGTGGCAATTCTCTCATGCTATAAAAATATATGTACATTTTGAATACAAAAAATTGAAAGAAACCTGCATAAAAGTGACATTTCGAAAATCATTGACAAAACTGATGGCTGTTTGTTGAACTGCGTCAGTATTTCCATCTTGCGAAATTATGACGTGATATTGGTTTGGTGATGGTCGTTGGCTGAAATTTGATGCGATCGTTGTTTTTTTTGGCTTCTGTTTTTTTATTTTTCATATCCCACGTCATCTGCATACTTTCCTCGCTCATGAATAATTCAATAACATAAAGTTTTTGGAAATCATGAGAGCATAAAATTGTCATAGCTTTTATTGGATTTTTTTTAATTCAAAAAGCACGTTCGATAATTGGATTTTCATATATATATTTTAACGAAACTGAAGTTGGAACATCAAAAATCAAAGCATCTGCGTTTTTTGAAAGAAATTTTTTCAAGTTCTGAAAAATGCCCAAAAATTCTTGCAAGCAAAAGATATTCAAGAGAAGCAAGGAAACATATTTTTGATCTGATCCACAAAGTTCTACAGTATACCACCCACTTCTTCCCATAAATTACCTCAACAATTGTGTCAGGTGATTTTTCAATGCATCTGCTCTTGTTGCACATATCACAAGAACTGCCGCAATAAAACTATCATTTGTTCGTTTTGCTCGATTTATTATAAATTCGTCATAGTCGCTGAATTTCGCTTTACGAGGCTGGAAAATTTGAATTTCAAAAAGCCTTGAAAAACATTTTAAAACAAACCTGTTCAACAACAATCGACGAATCAGCTGATTTCAAATAGAGAATCAAGCATAATAGGGTCAAAATCGAGATGATTTTGAAAAATGTACTCGAATATTTGCTGGCCACTCTCCGAAATACCCGTTTCATTCAACAAAATCTATGGATTTGGTGATTTTTTATTCGAAACACACGCAGCCAAAAAAATTTGGTGGAATGTTTTGTGCGAATATATATATATCTTCTCTTTTTTTCTCGGTCTTCTCTTTTATGAATGTCTATTTCTCTTCTTCTTCTACTGCTTCTTTCAAAAGAGAGCAGAGACGATTAGAGAAAAGAGGATTTGGTTCGAGAGTGAGCAATGGCGCGCTATTGAGAAGACTCACAGGGACGAAATATGTGGAGTGTCGTAAATGCACGTTGTTTAGCAAGCTTAATTTTTTATTTTTGTGGGTTAGAAGTATGGAAAGCAATGAGAATAAAATGCAAAACAGTATGGGTGGTCTTAAAAAAGATAATCGCTGATTTTTGTGAGAAACTGAGTAGCAGATAATGATCAGCATAGTCGATTTAATCGAAAAGCACGAATAAATTGAATTTTGAGAAACATTTTGATTTTGGAAAAAAATGAGCATGTGAATTTTCATATACATATTTTCATCCGAAAAAAAATTTCAAAATTTTCCGATTTACAGAAACTTCAGCAATGTTTGAAAAGCTCAATGTCTATTTGAAATTTCCCATAAAAACTTCGCCTAACATCGTAATCGTAAAATGAGAAATGTTTCATTCTAACTGAGCTAATTGGTTTTGTTTGCCCAGCTTCTTTTTTGAAGCTTTTTTTTATTTGAAATTTTTTTTGAACAATAATTGTGGTCCCAGAAAATTTCAGCTCATAAAATAAGTACATAATTAGATTTTGGGTAATGAAAATTGAACTTTAGAAAAATTTAAAAACAAAACGGGTGGTCTCTTATTATTTCTTGGTATCGAATATGCATAGAAAAACGTCGCGGAAAAGCACTTGAAAAAAGACATAAAATAAATCATCAGGTTTCGGGGAAACAGTTATATTTTATGAGTTATGTTGGATCTCTACTATATACATATGTAGTTTAGAAAAAATGTTCCAAAAAAATATTATTTTCAATTGGCTGCTATCAAAAAAAAAAAAGAAGAATGAAACTGTTTGGGAACAATGGAACAAACAGCATGATAGAATTTTTTGAACGCTCAAAATGTTATTAAAATTTTTGATTTCGAAAACATTTCTGGGGATTAAGAAGCATTCCACATTCTGACCTACATAATTTAGCGAATCAAAGATGTGTATCTTTGAGTTTTTCTCACCAAAAAATGAAGAAAAAAACTAATCGCAAGCGCTATTTTCCAATGCATAAAACATAAAACTAGTACTTGAATGTGGGAAAATTTTTAGATGAAAACAAAATCTATAAATGTATAATTTTATTTTACTAGACACAAAAAAATAAAAAATATGGCAGTAGTTGGTGAACTGTAATGTTAAATTTAAAATTACAAAAAAAATCATTTTTTGTTACAATCATACGTCATACTTGATGTTTTAGTTGGTAAAAGCGATGTCATTTGCTGAAGATTTGTCGAAATTTCCTCAAATTCCAAATACCTCTGATGTTTTCTTCGAGCTTCTTCTTCTAACTCCATTATCCGCATATTATGATGTTTTTCCTTTTCGTTGTAGATTTCTTGAGCTGATCGGATGTTTGCTTCGAGAGCTCGAACTTTGCCTCGAAGTTCATCGATGAGTTCTTCATTGGCTAGTTTTTCTTCGCGGAGCAGTTTGTTTTCAGAGGAGAGGGATCTAAAAATATTTAAAAATCGATAAATCTGGAAAAACTAAATGAACATTTTGAAATATAATTAAGAAATTCTGAATTAATTTCGAAAAATGCTCTGTATAACTTTTCTGCACATAATTTTTTCTTTTTCCCAAAACTCACTTTGAAAGTGCGTGCAATGCATTGAGCTCTTTTTCAATTCTCAATCTCTCTGTCAACTGTTCTTCCTCACTTTTATCACGGTCCTCGATCTAGAAAGTTGTTTTTTTTGTTGAAAATTTAATTTCCCTGCTCACCGTCCGCTCTAAATCCAAACATCTCTGCCGTATCGCATCTAACTTATTGCTCAAAATCTGTGAGTTTTGTTTTTCGGCCAACAAATTACTTCTGACTTCTGTCAATGCCTCATTTTGTATCACAGATTCTCGAACTTCTCTTTCTTTTGTGCTCGATTTCAGAGATTGCTCTTCTAGTCGATTTATTTTAGTGGTTAGTCTAGCATTGTCTTTGATTAGGGTTCCATTTTCACTCATTAATTGATCAATTAGTTTTTTATCATTAGCCTGAATCAACTCGAATTCTCGAATTTGTTGAGAATAATTACTCAATCGATCTTGGTTATTCAAATCTTTTTGAAGACAAGTTTTCAATTCTGATTCAACTACGAGAATCCGGCTTTCCGTTGCTTTCATATCTTCATAACATTCCTTGACTTTGTTGTTTTTCAAAAGAATTTCCTCTTTGAATTGGGATATAGATACTTGGAGGTTTGAAATATCAGTGTTTGCGATTCTCAACCTTTTTGTGAGCTCCAGCTTTTCATTCTCAACTTGAGCAATTCTGAAAAAAAAACATTTTCGAATTTTTTCAGAACCCGGAAAAATCAGGAAAATCTAGAAAAATTTCGAAGTCTTCAAAGTTTCAATTTCAGCACAGAAAATTGCTGTAAAACTTATTTTTATCTGGATTTTGCTCTGAGATGTTTTCAGTTCCAAAAATCAAAATGATAATTTTTTTTCAGATTTTTGGGCAATCTTGGAGATGTTACTACAAAAAATCACTTTTCGGAAAACCGGAAAATAGAATTTTCTGTGAAAACACCGGAAAATTCAGATAAATAAATATTTCCAAACCACTCACTTCACTTCCTTTTCCGCAATAACTGGTGTCAATTCATCGATCCTCTTCTGAAGTTCCAGTAACTCCTCCAACAATGCTCTTTTTTCCATGCTCGCAGATTCTACAAAAAACGCATTTATGATTTTTGTTTTCAAAATATTTCTTATTCTCACCAATCCCAACAATTTTTGAATTCTCAACTTCCTTAATTTTTGCGCTTAACGAATTGATCACTTTTATATGATCATCATCTTTTTCATGCATATTTTTCAATTGTTTTTCGAGGTGTTGAATTTGCTGAAAATATTTTTTTTCTTAATTAAATCAGGGGTAAACACTTGAAATGTTACCATGGCTGCTTCTTCCAACTCGTGTAACAGTTCCGTGTCAGCCACGTGGATTTGACGTTCTCTAGAATCATTTTCATTTTCACAATATTTTTTAAATCCAAAATCGATATACCTTATTGAATTAGTCCTTGAATGCTGAATCGGAACACTTTGTTTTTCTCGAAAACTCGATTCTGAAATCGTCGTCGGTGGATTGGTAACCGAAGGAGGTTGGAATAACTTTGGAACTTTTTGTTGCATTGAACGTTCGGTGATTATTGATTGAAGGGGAGGGTGGAAAGAGGGAAGTTGACACCAAGTTTCACCATTTAAGGAGACTTCATTTCCTCGTGTTAGGATTTGAGTGGTCTGGGTAGATGGACGTTCATAGTGATGATGGCTTTGGTAAGAGGCGGTTGGTTTTGGTTGTTTTCTGGAAACAATAGGATTTTTAGAGACGTTTTTTGTGAAAGTGAAAAAGCTGTCGGACACAAAAAAGTCGAAATTTTACGGTATGCGCCATTGAATGCACACAAAAATTTTTTTAGATCAATCGGAACTTGTGTTTCCCGCCCAAACCAAAATTTCGATTCGGGCGGGAAGCTAAAAAAATTTTCAAAATTGTTTTCATTTCACGGCACATTTTTTCACGAAAAAGTAAAGTGTTCATTGATTTTCAGCGGACTTTGATGAAAATATTCAAAATTTCACGCTGCACAATTTTTATTCTGAAAAATTTTTCACGCTTCACAAAAATAATGTGGAAAAATTTAAAATTGAAATTATAGTTTCCTTATTTTGAATGAAAATTTCAGGAAAACATTCAGAAATATTTTTGAATTCATAAATGAAAAAAACTGATGCGAAACCATAAATAATTTCAAAAATGTAACTTGAAAAAACTCACAAATACGAATTCTCAATCTGCAATAATTGAACCTGTTGTCGAAGACTTGTAATATATTGTTCATTCAATTTCAAATTATCTTGGCTAATCGCTTCACTCGTACTACTTTTTGGTATCCGAATATTGGTTTGTGATTTTGCTCGAGCTCCAACTTGAGCAGATTTTCCTTTAAATAATTTTATTTTAAATATGTAAATTCTTTTGGAAGAAAAAAAATCATACCTTTAACTTGAAGCGGCGTTTTTTTCATGATGAATAAATAATTACCTATGCCTTGTCAATAATAATAATAATAATAATAATATTTCTAATAATAAAAACAACAACGGGAATAAAAATGAGAAATAAATATATGTGGTCTTGCCAGCTTTCCGTTGCTATGGTAATTATTGACCCAATGTTGAGTAATCGAAAAACAACATTTATTGTAAGAAATGAGGGAAAGGGGAAACAGAGGAAAATATTTATTTTTCTTTTTGATTTCACATATAAAATGATTTCGGAATCAGAGTTAGATATCGTAGTAAAAGTCCAAACCGAAGGCATATTTGATTTCACCAAGTGTATTTTCAAGCGTGTCTCGACATTTTTTCGTTGATCTATTTAGAACTTGCTGCAAACAACTTTGCATCTGAAAACTGATTCAATTTTTTTTCTGTTTATAAAATTTCTCTAGACAAACCTTTTCGATGCAATGAGTATATTTGTTGTTCTCGCAGATTTCAAATCTCAGGGCGCATGAAGAAATTGTTGATCTTGTTTTTGGGCACGCAGTGTATAGTTCAAGATAGATTTCATTGATATTGGTGTTATTGGATGTTGGTTGAATTACATCAATGGGGATGTCTGAAAAATCTAGTGAAACAGATTTCTAAATTTACTGTATTTTTGAACTCACATTTCGCAGTCTGACTATAAGCACTCGAACCGAACAATTTGACAGTGTTATAAAAAACTAAGTGGTTCACCCAAAATTGATCCTGAAAAAAAGGTTTGGAACTATTTGAAATCAAAAATTACTTACCTTTAAGCAATGATAGAACTCATCATCACATTTTTCTTGTCCGTTTTGTTGATCGTAACAATCATCGTGAATTGCGCAACAATGATTGATTGCAACTAGAATTTTCAAATTTTCAGGAGTAAATTTAGATATATCTCAAGATGTTTCTAAATTCCTTACGAGGGTCATAAAATAATGTTGGCATCAACATCAAAGACCCTCTTCTTGATGTATAGTCACTTCCACAAAACGTATATTCAATTTGAAGTTCAGTGACATTTTCAGCAACTTTTATTATTCGATCTTTCAGCACTGCATGACTAAAAATTCCAGGAACCAAGAAAAAAAGAAATACAAAAATCATTTTTCTTGAACAAAATTATTTTTTCACGCTTATATGTATTCTGAATTTTCAAATGACTAATCGAAAAATAAAATTCATTAATTGCAAAATAAAAATGTGTTTGTTTCAAAGCAAAAGAGGAGTCAAGAAATTCAGAGGAAAAAAAGAAATTGAAAGAAATGAAAAAAAGTGTACATCCTGAAAAGCATAGTAGTCATAAGCAAAAAAAAAAAGCGAAAGAAATTTCATTGAGAGACACAAAATGATGGAAACTAGATGGGGGTCCGTGTTGATCACAAAAAAATCGGAATAAAATTCGAGGAAACACAGTATAAAATCTGATGGCCTTTGAAGAAAAAACAAACAAAACAAATGAAACCTATTGACAATTTTCGACATAGAAAACAATAAAAAAACGTATTCACAATCACTGGTGGGAGGTTTTTGAGATTTTTCAGCGGGGATTTTTCTTTATGGGTTTTGATGATGATGATGAATGAACGAATCACGAAACGAGGGTATACAAAAATACTTTTTGGGGTAGATTGTTAGGGAACAGAAAAAAAGGAAGAAAACTATGTATAATTATATACTGTATTAGGAAAATTAGCAAAAAACAAAACAAATCAATAAATTAGGGCTACACAAAAAAAAACACTATCAATCTTGGTTGTTCACATTGAAAAACCATTCTTCGACGTTGGTGTCAGCGACCATGTGATATTGCAAAAATGGGTGATTCTAAAAAAATTATTTTTTTTGCTGTAAGATTCTGAATATTTTGATCTACCGTTTTTTTCAAATTTGATCTACTAAATCTACTAGAAAAAAACTCACCAAAATTTGATTATAATCTGGACGATTCTCTGGATTTCGTTGAAGACAAATCTCAACAAGATTGCAAAATTCGGGCGAAAATCCATCGGTGACCGACAAACGTGGCGGATCACCGCGCATTATTGCAATCAATCGTTCCATATCGTTTTTTCCGTGAAATGGGAATTGACCGGTGGCAAGTTCGACGAGAGTCACACCGAACGACCAAACATCACTGCGGATTCCGTAGGCTTCCAAGTTCTGAAAATGAAAATATGTACATATGTATTGAGGTTGATTTTTCTGGATATGTAGATCTGATTTTAGCAAAATATAGTTTCAATAAAGTTCGGACTAAAAAATGTTTTTCGAAAATTTCATATACTTTTCAAAGTTAAAAAGCTATAAGCCTATTTCGAAAAAAAGCTGAGTAAAATTAAATTAAATTTTAATCTCTCAACTCACATTTGGATCAACTCTCTCTGGCGCCATATACAACGGACATCCGGCTTGTTTCGAAAGAGCTCTCGATGCAACAAGTCTTCCAGCAATTCCAAAATCGCACATTTTAATAACACCACTCCAGTCAAGAAGAATGTTTGATGGTTTTACATCGCGGTGCATAATACTCTGCAAAAAATTGTTGATTTTTCATTATTTTATTGATTTTTTTTTGGATGGCTTGCGAAATATCAATGCTATCTGGATATTGATTGATTATTCAATCGAACTTACATGTCTAGTTTTGAGATAATGAAGAGCATTAATAATACTAACAGTCATTTTGCCAATGATTGGCTCAGGAATCGGGCCGACTCTTTGAATCAATCTGTCGAGACATGTCGCCATTACCTCCATACATACTTTAACGTGATTCTGAAATTGTGTGTTTTCCAAGAAAAAATGTACAAATCAAATCAACTTACATCATTGATAAAATAACCGTAACATTTGACAACGTATGGACAATCAAAAGATTGACAAATCACATTAATATCCATAAGAATTCGAGACATTAAATAACTATCTGACGATGTTGGCATCGTTTTAACTGCCATCACAAGACTTTTGTATTTTTCTTTGGTGACTGTACCGCAACTTCCGTGACCCAGTTCAGCGAGTTGTTCAAGATCATGCTCGTCGACGTGTTCGATGCGTCCTGGAATGAAAAATTGTGATCAAATTTTTGAATTTAATTTTTTTAACTCTCATTTTCTGTTTATTTACATTACAAAAATTTTTACAGCATTTTGATTTAGTTTAAAAATGCCCCCTTGTGCAACATACCATTGATAAGAAGCTTGCCAGATTTCAGTTTCGCCTCCTCTAACGCTCTTCTCAAATCCGCCTGATTGATATTACTTCTTGATGGTTCTGGCTCGGGTTCCGGAATCACTACATTGTTCATTCCTAATCCTCCCAAACTAAAAAAATCGCGATCCATCTTTCTGTAATAATTGATTTTGTTAATTAATCGATAAAAAATATCAAATCACATCAAGATAAAAAGATGATATGTGGCAGAAGAAAATGCGCACTCATACACACACACCCAAGTATTATTAATATTATTCTAATATATTTGAACGCTTGACCGCGACGCGACACGCGCGCACAATAAACAAGCCTTCCCTCTTCTCTCATAGTAGTATTCTTTTTTCTCGTCTTGCGCCTTTCTTTGCTATTTTTTTTTGAATTTAAATTAGAAATCAAAAATAAAATTTGTTGAGATTTATTTCATTTATATTTCCAGATGTTTTATGCACAATTTGTGCTCTCGAAAAAGGGTCCGCTGGCCAAAATTTGGCTAGCAGCTCATTGGGAGAAAAAATTGTCAAAAGCTCAAATCTACGAAACTAATGTTGATGAAGCTGTTGATGAAATCATTCAACCAAAGGTGATTATTTTTCGATTTTTTTTACAGAGATGATAAATATCGATTGATTTTCAGTCAAAAATGGCTCTCCGAACAACTGGACATTTACTTTTGGGAATTGTCAGAATTTATTCGAAAAAAACCAAATATCTTCTTGCTGATTGCAATGAAGCGTTTCTTAAGATCAAATTAGCATTCAGACCTGGACAATTAGATGCGCCCAATGAGAAGATACCGTATCAAACTACATTTTCATCAATTCCAGATGTAAGTTTCACTATTTCTCTATTTTATAAAAAAATGTAGCCTCCAAGAACTCAATCAATAATTTTCTAGATGTTTGGCGACTTTGATGCCACTCTCCCAGAATTCAATGAAGCCGACTATTTGAATTGTCAAGTTAGCCAAAGTCGAGTTGATGATATCACATTGAAAGAGGATAATATTACTGAAGCAGCACACGAAAGATATAATCCTACCAGTTTTGATGTGAGTTTAGCGCGCGATTTTGTTTTGAATTTGGTGAATTTTTTTTCTAGGATGATGATTTTGGAGAAGCTGCGGCTGGTGTGAATTTCGATGAAGATTATGCGGATTTTTCGGGAGATGTCAGCTTTGGTTTCGAATTTGCTAGAGATCAATCGAGCGCTATTGATAGCTTGTTTGGGTGAGTTGAAATTTGAGAAAAACATTTGGAGTTGTGATAAATATTATCTTGAATCTGACTTGAAGAGTTCCATTAAAGGCAAAAAATCGATATTTGAAGGTCGATAAACTGATTAGAAAATCAATGATTTCTAGATCAAATTTCGTAATCACAAACAGAAAACTGAACTTGGTGAAAAATAAAAAAAAAAGGTCCCTCCCGATTTTCAGAAAAAAGGAACTAGACTGAAATTTTCTGATTTTTAAATAAAAAAAGGCTTCTACAAACAGAATGTTCTAATAGATTGCTGATTCGAATAAAAAAATCCTAAATCAAATAATGTTTTCCTAATTTTCACCAAGAAAAAAACCCCATTTCCACCTTCAGCCGTGAACGTGAGCCAACACCATGTCTCGACAATGCTCACGCTCCAGGAAACGCAATTTTTGGCGAAGAAGATTTTGGTGATAATGCTGATGCTATGGATGATGAAGATCAAGAATTGACTATGGATAATAATTCGGAAATTATGCCGATTTCTGATCATTTGGATGTTGATGATAATATGTCAGTCAAAAGCTTCAATACACATAGTAAGTTTTTTTTTGAGATTCAGAATCTAAGAGGTTTTTGTTTGTACACATTAGATTCAGGCTTCTACATTTGAAACTCTGTATATTCTGGAGCTTCTGTGAGAAATCAATACTTTTTCAACATTTTTAAGCTGAAAAAATCTTCAGGCATTTTTTTAACAATTAGTAAAAAAAATTTCGAAAATGAAGCTCAGGCTCCCAAAAAAATCTCCCTAATTTTTGAGTTTAAACCTTAATTAATATATTTTCAGCAACAAGCGAACATGAGAGTTATCAATTGGAACTAATGGAATCATATCTTGAAAGACAGGAAAGAAAAAAAGAGAAAGAGACGACTTTTGGTTGATGAGTTCAAAAATATTTCGGGAGAAGAGATGAAATCAAATATGGCTGAATATCGGTGAGTTTTTATATGATTTCCGGCTACAGTAATTTTCCAAGAAAAAATTTAATTTAAATTAATGAATTCCTAGAAAAGTACGATTGTAAATTAAAAAAAGATCAAAAATAGTGTTTTTTTCATTAATCCTATCTCGCTCGCTAAATGAAATAGCTAAAAGCTAATGCTGATTCCAAAAATAGATTCAAAATCTTCCCCACCTTCTTGATTGATTCCAGCAACGGATTTGGATTAGCCAAAATGTACGCAATGAAAAAATACTATGAGAAAGGTTTCTTCTAAATTTGCACAATTCTTATGATTTATATAGGAATTATTTTTAGACACGCCCACTTTATGTTGTTGTTTTTTCTTTTTATATTTTATGAACTTGTGATTATCCCACATGATTTTGAATATGTTTAGAACAACTTTTTGAAGATGATAATTTACTATACGACTTTGGTAATTAGGGGGGAAATTTGAGAGTTAATGGGTAATTTTTGGTTGGAGATAAGGAAAGTTCAAATACTACTATACGACTTTAATTAGATGGTACAGAATTTTTTCAAGAACATTTGAAGAACTTGGAAAAAATGTGAAGTAGAATTTACAAGCAAAAAACGATCGAAAAAACCTAAAGGGTTAATGTAGTTTTTTGAAAGTTAGGCTTTTATTGGACCTTTTTTTAAAAATGAATTTCATTCAGCTTTTTTAAACCAACTTGATTATTAGAATAACTAAACCCATTAAAAGTTAAGGTAATTCAAATTCAAATTTACCTAAAAAATATATTTTTTTTTAGTTCGAAAACAATTACAAATGTTAATAAATATTGGCTGAATTGCTCATATTAACATTTCAAAAAACAATAATTAGAACAATTTTCGCAAGAAGATCTTCAGGTTCATGATAACCAGTCAAAAGATCAATCTTAAGACTAATCTTCTTTTTTATTTTACAAAAGATAAGAATTCTGCAAAATCAGTAACAAAAAAAGATTTATGAACTAGAAAAGTTCTCCCTAACATCTATTAAAAAACAAAATCACAAGTATTGAGTATATAACATTTTTCAAATGAATGAAAAATCATCAAAAAATTATGCGTCACCGTTTTTTGATGGTTTACAATCGGTAACAATTTCTTATCAGTGCCGGAATAAAAACAACTCTTCTTCCGGAAAAAATCACTATTACAGTAATCGTTAGGTTTTTGATCTCTAGGGTTTTTCTTGCATACGAAAATGTAAATATCAATTAAGTAGAAACCAAATGAGATTGCTCGGCGGCGCCCTTAATTGGCACTTTTATGAAAATTACGGTAGTCAAATAGGTTTTTAGGGGGTTTTTAATTGACTGGTACGAAAAAATAATGTGATATTTGTGAACTAGGAATTGTACTAGTAATTTAGAGCCCAAAAAATTTTGAAATGAGATTGAAAAAGGGCCTAGAAAAAGGAGAAAATGAAAAATGAGGATTTTGAAATGTGAGATGAGATTAATAGAGAAATAATTAGGAAAATATTGGATGAAAGCACATGAATTATTCATGAATGTACATATTTTACAAATCTGATATTTTGACTTTTCTAGAAGGTTATGCTTTTGCACGTATTTGTGTTAGATGCTTTTAAGTAAATTAGATTTTCTTGATGGGAGAGTTTTGAAATTAAAAAATGAGAATGTGCTTGAAGTTGGACAGGGGTGAAGTCTAGATGTTTAGAAAGATCTGGATCCGATTTTCTTTTAGATAGATGAAGAAGGTTTATTGATTTTTAAACTTTTTTTTTACGTGAAAATTTTTTAAACCCAAAAAAAAAAGTTAATTCACAATTTATTTTTTTCATAATCTCGAATAATTCTTGCAAATTTTCTAAATCATAAAAATTCCATTAATAATTTTCATTGAAAGAAACATGAAATTCAGAAATTTGTTATTCCAAGAAAAACTTTTTTTGCGATTTCTGCTCATTGAAATCTTTATACGTGTGTATTCTCCGAATCTTTGAAAAATTAATTAGACATTTTTAATTAGTTCATAATTAATTATTTTGATGTTACAAATCTCGATTTATTTCTGCTCAATTTTCAAAACATTTCAGGGATATTTTGAAAGTTAGGGAAAGTCAAAGATTCGAATTTGATTAGGAAGCCAAAGATTAACCTAGATCTAGAGCTGAACTTTTGAAAAATTCAGGTCTAGAAAAAAAGTCTAACTTTTAAGTTTAAAAATTTCAGGAAAAAAAGCCAGAACACTTTTTTAAAACATTTTTTAATCCGAAACCTATTCACTCTTTGAATCTAAAATAATCTTTATGAAAATCCCAAACTCTAAAGTAAAACCCTAATTAATTTGGACAATTTTCAGCGACACATTGAACATTCTCGATTTATCTCCACCAACTCTCAAATTAATGAAGCTCAAACAAATCGGAACCGCTGAAAAACTATTTCATCTTCCTGGAAGCACTGGAATTTGCGCAAAACCACTTATTAGAGTGAGTTGATTTTTTTCCCCAAACTTTTTATTTTTAATTTAACTAATATGACATTTTTCAGCAATATCAACAACGTTTAACAGTGGTAAAGGATCTTGAGAAACGTGAAGAGCGTAATGAAAATATCAAAAATGTGTTGGGACTCGGCGAAATTGTTGAGGAGGAATTCAATTATCCAGAAATTAGTGCACAGGTGAGAAAATCCTTTTTTTTTTGAAAAAGATTTAAATTCAAAACCCACCACAATTAAAAAAGAAACATAGGAGTAATTAGAACATCTTAAGATTACAGGGTTAGAAGGGGCTATCAAATGAAGATAGTTTTTGGGTAGCATCATCATTATGTATGTGTTTTTTTCTCGTAAATCTTATCTTTTTTATTTGACTTGCTGGGGAGAAAGTTTGGATGATGCAAATTGGAAAAAAGAAGAAAAGTTGCAACTTCATATTTATTCTTGTTTCAAACCAAAGATTTTTTTTTCACGCAAATAGTATGAGTCATTTTTAGGGTTTTATAAGATAATTAATTAGGATGACTAATTGAGGGAGAAGCTTACAAACTTATACAATAAAAAAAACTTTTTTTTGACAAAAAATTATAAAGGTTTAGTGTTCTGAGTTCAGATCTGAGCAATAATTATTCACTGACTTCTGAATAAGTTCTGAATCAATTTATATATAATTCAAATCTGTAGATTATGTAAAATGGTTATCTGTTTCAGAATTTATCCCAGCTAGAAGTTTTGAAATTTTAAATCAATTTTGAAAGTCCAGAAAAAAATCTCAAAATTACAGTCTCCAAATGTTGTCCAAGTTTCACTGATTCCGAATTAGTTTTTAACCGTAACCAGAACTATCAGATTGTAAAAAAATATACTACAATTTGTTATTATTTTAATTTTCCTTTTAAATTTTATTTTATTTTTCAAAAAATAATATTTTTAAATCAACATAACATTTACTGATTGAAAAACAATAATTGTATCTTTCAAGGGAACTGTTTCAACTTTCACTCTATATTTCTTAATAAAATATATGTTTTCTAGTAGTTTTTGATCAGCTGTGCCATCAGATCAGCTCACAAAATCACGATTTTTTGAAAATTTCAAAATGTTGACACGTCATAACTCATGGTACAAGTTGAGTTCTGCAATTTTAGATAGCAAATTGTGATCAGCGGCGTCAGAAACTACTAGAAATCATATATTTAGTTGAAAATCTAGAATGAGAATCCAATATTTTTGAACATTTCTAGTCCCTCCTCATTATTTATTCATATTTCCATCCTTCATTATTTCCAACAATAATTATCTAACACCAACAATACAATATTACGCTATCGCTACCGGTGCTTTTATGTCGAGTTTTGAACTCGAGCCGATACACCAAGTTACGTAATCACCCCCTTCCCTTGTCAAAACAAAAGACCATTAGCAAGGTGTCACATTTATATGATGATCCCACCTGAATTCCCTCTCTCTTTTTTTGTTAGAGTTATGACACAGGCCAATTATGCATATAAATTGCGCAATTTTGCGTGGGTTTTTTCCCTCTCTCGCTGCTCGCCTCTGATTTATGCTTTTCTCGAATAACAATGAGACAAAAACCCATTTTTTATGATGATCATCGTCGTCGTATCTATAAATCAATGAATACAGATGTGAGAATATTCACACGCTTCTTATGGTGTTTCTGTTGTATCAATTCAATTGAACGATGTGTTGCTAAAATATGTTATGTTTTTATCAAAAAACATTTGTATTTGGGTACGGTAGAGGAGATGGAAAAGAAACTTTTGAAGTTTTGAACAATTTTTGACAACATCTGAGAATGACAATTTTCTAGATATCATTTCTTGAATCACCTTATCGAATTTCAGTTCAAAATGATTTTTGAAAACATCTTGAAATTACAATTTTCTAGAAATCATTTCCTGAATCACTTTATAAAATTTCAGTTCGAAACAATTTTTGACAACATCTGAGAATTAAAATTTTCTAGAAATCATTTCTTGAATCACCTTATCGAATTTCAGTTCAAAACAATTTTTGACAACATCCGAAAAATGAAATTTTCTTGAAATCATTTCTTGAATCACCAGATCAAATTTCAGTTCAAAACAATTCTTTACAACATCTGAAAATTACAATTTTCTTGAAATCTTTTTTTGAATCACCTTATCGAATTTCAGTTCAAACCAATTTTTGACAACATTTGACAATTAACATTTTCAGCTGAAAACGTAGATTTGCAGGTTAATAATTTTAATATTATAAAATCCGAATTTCAGTTTTTAAAACCACTGAAATTTTTTTTTAATTCTGAAATAAAGTAAAGGCACAAAATTACAGTTTCGAATTTCTGATCATTTTTTGGGAAAATTCCAGAACCTAATATTTTTGGCTTCAAAGCGCTTTAGGTCATTGAAAATTCAAAATTAATAATTTTCAACCACGGAATTTGGATCCTCAAAACATTTTTTGATAGTGAGAAACACAAATTTTCCACATCTAGAAGAAGAATATCATTTGAATTTTGGACTTCTGAAAATCTTAGTCCCCAGAATTTTCAAATAAATCTCTCCCCCCTACAGTAATCCACTTCCCCTTATTCTCCTAATCCGCAACACACATTTTTTTTGTTGCTAACAAGCGGTTTGTCAAAATACCATGTCATTACAATAACTTGACACCCTCTCATTGACCGTCTGTCATTTTTCTTACACCAACCGCCAGAAAATCAATTGGTGGGTCGGCACCCGTTTAAAGTGGGTGGCAAAACGATTATTAAACACTTAATTGTTTCGTCTTGTACACTAAATCAGTAAGTGGATTCTTGGGAGAAGTAGCGAGGAGGTGGTAACATATGGACAACATGGTCCTTGAACCCCCCCGTAAAGATGTGTGAAAGTATGTTCATATTCTTGAGAGAGAGAGATGGAAAATCCACTCAACTACCGTATACTTTTTCCATCCTCTCTCGGTCAGTAACGGCTGGCTGGTTATGGAAAAGACGGATTATCGAGTTTTTTTCTCTTCGCGATGACTGTATGTCAAGTGCACCTTTAATCGACTTTGCATACAGATTTTGAAATGAAATTTTATAAATAACATGAATAAATCTATATCCGCCTTGAGAGAGAGAGATACTGTAGAGAAAATGTGACGTTCTTTTTTTTTCAGGATCCCGCATTCGTTGATGATTTCGAAGAAGTTGGAGCTGTCGATTTTGAGAACTATGAAAATAATCATCAAGTTCAATTGCAAGATGAGACCGAATTGATGCCAGTTATGCAAGCAGCTATGGAATTGACTGATGATTCATTTTCACCAACTGATAAGAAGAAAAAACGAGAGGTAATCGATTTGAAACAAACCAGGCATTCGGCGAAAATTTTACGAATTTCCCGGTTTTCCGGATTTTCTGAATATAAAAATCCGGAAGATTTGCGATTTTTTTTGGAAAAAGTTGTCAGTTCCAAATATTTGGAGCTACAATTTCAGCTTTATGAAATACTCTAAATGTAAGAAACATAATTCTGATAGATCAAAATGACTACAAAAATGTAGAAAGTTTTGATCTACCATTTTGAATTTTTTTTTAGATTTCAAAACATTTTTTTTCCCGGAAACATTCCATGGTAGATCAAAATGTATGCTGTAAAATAGAAATCTTCATTTATATTCTTTGTGAAACAAAAAGATTACTGTAGTGTCTTTCTCAAAATTTTGATATAATTATTCAGAATCAGTTCTCAAACTTTTTCCCCCATCAAAATCCCCCAAATTTCACCGAATTTTTCGATTCTCAAATATTGTGACCTTGAAACTCTTGCGCAATTCTTTTCAAAAAAAAAGATTCCGAACACAAAAACCCGCGCGCCCTTTTCATACATTTCCCACAAAACAAAAACATCAAAGCCCCGTGTCTCCAATTAGTGGAAGATATCTTTCTTTTTTATTTTACAATTTCATTCAATATTTGTCAAACCCCCCCCCCCCCCAAATTTCCTAGAGGTAAAGGGTTGTTTCTCAAGATGAACACCCCAAGATACTGTAAACATTGCAGGTTCTTCTAATACACATATACATATAAATAATAATAATAATATAATATTTTTTTGTAATAACAATAGGTGTATGTCTCCATGAGAATGTTTCATTTCTTTTGTTCGTGCCGATGAGACATCTCGAGAAGAAGAAAAAAACTGATTATTGATTGATGAATTTTGTCTGAAAATAGAATATTTTGATTTAGAATCAAGAGAATCACAACCACCCAAATATATAAATCTAAAATAATTCCAGCGATTGATGGAAGAAGAGGAGCCAGCAGTTGATGGTGATGATGATAATCGTTGGTCAAAACGCACACAATCAGTGCTCAACTCAATTGTCAATAAAATCAATCATTCGGAAGAAGAAGAGGTAAGCAACATATGTATTTCCCCGAAACTTTTTTCTTCAAAAATTTTTTCCGTCTCCAACAAAAAAAATTTGTTATAAGTATGTCCATATGTGTGCGCGTGAAGTGGACGCAATTGCACTACTGACAAGGACATCCTAAACAACTAACTGACAAAAAATAATATTTTTGAAATTGTAATATTTTTTGAACCCCTCAAGCTCTCAAAATTTGACCAAAAAAAAGAAGAAGTTTTTGGATTCTGTGAATAGATTTTCACATGATTAAATATTTTATATATGGGCAGAAGACGAAGAAGTTGCATTTTTGATGCGGTTTTGACGAGAGTACTGTAGATTTGATGTGACTTTTCGAAGATTTTAGAGAACATTGGATAACCTACGAGTTTCAGAGAAAGTGGTCCTGGGTGGAAAGGAAAAATAATACTGTAACTTAGAATTTCTGTCAGCTAACTCTAGCTAGAATTTTTAAAATACGGCATTTCAAATATACTGTACTTTCAATATATGATAAACCTGTTCAGGTTACTGTAGACAATTTTTGCAATTCTCAATAGTTCCAGAATTTTGCTGGAGCGTAAAAATTCTATTAGAAAATGCTCTACAGTACCTTTGAAACGTCATTTCTTGAAAATACAAAAACTACAAGATTCCAAGTTTCAAATAAGGATCTAGTTTGAAATCAACAAGGCATCTGGGTACTGTATCTTCTTCTGAAAATGCCTCTTAATTTCTAATAGCTCCGGAAGTTTCTACAGTAGCTTTGTGGCTTAAATTCTGGAATTTTTGAAAACCATTAACACCTAAAATACCCCCACTATCCATAATTTCGCCTCTCAAAAAAAAGTGTATTTTAATTTATTCAACTTCCCTTTCTCATTCTTCTTAATTCTTTATTCCACCATGGTTTTTCTCTTCTTCTTCGGTTTTTTGTTGCCCATCCATCTCCACGACAACCCAATGTTGCATAATGATAAATTATGTGTTTTAAATCTTTCCCCGCGCTAAAACTACTTTGCGCAACTCGACAATATGTTATATGTTAAGTGTGAAGAAGTGCCATATGTTGATTTATTCAAAAAAAAATCATTTTAATGAGTTTTGTTAGTTTAATTGAAAGGCATGCTAATTGGGCACACAAAAGTTTGATTTTTCAAAACTTTTTTGATTAATGAGACACCTGCCAATTAGCGAGAACAAAAAAATTTGAATTCGAATTTCTAAAAAGCAATTTTTGTTGCAGATTTCTTTGGATGACTTGCTGACAAAAGGATCAACGCGCAAAACTGCGGCTCAGAAATTCTACACACTATTGGTGCTCAAAAAATGGCAAGCCATTGAATTGCAACAAGCTGAACCATACGAGGAGATTTTCATCTCAACTGGCCCCAATGTTGGACAAACCCTTGGACAGTAATAATAATAAAAATCTATATGTAATTTGCATTTTTAACCACCCCCTTCTTCTTCTTCCCATTTCAATCCCGTTCCCGCCCATTTTCGTCTTCGTCTTCGTTTCCTTCAACAAACATTTTGTTCCTACCACTTTCTCAGTTACGATTCATTTGCATACGTACATGTTTTCCCAATGTTACTGAATTTTTTTTGCCCCATTTCGGATTTTTCTTTAAATTATTTGGATCTCGAGTTGCTCATTCCAAAAATATTTTTTTTCTTAATTTACCCTTTAATTATTTTTTTATTAATTAATAATGACAAGTATATCTAGTCTCGTTGTCATTTTTTCCTAGATCTTTGCTCTCTGTAACATTATCGAAAATTTTCCTGTCTTATCAATATTTCGCAAAAAATAAATGTGTACATTGCATACTGTAGTGATAAGCCAATCATCTCACTCTCACTCTCTCACCGCGATGCCTACCGTAACCCGATCCGATATTTATTCTACGGTGTGAACAAATATGATCGGGGAAGGTGGAAGACGGGGGGCGCGCTCCGCTGCTATACATATGTTTATTTTGAACATACATATACACAATGTTTTTCTCGCCTATCTCGTCGAATACAAGAAAAAAACACAACAGTGGGTTGTTTTTCCGAATCCCGGTTTCTGTTTATTTACTGTTTTTGGCTGGTCGCCTTGCACCGGATACTGCACAAACACAGTAACTCTGATTTCTCGAGAGGGATATATTATTTTAGTTGACAACAAAATCTACAGTAATGGGTTTGCGTTTGAAAACAATAGAAAGGTGACACAACCTTTTTTTTTTCACTTTTTTTTGAAAATGAGAAAATGAACAACACATTCTCACATATTGATCGAAATGGGGATTTTTTTTAGGTGATTTGAGATGAGAAAATTTTATTGATCTGTAATGGTCAGCGCTGATTAGATGTTTTTAGAGGTCAAAAACTGAAAAATTTTACAATTTTCATACTTGGCGTACAATTTTGATTTTGGTAATCACGATCTTGGCCGAGGAGCTCTGAAATTCTGAATCCAACAAGCTTTTGAATTTGTCAGAAAATCGATAATATCGAATTCAAAAAACGTGAGACAGAAAAAAAGTAGGTCAAGTGACGTGGATTTGAAAACAGTATAAGTACTCATGTCGTCAGTTGCGATGCGTGTGAGCGAAGCGTTTTTAGAAATGAAAATTTGGAAAATCCAATGAAAAATATCGAGGTCAACACGCATCGCAGAACCGCATCGCAATTGACGACATGATCACCTACTTTTTTCTGTCTCACGTGTTTTGAAATCAATAATATCTTATTTTTTTGTCTATGCTGAAGTACAAAATCTAGAAATTCTCTTCTAATTCTCGGTGGAATCTTCAGATTTTGTTGAATTTGATAGTGAATCTAAAATTGAGTTTCTGTAAATTCAGAAAAAATGTTGAACTAGAGAATTTCATTTTGAAATAACTTTTTCTTCTCACATTCAGCGACACAAAATATTCAATATTCCCAGTAAGATTCAAAATCATGAAAAATTCTCAAGCTTCCCTACTCAACCCCACCTTCTTCTTCATCTTCATCGCAATAAATAAATCTCAACTAGCTCTCACTCAAAACAATAGACAAAATTTGTCCCCGGCTAATCCATGCTTGTTGACTTTTTGTCGGCCGATGGACCAGCACCTGCACAAAACAATAGGTTCCACAAAACTCGTGTTTTCCGGTTTTTTGAATTTTGGTTTGGTTTGGGGAAAAGTTGGATATATATACATATTTTTTCTAATAAGACTAATGAGAAAGCGCATTTTTAGAAAGCCTAGAAAGCAACAGCTAAAAAAAATAAAGAATGCTTGGCTAGGAGAAGAATAAGAATAAGAAGAATAAATGTATGTATGTGCCCGCGTACGCCCTTTTCAACATGAATACAAAAGGCTGAATAGGAGGAATAGAGCGGTGGATTGAAAAGAAACAATGCGCTGTAATGATTGGGGGCAGAAGACTCAAAAAGAAGAAGAAGGCGTTGAAGACACACATTCACATTCACATTCTTCTTCACATACACAACTACTGGCCCTTTTTTGCTATATTTTTCTCTAGTTTCAGATCTAAACATCTGAAAATCGAATATATTTCGAAATATGACAGGTTGGTTGTGCGGATTAAAATTTTTTCTTCAAGATTTTTTGTCATGAGATTTACTTGCGTCAGATTTAAACTTTCAATGATCAGAATGTGACTTTGAGTTTCGTAGGATTATTTTCAAAATATACAGTTCTGCAAAAAAGGTGTCTAGATCCTAGTCATTCTCTGAATAATTTGCCACGTCATCGTTTTTTTGCTCTCTGCTAACATTTTTTTTAGGTTTCTAGAACTTTTTAAAAATATTGATCAAAAATGTTTTTCACTTCATAATTTCTTCATAACATTTTTGTAACTTAAAAATATTCAAATATTTCCAACATGAGCAATCCCCCTTCAAAATTACTGTAATATGAGCAACTCTCCTAAATGTTCTGATGCTCAATATTTCCCTAACCATCAAATCTTTCTCCTTCATTTTCCCACATCCAAATAAAAAACCGGTTTTCTTGGTCCCGGACCTGTTTCCCTTCCTTTTCCTCCAATCACCCCCCCCCCCCCAAAAAAAAAGAAGAATCCACCACAGCCGCCCTAATTGCGTGAATCTCTGTTTTTCCTCCGGAAATGGTCAGTCTTTTGATCTAGACGCTGATTACGTGGTGTCCATAGAAAATATTGGAACACAGAGTAAAAAGTTGACCGCATTTGGAAGAAAAAAAAACAGTTAGGTTAGCAATTAAATATGGTGGTGGTTTTTAAAACAAATAAACGGGGGGGCATTCCGCAAAGGTTGAATAATTTCAAGGTTCGGGAAGCTTCCTCATCATCATCGTCTTCATGATGATCGTTTCGACCTTCATAGATCGTTTCATTCAATCGCTTTTTTTTCTCTATCTCGCGCGGGTGGTTCTCTCGATTATTGGAATGTACATATGACCACCCATGATTGTATGATTTAGAAATGAAAAAAAAAAACTTTTCCCTTTTGGCTCTTGGTCGGTCGCTTGTTGACGAATTTTCTCTATCTCTCTCTCTCTCTCTCTTCCTCTCTGAAAATGAAATGAAAAATGAAAATGGATACTGTAGCTCGAGCGCCTTTTCCCCTATTTGCTCTCCTCCTCTTTTTCTTCTTCTTCTTCTTCTTTTCCCATTTTCCAAAAATATATATTTTTGTGTGTGTGTGTGGTGTGCTCAAAACTTTTGGTTGTTGAAAATCCCTAGGTTCTCTCTCTAGAAAGGTAACCGGCCGCCGTCTCCTTTTCTTAATGAGTCAGAAACGCGAGACAATAGGTCCAAGGTTTTTTCGTCACACAAGAACAAGAAATTTGCATAGTATACATTTGATTTTTGTGATGTATTTTTTCTTTACCTGAAGATAAAACAAGATGAAATAAAAATAGGTAGGCTAGGAGATTAGCAAGGGATTAGATTATGTTGAAAAATATCCTAAACAAGACATCGTAATAATATTATTTTTCCTCTAATCATTCTCCATTGTGACTTACCTTATCTTTTTTATTTTTATTTTTATTATTTTTTATCGTTGATGATGATGATGATGATGATGGAAGAATAAGCATGGATTACGGTAGATTTATAGCTTTTTGTTTTTTCTTCCTTCCTAGACGCGTTTATTTATTTTAGGTGAATATTTTTTATGTTAATAGAAGAGAAGATCAAAAAAATTTTCAAGGGGAGTTCTGGTTGTTTGATTTCTTGGTTCTATTTCTAATTTTGATGAGTTCGAAAAAACGGGAAAAGTTCCGGGTTTCCCAATTGACTACGGTAACTTTTGAGCATTTTTTTGGGGAAAGATTAGGAAAGAGTTTTTTTATTCAATTATTTTCAGTTGAATTTTATTGAATAGATTTTCTGATTTGTACATAGTTTTCAAATTTTTTTCAAACAATTTCAATTCAGATAGAAATTTTGGATTCTCAGATTTTTCTCTATAAACTTATCTTAACTTTCAAGCCCAAAAAATATAAAAATTTTATAAATCTTCTAGAAAACTTGAAACTTGAAGTTTTCTTGAGTATTTATTAGAATGCCCCCCGCATCAAATAAAAATCACATTCTTCAAGAAATCAATAGCCTCCAAACCAGTATTTTTTGCATTTCACCCTCATTTTTATCATCATCATCATCATTTTCTTCCACTCAGTCTCAAATTTTCCTCATGCATATGAAAACTGTATATATATTTTTCTAGATGTATGTTCACCGAATTCAATAACGTGTGAAATTGATTGATCTTTCAAATCTCCTCAAAATCCTTACTATTTCTATTGTCCATACATACATAAAATGTACATGTTTTTTGCATCCTCTTCTCTCTTCTCTTCTTGATATTTCGCGACTCCGCCCACTTGCAACGCCGATTGGTCCAAGTTGCTGGTAATCGGACACGCCCCCCTTATTTTGTTCTTCCGAATGTCTGTGCATCTCTCTTGACGGCGCCCGCTCTCGTGTAGCATCTCAGCAGCAGCCTCTTTTTCGTGAGGCGAGCGCGCGCAATTCTTTTTCTTCAGTCAGTCAGTCAGTCACAAAAAAAATTCATTTTTTTCCCTTGCATTCTTTTGTATTCACAAAAATCATAATAATAATAATAATAATAACAATTGCAGTGTCCGGTCGACGTGTCATATTATTGTTTTTGTTGTTAAGAAAAAGAAGAAAAATCGATCGATTATTTTTCTCGCCAATCAACAATAATAATCAAAAATGATGATGATGGATCCTGATCTGAAGCATATGCAAGATTATCAATGGTGTGTGGCGGCGAATTTTCATCTTCCGCCAACTTCAAGCTCACATATTCCACAACAAAGTCTACCCGATGATATTTCAAACGGCCCAGATAGTCCGGATTCGACTGGAAAAGATGGCAAGAAAAATGATGACAGGTAAGAGGATTCTGAAACTTTTTTGAAATTTTTGTGATGAGTTGATTTCTAGAATCCATAAAACCTGTTTCTTTCAGAGTCAAACGTCCGATGAACGCATTCATGGTTTGGAGTCGTGGACAACGCAGAAAAATGGCACAGGTTAGTTTTCAAAAAATCTTACAAAATATTCCGAATCAAATCAAATTTCCAGGAAAATCCAAAAATGCACAATTCGGAAATCAGTAAAAGGTTGGGCACGGAATGGAAGTGTCTTAATGAGCAAGATAAGCGACCATTTATTGATGAGGCTAAACGTCTTCGCGCCATTCACATGAAGGTAAGTTCTAACTTATTTGGGGGCGACTCTAAAGATAATTGTGTTTTAGGAGCACCCAGATTACAAATACCGGCCACGCCGGAAGACCAAATCGATCAATAAGAAAAATGGAGCAGCTATGCCGTTTGGAGCAATTGACACTTTAAAACCACAGGTGAGTATAATCTGAAAATATATATGGAAATTTATTAAAGAAATCCTAAAAATCAGATTTTCCAGTACCCTGCGATTCCGACGAATTGGAATACGACGACGTATTTCGACGCCGCCGCCAATTACAATTTTTATGGAAGAAATTACGAAATGATGAATCAGATGGGTTACCTAAATGGCGCCACTGCACCATTGGCCACTGACAACGCCTCACCATCACAATATCAACAAAGTCCCCTAGGCACCAGCTACACCACCGCCAGCTATCTGACACCAAAATCCGAATCATCGCCGGTTGGAAGTGATTCAACATCGGCAGCCGCCATTGATCCAGCCGCACAATTTCGACAATTTTACGATCCCTCTAAAGATCAAATGACCTCTATGTATCCATATAACCTGGATTTGGGTCTTGCTCAAAGTTTGCCAGCCGCGCTTTCCCAATCTCATGTCACCTCGTGAACCATTTACATTAATTTTACTTTACGTTATTCTTTCTCCAAGAACATTTTATTCAAAATAGTTTTTTTTGTGAATTTTCTTCTCTATCAATCTGAAAACGGTTGCTCCAATATTTTTAATTTCCAATGTTTTTTGTCTGAGGTTTTGTATTTTTTCTTGACTCGCACTGGTGTCAATTTAGACAAAAGAAATCATTTTTAGTTTTTTTTTATGTTTCGTTTCTCCTCAAAACCTCTTCCCCAATCATCCATCCCAAATCCATTTTTTTTTCAAAATAGTGTGTTGCACATGATATGTTTTGTCTTTTAATTTATATATGACATATAAATATTGTAAAAGAGATTTTGCTGTGGAAAAAATGACTTTGAACAAGAACAAACATGTAACTCACGACGTCAAACAAAACATACTGTATTTATGTGTAAAGTCCGAAAGTTTTTCTAGTAGATCAAATTTCGAATCGAGCGCGCGCGGAAGTGTTACGTATGCGCATCAAGTACTCTTCTTCTTCTTCTTTAAAACATTATTGACCAAAGCCAAGGGAAAAATATTAATTTTGAAAATTTTTCAACATCATCATCATCATTATTATTTTTATTATTGTTATTATGCGCCGGCCAATTTTGAGGCCAAGCTCAGCAGGGGGCATCTAAATAACTCGGCGAGTTCTATATCCCCCCCCCCTTCTTCCAAATTCCTATCGTATACCTGTGTGAGCCGGGCAATTTGCTCGGCGAGCAAGCAAGTGAGTGATCAAGAGTGACTGGCTCAAACACACATGACTGAAGCTTCTTCCTACCGTAATCTTTTTCGGATGGGGAGAAGCGGCGGCGAAAAAATGGATGTAGGAGAGCGTGGAGATTTAGAGAAAATACTTTTTTTTTGTTTTTTGCTATGCATACACGTTGTCTAGGAACTTGGTTGAATGAATATATAAGATAAACGGGAGAGGAAGTTTTTTGGAAAAATTTTTTTTTTGGGGAAGGGGGAGGCTGGAAAAATTCAGAATTCTGTTTTTAGAATTTTTTTATTTGACATTATTGATATTTTTTTTACTTTTCTTTTTTTTGGAGAAACTTTAAGCTGTGATTTATAGAATTTTGTGAGCCTTGACATTAGTGATTCCAGAATCTGTTTTTTTCAGAATCTGTTCTCAATCTCATCAATTCGTGCTCACTGTTATTGTACATGGGTGGTGTTATTTACAGTGTGTATCTATCGCGCGCTGGTCCTTTTTTCGGGGCCCCGCGCGAATGTATCACATACACAACACCGATCGTGTAAGCAAACAATCTTGAGCCAGCCCCCTTCTTCACAGTTCCTCTTTGTTCTTACTTATATTTATATATATATATGTATATAAATATGTATATATACATTATACAAATAAATATAAATGAATAAATCTGCACCTGAAGTGAGTGAGGTGCAAAAAAATAACTTTGGATTACCAGGTGTAAACACATAGATATAGTAGAAAAAGAAGAAGACCTCCTCTATGATTAATTAAATATTCTAGTATTTTTGAAGACAAAAAAAATATTGGGTGGGATGGTGGCGATTTTTAGTCAGAAAAATAGTTGGGGAAAAGAAAATCAGAAGGTTGTTTTTTTGTTTTGGAAAAGAGAAGTAAATTTTCAACTTGATTTAGGAATTTTGGGGAACTGGTGTTTCAAAATCTAGGAATTTGCACATATCTTGGGCAGAAGATTTTCCGGATTTTCAGAGAACATGGAAGCTCACAAAAAATTATTTTTCAGACTCTTCCTAATTTTTGTAATTTCTATTTGATCTAAAAATTTCAAGGATGCCAATTTTCCACATTTTCCGGATTTTTCACAGAAAATTCCATTCTGGAAAGTAATTTTTAAAAGTAATATCTTCACGATCGCTCAATTTTTGAATAATTTTCTCAAAAATTTTGATTTTTGAAACTGAAAACATCTCAGAGCAAATTCCACCAATCAGTGCTGAAATTTCCAATTTGAAGACTTCAAAAAATTTTCCGGCTTTCCCTTTTCAAACCCAAAATCTGATCATCGTAACTCTTCCCAACGTGTGATTCTGGTCCACCAATTTAGACCAGCCAGCCGGAAATATATTTCACACACAATTGACACCTTGTTACACTAATCTTGTGCTCAAACAAACAAAGAACCCCGTTGTTTGTGTGCTTAAAATTAATAACCACCAACAACCACAAATCCGTTTCCAAATAATTTGACACCTTGGCGTGTAGGAGTAGGTACAGTAATCGTCTTGGCGGGCCGGGCGTACAAAACTGCGGGGTTCCGTGAACATTTTTTCTCCACCTTCCTATTAATTATCTCTATTGTCTTTTGTCTCTCCCAGGTAAGCAGGCGGACATCGGACCACCCAAATTATTTGCCCCTTATTATTAGGGTACTAATTATTGCAAGGGGTAAAAAAAGAGGAGAGAAAGAGTTCAGTTCAACAGGTTACGAGCTCGTTTAATCCTTTTTCTACACGCTTGATTGATTTGACAGGATCCTCTTTTTTTTTTTTGAAAATATAATTTTTTGAGTGTGTATGCTTTTCGAAATTTTGTTACGGCCTCATTCTTTTGTGAAAGGATTACGGTAGAGGAGCGAGAAGGAAAAAACAAGAGGAATTGGATTTTGCGCATTGACTGCTCGCCGAGAAAAAAGATTAGCCAAGATGCAAAAATCACGGGGCAGAATTTGATTTTGGGTTATATGTTTTGGTTGAGGAAAAAAGGATGGGGGTTGAAAGGGTACTGTATTGTCTGAAAATGTTTTGGTAGAGATTTTTGAAGAATGGCAAAAAATTGAAAATTTGAAATTTGGGAAAAACTTTGTTGATTGTTCTTTGTATAAATATTTTAAATTCGGAATTTTTTTGAGCTCACAATTTTTACTCACAGGATTCTAGACACAGAGAGGATATTTTTAACAAGGAACTGTTTTATATGTACAGTATTCCAAAATACATAAATTATTCATGATAATTTGAAACGGAAGAATGAATCAGAATATGTTTCATATTTTTTTAATCACCATCGATCAATACATACAGTAGTCTCTTATCAATCATTTGACCACCAAAAAAAAATTTGAATACAAAAAAATTTTTTTTGGGGAAACTCTCGCCCCATACTTTTTTCTTATTCTTTTGTAATAAGAATGCAATTATATCAGTTAGTCATACCTGTATACATTTATATTTATATAAATATAAATATTATTTTTTTGTATGTGTGTTGTCGTTGTTCTTATATATTTTCTTTCAAAAAGAGAGAGGGACCCGAAGAACAAGTTCTTTATGAATAATTTAGAGTTCAGCATATTCATTTTTAATCATAATTATTTGCCATGTATGTATGTTATTCTAACTAATTATAGAGCTTGGGTTGAAGCAAAGCTAAAACTAGTAAGGGCAGCTGGGTTCCTAAAATTATTATTATTATTAATATTACTCGTCTCTATGTTTTTCCTCATCTTTTTTTTCTCTCCCAGTGATTATGGAGCTGTGACGAGAAGCAGAATATTTCATAAATATAATATATATATATTTATATTTAGTGACAGATGAGAAATGCCGCGCATAAGATGGGATGTGTAATCCGTTTTCAAGGGGCTTTTACCGCAGTGTGTGTTATTCTTTGTCTGGCTCAGCGGATTTAGCGCGCGCTTACAAGAGTAAATTAGAGGTTGTAAACTGTGACCACTCCAAACGATGTATGTAATGAACTGGAGATTAGCAGATTTATGAGCGAATGGATGAATGGAAGATGGGTGCATGGAATAAATAAAGGGAGATGAAGAAAATTTGGAAAAAAAAAACATGAAAGAGATTTTGAACTTACAAAAATTGAAATTTGAAACTTTTCTGAAAAAAATACTTTTGAAAAATAATGGATTTGAGAACAGCTTGATGAAAATTATCCATTTCAATACTTTGATTTTGAATTTTAAGGTTCTGGAAATTTAGTCTTAAACTAGTAATTCTAGAAATGCAAAATTGATTTTTCGCCATCAAGAAATTTGAAATAAAAATTGCCAGGAATTTTTCAGACTTTCTCAATTGGCGCAAAACTTTTGAAAAAAATGAGGATTTCAAAAAGCTATTCTGAAAAAAAAACTATTTTTTCTTGCCGGAAAAATAAAATTTATAAATTCCTTCAGATTAAAAAATGATCCAAAAATGTCGAACATCAAAACCTGAAATTCGAAATGTATGATTTTGTTCCTGGATTACTGTAATCTAAATTCAAAAACGTTTATCTAACTTTTTCACAAAAAAACTCCTCTCAACAAATTTATTTCTATTTCCCATATCTCCTTCAATATTAATTTGTTAGATCCAGAAAAAAATATCAATATTCAAAAATGAACCTTTCTAATCCAGTACCCAATCGATTCATAAGTGTTCTCAAGTATCCCACTTGAACGGTACATTTCCATATCCCCCTTCCTTTTTCCTCGAGAAAATCCGGGTCCAAGGTGGTGGTTCTCCGGATGTTGACAGGTGTTGAAATTTGAAACTACAAATAATTCGAAAATCAAACTAATTCGAAACATATTTCTATTTCTATTCAAATTCCAATTGAAAAGGTGTTATTCAATTCATTCAAAAAATTTCAATGAATATCGACTAATTATAAAGTGTATATAATATGTCGGTAAGATCATAAAGAATACTGACTAATGAGCCTATTCTTCCCGAGTCTCTCTATATATTTCTTTTTTTTTTTCTCTCGTCAACTAATTGGTACAGCAAAAAATAAATCATGAAAAGAAGGGAACTTTTTTGAACAAGATGGAATATTTATTGGTTTTTTTAATTGCCAGTGCACAACATTCACGCAACAACCGTAACTTTATGCTAAATTTGTTTGGTTGCGTAAGAGGTGGTTTAAGAAATGATGCAAAACATGATTAGAATAATGAGCGAGGTGTGAATTTGATGAATGGGAGAAGGATGTAACAGATGGGAGCTGAAGTTTTATGGGAAGGGTGCGGTGGGACTACTTCATATATAAAATTGGGAAATACATTTTTTTTTCAAAAAAAAACTCTGGTCACAGTGAACAAAATTTTTCAAAAAACAAAAATAATATGACTTTGCCACGTCATAAGTCGTCTCAGATACGTCTAAATTGAAAAACGAGGCATTCCACGATGATCAGCAGGTCGAAATTAGTCAGAAACAAAATTTGAAAAAAAAAATAAAAATATTTTTTTCCCCACCGGGGTTCGAACTCGTTCAATTTCAACATCCTCCGGGAGACTCTCTAAACAGATGCTCTACCGCCTGCGCCATCCAAGGCGGTGAGGAAGCATGAGTGAATGACTAATAAATGTTTCATGTTTTTTGAGAGGAGCATCGCATTTGGTTTCACATTTTGACTGGATGTCTATTTTTGAAATGGAATATATCAATTCCGATAGATTTTGACACGCTGAACACGATTTTGTGGTCAGATTTTGTCCGAATTGCAGGATTAAAAAGTTATTATGATTTTTATCAAAGAAAAAGACTATAAAAGTTCTGTGTTGAAAGAAAATTAGAGGTTTGAAACCTTCGGAAAAAATACATATTGGAAATATTTAAAAATGATTTCCTTGGTTAAAATTGATCTCTAAATCCAGTCGAGTCTGTTTTTTGTTATGTATATGCGTATAATAAACAAACAAAATAATTCAGGGGAAAAATCAGCTGTTAATGTTATTTCCAGGTTGAAAAATTCCGTGATTCATATTATACCAAAAAAACAATGTCAACTGCTTGCTCACTTCCTCCTTGGTATTATAAATATATTCTAGAAGTTATCGAATGTCTATCAATTCCATTGAACTGTTTAGTTTCGTATTTTATTTGGAATGATACAAATACAAAACTTACTTATAAATTGTGTGTTAGTTTTATGCAGGTAACATTTAAAAAAATTCAATTTTTGGCCAGAACTTTGATTTTTTTCTCCAGTTCATCTCATTTGTTGTTGAAACCGATATGTCTGTTTTCACATGGCCTTGGTATACTTTTCCTCTTCTTGGTGGATACAGTCAATCATCATTTTCAAAATATTTCAATATTTCAACTCATGCTTTAATATTATTCTATGGGTTTTTCATAACTTGCGAAATTCCCGCGTGTTTACAAAGTTTCTATTATCGATATGAGGAAACACGCAATCTTCAAAGCAAAAAAGGATTTGCAAAAATAAGTCTATTACTTCTAAGTATCACATATTTATATCCATTTGCAATGACTTATTTTATACACGATATGTCAACACCATTCCACATAAAATATCGAATTATGAAAGAGGTTTGATGAATCAAAAAGTTTTGTAAGAGATCTCTCGATTTCAGAAGTTTCCCGAATGTATGGAATTGTTTCTCGATGCATCTTTTGAATTTTATGACACTTCAACACCAGAGTGTATGCATCTTACAGTTTATTTCTGTTCAATTATGATCATCACTTTTTTGTGAGTAGATTTTAAGAGAAGCTTTAAAAAATCTTGAATATTTTCAGCAATGCGCTTTATTTGGCATATGCAACTTTCTCAATTCTAAACAATTTACGTGGATTAATGTCCCGCCAGACTTATAGAGTTCACTTGAACGCATCAATCAATCTATTCACATTAACCCTTTGCCCTTTTGTATTGATTGTTTTTCCCCTTGTATTTTGTATGTTTATTATTATTTTTGATGCTGTGGAATTACAGAGTAAGTTTAGTTTTTCAAATGCTCACTGATGTGTTTTTCTAGAGTACGGCAATCTGTCGATGATTGGAATTGCTGCACATTCATCGGTTTTTTCTTTTGTGATTCTAGTAACAAAATCAAAATATCGAAAAGTTATGCAATCTTGGCTGCCTAATTTCAAACAACCGATTGAGAAAGTTTTTGTTCGAACAACTGATAACACACCTTCGGCACTGGTATTTTGATTTTCATAAGTACAATTTTCTCGAAATTTTTTTACTGTATCAGTAAAACTAATAGAACTTTTTATTCAATATTTTTTCAAACAAAAATTTTTTTTTGTAATTGTCCAACCACAGAAAAATCAAAAATATATCTGTAAGATCTCAATTTTTCAGGCTCTACAAATATCAGGTTGAGAATTCTACCGAGAATCTCTGAATGTCTGAAAATTGTGCAAATCAACAACTTATTTTTTCAAATTTTTTATTAACAAATTTTCACAAGTCTCTCATTTTAATTCCACAAAAGACCTTCAAAAATCTCTGGTGGTGGAGCTTCTTGTCGATTGATCAAAATCATTGTTGAGTGGAATAAACTGGAAATATCAACGCGGATAATGTCAATTTTCGCTTCAAAATCTTCTTTGGTTTGAATCGAGCTAAGAACTGTTTCGTAATTAACAATTAGATCAGCATAACATTTGTAGAAATATTGCGGATAGTTTCGTTGGACAATCGGTGATTGACTGTAGATTATTTCGATGTTTCGGAGAAGTTCAGTTTTGTATGCCTGTAAAATGATTTTTATTCTATTTTTAGAACCGCCTGAAATTTTTTGAAAAAAAATTTATAAGAGTTTTTGATTTATCGAATAAATTTTCTAAAATATTAAAACTATTGAAATTTTCTAAACAGTCATGAAAAATTATTAGAAATATTTTCGCGTTTGTGGCTTCACATAAAAATTATTTTGAGATGACGAATATGATTTTCATTTTTCGTTTTCATAGAAAAACATACCGAAAAAAACCCATGTCTAAATCTTAATTCCACTCCAGAATCTTCCTCAAAACACTCACCTCTTCATGAACACTCAAAGGAGTCCCATCAACTTCAATCGGGACCACCTCGTCCATCGATGTCTACAAGATTTTCGAAACAAAAATGAGAACAGATGAAAAATAACAAAATTTTTATGAAAAGTATATAGAAAATGGCACCTGCCCTTAAAATCATCTGCATTAACATCATCAAAAACATTGGACCACCCATATTGGAAGAGGTCAAATGAAATGAATTGTGGGGAATCTAAATATTCCATAGAATGTTAAAATAGTTATAGACCAAGCGATTTCCTCCACATTTTCCATATTGTTAACTGTCACAGTGTAAATATGGTTTTCTAAAAGGAGAAAAAAATAATCAATATTCTATAAGCAATGTATGTACAAACCTTGCTCCCCATTTTGCTCCAAATCTTCTCCATCATATCTTCCGAAAAACAAGGTCTCATGAGTGACAAAACCAATTCGATCGTCGGGCATTCTGGAAAAATAAAGTGAAAAAACTGTTTCTTTGAATTTGTGTAACAATTTTCCTGTTATTGATATTGATACACATAAATATTGTTTTTTTTCCGAAAAATTTATTGATTCATTATTCTTGACTTCATAAATATTAGAGAAATCCGGAATTTTTTTATCAAATTTTTTGAGTTGAAACTTGAAACTTAAAAGTTAAGTTTCAACTTGTCTTTATTCACCTGCACAAAATCAATAAGAGCACAAATTTAAAATTCAAGTTATATTAGTTTTCAGTGAACAAAAAATGAAGAAAAAATTATATTAAAAATTTTTCTTTGAAAATTGATTCCAAGCAACCGAAAAGAAATTTTATCAACTGAAATTTTTCAATTTAATATGGATCTTTAAGGGAGTTCCCTAACATAAGCCTAATGTAAGCTAAAAAATGGTTGAAAACTTTTGAAAACTACCTTTCTGGTTAGTCCGAAACTTAGACTTAGGCTTCGTAAAATTCCAAGAAAGAAATCCTTTATTTCCAGAAACAAATTCCAAAATATTGTATATTTTTAAAGTAATTGAGGTTTTCCATCGTCCAAACTTCGATGTTGTTTACTAACATAAATATCAAAAAAAATATGAGATAAATTCGTTCCTCTGATAGGCAAAACCATCCATATTAATGATGCGTTTTTGTCTTTGCTCTTTTTTTTGGAAACTCAATTGTTTCTAAAAAAAATTGCAACACGAAGCAAAAAATTTCCTAGATTAAACTATATAAGCTAAAATCATTCTCTGATAAGCATACAAAAAAAATGAAGCTGGTCTTTGCATTTGCTCTTCTTTTCTTCATAAACTTCGCTGTTTCCCAAGGATGTTCTGATGGACAATTCGCTTATTATTCATCATGTCTTCAATTTATGCGAACACCTTTAGATTTTCATACAGCAAATTCAGTTTGTAGCGGATTTAATGGACATCTAGTTTCAATTCATAATGCAATTGATAATCGAAACGTGGCAAGTCAGGCAAAACACTATGTTGATGGACCATTTTGGGTTGGCGCTAGATCAATTGCAGCAGATGTTAATAATCTAGCAAATTGGTATTGGACCGATGGAACTAAATTTAATTATCAGAATTATCAAGCTGGCCAACCAGTCTCCCAAGGATCAACATCTTGTATGGAGGTTCTATCAGCCACTGCAAAATGGTTTACTGCAAATTGTACTGCCACTCTTTTGCCATATTTTTGTGAATTCCCTGCACCAATTGAACCAACTTGTTCAACACCAATTTGTGCGAGTCATTGCCCATCAGGTTATACTTGGTTTTCAGAAACTGACTATTGCTATAAGGTTGGTATTACACAATTAAAAAAAAATTAAATAATACTCATGTCAGAACTATGTTCAATCAACAACTTTCGATGTTGCTCGCAAAACTTGTATAGCTGATGGAGGTGAACTTGCATCAATTCACTCACAAGCTGAAAATGATTTCTTAGTCGGTAAGTTTTTTTTCCAAGCTTATATATCGTGTTGATAATATCAGTGATAATTTTTCAGAATTCACAAAATCTGGAATCACTAACACAACTAGTAACGGGTGGAATGAACAAGTTTATATTGGATATATTTATCAAAATCAAAAATGGCAGTGGACAGATGGAACTTCATCAAATTTTGTGAATTGGGCAGTTGGTGAACCAAATAAAATGGACTTTGAATGGTGGACTACTGTGAGTTTATTAAAATAGATTTTTTAAGATTATTTGATTTTCAGTTGGTTGCTGATTATCAATTGGTTTTGGAAACATACGAAAACAAATGGAATAATGTTGGAAATATCACTGAGAGAGCTTTTGTTTGTAAACATGCTGTTCTTCATTAATTATTTGTTAAAAAATTTCAATTTCAATATTCATTATATAAATATCTACCTCGAAATAAATCCTTCTTTTTTTTTCAAAATAAAATTGTTCTTCAAAAAAGAAAAAAGGCCAAACCGATGTTTTGAAATTTGATCTATTCCGGACTGTGAAGGTTTCCTATAGAAAAATTACCAATAAATGATGTTAAGCCAAAGTTACTTGAACAATTTTAAATTAATTTACAGGGTAAGAAAATATGGTTGAAGTCTGTTGCATTTTTTTATATCCTCTGCAAAACAAAGAGACATATTTCGGAATCTTGCGCTTATTGTTAATTCCTGAAGGGTGTTTCCAATTATTCAGATAACGTTTATTTCAATCAACAATTATTCCAAAAAAATGGAAGCAAAGACCAGCTACCATATTCGATATGCTTATCAGTGGAACGAGATTAATTTATGTTCTTCCTTTAATACCGTCTCATGCAACATCAAATTGTTTGCACAATATTCCAAGGAACACAAATTCAATTCGTTCCACTGATAAGAATAGAACACTTGGAAGCTGGTTTTTGATTTTTTTGCTGGTAAACTCGAGTGTATCTTTTGGAAAAAAATAATATGTGATAAAAATTCCTTCCTGAATCATATGAAACAGAAGAATTGTATAATCGAAAAATCTATATAAAAGGAACGCCTAGCTTAGATAATCATATCACAAAAAATGAATTTTGTTTTCGCCTTCTCTCTTATCTTCTTGGTGAACTCGATTGTTTCCCAACAATGTTCAACTGCACAAATTGCCTACTATTCATCGTGTCTTCAATTTATCAAAACACCTTTGGATTTCAATACAGCCAATTCAATTTGTAGCGGTTTTTCTGGAAGTCTTGTTTCAATTCATAATCCACTTGATAATCAAAACGTGGTTCGTCACGCACTTCAATATACCAATGGACCATTTTGGGTTGGAGCTAAATCAGTAGGACCAAATGTTGTTAATCCATCAAATTGGTATTGGAGTGATGGATCTGATTTCAATTATCAAAATTATCAAGCTAGTCAACCAGTGTCTCAAGGATCAACATCTTGTATTCAAGTATTATCATCAACTTCAAGATGGTTCACTGCAAATTGTACTGCTTCACTTTTGCCATTTGTTTGTCAAATTCCTGCCCAAATTGCGCCGACAACAATTCCAGCACCAACTTGCCCAACAGTAACTTGTCCAGCACAAACGTGTCCGACACAAACTTGTCCAACAAAAGTTTGCCCAACACCAACCTGTCCAACAGTCACTTGTCCAGCATCAACTTGTCCAACTCCAACTGCTGCTAGTAGCTGTCCATCAGGTTATACTTGGTTTGAATATACCGATTTTTGTTACAAGGTTGGTTTGAACAAATTTGAAACATCGGAGAAAAAATAATATTTAGAATTATGTTCAAACAACAACTTTCGATGTTGCTCGCAACACTTGTATAGCTGATGGAGGGGAACTTGCCTCAATTCATTCTCAAGCTGAAAATGATTTCTTAGTCGGTAAGGTTTTTTATCAAAGATGTTTGATTCCACAAATAATTTTTCAGATTTCACAAAATCTGGAATTGCTAACACAACCAGTAATGGTTGGAATGAACAAGTTTGGATCGGATATATTTATAAAAATCAAACCTGGCAATGGACAGATGGAACAATATCAACATTTGTGAATTGGGCAGTTGGTGAACCAAATAAAATGAACGTCGAATTTTGGACTTCTGTGAGTTTCATGATTTTTTAAATGGATGAAAAATTGTTTCATTTTCAGTTGATTTCTGATTCTCAATTGGTTTTGGATTCATACAAAGACAAATGGAATAATGTTGGAAATATCACTGAACGAGCTTTTGTTTGCAAACACGCTGTTCTTCATTGATTATTTGTAAGCCATTGTAAATCAATTTAGATAATTGCTTTTATTTTTCAAAAAAAAAATATGTAGATAACTTGAAATAAATCATTCATCGCAAAATTAACTTTTTGTGTCAATATAATTTGATTGTTGATCAGTTTTTCGCGAGATGAGTTTGTATCTCCGATTATTCGATTTTTATACCAAAGCACTATTTATCAACACTATTCGGAGCATTTTAGATGGAGAGAAAAACAGACGCGCGAGATGTTGGATCAAAAGAATTTTATAGAGTATTTTATGATTGTTTTAAAAAAACAAAACGATTGTTGTTAGAAATTTAATGAATTTTGAAAACAATTTTTAAATTTCAAAAAAAAATACGTGAAATAGTTTTCTTTCTACAAAATGAAGATAAAACGTAGGACTATTGGACTACCCTGAATTTTTAGTATCATTTTTTTTTGAAATCAGCATAATTATTTAAGTTGATGATGAGATTTAAAATTCTGAAAACTCCTAAAATTTGAAAAAAAAACAATCAGAAATTACAAAATTATTATCTTCATTCTCAGTTCTCGTAGACTTTGTTGTATTTCCAATTCTATCGATACGGTTTATCCCAAGCATTGTGTTTACCAAAAAAATAAGCAAAAACCAGCTACCATATTCAATATGCTTATCAGTGGAATGAGATTAATTTATGTTCCTCCTTTAATACTGTCTTATTATGAAACATCAAATTGTTTACACAATATTCCAAGGAACACAAGTTAAATTCGTTCCACTGATAAGAATAGAACATTTCGATGTTGCTCTTTGCATGCTTTTTTGTTTCTAAACTCGAGTGTATCTTTTGGAAAAATGATATGCGATAAGGATTCCTTCCTGAATCATATGAAACAGAAGAATTGTATAATCGAAAAAAAACTATATAAATGGAACGCCTAGTTCAGATAAACATATTATAAAAAATGAAGTTTGTTTTCGCCTTCTCTCTTATCTTCTTGGTGAACTCGATTGTTGCCCAGCAATGTTCCACCGGACAAGTTGCCTACTATTCATCGTGTCTTCAATTTATCAAAACACCTTTGGATTTCAATACAGCCAATTCAATTTGTAGCGGTTTTTCTGGAAGTCTTGTTTCAATTCATAATCCACTTGATAATCAAAACGTGGTTCGTCATGCAAATCAATATACCAATGGACCATTTTGGGTTGGAGCTAAATCAGTAGGACCAAATGTTGTTAATCCATCAAATTGGTATTGGAATGATGGATCTGATTTCAATTATCAAAATTATCAAGCTAGTCAACCAGTGTCTCAAGGATCAACATCTTGTATTCAAGTATTATCATCAACTTCAAGATGGTTCACTGCAAATTGTACTGCTTCACTTTTGCCATTTGTTTGTCAAATTCCTGCCCAAATTGCGCCGACAACAATTCCAGCACCAACTTGTCCAACAGTAACTTGTCCAGCACAAACGTGTCCGACACAAACTTGTCCAACAAAAGTTTGCCCAACGCCAACCTGTCCAACAGTCACTTGTCCAGCATCAACTTGTCCAACTCCAACTGTTGCTAGTAGCTGCCCATCAGGTTATACTTGGTTTGAATATACCGATTTTTGTTACAAGGTTAGTCTGAATAAATTCAAAACATCGGAGAAAAAATAATATTCAGAATTATGTTCAAACAACAACTTTTGATGTTGCTCGCAACACTTGTATAGCTGATGGAGGTGAACTTGCCTCAATTCACTCACAAGCTGAAAATGATTTCTTAGTCGGTGAGGTTTTCATCAAACATGGCAATATCAGTAATAAATTTTCAGATTTCACAAAATCTGGAATTGCTAACACAACAAGTGATGGTTGGAATGAACAAGTTTGGATCGGATATATTTACAAAAATCAAACCTGGCAATGGACAGATGGAACTATATCAACATTTGTGAATTGGGCCGTTGGTGAGCCAAATTATATGGATGTCGAATTTTGGACTTCTGTGAGTTTAATGATTTTTTAAATTAATTAAAATTGTTGATTTTCAGTTGATTTCTGATTCTCAATTGGTTTTGGATTCATACAAAGACAAATGGAATAATGTGAAAAATATCACTGAAAGAGCTTTTGTTTGCAAACATGCGGTTCTTCATTAATTAGATTAGTCATACCCTCATTCAAAATCTATGTAGAAAAATCTAACTTGCCACCAATTAGCATATCTTCAAATACACCATTCATGTACATTTTTTCATACACAGCTGGAATATGAGCTCTCACCATTTTTATTTATGTTTTTATTCGCGTCATAAATTGGTTATGTTTATTGATTCAAGAAGAATGGAGTTTGGTGTCTATTCTGATCAGGAATTGTTTTTTCAGAATAGGGCTTTTCTCACATTCAGAAACAAAATATCATTGCGAAACTCACCAAAATATATACATATATACAGTGCCGCTCATAAAGAAATCAAATTATGGTTTTTTGACCGTAACTTTTTAAAAAGTAATCCGATCACTTGGAAACTTTTTGAGCTACTAAAGTACTCTGTGGCACACAATTGTAAAAAATAAATTGTCATCATTTTTTGAAAAAAAAAATTTTTTTTTCATTTTTTCATTTTTTTTCGTTTTTCACTATTTCATATAATTGAGTAATACTTGTTATTACCGAACCATATCTAGAAGATGTGATGTCCGAACTATTTTTAGACATGGGTAGAACATCAGGAGCGAAAACGACTTCAGTTGACGTTCAAAAAGCCGTTGTAAATGGCTCCAAACAAGGAGCACCGTTGACAGATCTTGCTCAACAGTTCCAGCTATCAATTTCAACAATTTGTCGAATTCTTCATAGATACAATGCTCAGGAAAGGAACTTATTCATATCCAGGCTATTTTAAATGTTTAGAAGATGTTTATTGTTCGAAAATCTCCCGGGAGACCTCGTGAAACAACGAGAATCATGGATAAAAACATTGCAAGGGCTGCTTGTAAGGATCCTAGAAGCACTTCTACGCAGATTCAGATGATCGTGAACTCTCCAAACAGTCCAGCGCCTTCAAAACCAACTATTCGAAGATGTTTACAAAAGATGGGAATGCATGGTTGACGTCCAGTCAAGAAACCGCTCATCAGCGTCAAGAATCGCAAACATAGAGTGGAGTGGTGCAGGGCACATATCAACTGGGGGCCTCAGGACTGGGCAAAACACATTTGGAGTGACGAGTCGAAGTACAATCTGTTTGGTAATGATGAAAACAAGTGGATTCGACGTCCGATTGGAACCAGATACCAGTCCTGAAGCCCCCAGTTGACATGTGCTCTGCACCACTCCACTCTATGTTTGCGATTCTTGACGCTGATGAGCGGTTTCTTGACTGGACGTCAACCATGCATTCCCATCTTTTGTAAACATCTTCGAATAGTTGGTTTTGAAGGCGCTGGACTGTTTGGAGAGTTCACGATCATCTGAATCTGCGTAGAAGTGCTTCTAGGATCCTTACAAGCAGCCCTTGCAATGTTTTTATCCATGATTCTCGTTGTTTCACGAGGTCTCCCGGGAGATTTTCGAACAATAAACATCTTCTAAACATTTAAAATAGCCTGGATATGAATAAGTTCCTTTCCTGAGCATTGTATCTATGAAGAATTCGACAAATTGTTGAAATTGATAGCTGGAACTGTTGAGCAAGATCTGTCAACGGTGCTCCTTGTTTGGAGCCATTTACAACGGCTTTTTGAACGTCAACTGAAGTCGTTTTCGCTCCTGATGTTCTACCCATGTCTAAAAATAGTTCGGACATCACATCTTCTAGATATGGTTCGGTAATAACAAGTATTACTCAATTATATGAAATAGTGAAAAACGAAAAAAATGAAAAAATGAAAAAAAAAATTTTTTTTCAAAAAATGATGACAATTTATTTTTTACAATTGTGTGCCACAGAGTACTTCAGTAGCTCAAAAAGTTTCCAAGTTATCGGATTACTTTTTAAAAAGTTACGGTCAAAAAACCATAATTTGATTTCTTTATGAGCGGCACTGTACATATTCTGAGTTAATGACGTTCACTGTTCGAAAATAAACGGTTATTCAGAAAATAGAGAATTTCTCAGATAGTAAAAGGTATTTCAAGAAAAAAAGAAAAAAAACGAGCCCAAAAAAAAGTTTAATCTATTAAATAAAAAAATTGTATTCTTTAATTCTGGAATTTAGGCTCAGGCTCACAATTAGTGAAATTCCAAAAGAGGAGATTTTTCTCCCTTTTCAGATATTTATACTTTCCTAAATTGTTTATTTTTCTAAAAGTGCCATTTATTTTCTAAAACCATTTATTCATGATAATCTTTAAGTAGATATTTTATGAGATTGAAACCAGAGAAAGGCGAATCAAGTGATGTGGTGTAACTCTGAAAATTAAATCTTCAATAATATTTTAATAAAAATCAAATCGTGCAAACCGCTGTTTCAATGATTGAGTTCAAAAATACAAAAAAAAAAGTGGTATCATCTTTTTTCTTGCAGAACGTATTGCTGACTTGACGAAAAACTGCTTCCTCAGGAAAAATACATCGAAAAATTGCTTATTCAACATTAAATTGATTATAAAAGAAATATTCGTATCTCCGATAATCATACGGAAGAATGAAGCTGATCATTGCCTTCTCGTTCTATTTCTTGGCCAACTCAATTGTCGCTCAACAATGCTCCACTGGACAAATTGCTTACTATTCATCGTGTCTTCTATTCATTAAAACCCCATTGGAATTCAATACTGCCAATTCCATTTGTACCGGTTTCTCTGGAAGTCTTGTTTCGATTCATAATGCGATCGATAATCGAAACGTGACAAGTTACGTACAACACTATACTAATGGAGCATTTTGGGTTGGAGCAAAAACAATTTCACAAGATGTTACTAATCCAACAAATTGGTATTGGACTGATGGAACTAAATTCAATTATCAAAATTATCAATCTTTCCAACCGATCTCCCAAGGTTCAACATCTTGTATGCAAGTTTTACCAGGAACTGGGAAATGGTCGACTGCAGCGTGTAGCGGAACAGTTTTGCCATTCATATGTGAACTTCCCTCACTAATTGCACAAACTTGTCCAAGTCATTGTCCATCGGGTTATACCTGGTTTGCAGAAACTGATTTTTGTTATAAGGTTGGCTCTGAAAAATTCTGAAAATTATGATAATTTTCAGAACTTTGTCCAACAATCAAACTTCAATGATGCTCGCAGCGTTTGTCAAGCTGATGGGGGAGAACTTACCTCAATTCATTCACAAAATGAAAATGATTTTCTAGTCCGTAAGTCAATTTTTTCATTTTTTTAGAATGCATGCTCATACATTTTCTTCAAGAACTCTCAAAAACTGGGCTCATCGTATCAGATGACGGCTGGGTTGATCAAGTTTGGATCGGATTCATTTTTGTGAATCAAAAATGGCAATGGACTGATGGAACTAATACAACTTACGTTAACTGGGGAGATGGCGAACCAAACAAAATGCAAACCGAATGGTGGGCTGTGGTAAGTTAGATGAATTTTTTTTCTGAAATGACTAAAAAACTTTTTTGTTCTAGTTGAATGCTGATGCTCATCAAGGAAGTAATACAGAAGCATCAAAATGGAATAATGTTGGACAAATTGATGAAAGAGCTTTTGTCTGTAAACGCGCGGCTCTTCATTAAATGAATCACATTTGAAAATAAATAAATTTATTTTCAGTTCCAAAAATTATGATGATTAGAAATTAGTTGAAAATTAATTTCTCACACCAAATTCTTCGAAGAAACTGTCCCATCCTTCATTTTGCCCACCCGGTTGTGATTTGCGTTCCCCAGTGGCGTTCGCCTTCCAGATCAGCTATGGCTGACCTGGAAGGCGATCAGCTATTGCTTGACAAATTGTTTGGGAGATTGTAGGCCATGGCAACCTGAAAATTTTATGTCTTAAAAATCTTAAAAACAAATTTTCACTTACTTTATCTCAACCAGAACATCAAGAAGAGCTGTGATCACATCTTGGAAAACGCCACTAGAGAGCGCAAATCACAACAGGGTGAACAAAATGAAGGATAGGACAAGTTTGAGTTGGAGAAGGGCCTATTTATACTCTCACCAATGTTTTCATGCACTTTTGTTTTCGATGGAAGATTGTTAGAGATAATTTGAATTGGAGAGACGGAGGCTTTTTTTGCAAAAATATAAGATGTTGTTATTTTTCGCTGGCCAAAGAATGCTTGCACTTTTTCTGTTTATCGGTAAAGAAAAAACGAAAACAGCAAGATTTTTGGTGTTTTATGTATATAACGCAAAAAAAACAAGTATTACAATTAAAAAATCAGAACTAGGCGATGAAATTGAAGCTCTAAAAATTAAAAAGGATTTTTCGAAAATAAAAATGTTCTGTTAATCATGATAATCTTTAAGTATATATTTCATGAGATTGAAATTAGAGGAAGGTGAATCAAGTGATGTGGTGGAACTCTGAAAATTAAATGTTGAATAATATTTTCACACTTGGCAAGAGAGTGTCCCAAAATTTTTGTGCAACGTGAAAATTTTGAATATTTTCATCAAAATCCGCTGAAAATCAATGAACACTTCACTTTTTTTGTGAAAAAATGTGCAGTGAAATGAAAAAATTTTAGAAAATTTTTATTAGCTTCCCGCCCGAATCGAAATTTTGGTTTGGGCGGGAATTTTTCTTTGAACATTTTTGTACAGTATCCTTTTTGGAGACGTCTCGTCAGGCGTATTTTAATTTGAAAATTGTCTTACTTTGCGAGACAAGCAAGGCTCATTATCAGATGGCTCTAATCTAGCAGTGGTATTTGTGGTCTCCGCGATCGATAATTGATAATGGGTAGAAGATGTGCCAACATCGTTCTGAAAATACAATTTCTGAGGACGGGAGTGAAATTTAGGCCAACTTACTTCTCCTGAACTTTCGGGAAAATTAATTGATTCGCTTGAATCCTCCATCTGATGGTTCCCAGATCTATGTATTTTGACCGGGTTCGGGCCACCATTTGTGATCTGTAAATAGTTGATTTTACTGAAATTGAAAAAGGAAACATGGGATTTTCCACTCACGTTTTCTGGATTGTTAATCATCAATCTATCATCATATTGATCATTAGCATTTGTCCCATCATTAACACGCTTCTGGTTCGACATCGTTATGATTTCTTTTCTCAAAAAAAAATCACTAATTATTAACAGTTTGTTTTGAAAATCCTAATTTTTCCAGAAGAAAATTCGATTTTCCACAAAAAATAAAATAAAAAAATGATATGGTTTTCCAAACGATTCGATGAGTAATATGTTATAATATTCGTTCACATCAGATAAAAATAAATGTTTCTTGGCACTTTTTTTAGTTTAATGTTATGGTTTTTGTATCTTATCATTGAAAAGGAAGAAAGCTATATTTTAAAAAAAGAATCTGGGAAAGATTTTTCTCGAAATCAAAACTTTAGAATAATTTTATTGAAAATTAATTCACTAAATACGGCATCTTTTTGCATTCAAGACTTGCACCCAAAAATTTGTGGGGTTCCGAACTTTCCGAACAGAAATTTGTTATCCATAAGTACCGTAGCATAGATACAGTATTACATCTAGAAAAATTTTGATAGAGGGTGTATAAAATTTTGGAAGACAACTTACATATTTAATTTTTTGAAATAATTTTCGCCATTTTCTGTGAGTTTTTTGAGAATTCACATTTTTTGTCCAGGCACACACAACATTCGATGTATGAGTTGTGCTAGAAAAAACAATTTTAAGAAATTATATTGCAAAAATGGTTGAAAACTTACAGAAATTAATTCCATATTGTTCAGTGGATAGTACTGTAGTATAGATACAGTAATACATCTGAAAAACTTTGATAAAAGGATTATGAAACTTGAAAAAAACTGACTTATTCAATTTTTTGTTCGGCATTTTGCCATTGTTCTTGAGTTTCTTGAAAATGTACATTTTTTGTCCAGGCACACACAGCATTCGATGTATGAGCAGTGCTACAAAAAAAAAACAATTTTAAGAAATTATATTTCAAAAATAGTTGAAAACCTACAGAAATTAATTCCATCTTGTTCAGTGGACAGTACTGTAGTATAGATACAGTAATACATCTGTAATAAATTCTGATATAGGGTGTATAAAATTTAGAAAGAAAACTTACATATTTAATATTTTGTGCGGTACTTTGCAAATGTTTGTGAGTTTCTTGAAAATTCAAATTTTTTGTCCAGGCACACACAGCATTCGATGTGTGCTCAGTCCTAGAAAAAACAATTTTAAGAAATTATATTTCAAAAATGGTTGAAAACTTACAAAAAATGATCAGGAATTAATTGTTCCAGGCTTGTTCAGTAGAAAGTACTGTAGTATAGATACAGTAATAAATCTGTAATAAATTCTGATAGAGGGTGTATAAAATTTAGGAAGAAAACTTACATATTTAATTTTTTGTGCGATATTTTGCCGATGTTTGTGAGTTTTTTGAGAATTTCCATTTTTGTCCCTGCAGTAACAGCATTTGATGTGTGCTCAGTCCTAGAAAAAACAATTTTAAGAAATTATATTTCAAAAATGATTGAAAACTTACAGAAAATGATCAGGAATTAATTGTTCCAGGCTTGTTCAGTAGAAAGTACTGTAGTATAGATACAGTAATACATCTGGGAAAATTCTGATAAAGGGTATATAAAATTTAGAAAGAAAACTTACATATTCAATTTTTTTTTGTTGGACCATCAATATATTTTCGAGTTTCTTGAAAATTTACATTTTTTGTCCAGGCACACACAGCATTCGATGTGTGCTCAGTCCCTAGAAAAAACAATTTTAAGAAATAATATTTCAAAAATGGTTGAAAACTTACAGAAAATGATCAGGAATAATTGTTCCAGGATTGTTCAGTAGAAAGTACTGTAGTATAGATACAGTAATACATCTGGAAACATATAGTTGAAATTTTGAAAGAATATTATAAAAGAAACTTACTAATTAAAATTTTGAAGAGTGGTTGTTTAAAACTCGTAAAACTCACATTTATTGAATTTTGCAAAAATATTGATTGATTTTTTCATAAGATTTTTGTTTTAAATCCATTTCTGAAAATAACTTTAAATTTTATCGGAAAAAATATTTCGAAATCGAAAAAAACTACCTTTTACTGGAGTCCCAAAATGTTATAAGTACTGTGGTGTAGATACAGTAGTTCTAAAACATAAATAATAGATTTAAAAAAAATAGCTACAAAAACACTGGAAATTCTAAAAAAAAAGGAAATTTTTTAGGTAAACTAAAAAAATATTTGGTGAAGCAGGCAGGTGTTAGGAAAAGAACAAGAGTAAATACATAGACGCTAGACACTGGCGCCAATTTGAAAATATTTGTTGCAATTACTTTTTTTTGCTAATGAATAGAAGAAAAAAGAGTTTGTGTAAAAAAAAGAGGAAGATTTTTGTTATGATATTTGAGTGAACAGTTACCAGATGTGTAACTTGATAGTTTTATGGATTGACTGAATTTTTGAATAAATAATTTTAGCCAACAAAAAAAATTGATAACCATCTAAATATTTTATTCACAAGTTACAAATCAATGATGACGACCAGGCCAAACTGGTGGCACAACTGTTGGATCCAAACATTTATCTGTATTGCAAGCACATATGGTATTCATCGAAGTTAATTCGCCATCATCATTGTTGTTGCTTATGTCTTTACATTCATTTGAAATGTCCAAATTATCGAAAATTGCAGCCGGATCGCAGAAAAACACTTCAATCCATAACATATCTCCATTCATTTTTGAAATAGTTCTTGCACTTCCACATTCACCAGCACATTGTGAAAAACTTCCGCCGTTTAGTAGTTCTCTATTAACAGCAATTCCTTGATAGCATAAAACATTTTTACCAATCCAAGGTGATGGTGGTGGTGGATTTGATATTGGAGCCAATGATCGGCAATCATTGTCATAACAACAACACATTTGAATTTGTTGATCTGAAGTTTTCAAAATTTTATTTTTCTTGATGTATATTGAACGTACCTGTGTAAAATGCCAAACATTTTGTTCCAGATTGGAAAGTTGGATCTTGAAACATATTGTCGCAAGTAGCTTGTGGCAAACAAGCATTGACTATTGAAGAATCACCGCCAAGAACAACTGAAGTGCAAACATCTCCAGGTTGGCAAATTACTGTTTGTCCGAGTGTCACAGTGTTGTTGTTCGAGAATCCGACAAAACATGTGATGTTGCTAGAATTAATTTTTTTTCGTTAGGAATATTTGATTAATTTTTTCGCCTCAACTGATTTTCTTTTTGATCGGAATTTTTAAAAGAATCTTAACATTCACATTTTTCTAAAGAAAAACTTTTTTTACCTTGCAACAAATTCACTCGGCTTGGTTAATTTTTCTTCCAACTCAACATTGTTACATTTGTCCCCATGACATATGCAAGATGTTTCGATCTTGTTTGTTGAGCAGTCGTTGATTGAATTCGAAATTTCTTGCTCTTCACAACTCAATAAAACGATAGATCCTTGCTCTCTGTAGAATGTTTGTTTACGGCAAAGACCATAGCATAGTTTCTGAAACATATAATTTTTTTTTTCAAAAGTATATGATAAAGAGGTATTGAATAAACATAAATTTCAATGAAAAATTTATATGGATAATGTGAATTCATGTGTTTAACGAAAAAAAATTTCAAGCAAAATAAATTATGAAAACTAAACATATTTGGCTCGAAATGTCAAAGTCACAAATTTCAATTTTTTTCAAACTAAAGGCTCTACTGAAAGTTTAACTCACGTTTTCTACGGATTTCGAAATAATCACATTGTGGCGAACAACCAAGTTTCCTACCAAGCAAGTGATTTTGTTGTCATTAGCAGCACAAATCGAGCAGCCAGCTAACGCCAAGAGGAAAATTACCAAACGCATCTGAAAATTTGAGACACTAAATGTAAGGATGAAAAAAATGTAGGAGAAGGTCTTGCAACAAACAATGACGAGCATCATATTTTTTTTCTTCGACTTTTGATTTTTCTCGGGGACTGATAAAGAAAACGTGTGGAATTTGATAATTAACCGGACAATTTTGAAACGGATATATGGTTTTACTTTTCAGAAATAAAATTGAAAAATTGAGTTTTTACAAGAAAAAAATCTTGGAGGGCAAAATACTTCTTTACCAAACTCATTTACCTTTTTTTTGCAAAAAAAAGAGCTTCTTTGGCAAAATCCTCACGGTTTGGAACAACATTTGAACGAACGACCAGATAAATTGGAACATTGCAAAATCATTGGCTCAAAAAATTTTGTGAGAGCACTTGGACAAGAGTTCGAGTTCAGAATCTAAAAAAAATAAATTGTTATTCGGAAAGTTTTTTTTATTTATTATTAACAAACCTTGAATTTCATTGAATCATCTCAAAATACAGGGGTTTTCACGAGTTCTTCAAGTTTTCATAGCTTCAATATGCAATTTTTGAAATCCTGACTTGTTTTGCGATCCACCATGTTCAACTGTAAAAGTATTTTTAGTTTCGTTTAGAAAAAATAAATAAAAAAAAGAAAAGGCGAACAAAAAATAAAAAAAATAAAATTATGCGAACAAGGGGCTGTTCAATAGAGCGCGTTTTCTCCCTTCTATTAGTGTTTTCTTGAGAAAATGTTTGTCTAGGTGAATGAAAAACAATTGAAAAAAAATAGAAAAAAACATGGAGCAGTGTAAAATTGATATAAATCAAAGGAACATTAAAATATACAAAAATAACATTGAATTGTGCCATCAAAATGGAGCATATTTATGGAAAATTGAAGCATTTTTAAAAATTCACAAATCTTAGACCCACAAATTTTTTTTTAGTCATTGACCACCCGGGATTTTTCTCGTTTTTCCTATGGCATCGTTTGGTTTGGATCAATGTGGAATGGCGTCTGTTTTGCAAAGGATTACTTCTTGCAAACCTTTTTTCTTAATATTATTAGACATAATCACGTTCATTTTTGTTTCAGATGTTCAAGATGTCTCGCAAATTTTTCAAGCTTCAAAGTCAATGCTCGGGGGCTCGGGTGGAATTCAATTGCTGTTGATTTGAGTGGATTGGAATATCGCTTCTTGAAACAACATATGGAATATCAAATGCCATGTTGGAACGTCCTGTTTTGATGCGAAATCAAGTTACAAGAGAAGTGAATGAGGTTCTGAAATTAACTTTTTATGAAATATAATGAAATATAGTATTTCGACCATGCTGAAAACGATCCCGAAGTCAAAAATTGCTGTAACCCACTCTGAGCCATGTTTTGGAGCTCCACAGTTTTCATTTTTTGCACACTTTCCGACCTTTTTTGGCGCTTGTTTGGTGGTAAATTTACACCAATCGATGCAGATCAACTTTTGACTTCGGGATCGTTTTCAGCATGGTCGAATTACTATATTTCACTATGTTTCGTCAAAAGTTAATTTCAGAACCCTTTTTACTTCCCTTGTTAGTTTTTTTCAAACAATTTATTTATTTGTGATGATTTTTAATTTTCTCTGCCGGAAAAAATTAAAAAATGTTAGTTTTTAGAACACCTTTATCTGAAAAATTCAAAACTGCAATTAATTTTCTAATTCACAATAAAAAGAAAACAAGAATTATCACAAATAAAATAAAGTGTTTGAGAAAAAACTAATCTTGCGTCGAAACAGGCAACCTCAACTTGGAATTTGAGATTTCAGATGTGTTTGTCGATCTCCAGAAGCAAACTTCAAATTCACTCAAATCAACAGCAACCGAATCGCGATTTCCTGAGCATTTACTACGAAAATTGGACAATTTTAGTGAAATTTCGAACTTGGTTGTTTTCACAATCCTCTTCTTGTTATTTTCTTCTCCTCAATCAGTTGAAAAATTCAAAAAACAATTTTTAAGGGTATTTACGCATTCAATTCAACATCATGTCACGCGAAATCGCAAATTTATCCAGCAACTGCCACGGAGTTAAGGATTCGCAAGCTGTGGATTTGAATTCGTTCAATGGACGATTTTTGCGATCTAAGACGGCTGAAGTTGTCAAAGAGCTTGTTGATGGCGCAAAGGATGTCGATGGTCCAGCTGGGGATAAGGATAAGGTTAGTTATATTTCGAAAATTTTATTCTAGTTATAATTCAAACATATTCTATAAATTTTCAGGTTGTCTCGCGCGAAGTTGCCCAGCTCCACAGCAACTGTTATGGATCCAGAGATTCAGTGCCAGTTGATTTGAGCAGTTTCGAAGGCCGGTTCTTACGGTCAAAGGCGAATGAAGTTGGAAGTGCGACTGATGAAATGCGACTAATGACGGATGTTGCTGTGGCTGATAATGGAGATATTCAAGTTCTGGATCAGGATAGTTTTTTTTCGAAATTCTTTGTCAAAAATATAAAACTGGTTATGATTTTTGAAATTGAAAAATACAAATTCTGAGAATGCCAAAAAATTAAAAGTTCCTAACACATATCAAACCCCCCCCCGTGTCAAAACTGCTGATAATCTAAAAAAATCTGTTTTGCAGAAACCGGCTCTGCGATCATCGTCAAGATTGCTGAATCGAATGACCCAAAATGAAGAAAGTCCAGTGAGTTGATAATCTGCAATAATCATGGAAGAGAAAAACTATAAAAAAACAATATTTCTTACAGGCCAAGAAAGCGAGACTTCCATCTACATCAACATCCAACAGCACTACACCGAATCAAGGATCTTCGAATTCATCCAAGAAATCAGCGATTCCTTCCAAAAGCCGATACGACGTGAGCTTTTATTTGGAAAAAAAAGTCTTTTCATGAAAAATATTGATAAAGAACAAAAATCAATATTTTTTATTCCAGACCATTTTCAACATCAACAACAATGTTGTCGCTTCAGAAGATTGGGTCGCCGAATTCCTGAAATATGAAGACAACTTCCAAGCACCATCAAAAAGAGAAGTTATCATTTGCAAAAACGGTGGCGATTTCAACAAAATCTTCAATGCGAAAGGCGGCTTTGACGGATTTGAGGTTCCGTATGTTATTGAGAATGTTACCGGTCTGGGATTTAATGTTGATGCTGCACTCAACGTGCCGCAGATTGTCAAATCGTTGGGCAGAGAATTCACAACAAACGCCTATCTAAATTCGGATCGAAAATATGCTTCAATGAAAATGGGAGAATTCAACGATTTGTGGGTTAATAAACAGTTGCGAAAACAGCCGGTCAACTTGTTGCAATTGGAAGTTGGCAGCAATCCAATGTGAGTTGACAAATTACGATTTTTTCAAAATTCGATGGCAAATTTTTCATTTCAAGATGAAATATAGTAGCCCTCAGCAAATTTCGCAGTACAAAAAATACATGTGAACTTCACAGCTCTCAAGATCAACAAAAACCAAATTTTTTTACAGGCTAGATGCTGGAATCGGAGTCCCCACCATTTTCGAACACTGCTCAATTCAACAATGTTATGACATTGAAGATGCGGCGAAAGAACTGAAGAATTGTGCGAAACCTTCCATCAAGAAGTTTTGCTTAGTTACAATGGCTCAATCGTTCACCGACTTTCACGTCGATTTTTCCGGCACGAGTTTCTGGTTTTTCATGCAAGAAGGCGAGAAACTCTTCTACATCATCCCGCCAACCGATGAAAATCTGGAAGAATATCAAGATGATGAAGAGAATGGAACAAATGTTGAGTGGCTTGGGGACCGATTAAAGACCGAAATTCGACGAATTCACTTGCGAAAAGGTCAAATGTTATTTGTGCCATCCGGTTATCTACACGCGGTTTACACGCCATGCGACAGCCTGGTTTTTGGAGGGAGCATTTTCTCGCTGCCTCATCTTGAAATGCAACTCAAGTAAGCTTTCAATCCAAACATTTTTTCCAAATCGTTTTCATTTTCAGGATAACAGGCATCGAAACCAGGCTTCGCATCAAGGAAGTGATGCCGCATCTCGCCGAAATCTATTTTGCAATCGCCAAACATCTGCTGTTGCCAAAATTGAAATCCTCTCGAAACATGAAGCAAGAAGTCTCGGCCAGAATCAGAAGAGGAACAAATGCGCTCATTGGATATTTGAATGGTATAATGGGGAGGAATTTGAAGCGAAGAGCAATTGTGAAGGAGCTGGAAGAAGAATACGAACATCACAAACAGGATTGATTATGGAGGGTAGAATCGAGTTGATCGCGGAAAATCTTCTTCTCCCTCTTTATCTTTTCCTTTTTGTTGTAACCTCTCCTATTCGCACTCTCTTTCTCTCTCCCTTTCTCTCATCCCTCGCTCTCTATCCCTATTCTCCCATCATTTTTGTACATTGTTCCATCTTCTTATTCACTTTTCATATTGTGTTTTTGGTGCGCATTTGATTTGATTCATTCCATTTTGCTCTTCCACTTTCCTAGGTTTTTTGCTTCCGAAGAATTATCAATTTATTCTTCATATCTCCACAAATCTTCCTCATTTTTGTACATTCTTCGCTTTTTTTCGAATAGTAATTGATTTAGCTATTCTTCCCATTCAATACTCTCTTTCATATTTATTTTCCTTGTGTGATATCACAAATTTGGCGGTTTTTTCAATTATTTCGCTCATTTTTATCTCGTCTTCCATATTTCCCAGCCAACCCACTTCTAGGAGTTTCTTTTTCATTCATTATCGATTTATTCCTCAGATTTCCACAAATGTTTCCCCACTTTTTTGTACATTTATCGTTTTTTTTCGAATAGTAATTGATTGAGCTATTCTTCCCATTCAATACTCTCTTTCATATTTATTTTCATCATGTGATATCACAAATTTAGCAGTTGTTTCTGATATATTTTGCTCATTTTTCATTTCATATTTATTATTTCCTAGCCAACCCACTTATAGGAATTTCTTTTTCATTCACTGTCTTATGAATTAGGTTTTTATGTTAAACTTAACTAGCCCTTCATGATTTACAGGTTATTTGCAGGTTATTTACAGGTTATTTACAGGTTATTTACAGGTTATTTTCAGGTTATTTTCAGGTTATTCACAGGTTATTTACAGGTGCTCATCAAGAACACTTTGTTCTACAGTGATTTCCAGGTGAGAATTTTAGATGTATTGTCATCTGAAAACAAATAAATATCGTAGTTTTAATATGAAACATTTGCAGATCTTCCTTTCTCGAGCGAAGTTTGGATCAGTGGCGAGAATTGCAGCAGATGGAAAGCGGAGCCGCGGAAAATCAAAGCAAACATCAAAGATTTGCAGGACGGCCTTTCAGTCAACACGTATTTAGATTCAAGTTTGCTGTCAACAAAACTTCTTCTGATGTTCCAAAAAATAGACAAGAACCGAGATTGTTCCAGGTGAGAATTTTAGATGTATTGTCATCTGAAAACAAATAAATATCGTAGTTTTAATATGAAACATTTGCAGATCTTCCTTTCTCAAGCGAAGTTTGGATCAGTGGTGAGATTGGCAGAGGATCATGGAGCAGATGGAAAACCAAAGCAAGCATCAAGGATTTTCAGTTTGGCCTTCTGTTCAGCACATGTTTTGGTTCGATTTGAAATTGTGAACATTTAGTCTGATGCTCCGAGAAGTTTTCAAAATTCGGAATTGTTCCAGGTGAGAATTTTAGATGTATTGTCATCTGAAAACAAATAAATATCGTAGTTTTAATATAAAACATTTGCAGATCTTCCTTCCTCAAGCGAAGTTTGGACCGGTGGCGAGAATTGCAGCAGATTGAAAGCGGAGCCGCGGAAAATCAATCAAGCACCAAGGATATGCAGACCGGCCGTTTATTCAACATATGCCTTGGTTCGATTTGAAATTGTAAAACACTTCGTCTGATTCTTCTTCGCTCTGCTCCAAGAAGTTTTCGCTCCAAGAAGTTTTTGCTGCAAGAAGTTTTTAAATTCGGAATTGTTCGAGGTGAGAAATTCAGATGTATTGTCATCTGAAAACAAATAAATATCGTAGTTTTAATATGAAACGTTTGCAGATATTCCTGTTTTGAGCGAAGTTTGGAACAGTGGCGAGAATGGCAGAGGAGTATGGAGCAGAGCAGCGAAAAATCAAGGAAACACCAAAGATTTCCAATTTGGTCTTCTGTTCAGCACATGTTTCGATCAGTGGCGAGAATTGCAGAGAGGTATGGAGCAGATGTGAAGCAGAGCCGCGGAAAATCAAAGCTGACAGATTCAAGAAAGCCTTACAATTTTTTCTACAAGAAAATCGCTTGGAGGTTTCGAAGTTCTCAAACATTATAAAAGCTTCCATTTTTATTTATCTTTGAAAACTTTTTTTTTCACATAAATAGTAAATTGGAAAGTTTTTTATCAGTCCTAAAATAGAAAATAAATTACCAAAGTAATTAGTGATTTGATTTCGGTTACAGTTCAAAAAATCAGAGAAAAAATATCTATTTGTATTTGGAAGTAACATTTTGATCTTTCTTTCTTTCTAGCATCAAAAAGTTCCTGGTCATTGACATGTCAATTTCCCTCATTGTATGAACATACTCCTCTACAAATTTATCATTTTCTTATGAATTGTTATCTAGAAGGAAATAGAAATTTGTTTGTTTCTGTTTCTGATAGACCAAAAGACAAAAAATGCACTGCTCAGTGGGCGGAGTTTCAATGATTCTCTATATAAACCAAAACCCGTTTGGAATATTTGAAAGAAAATGGATCAAGAACTAGTCTATCGTTTGGCTATTCAATCAGACGCTGAGAATATTTGTCAATTTTTATTCAAATATTTTTATTTTGAGGAGCCATGCACACAGGTTTGTTTTTTTATAATATATGTCAATCAAAATAGTAAAAGCTGCAAATATTGATAAGAATTATTATAGGCCTTGAAAATTTCGCTGGAGCAAGTAGATCAACTATATCGAGAAATTGTAAATCGATGCTTGAAATTCCCATTTTCCACGTTGGTCACTAAAAAAGATGGTGAAATTGTTGGAGTTCTTCTGGTATCAGTTTGGAATCGCAACGATAGCGAAGAAGATAATGATTATGAAGGTTCAACTGCAAGTGAAGAAATAAGAGCGTTTAGTGAGTTATTTTAACGTTTTTTCTCCGGTTTATCATAAATTTTCAGTCAAGCTTCTGAACGACATTCATTCTGATGTCTGGTCTCTTGCTCCATCAAACATTGATGCAGTTTTACATCGAGAAGTTTCTAGCGTAGCTACACATTTTCAACGAAAGGGAATTGCAACCAGAATGTTGAATGAGAACTTGAATATTTCAAAGCTGGAGAGTTTCAACATAGGCGGTGTCATTTCGGAAACTTGTTCCTATTGCAATCAAGTTTTGCTGGCCAAACATGGATTCAAACCGTTGAAAGAGATCAAATATTCAACTGTTGAAGACTCAAAAGGCAATAAAATTCTGAAAACAACTGATGGATCAGAGGGAATTATTCTGAATTACAAAAGTATTGAAGATTTTAATTTGAATTGAATTATTTTGCATCAGATTTTGATTTTTATTTTTTGATTTGATTATATTGGAAAATAAAAAATTATCGAGTATGGCTGAAAACGTTGACTGATAGTGCTGTCTTTTTTCTAAATGTACATACATACATAAGCTGGAAATAAACATCACGAGATCTTGCGATCGGAAAACTTTCGATCTTGGGATTGATTATTTGATTCAGTTGAGACAAAAAAAACAAAAACCGAAGGTTGAAACTCTTGTCTCTAACTAGAGAAGTTCATGGTCATTCCCGGTTTGTAAACTTTCGAATTAAATTGTTAAGGCATTTTGTTTCTGATGAAAGATCTTTGCTCAATGGGCGGAGTTTAAATGATCAGGTATTTAAACCAAAACTCAAACTAATCTTGAAATGGATCAAGAACTAATCTATCGTTTGGCTTTTCAAACAGATACTGAAAATATTTGCCAATTCTTGTTTAGATATTTTTATTATGATGAACCCTTGGGCCAGGTGAGCTTTTCCATAAGTTAATTATTGATAGTGATATTTTTGAGGCCTTGAAAGTTTCACTGGAAGAAGTAGATCAACTATATCGAGAAATTGTGAATCGATGCTTGAAATTTCCATTTTCCACCTTGGTCACTAGAAACGATGGTGAAATTGTTGGAGTTCTACTGATCTCAGTTTGGAATCGCAATGACAGCGAAGAAGATAATGATTATGAAGGTTCAACTTCTAGTGAAGGCATACGAGCTCTCAGTGAGTTATTTGAGACTTTTCCTGTCTGAAACTTTTTTTTCAGTCAAACTTCTGAATGAAGTTCATTCTAATTTCTGGTCTCTTGCTCCATCAAACATTGATTCAGTTCTCCATCGAGAAGTTTCTAGCGTGGCTCCACATTTTCAACGAAAAGGAATTGCAACCAGAATGTTGAATGAGAACTTGAATATTTTGAAGCTGAAGAGCTTCAATATTGGCGGTGTCATTTCGGAAACTTGTTCATACTCTAATCAAGTTTTATTGGCTAAACATGGATTCAAACCGTTGAAAGAGATCAAATATTCAACTGTTGAAGATTCAAAAGGCAACAAAATTCTGAAGCCAACGGATGGATCAGAGGGAATTATTCTGAATTACAAAAGTATTGATGGTTTTGATTTGAGCTTTTGATTTGATTGGAATAAATATATTCTGTCGGAAATTATTTCTTTGACTTCATTTTTATTCTCACATGTAAAATATTCGAATTTCTAACTATAAAACAATTGAATCTATTCTAAAATACACTGAAAATCCATTTTTTCTGATCCGTCTGAAGTTCATTCTGAACCACTTCGAAACTTCTAACCATCTTAGACTTTGTGTTGTTTGTCTCTTTACTGAAACATTTGTTTCACTGATAATATTTTTTTCACAAAAAATATTCTGGAGGAAAAAAAGTTATCAGTCACAGAAGTCTGTCTGAAAATATGAACTGATAAACAAAGTTTTTCTAGGCTCGAATTAAGAATCACGAGGTTTCGTTTTTGGGGCAAAAATCTATTGGGGAAATTTTTTATATTCATTCTGATTTAGGAATCAAAATGTGTGAAAAAATTTGAAACACAATCGTTTTTGCAAAGAAAAAACTGTTCAAAGATCAAAAAACATCTCATAAGTCGACTCATAAATAATTCCTGTTCTCTTTCTCAATTTCTTCTAACAGATATCGATTTTTCAAGTACATTTCATTTTCTTGATAATAAACCACACCTGAAAATGAAAAAAAAAATATTTTCACACATAAAACTGACCATGAATGACCCCAATTAAAGCTTTTTCCAAAAATAAACCGGTTTTTTCTTTCTTATCTGAAAATTTAATGAAATTTGAAGTGTAATGTTGACCACAAAAAAGAAATTTCATCAAATTTTTTTTTTGAAAAAAAAATAAATTGGAAATTTTTTTCAGAGACTGTTGGGGCTATTCATGTTATTTTTCAACGCTGAGAAAACGGGAGAAAAGCGGAGAAAACCTATTCAGGTAGGCTGAGAAAATACGAAAAAAGCGGAGAAAATGTATTTCCTCCGCATTTCTCCTGTTTTCTCAACATGCTGAGAAAATACATGAATAGCCCCATGTGTCAAATCACAGAAATTTTCATACCGTGTAAAAAAAACCCAAAAATATAATTTTTGGGTGGGGCTAGGTTTAGTTTTCACTGCATGTTGATGATATTAATCATCTTTATTATTTTTAGGGAAATCTTCTTTTTTTGTTATTTATTTTTTCCCGAAATCATCTGACTGTTTATTATGTTTTGTTTTCTGATCAATTAGAAAAAAGTCATATGTCTGCCCCATTTTTGTTGAAAAAAATAAAAATAACAAGTGAAATCCAGTTTTTCTCAATGTCCTTTAACCAAAAAATTAGAAAAAAAATATTTGAAAACCACATAAAAATATTTTTCGGATGCCCTTTGTTCTAACCTAACTTTACAAAAAACTACATAATGGACTAGAGAATTGAATTGAAAAAATTGCTATCGTCGGGAAAATGTTGTAAACTATTGGTCAAAAAAGTGGGCGGAGCTTAGAACGATGTGATTGTTGAACAGTCATTTTTGGTGGGGGAAGAAAATATTTGTCATTTCATTTTACTGACTGTTGACTATTTGAAATGACGGAAGAGTTTGAGAAAAACGTGAGTTTTGTTTTATTTTTGAAAATATTATGAAGAAACTTCTAGATTTGCAAATTATTGGAGAGGGTTTTTAAACATCTTGAAAATTTTTTTCGAGCATTTACAGAGCTTTTGAAATAAAAAAAATGTTTTGGCACATTTTCAACGCAATTTGAAAATACAGTGAATTTAGAGCTCTGTAAGTGCTCAAAATTTTTGAATTCTAGATTCTCTGAATGAGATTTTGAAAAAAAATCACATATATTTCAAATCCTCTTTTCACAGTTGAGAATTTTTTTTTAAAATTAAAATTGTCTGAATTAAAGTTGGGTCTCATCCCGTTTTCCAACTTTTTTTAAAATGTATTTTATTTTCTTTCAATTTTCTCCAACACAAAGACCAATTTTAAAAATAGAATTGATCAATTTTGAGAACAGATCCATCAAAAACTGAAAAAAACTGGTAATTAGTTTGTTGATAAACCGAAAAATGCAGACATCTGGCGCCAAATCTTTCAGAATGTTTGATTTAACAAATCACATGCGCCTGAAAAAAATGGTTTCACTTTTAGACTTTCATTTTTTCGAAAAAAAAATATATAAGTAAGGTAAAAACGTAACAAAAATCCGACTCTCCTTGTTTTATGAACCTTACAAGAAATGTTCCAAATCACAAAAAAGTGTCATAGAAAAATGTGAGAAAAATGTTGGATAAGAATTCGCCAAACAGATAAATCCAACAAATAAACTTTACGATGATAACAGATCAAAGTTTCAATAATTTTTCAGAATTTGTAAATGTTAGTTCATAGTACTTGTAAGAAAAAAAGAAAAATTCCAAATTTATGTTTATTTTTCCAGGAAAAAAGCGAAGAATGTGGCTATTGTCGGCTAACAATCATCGCTCTAATCATCGCAATATTCTCCGCACTTTTAACACTAGCAATCGCAAGTTTTATGTATCACGGTGTACACGATTCATATCCAATAATGCCAAAAGAGGTAATCAATAAATGTAGTCATTCGTAGTGCCTAATCATTAGAAAAAAAAGCATTCAGCTGATTGATTGCGGGTATCTTGTTAGATTTTCTAAAAATACATTTACCCAATCTATCTATATTTTTATGATCCGCATTCCTCGAATCTTATCACTTCTGTGTGATGTGTTTTCTTCATATTATATATACATTTTTCTTGCAGATCATGTCGTCTTCTATGAAACGTCTTCTTGTTCCACACAAAAAAGTGATAATATTGAAAATGGAAGCCAAAAATCGATGTTATATTTTGCCCATTCATTTATCACAGGTATTTGGGATTTTCGAATTTTTTAAAAAATGAAACAACTAATTTTCAGAACCTTGCCAATACAAAATTGTCATTTTTGAACATTGCTTTAAGCCACGATCTACTTTTCGATGTTGCCGGTGAAGATGGTGTTGATTTTTGTGCAACTACACCGGCTTATATTTTGGAAAAGGATTCTTGAATGTAAAAAAAAAATAATTCACCAGCAAAGCTTATCCTTCGATCTCTAGCCCATTCAAAATGTATATAAAAAATTGTACAATTTTACCTGTTTTTTCTCTGATCTTTTCTTGTTTTCTACGAGTTTTTTTTCATATATGTATATACATACATTTTTCATCGATTTAATAAAATTGTGATATTTTTTGTTATCAAGATTGTTTCCAGGACAGAATTAAAGAGAACCAAAAGATATGGTTTATTTTTAGATGATAAATATTTCTGGAACCGATTTTGCGATGTTTGTTTTTTGAACAGTACTATGACAAATCTGAATCTCAATGTTAACTCTAGAATTCTGAAATCCTACTCCTTCATTTTCCAGACAGACGCATACATATTCTCATTTCAAAATGAAAATTGTGTCTTTTTCGAAAGCAAGACGATGGGCGAGCAAAAAAAAAAGTAATACGACACCTCCAAACACTGATTGCCACAAACACGAAACGTGAAAGTAGAGCAGCAAAATGAAGAAGAAAAAAGAAACAAATTTGTGTGTTTCATTTTATTTTTCTTGTCCACTTTTTCTGGTTTTTTTGTCGATCCTGAAAAGAAAATGAACCTTTCTTGTTGTTGTTGATGAATACCCTACGGACAGGCCAAAAAGGCTGGGGGTAAGATCTAATTTTGAATGAGGAGCACATTTTTCTTCCAATTCATCTACCGTATACCCTAATTTGGTTCTTTTTGGATAAAACAAATGAGTTGCACAAAGTTGGTTGAGTTGAAATGAATTTTAGTTGGTTTGTAGTAGTACTACAAAAGGTTTTTGATCAGCTTTTGTTTTTTTTTTTGGAATTTTCTTAGACTTGAGCATGATTCATTCTAGAAATTTACATAAATTCTCTATTTTCAATTTGAATTTAAAATCATTTTTTTTTCTAGCTTGCCACTTCTTCTGAATTTTCAGGTAAGGTTTTTCCAGATTTCAAAAATTATTTCTCAATCTCACTCAACCTAAAAATAGAATCCTAAAGATATCATTCTAACCCAAAAAAAGCATCCAATCGCTCACGAAAACCTCATTAGAAAGCGCATGTTTTGTTCTAAAAAACCAGAAGCAATAAAAGTGCACATCACACACATTTTAACCTATTTAAGGAAGAAATCTTGAGAAACGACAAGACCACCCAAGAAGAAAAAAAAAACAAAAACAACTAAAGTAGATCATTAATGGACAACACGTAATAACAATACCATTCGATTTTATGGGTATGGTGTATATCTAGAGTCAAGCTTCTTCATTTTTCTTATTGGGTGGTCCCTTGGTTTTTTTATAGTAATAATAATAACACTTGAGATGAGTTGAGTTATTCACAAAAAATTTCATTTTTTCTAGTTTTTGAGTGAACTTATTTTTTGTTACTTTTTTTGTCGTTTTTTTTTGTCTTCTGTCTTCTTGTTCTAATTACGCACCCCCTCCAAAAATTGATAGATATAAGCCAGTGACTTACTTACTTACTTACCCCCCGAAAAGTCGTTTTTTCTTCTTCTTGTCCTTTGTGCTCTTCTAGGAAAAAAAGTAGAAGAAAATGAAAATGAAAAAAGGAAGAAGGTTGAAGTTATTCAACATTTTTTAATTGTTCTTTCTTAGTTTGGTGAGCATGAATTGAAAAAGTCACCGATGATGTTATGTGACAAGTTTTCGCAAAATTTTTGACACTTTTTTTTCTAGTAGTTTGAATTTTTCATTGTTTTCTTTGAGAGTTTCGAGAATTTTTTTAATCAAAATTCTTTTGTTTCAATTTCACTTGGGCTTGTGATTACTGTAGCTAACTTTTCTCGGTTTTTTTGTTTGGAAAGTTCAAATTTTCAATAGTGGACTTGTACCTTCAAAAATAGATTCAAGTTCCGGAAACTATTTTATTCTCCGTTTTTAAAATTAATGTGATTCGCAAAAATAAGTTCCCTTCTGACAATTCTGGCTAGAAGTTACTGTAACTTGAAAAAATTTCTTTAAAAAATCGATTTTTCCGGAAGAGTTTTTTTTGCCAAATGTTAAGAAAATCGAAAAATTCACAAACACCTTAAAAAAAATCAAACTCAAAAAAAAATCGCGAAAAAAATCTGCACAAGAAAAAAGAACATGACGAGGACGTTTTACTCATTTTTCAACACGGTTTAGTACGTCGTCTTTCGTCGACGAAACAAAAAAATTGTTTCCAGGATTAGTTTACAAATGTGTATGTAAAAAACACCAAACGGGATGTACTTGGCGTTTTTTTTGAGTGTTTGCGAATTATTTTGATTTTTATTGGTTTCAGGGAGGAGGAGTTTTTGTGGGAGATTTTTGAGAAAAAAATTATATTCTGTAAATTAAACTTTTTCAAGCTTTAAAAAAAATTTTAGGACCTTTTTTTTCATGGTTTCTACAAAAAAATCTCCTTCAAATTTTTACTTTTTCAAAAGTGCATCTGACTAACATCTCCCCATAATAAATTCATCTTCCCCCTCTAAAAAATCCCAAAAAAATTTTCAGACAATAACATTCATTTTTTGTTCATCCTCCAGCCCTTCTTAAAATTCTTCTGTAATTCATCTATGAATAATTTGTGAATCACCAATACATATTTCTTTTTCTTCTTCTTCTTTCGAAAAAAAAATCTTCAAAATGGATGAGAAAAAAAAAGAGTAGTTGAATAAATCAAATAAACAAATTGGTGAAAACCATAATTTATGAGCTCCCGGATTCATTTTTTCTGTAGCCTCATTTTTTTCAAATTCTTGGTTATTCTGAAGAAAGAAAAATGTGTATACATTAATTTTGTTTCCAATTTTTATGCAATAAAATTTGAAAAAAATCTGAAAAAACTGCGCATAATAAAAAAATAACAGCTTTTGTTACTTCGTTTTTTTCCTCATCTCTTTAGCTCTTGTTCAACTCAACTCAACGCCAACAAATTTAATTTTAAACATAAAATTATGGAGTCGTCGAATATATGTTCCTATTTCTTCCTTTTTTTGTCGATGCACGAACTCGTTTCGTTTTCCTTTTTTCGTTCTAATAATAATAATAAGATATTTGAGGACATATGATTGAATAATGAGGATGAAAAAGGGAGAATTCAAGTAGGTGTTTGGAAATTTTCATGATTTTTGGTGAATTTTCATTTTGGTTGTTTGGATACTGTAAAAATTACAGCTTTTCATTTTATTTTTTAAATGAATTCCAATAATTTTGAGTTTCAGCTCAAAACTCTCTGCTAGCTAGAAATCTAGAAATTTTATTCACATTTTGTAATTGAAAAATGTAAAAATATAAATTTACTCTAACAAAATCCTAATTTTTTAAAATTATAATTACAGTAATCCTACCGTTACCGTAATCCTCGAGATTAATTTTCCCATTTTTCGAAAAATCTGCTAGCGATTTCCCATATCCATGTAACCTTCTCCAAAAAACCCGCAAAACCTACAATTTTGCGGTTCCACTAATAATTTTATTGGTTCTCAAAACGAGCCACTTACCAAAAAACCCCAAACCTGACAATTTATTTTTCTGCTGTTTCAAAGAATACTGCTATTTTTTCTCAAAAATAAATGAATAAATTGAATTGAGTTCAAATAAAATTCATTTTTCAATTACACTTTCACTTATCAGATAGAAAAATCTTTCTTTTTTTGTTGATTCGCAGCCAATTGCATTTTGTTTATTTATCAAGAATTTTTATGTTGTTTTTTTTGTCTGAAAAAAATCTGAAAATAAGAAAAAAAAATTATAAAATAAACTATCATAGAGAACGGAAAAAAACAACACCATTTTTTTTCGTTGACCGGAAAATGTATATTTTTGTTTGAACACAATTGTTTTGGGATAAGTAGTTATGTTCCAGACCACCCAGTCTCTCTACATATTTTTGATGGTGGGTGGTCTTTCACACCAATGAAAACAATTTTGTGTTCCTATTTTGATAGTGATGAGACGGGTTGTCAAAGTGATGAATGTGAAACACAAATCCTTTTTTTTGTTTCCTCCTCTTTTTCATCTTTTTCTTGATATTCGATCTTGTGTTCTGATTTTCAGTGTAATTTTTTTTCATTTTTGTGTGTGTGCCATGTTTTCTGTGATTGATCATTAATGACTTGTTTTTTCTTTTGGGCATTCAGGAAGAGTTTTTCGAAAAATTTTTCAAAGGTTGGGATAACCTTCAGAAGTTTTTTCGCAAATGAAGAAGCTTTTAAAATTTTGAGAATTTAGCATTTTCTGAAAATCTTAACATTGTTGAAAAACTTGACTAAGGTTCCAAAGCCAACAAATTTTGATTTCAGTAATTTTGAAACAATTAAAATTAGATTCTGAAAAATAAATTTCCAAACATATTTTTTCGAAAACTTCTTCGGTATATGAGTTCGGTGGTCCCGATTGTTTGAGATCACGAATCTAGACTTTAAATTCGATTTCAATAATTTTCACCTGCAATTTTCTTGAATTTTCTGAATTATGAGCTTCAGGTTTGGGAACTTGTATGTTCAAATTGAGAATTTGAATTTGATTTTCAGTATTCTAAAACTCAAAAAAAAAAGAGTTTCAGGATTCTGAAACTAAAAAAAAACTTACAGGATTCTGAAACTAAAATCAGCTACATATTTGCAAAAAAACTTTTTGATATTCCGACCTTTGTACCCAAAACAAAACCTCCACAAAAACCTTAACATATTTCATCCCGGAAATCTCGTGCTCTTCATTTTTTCTATGTTGCAAAATTAATCACCTCAAATAACGTCTTCTCCATCTCCTTTCATTTTTTTGCTGTTGTCGAATCCCATTATCAACTAAAATAATGTGTAGATAATGGGTTTTCAATGTTTATTTTAGTTAGACTAAGTTCAGTTCAAGATATCTGAGAATAAAATAAAAATATATGAAAACAAAAAAAAATTGTCGGGATCGGAAAAAAAAAGTGTTATGAATATATGAGAAGAGAACGGGAAGACACTAGGGATATGATGACACATACACAC